CCCCCCCCCCCCGGTCGGCGTATACAACACTTCTGCCACCATCACAATAATGGAGAAGCCGCCGTCCCCGGCCTTGATGGTCATTGATCCCGCCGCCGCCGAGTCTCAACCCGGCGGTATCGGCGCCGGGCCCGACGACGACGCCGCCTGGAACGAAGCCCTCAACAAGGAGCTGCAGGAGGGCTTCACCAGCAACGACCGCCGGGACATGCAGCGCATGGGCAAGAAGCAGCAGTTTCGCGTGCGTTTTTCTCTTTTTTCTTCTTCTTCTTCTTCTTCTTCGTCTTCTTCCACCTCGTCACATCTCCTCCATCCCGCAGCGCTGACCACAACCCACCTTCCAGAGAAACTTTCGCCTCCTGTCCACCATTGGCTTCACCACCTGCGTCATGGGCACCTGGGAGATTCTCCTAACGTGAGCCTCCTCCTGCCTCTCTCGCTGCTCTCGGTCACCATCACTAACACCAGACCACCAGCTCCAACACCCAGGGCCTCACCGCCGGCGGCATGCCCGGCCTCTTCTGGTCCCTCTGCTGGTCCTACACCGGCCAGTTCTTCATCGTCCTCTCCCTCGCCGAGATGGCCTCCATGGCGCCCACCGCCGGCGGCCAGTACCACTGGGTCTCCGAGTTTGCCCCGCGCCGCCACCAGAAGCTGCTCAGCTACCTCTCCGGCATGCCCTGTTCCTTTCATAATCCCTTCCTTGCTCATCCTCTTACTAACGTCCTTCCCACCTCTGCAGGCTGGCTCTCTGCCGTCTCCTGGCAGTCCATCGTCGCCCTCGACGCCTTCCTCATCGGCTCCATCATCCAGGGCCTCGTCTCCCTCAACAGCGCCGCCTACGACCCGGCCCGCTGGCAGGGCACCCTCCTCGTCATGGCCTCCGTCCTCGCCATCTCCCTCTTCAACGTCTTCGGCGCCAAGCACCTGCCCCTCGCCGAGGGCATCTTCGTCACCGTCCACGTCTTCGCCTTCTTCCCCGTCGTCGTCACCCTCCTCGTCCTCGCCCCCAAGCAGCCCGCCGCCGCCGTCTTCACCGGCTTCTCCGACAACGGCGCCGGCTGGCCCTCCGTCTCCCTCGCCGTCATGGTCGGCCAGGTCTCCACCATGTTCGTCGTCCTCGGCTCCGACTCGGTCGCCCACATGTCCGAGGAGATTGAGGACGCGGGGGTGATCGTGCCCCGCGCAATGGTCTGGTCGTTTCTGCTCAACGTGCCGTTCACGTTTGGCCTGCTGCTGACGTACCTCTTCTCGATCGGCGACGTGCAGGCGGCGTTGAGCGACAAGACGGGATTCCCGTTCATGTACGTCTTCCGCGAGGCGACGGGCAGCGTGCAGGGCGCCACGGGGCTCACCGTCGTTGTCCTCGTCCTGCTCATCATGGTCACCATCTCCAGCCTGGCCTCCACCTCACGCCAGACCTTTGCCTTTGCTCGCGACAACGGGCTTCCATTCTCCAAGTGGCTTGGTGCTGTATGTCTCCGCCGCCATCGTCCTCCTCTCCCTACCTACCCAACAAACTAACATACTCCCAGGTCCATCCTACCTGGCACGTCCCCGTCAACGCCGTCACCTTCACCTGCATATTCAGCATGGTCCTCTCGCTCATCAACATCGGATCGACCGTCGCCTTCAACGCCATGCTCTCCCTCTCCACGGTCGCCCTCATGGCAACCTACGTCATCTGCCTCGGCTGCGTCGCCCTCAGACGTGTCCATGGCGAGCCGCTGCCGCACTCCCGCTGGTCTCTCGGCAGATGGGGGCTGCCCATCAACATCACCGCCCTCGTCTACGCCTGCTGGTCGTTCTTCTGGAGCTTCTGGCCCAACAGCTATCACCTCACCGCGGAAAACTTCAACTGGGCCTGCGTTCTTTTTGTTGGACTCATGGGCTTGTCTGTAGTCTTGTATTATGTGCGTGCTCGTCACATTTATCAAGGCCCGGTTGTTCTTATTCAAAAACAAAGAGATTGATGTGCAATGAATTCCATTTTTGGCACGCAAGCAAGCAAAAGCGCTGTATTTGCATAATTACCTAAAACACTTATTCGCTACATAGTGCATGAACCAGCCAAATGCAAACTCCAGTGCAAGATCAAGTCAAGAGCAATGGGTTGAAACATTTGATTCGTATATACGTTATATCCCCTTCTATATTTTCATACACATACACACCGTTTACATGATACGTTACTGTCCCTCCACGCGCTTCTCCTTGGCGGCCTGGAGACCCTCAGCCTCATTGCCAATCTCCAGCTCGGGCTCGTCACGATCGAGATCGTACATGTCCTCCTCCTGGGCATCGTAATGGCGGAACAGGACGTAGCAGGCACAGCCGGCGATGAAGGACGAGATGGCGACGCCAGAGTACATCCAGACGAACTTGGGGTTCTTGGAGACGGGGACGAGACCCTCAGAGATGGCCGAGCCAAAGGCGTTGGTGAAGAGGTAGATACTCTGAACGAACGACTTCATGCTGGGCGGAGCCTTGGTGTAGGCGTACTCGAGGCCGGTGACGGAGATGAAGATCTCGGAGAGGCCGATGAAGACGTAGGCGGGCGTCTGGACGGCGATGTGGACGTTGTTGGAGACGATGACGCCGTCTTGGCCGACCGCGGCGGCGCAGTTGTCCTTGTCGCGGGGGAAGCTGTAGCAGGGGCCGGCGCTGTAGATCAGGTGCTGCACGATGGCGGCGTAGGCCAGACACAGCGCGGCCAGCCAGAAGCCGATGGTGATGCGGGCGATTGGGCGCAGCTCGATGCCGCACTTGCGCAGCAGCGGGTAGATCAGGCGGTCGAGCACGGGCGTGAAGACGAGGATGGAGAGGGAGTCAAAGTTTTGCATGAAGTCGTTGGGCATGCCGTGGCCCTGCATCTGCTCCGCCTGGGTGACGAAGTTGGACGAGAACTGGCCGTAGCAGACCCAGAAGATCGGGTAGAAGAGGAACACCTTGCAGGCGCGCAGCGCGCGCTTGAGCTCCTCGACGAAGTGGTCGTCCCAGTGCACGGGGGACTTGCCGTGGGCAGCGCGCCACGCGTTCTTGGGCGCGTCGGTGCTGCGGCCGACAATCATCATGCCGATGGCCTTGAGGGCGTCGGTGATGATGGAGCCTTGCGGCGGGCGGATGATGTAGGACTTGCGGCGGACGACGAGGACGAAGATGCCGACGTTGAACATGCAGAAGCACATGAGGAAGGCGGTCCAGAAGCCCTCGTAGCGCTCCATGAAGGGCGTGGCCATGAGGGAGAGCGCGCCGATGTTGATGCACCAGTAGAAGATCATGTAGATGCGCTGGTAGGTGATGGCCGGGTCGATGATGACGCGCTCGCCCGTGGGCTCCGTGCGCAGCGCCATGCGGCGGCGCTGGTACTGGTCGGCGATGAGCGGCGCAATGTTGGACTTGATGCCGCCCGTGCCGAGGCCGATGATGATGATGGCGACGATGTAGCCGGGGAGGCCGGCGACGTCGCGCGTCGAGGGCAGCGAGGTGGTCCATAGGAAGATGAGGCCGACCCAGTAGACGGCGCAGAAGATGAGGATGGTCTTGTACTTGCCGAGGTACTGGTCCGAGATGATGGCGCCGAGGATGGGCGTCACGTAGCAGAACCACTGGAAGAAGAGGTTGAGGCCCGTGGCCGCCTGGTGGCCCATGCCGAGGCCCTTGGCGCCGTCGGCGCCGTGCTTGTCGTGGCTGATGTAGTTCTGGAACAGGCCCTGCGCGCCGTAGTAGGTGAAGCGCTCCGTGAGCTCGACGAAGGCGATGAGGAAGGCCGAGGGGGGGAGGCTCTCGCCCACGCGGCGCAGGGTGGCGCGCTCGTGGGCCGAGGGCTCCTCGCCGTCGGCGGTGGGCAGGCCGTTCTCGAGGTCCTTCTTCTCGTCCGACGAGGCCGCATCGACGTCCGGCTCCTGGATGTAGCCGCCGGCGACGTCGTGATGCTTGTTGGGGACGCGCTCAGAGAACTTTTCATGGAGCCTGGGAAGCGAGGGTGTGTTAGAGAGGGTCGTTGTCTCTGTGTGTGTAAGTGGAGGACGAGGTTGGGCTTACTCAACGGCGGCATCCTCGTGATTGGTAGCCATGGCTGCGAGAGGTGCTCTCTGCACTGGGATTGTACGGCCTTGAAATGAGGGGAGGAGAAAGACTCGACGCAACAAGGACGAGAAGGGGAGACGAGAGAGAAGAGAACTCGACAACAACTACGAGGTGGGACGAGTCGAGTAGATAAACAGCAAGGCCCGGGGGAGTTGTATTACTGCAAGCGGGCGGGCGGACTAGCTAACTAACTACGACCTAGCTGATTGGGCAAGTGCAAAAGGGAAAAAGTACCACCAGTTATCTATGATATGGTAACTATGGGGGGAAACCACCCGGTTCCTGTCCAGAGGGTCTGGAGGCGAGGACCGAGTGAAGGCGAACAAGGCCCCAAAACGGCGGTGCCGCGGAGGATCCACTTTGAGTATGTAGGTGGAGGTCAAAAGTCGACGGCCTAGGATTTGCCCCGGGCGAAGAGGCAACAAAGGGCAGCTAAACAGTGCTGGGGATTTTTTTTTTTTTTTCAGGGTTTGTGCATTTGCCTATATTTACCTGTATTTATTACCATATACCCGAGGCATTTTGGGATTTTTGTCGAGTGGTATTGCGGCCAGGACAACAGTCCCGACATCTTCCTGGGCACATGGACAAAAGCACGAATACCTCCTACCTAAATTGTAATCGAGGACTTGCCCAAAAGGGCCTTCCGCAACGGAGTTGCCCGTCTGAATTTTTCCACGGTCGAAACTAGTCATCAGAAAGGAATAGGTACCTTATCCCCGATGGTGAGGCGTTTGCCTGTTCAAATCCCATCATCAAACAAAGTTCTATACCTTTCCCTCTCGCCGCCAACTATTCCGAGCAGCCGCCCCCAAGGTGGCGTAACGCCTCGTCCTGTATCAAGTTGCGCCAGGCATGCGTTAAACCCGCAGCACCACCCCAAAGACAAGGGGCGCATTTGCGGTACAGCAAGCCTCCCTGCCTCCCGAGACGCCTAAACTTCGCTCTCTAGCGCCAAGCCCACCCGGAGAAATTTTCCACTGCCTTTTTCGCCTTTCCGTCTGGCCTAGTAAAACGCCTTGCAAGCCAAGAAAACAAGAGATCCCCGCCCGCCAAGTTTCGATCGGAACTTGTCAAAGGCAGGCCGCTTGGCGATGGCCAAGGGCAAAACGCCGGGCAGCTACGGCCCGCGTGCATCAAGAAGATCGTCAAAAGAGTTGCAATCGACTGGGAAAGTGGACAAGAAGCAAAGAAGAGACCCGTGACAACCAGACGAACCAGTGACCCAGTGAACCACACCCCAGGAAACGGATTCCCCATCTCATGCTACCAAGGCCCGGTGGTGTGTCCGCACCTGCAAACTCGGTCTCATCACGGGCTTCCACACACCCATAATCTCGCTTTCCAGCCATCAGCCAGTCCCAGAAATAAACTGGAGCCCCGCCTGTTGCGACGGTCCCATGGGATCATCAACAAAAGGTCCTTTTGTCAATGACATTCCGCACCCTCACCGAGCCAATTGTCTACGAAATGCGGATAGTCACCGTTGGGAAGGGGAAGTGACCCCCATCAGGCTCTTTGACTCCCACGCCGCAAGAGCCAATAGCGACCCGAGCCTTTGTCTTTGTTGCCATCCAACCTTTGTATGCCGCTCGCCCAATCCTCTCGCTCGCCCCGACATTTCACATTCTACCTTTTTCTTAGCGTTGGATCATCTTCTCTCCAACAAGCAAGGGGCGCCCGACTCTCATCACAGCTCCTATCCACTTCTCTTGCAACAGTGCCTTGTCACCGTCTCCAAACAGTTATTAATGGAAACTAGGGTCTCTCGCAACTCGCCGCATTTTTTTAATTCTATGACACGGCCATGTGCCCTCCCCATGGGGCTCCCGCATCAACAAGTCCGACGTTGTGTAGAACGGTGGAAACGAAAAACATTCTGCTAGTTTAGGGTTCACGATGCTTCACTCAGCCGTTCCAGCCGCTTGTTAAGCCTCTTCAGCTTTGACTCCATTTTCTTTCAAAGAAAGGGTGTCCCAAATCAGCTCGCCACATTCTCAAGACATGGAAATCAGCTCCTTCAGCACTTGTTGGCTGAAACTCCCGTCCCGGAAACTCTCAGCCCATGCCACCAAGCCAACCAAGCGAGCGCCACAGTGACGTGGATGGCACGGCCACTACCGGCACATGGGCCTCATCAAACCGCTCCAAACCGTCAGCTAATAAGAAGCCAACTCTCACTATAAGCCTGCACGGAGACTAGACTTTCCGTACAAAAGTTCATCAGCATTGTAAGTCATTAACGACCCTGCTGATTTGTTGACCTCGGTGCAAATCGCGCTGCCAACGTCACCCCAGGTCGCAACGGCGCGACCCAACCTAGTTCGTCATACGACAAAATTGAGGTAGCCGGGGAGTCTTCGGGGAGACTGTTAGTGCCTTGTTGGGTTCTCTTCAGGCTGGCACTTATTAGCTAAGCAGTTCTCAGTGAGTTTCCCAGCATATTCCTGCGTCGCCAACTAACACCGACCCCTACAACGTCACATTCATCCTGCCGCACCTGCTGGTCCGGGCTGTAATCTTGTTAGTTTTGGGATTTTGGCTAGCCACCGCCACTTGTTTCTATACGGGCTCTTACTCCACGGAATAGTAATTTTAAACTTTGGCCTTGTTCTCGGCCGGCAGGCTTGGACCCGCCGCCGACATTGCCGACGCGGCAGCCACACATGGCAGTAGCCAGCCCCAAGCAACATCCAGCTCGATGGCAAGCCACCAACTGACGCTGCCGTAATAATAATTTACAGGGCGTTGGCGATCGGTCGGCTTTCCCATTTGCGTAACCTGCCTCGGCAAGCCTGCGCTTACGTCCACCCACTCAGGCAAACTCCTTATCATGATAATAGTCAATGGCGTGACTTATTCGTCTTGACTGGGAAATATCTCCTGTCAACAGGACCGATGCAAGAAAAGTTTTTCCCCTTATCTTCTGTGGGACGGCTCCAGCTCGCTCCCAGTTGAGGCGAACCTGTCACGGCTCGGCTCCCAAAGCGCCACCACGTCTGCGCTAGAATGAATCGCCTCCTTTCGATGGGCTTCCTCTCAGCTTTGTATCCACCAAACGCTGAACATTGATAATATTCCCAGTGCCACCGCCGAGACTGCCGGCACCAGTCTGTTTTTGGCTCTTTTCCAGTAAGAAACTGGTGAAGTCGAGCTGGTTGCATTTCCGCCGCCGCAAGACCCCGCCGATGACTTCAAGCGTCCATGTAATGCAATCGTTTTATCGGTGGGGGCGATATTTGCAGGACTCCACAGGAGCTGCAATTCTATCTGGGTCTCCGGCGGAATGCGTCAATTAAATCCGGAGTATTGGATGCTAACAGACAAAAGTGGCGAAAGGGTCCAGTGGTGCAGCGCACAAGCAGCCCGCGCTTGCAGCGTTGTGACGGCCGGGGTTTTTGCGCGTGCGAGGTGAACATGTCTCACATCATTCGATATAAGCGTTTTGGAAAAGCCGGCTGAGCCGGGATTCTCTTATTCGTGTGATGCCTTCTAGGAAGCTGCACTGACAGGAAGTTTCCTTTCCTAGAGCAACAACTAACTATGTAACTTGTTGTCCTACCTAGAGGCGCAGTGTGCCAACAGACATTAACATACTAAATACTGCGAGATAACTAGTAAAGTGACAATTCCGAAAGAAAAAAAATTCATGCAAGATTTCGAACAAAAAAAGAAACAAAAAATAAGCATCAACAAAAAGTGAACCGCTCTTAAGAGCGGCTCTCCCGCCGGGAATTGAACCCGGGCTCAAGCGTGACAAGCTTGCATACTGACCACTATACTACGGAAGATGTTCGGATGTTGGCATCCGACGTAGCTGAGATCGATGGAAGCTGCTGCGCTATCTTTTATTATATGCCTCTGCGTAGTTGACCCCGATGTTCTTTGTCACGAGCGGAACACCAATGCAAAACATGTAGCTCTAGAAATTCTACCATGGAGTGTTTAGCACATTTTAGAACCTGGTAAATTACTTCTTCAACGTTGAACAGGTGAGTTCTACTCCAGACTACGTCGCTAGACAGGCTGGTTCAAAGCGAACTCCGTGCACGTTCAACGCGATGGGCTTTTTTTTTCTCTCCGAATTGTCAGTTGCACCTGCAAGAACCCCGCGGCAAACTGTATGCACCGCACAAAGAGTCGTGCCGGAGCTCCGCGGGGCAGCCGTTCGGCGAGCCCCCCATCGTGCCGGGAAGCCAGAGTTGCAGGCCTCGCGGCACGCCCGAGAGGAGGAGGAGGAGGGGGGGAGGCGGGAGGCGGGCTGCTGCTAGCCCTGGGTGTGCGAAAAGTTCGGATGGCCTTTCTACGCTGGGCGGTGGCCTGTTGCGCCTAGTCCTGATCGCCCGATTGATTTGCCGGTGGTGCGTGTGTACATGGTGCTCGACTGCCCGTGTCTTACTCTGGCCACCGGCCGGCTGTGGCCATGAGCGCCTCCTTTCGAGGCAGACCGCGTGACTGGCTACGGGGAGACCCGGTGTGGCGGAACATACAAAGAGGTTGGGGTGTTCTGAGCGGCGAGGAGAGTGCGGCTGGCATGATGGCGGAAGGGTTGGGTGCTAATGAGGAGGAGCGGAAGAAGAGGGGAAGTAGAGAAAGGGTAAGGAGAACCAGGACACCAGAAAGCCGGCGACTGAGGACTGGTGTGTGAACGTCTGTCTGTACAGCACTGCGTTTCCCACCATCCAAAAACCAACGATGAGTCCGTGTCGGGCACACTTCCGCCTTGTGTGCCCATTGAAACGAGGCAGTCAAAGACACTTTGTTGTCCAGGAGTGGCAGTAAAAATACAATTACGCAGAGGTTATATACAAGCCTATTACATCTCCCATGCTTCCCGTTATTCTGTTCGAAATGATGCTTCCTTCGCTGTTCTTGTCCCTTGTTCCTTGTTTCGATTCCGGTGTACATATACTATAGGAAAAGGCAAAAAGCACAAGTGACTGCTTGGTATGCATGTTCGCTTCGCTATGCATGATGAGCGCCTCCGATGGTAAATTTCATGTTTTTCAAACGCCGTGTTCGCCATTCCATGTCGTTTTCGTCCTTGCTCCTCCTCCATTATGCCCTCTCTCGGGCCGTTTTTAGTGAGGGAGCGTCAGCGTCAAACTGCCACTACGCTTACGTCCGGCCAGGGCGCTTGCCGTCCTGTCCTGCATGCAATGCATCCATTCCAGAACCGTCTCGTAGCACAGCACATACTGCCGCAGGCTCTGCACCGTGCTGAGACGCTGCTGTCGAAAGTCCTGCACGGTCTTTTGGATCAAGTCCACAGAGTCGTCATTCAGCCACCTCGTGTCGAGTGCCGTCGACTTTCGCTGCTGATGGGGCAGGTTTGCGAGCTGGTCAGCCGCGGAGCTCAGGTTCAGCTGAAAGTAACAATCCGATGCCGACATCTCGGCAGGGTTGAGCATGCTGACGTCACCCTCTGCGTCCTTGACAGCGATGCCGGTGAGATCTGCTTGACGCTTTCGCTTCAGCATATCAACGACACTGTCGACAGTACAGAACGCGCCAGTGCGGCCGCAGCCTGCCGAGCAGTGAACCAGCATGGGTCGGCAATTCTTATCGGCCTCTGGCTCGTCGTGCCACGCGATGGGCAACGCGCCGCCCTCCATTGCCTTGTGCGCTTCAACAACAGCGGCGGTCTCGACGGGTAGTGCAGCACGCTGCATCACGTTGGCCAGCTCTACCAGCGCAAGCAAATGCGACGGCTTAGCAGGAGTCCCAAAGTCAGGCCACCCAGGGAAGTGCAGGTGGGTGACCTCGCGTATCGGCGCGAATGGATGAGACGTGTGCGACAGCGCAAACTTGCGTATGATAACGTACGGGGCCTCTTCGTCGGGTGATAGGGTTGGTGCCGCCTCGAATGCCGTCGTGGTGTTGGCTCGGCGCCGGCCACGCTCCGAGGCGTGTGATGCCGGTGTGCTGTGAGAATCCGATCTGTATTTCTCAACGTCAAGCGATGCCTTCTTCTCGGACAAAGGCCGCAAGCGAATGGGCCCAAACTCGCGACCTTCCCAATACGGGTGGCATTTCAGCTGCCCGCCCTCCGTCGTTGCTGTCAGCATGACAATGACACGGACATCTTGGTCCCATACGACGGACCAAAAGTCCTCAAAGGTGGCCGGCAGCGGACCCTGTGTGGCGATATACTTCTTGTTGCTACGCGAAGCAGAGAGATTACTGGCATTGACGTAGTCACAGCAACCAGAAGCCTTGTTTTCTAGACGGACTCTGCTGTGCTCAAACGGAAGAATATCCTTGTATCTGTTCTTGACTCCCTTCTCCACGCCGCATAGCTGGATATTGCTGGCAGACTTTGCGTGATTAGGGTTGAATGCAGCGTACGCGCTCCTCATCCGAGATTGTTCCTCTTGTTCGATGTGAAGGAATTTGTCAGAGACCTTTTTGCCGTGGTCCCCAGGCGCAGCTGCCACACGCAGCCAGATTGGGAGCCACGAGGCTTCGAGACCATCGGGCAAGTGGACATCGAACTGGCCAACGCCATCTGCAAGATCCATATTCTGGCGGATGTTGGAGAAGAATGGGTTGGGCTCCTGCATGCTCGTTGGTAGCATGACACCACCAATGACGGGGGCAACCGCGTTGCAATCTGAAGAAGCATTCTGCGACTTCGTGGCCGGCGCTGCAGTCGGCTCGGTGTCAACATGTGCAGGGAATGATTGGCGGAAAAGACTGAAACCTCCACGGAGAATCCCAGTCTTGCCGGAGAAGTTGGCCGCGGTAAACTTCTTGATCATGCTCTGGGCTGTAAAGGCATCGCGGTTATCGGAAGCGTTGGTGTCGTAGACTATGATCCATTGCATGTCTCTCCAACGATTGAACTTTGTCGAGTTGATACTGTCTTGGAAGGTTGCCTGGAGCTTTTCGATGCCAAAGGTGGCGCGCTTCAACAGCGTAGTTGGAATACACAGGTTGAGCGCATGCCTGATGCGACTTTGTGAGAAATTTTGAACCGAGCGAACATCAATGAGCAATACCCCATCCATATCCCCGGCTTCCATAATGTTGGCTAGCTGATCACCAGCGATAAAGGGGCTTTGGGCATCTAGCTTCATTGGTAGGGTGGAAGCCCGCGGTAGACCGATGCTTGGTGATTGTCTTCGTGGTTTAGGTTCGTTGAGTGAGAGTCGCTCATCACGGTACTGCTCTACCGATGTAGTCGGGTTTGACGGCTGTTTTGTTTCCTCCATCAGCAGCGGGGACGCAACCCGCGGAGGAGGGGCAACCTGAGGTAGCTTCAAGGACACATCCAAGTTACGCTTCGAGTCCAACGATACGTATGCGGAGTCGTGAAGGCTTCTCTGATCAGCGTCCGGCTTCATCATCGGGCCCATGTCGGCGCGTATTCTATTCAATGCTAGCCGAAACGACGACGGCTCTGTGGGAGGCTCATGACTATGGGAATGCCAGCGGGCCGGTCGAGGACGGGCCATGTGAGCAGACGCCGAGGGAACATGGCTAGTGGTAGGAAGTGCAAAGGAGGGCCCGCGATTGCGGTCCACCTGCCTTTTGAAGGCTTCAAACTCGGAATTGGGTTCGAGGGGTACAGTCTTGGGCAGCGCGGCGGCAAAGGACTTTATTGAGGAGCCGGCTGGGCTCCAGTTGTCTTTTCCGGGAACTGAAGAGTCGGCCCCCTCGAGGTTTGAATCGATGACCAGGCCAAAATAGTTGGGACTCGGGGCGCGTGGTGGTGCTCGGCGACCGGGAGAGCCTCTGGGCGGGTGGTTCTGACCGACGGAATACGCGGCGCGGGGTGAAGAGAGGGGTGTGGTTGATTTCGTTATGGTTCGTGAAGGTCGTCTAGATAGATTATGGGGACTTGATACCCCGGGGGTTCGTGCAGTGTGAGCCGTCATGGTGTATTGTACAGACATTTGGGGAGGCCTGGTGAGTGGAAGTGAAAATTAGGAGCGAAAGAAGCCAATCAGCTTCGAAATCGACCGAGAAGACGGCTTCAAAAGTCCATGGTTCGATTTGAATCAACTTTGGAGAGATGGCGAGGAATAAAAAAGCGTCGCGTGCGTCGTGGCAGAGGCGGTTCAATGAAGGCTGTCGGTTGTCGGTCGTCGGTTTGCAGGGTTCAGCCTGTGACGTAAGGGCGGGAAGGGAGGCGGTGGCGAGAAACAAGAGGGCGGAGCCGCAAAGTGAACAGAAAACCGACGCAACGGGTAATGAGCAACCAACGACAAATCACCTTAGTCAATTGCGATTGGAAGCAAATCGAAAGAAATTCTCCTTCTTTTTAATATCGAGCTCGAGAAGAAGGGAGCGCGAAAGGGGTAGGTGGGAAAAGGGTCCTGCCTTGTCCAGTGGCGTTTTTTGCTTGCTGCGCTGAGTGCGTGCCGCAGTGTCGGAAGAGGCGACCAGGAGGTGCTGACCAAGGATATTGATTCAGACAGCGATGGATTGATTCCACGAGAGACGGGAAGGACAAGTCGAGCAATATGGGACGTATAATACGACAACTTAGCGAGCGAGCGAGCGGCTGGTAGATGCAGATGCAGGTGCAGCCAGCGAGACACGACAGCGATGAAAGGGGGGGGGCGTCGGCTTATGCAAATCGACCAGCGAATGGCGCGAAAGGAAAGGACAAACCGGATCGGCGAGCAAGAAGAAAGCGCTGATCCAGGTAGACAGACGACGAGATGTCGGAAGACAAGACTGTGGCCGAGAGGAGCAACCAGACCGCCAGCAGGAGGGCAAGCCTACATGTGTAGAAGAAATAAAGGACGAATATCAGTGTGCGCCGAGAGAGTTGTGTGATTGTGTGATTGTGTGTGTGTGTGTGTGTGTGTGTGTGTGGGCGTGGGCGTGGGCGTGGGCGTGTGGGCAGGCAAGCGTGTAAGTACCAAGCAAGTTATCGGCTTTGCTGCCAACCAGCATCCCTTCTACTTGGAAATAGGATGGGGATGGGCTTATTAGGCAGAGTGGGAACGCGAATAGCCAACTTGTCTGCCACCACCGCCCTAGTCTTATCTGGCATTCGGTCATGGGCGGGAAGGAGTTGCTGTGGATGATGGCGGACGCCAGATGACGATGTTCTGGAGACGAACAAGGGCCTGGACTGCGCCGATGCAGGGTCCTCGAGTCACTCGACCTGCTTCCATTTCACATTTTCTTCGTCTGCTACGGAGTACACTCTTCGCCATGCCATGGGCATGATAACAATTAATCCAGGGGACTAGAAACGGGGGCGCTTCGCCGAGAATGCCAAACAGGACACTCTTCACCCTAGAATCGCCAATGAGACGAGACGTTTTGGGGGGGGCGCCAGCGGCGGGGGGGTCTCATGGCCAATTTTGCCATGTTCAACTGGGTTTGTCTCCTTTGCCAAAGTAGCGAGGATGTATCCAGTAGCAGGTCAACGGGCGACAAGGGGGCGGTAACAGCCTGGGTCGGTTGGTGTGCAGCGTGGGAGACATGGGACAAGACGGGGCACACCAAGTTGGTGCCACGAACTAATAAAACAGGCCCAGCAGAACGCGGCTCAAGATCTTGACCAGGCCGGTCGAGCTTCTAGTGTACCGAACTTCTGTGGGGGAAGAAAGCAAGATTTTCGTGAGGAAATAACTGGGTCGTGGACCCAAGTTGAAGTTGGTAACTGAGCGGGAGAGAAACCGTGAACTGAACGAGGAGAAAGACTGAAAGGGCATTCGTTGTTGGTATCCGGAGCCGATGTCAACCAAGAGCGATCTACAGTGATGTACAAGTCACTCTCGCATGATGCAGTTGCCATCACTGCCTCCCTATCCGTACGCATGTATATTACGAAATACAGAGTTAATAATAGAGCATTGACAACCTTGTTCCAACCGCTGCGGCAGCCGTTCCGTTGTGTGTTCTGCTTACAGCGCCACGGCTAGCTAGATAGGTACTTGCACGGTACCTGCCCACCATCCATCCCAGCGAACAAAAGTCGCCATTACATTAGGTCATTGTAGCGGTGGAGGGGCCTGAAAGGGGAAACTGATTGACACGGCGCAGAGCAGATCGAGCCTGGCCAAGGGAGCCGGGCTGGAAATAGAAGGGCCCAGAACAACGGCCGACATGCACCACGTTTGACCGGTCAAAGGACGATGTGCTTCGGTTCCGGCTTTCTGCTTTCTTCTCGTCTTCTTCTTTTCGTTCCCTCCAACTACCTCGTCTTCCTCACTCACCCACTCAACCCATCAGCGTCGTCTGACCCCCCAAAAGTCAGCGAGCAGTCGACGGACCTGCGATGACTTCTACCGCTGCACTGGTGTCCATGATTGTTACAGTTCCTCCTGTGACGTAGCGGCTTCGTCGTGCACGTACCACGCTTGTACCTCCGAATCGTATCCCGCCATGCTTGGACCGCCCACCATCACGTCATAGTGTTCCGGCCGGCGAGGTCCAGAACGTCTTTGCCTGACTTGGCTGGAGTTGGCCCAGCAAGAATTTCCCCTTCTATTCCCATTCTTACACTGTGCTTTCTTCAACACTTCACCCGAATAAGAAAGGGGGCGGCCGCAGCCTATCCTAAAATGGAGTTGGTGATTACCTAGTCTTGGCGCGCACCTGAACAAATCTTGCTTTTCTGGCCTTATTGTCTCGCCTGTAACGCCCTCCTTGGTTCCCGTGTAAGAGCTCGGCTTGCCAATGAATACCCGCCGAACGAACCTGGTACGACATTACACAAAAATCCGATAATGTGACCACCACCACCACACAACATAATCCTGGCAAAAGAGCCTCCTCCCCTATATCGACCGGAAATCCAATATCTAACTCTCCTGTGCGGTCTAGAACTTTTGCCAATGGCGTGCTATATCGAGCTTGCCACCCGTTTCGCGGGCCAAATCTCCCAGTGGTGGCGAGGCTTGAATTCTCCGCCCTTTTACCACCTTGCCATCTGCCCCTCCAAACCCGTAACTGGTAGTCATCGATGCCTGATGCAGAACCAGCCCGAGTATGCTTAACAGCTCTCAAGTAACACTCGGTCCGCCATGAAATCTCAGCCGGATATATGTACCATGCACAGCAGCCGCGGCGCTATGCACAGCAGCGCCGGACAGGGTATGCCGGCCTCCGAAGAGGGCTTGCCTGTTTCTCGTTCTCTCCCCTTGTGCCACGTTCCAGCGCCGACCGGCTCAGCTTCGCGTGGCTCTTGCATCCTGCAGGAGAACAACCACTCACTCAGACAACTTGTGGCCTTCCAGCTGGCATTGCAGCATGTAAATCACGGCCATCCCAAGCGCCGCGGCCGGGCTGCTGGCTGCATGACAAAAGCCACAACGCATCTGATGGTGCAGTAGTAATATCTTGAGGCGCCCAGTCACTGGATTCGCTTCACAACTCCGCTGTACAACCCCCCTTGGAAAATTGAAGCCGTTTCGGTGCGAGTCCCCTGATCACACACGGAGCACGCGTTCTGTCTCTCTGCCCCGCAGCTTCACCAGGCGAGAACGCAAGCTACACACATAGGAACGGGATGACATCACGGCGGCGCCGGCGGCGCAAGTCCAGACTCTTCCATTTCGCAGAGCCGCAGATGATTATCGATAGTTGGCCATTGTGCACCCACGGTCAAGTGTTACATTGCCACAACTTGTTTCCTGTCATTATTGCCACGACAAAAAGGCTGTGACAATATCGCATTGGCTGTGTGGGGAAGACTCAGACGTAGACAGGAAGCGAACAACGAGGACCCTTGATCGTCACATTACATGCGTGTTTCTTTGCATCTAATCCATCTTGGGACGTCTGACCCGGCTCCCCTTTCCCTGTAATCCGCTATCCGTCTGTAAATGGCCATCATTTTCCTTGTTGTTGCCTGCATGTTCCCCCATCCATCCCATCGGGGCTTTGTCCCGCTGTGCCGCAACTACTGCAACTTGCAAGCGACAACTTGGAACAGCGTTCAACTAAAATCCTACATCCAGTACTACGATGCAACTTGCTGGTCTCGAAGTGTCGATCGAAAGCTCTAGAATCCGGTCTCGTTCGCTTTATCCACTTGATTGCCCCCCCTCCATTATGGTTTCCTTGATTCGAGCCTTTACCCTTACCACTGGGGGCCACACAGTTAACCCGGCGGCCCCTACCTTCGAAGCCGTTCAATCCGGTTTACTGATTTCAGATAAATCAAAACCTATATCCAATGTGACAGATCTCTACCTGTCTCATCCCTGTCCTATTCGATTTATCGGTCGTGAGAATTCGTTCGCCCGTCAAGAGCGGCACATGGCAGCACCCACATTCTCACCGTTCAACCACAGGTGGTGATATCTCATCCTTTCCACCCGGATGCCAAATACAGCGACCGAAGACTGACCTGAGACAATCGCTGTTCCGGAGCCAACCATCTCAACAATTTCTTCTCGGGGGCTGGCTTCCAGATTTAATAAGGGGTTCAGCCAACTTTCGGGGCAGCCTTCGCAAACAAACATCCCATGACCCAAAACCCTGTGACTTCTACCCACCGCCTCCAACTCGCCAGTGTGTGGAGGGCGCACCACAACCCACCACAGCCACTCATCCAACAACCAAGGTCATCCAAAGCACCATTCTGTAAGTCTTGATCGAGCACTTTGCGCGTTCTACTTTCCAAGATTCAATACTATGAGACCAATACATCGTTTCTTATTAGTTTAGAAACCTCAACGTAGAAGACAACATTCCTTCGTCTTTGCAATTCCGTCGTAGTGTCACGTCACCCCCGCAAAGCCGTTGATGTTGGGTGGAACCGATTCCCCGACCTCGGGGTTGCACCGCCGCGCGCGCTCTAGCCCGCCAAATGAGAAGAAAACTTTGTTGAAGTTAAATAAAAAGGGCAGACGATGCCTCGTTGATTAAATCCTCTGATATTTGGGCATTTTTCAGTGCAGAATTTTGAAGCACCTCTTTGTTCGCGAGAAGCCCTTGGCAACCATGTCCCAGCCCGGCCCCGAAGCATCGGCCGAGGAGCGCCGGCAGGCCCGGAAGCCCATCCCCAAGCCGGTCCCAGCCTACCTGCCCACGGCCGGATCCCCGTTGACCGTCGACAAGCCCGCCTACGAGGCCATCCAGCGCGCGGACCGGGTGCTCCTCGAAGAGTTTACCATTCCCATCCGCTCCGGCCAGGCCTGGGAGGTGCCCCAAGGCTGCGTCGTGCGCATCACCACGCCCGAAGGGCCCCAAGTCGGTACGTCCACCCCCATGCATCCATCGCCCGGCCTCTGCCTCCTAACCTACGCCCAGGCGACCTCAACCTCTGGAACCGGCACAACCCGCGCGAGCGCTTCTGGGCGTCGCGCACGCGGCAGCTGCACGCGTCGCACGTCTCGACGCACGACCGGCTGTGGTCGTGCCTGCCGTACATGCGTCCCCTGGCGACGATCCTGCACGACGGCCTGGCGTGGTACGGCGAGGACGAGCACGGCGGGCGCGTGCACGACCTCCTCGGCACGCGCTGCGACCCCTACGTCAACGCGGTGCTGGCCGGCGCGGAGGCCAGCTACGACTTCCACTGCCACTCCAACCTGGTCCGCGCCGTGGCGCCGTTCGGCCTCGCCGAGGCGGACGTCCACGACGTCCTCAACATCTTCCAGGTCACCGGGCTGGACGACCGGGGAAGGTACTTTATGAACCCGTCGCCCGCGCAGAGGGGCGACGCGCTCGAGTTCCTGGCCGAGCAGGACCTCCTCATGGCGTTGAGTATGAAGAGCCCCATCCGTGTTGTCCTTTGCTCACCTTTTGTGCTTCCCGCGACTGCCGAGACGGTTCTTTGCTCACCTTTTGTGCTTCCCGCGACTGCCGAGACGGTTCTTATACCGGAGTATCATGCTAACTTTGTATAGGCACTTGCCCGGGTGGCGACTTGTCGGCTTGGGGATTCGGCAGTGACAGTGAGCAGGAAATGATCAAGTGCTGCCGCCCGCTCCACGTGCAGGTGTACAAGCTCAAGGATGAAGAGCTTCTTGAAAAGGTTGGCTGGAAGCCTGCTAAAGTGTCGCCGTATAAAGGAATGCACGGCGTCTTTTCGCCCATGGGAGAGTCCAGTCAACGCAAATAAACCCGCCGGAAATTTGTAATCGAGTCACTCAGTCAGTCATAGAAAGCCGGTTTGGGATTCTAATGGATCGCCCTGTTGATTATTGTTACAATAAGCTATCCTACCATCATCAAAGCTTGTACCATCGTGAAACCATGACCGCAACATCTCGTTTCCCTCGCACGCCAAGAACACAGTACCCAACTGCTTCCATTTATTTCCAAAGCTTTCCAAGTGACACTTCCTTGTCATCGTGCTTGTTGAGAATCTTGGCTGTGGCTAGCTCAAAGTCCTCTTGCGTAACGTGCACTCTGCGCTCACGAAGGGCGTACATGCCGGCCTCAGTGCACACACCCTTGAGCTCGGCGCCAGAGCAGCCGTTCATCTTCTCGGCAATCTTGGTCAGGTTGATGCCACGCGTCAGGTTCATCTTGCGGCTGTGAATGCGAAGAATATCGGCTCGGGCCTCCACGCTTGGGGGAGGGAACTCGATCTTGCGGTCGATACGGCCGGGTCTCAGGAGGGCGGGGTCGAGGATGTCGAGGCGGTTAGTGGCCATGATGATTTTGATGTTCTTTGTGGGCTCGAAGCCGTCGAGCTGGTTGAGCAGTTCCAGCATTGTTCTTTGGACTTCGGAGTCACCACCAGAGGAGCCCTCGACACGCGAAGAACCGATGGAGTCGATTTCATCCATAAAGATAATGGAAGGCGCGTGCTCACGCGCCATAATAAAGAGCTCACGGACCATGCGGCTACCCTCGCCAATATATTTTTGTACGAGCTCGGAACCGGAGACACGAATAAACTTGCACGCCGTGTGGTGGGCAACGGCTCGCGCCAGTAGTGTCTTGCCGGTACCAGGAGGGCCATAAAGCAGAACACCCTTGGGCTGTGCAATACCGAGCGACTCAAACAGTTCGGGGTGCTTGAGACCGAGTTCGATGACTTCCTTGATTTCCTTAATTTGTTGATCGAGGCCACCAATCATGTCGTATGTGCTGTCGGGGACCTTTTCGACCATCATGAGGGAGACGAGGGGGTCAACTGAGGATGGCAGCATCTTTTCGAGCTTGTAGCTATCGGAGAGGAGTGTAACGCGCTTGCCGGCGGTGAGCTTGGATACGTCGACGTTATCGGAAATGTCAACAACTAGGATTGGTGTCAGTATGCTTGAATCAATGCGTGCGCAGAGAGGATATGAAATATTCCATACCGTATTTGCCTTCGGGGTGCACCTTGACCAGGACCTTCTTAGTGCCCATAACCTTGACAACCTCGCCGACATAGGAACCCGGCTGTTGCAGCAGCCCAAGCTCTTCTCTCAGTAAGCGCACGCGCGAGTTGTAGTCATTGCGCTGCGCTTCGAGACGTCGAAGAGCGCCCTGACCCTTGAGGATCTCGAGCTTCATCGCCTCGATCTTGTTGTGATAGTATTCGTCGAGCGCCATGGTGACCTGGGGCCGCTAGGCAGTGTGAGGACGCGCGGAAGGCAGGATGCGGGATGCGGTGGAGAATAACAGGACCAATTCGCGTAGCAGTGTGTCGCTGTATTTCGAGAAGGCTGGCAAAAGCGGTGCGGTCGCAAACGTGGGTGCTGGATGCTGAGATGCTGAATGTGGACGGACGGTTGGCGAAGCTTGGTGGCAGCAAGGCTACAGCTCTCTCGTAAGCCGCACACAAATAGTTGGCGCAGTGCGTGGCAGCGAGTTGCCTTGTCTGCGCAGCGACACGGAAAATATGTTTTGCCGAACTCCCGGGGAAGGTGATGGTTGAGCTAGCGGGAAGCTTTAGTGGCATGTTTAGCGGGCAGAAGCGCTGGAGAACGCTATTGCCGGGAACTGGGGGACCATTGTGCGCTGAGACGGCCTGCACGACGATCGCATGCATTCACACGATCTTAGATAGACATTAGTCTGGATGCAGAGCTTGGCATCACAATATCATATCTTGGCTGTGTTTGTCTCAATGAAACGAGGTCTGTCAAACGAAAAAAAACTGCATTAAATAGCTACAGACCATCAGGTTCTGTTGGAGCAACAGCACCTACCCTAGCATTCCATGCGCCACAACAACATCCCGCACAGGAGGCATCAAGCAGTGGCCAAGGGCCCTTCAAAACCTTTCCTTGGATGAGCAGGGTAACCCATCTCTTTCGACTCCCGCTTGCAGCGTTGTCATATCCTGTGTCGCATGGCGTCCTGCGTAGGTTGTATTGCGTCTGCGCCAAGCGGCACGAGGCCATGGTCGAGATGACCAGCATGCACATGTCATCCTTGGCTATGGAGGCGCTGAAAAGTAATAAGAGGAGGACAGGCATTGGGCTTTGCTCCTGGGTCCTTGTTTGCCTGTCATCCTCTTCGTATTTATTCATCATAAAAAAAGTGTCGCCCTCGTCCGCAGCCATTCCTCCTCAAGGGGCAAGCGCCGCCCTTTTATTTAGGTTCAGAGTCGCCGCCGTAGCCGAAGCTCTCTGCCTTCTGCACTTGATAAACAACAGCTACCCACAGCATCTGTAGGCGAATAAGCTTATCCAGACTTGCTCCTCCCGTCTCTCTTGGATCATTTCAATACATCATCTATCCTTATCCTGGCTGCCTACTACTTACAGCCTACATAGCATCCTGACCTTGTTATCACCAGGCCAGGCCTCCCTGGTCATACCACTCCACCTGGGCTACCAACTAGCTTCGTTTGTCGCGCCACGGTGCCCAGCTACTCCAGCTCCTTCAGTTCTTACCTTTCTGCCTCAGCTTCTTGGTCCTTAGGATCTCATCTTTTCTTCGGCTTCAGGCTTCGCGACTGCATATTGTCTCGTGCCTTGCCGCGGCCTGCTGTGTTGACAAAGCTCAACAGCATCCGCCGTCATGGACGACGACCGCGACGCCCGACGGAGGTCCAGCGCGACCTCGCCCATGAGTCGTCGTACTACCGCCGCCGCCGAGTCTTCGACGGCCCGCGATGGTGATGGACTTTCCGAGAGTTTCCAGTCCACTGACACCGTTAGGAGGCGGCCTGAGAGCTCATACGGTCAGTCTGACGCTATTCATCCCTCCCTTGGCTACTGACCTCTAACGTCTCCTAGGCACCATGACCAACACCCCAGAAACCCAGCCATCCGCTCAGGATCCGCCGCAGACTCCTCGTCAGTCGCAGCCCAGCCGACCGGCCGCCAGCGACCGTACAAAGTCGTTTCCACGTCCGCGAAAGCCGCCTCTGTCGAGACGCCCATCCTCGAACACTCCCCATCGCCGCAGTGTCTTTTCCGCCCATGACGACCCCCACGAGGTCGAAGCAGATGCTGCTGAGCGAGGATACACCTCCAGGCGCCGACAACCACCCCCAATCACACTATCTCGCGTGCAGTCGCAACGAAACGAGTCCACGCCAGATAAGGAAACGAGCGCTGCTAGCACCCGCCCGAGCTCCATCAAGGGCAATGGGGAAGACGACATTGACGAGACTGACGAGCACGAGCACGAAGAACTTGTTCTTGAGGAACATGTCGACTGTGACTCCGACGGCGACATCAGCGAAGCCGAGAGCTTCACGCTCAAGGACCGCCAGCAAGCCATCAACCAGACCCATCCCTTTGGTATCAGGGTCTGGAAGCCTGCTCTGTATAAAAAGGACCGTTCTATTCAAAAGTCGGCTGAAGGCGATATTCACTCATCCCCAGGTGGAAACGTCAACAAATGGCTCGTTTTGTTCAACTTGATTTGGACTCTCTGCTTTGGTTGGTGGATGGCCCTTTTTGCTGCGTTTGGCGCCATCATGTGCCTGCTCTTCGCTGCGGCTCCCAGCGGCAGAGAGTATGGCCGTGTTCTTTGGGGTCTTGCTGGCTATCTCTTTTATCCTTTTGGCAAGTATGTCCGTCTGGAGAAAGATGAGCAGTACATGCACGAAGACGCGGATGAGGGCCGCAGCATCTCCGAATATGAGCAGTGGCAATCTGGCGATCTGGAGTATGGTCGACTTTTTTTCGGACCCGACCGCACTCGATCCATTGTTGGACGCTCGCGAAGCAGCATTGACTCAGAACGTGACGAAACTGACAGCCTGCTTGGCCGCGGAAGACGCTCGGACAACCCGAACAACGCACGAATGAAGCGACGACTGTTTGGCCGAGGAGAATGGAACATTGGTCGTGTCATCTTCTTTCTCTTCTTCTACTGCCTCATCTCGCCGTCTCTTATTGTTGTCTCGTTGGTTTGCTGGTTCCTCGTCTTTTGGATTCCCATGGGCAAGGTAACTATGCTGCTTTTTGATCACCTGCGCCGCCACCCCCTTGCGCTTTCGTTTGAGTCGCATCTGGATTATGCAAGGTCGACTGATGGTTCTGATTCATCTATCCTCCTCTGCACTTACCGCGCTGTAGGTATCAAGTACTGGAAGTACACCATCGATGGAACAAACGTCTTCCTTATCAATCTCATGGCCGTGGTGTTTTTCGTCATCTTTGACTGGGCTGTGCTGGATCGAATGCTGCATTTGAAATCGTTCATCACTAGCCCTGCGTTTCTTTTCATTGCTGGCCTTGTCTCCATCATCCCTCTTGCGTACTTCATTGGTCAAGCCGTCGCTTCCATTTCGGCACAATCCTCCATGGGGCTTGGTGCCGCTATCAACGCTTTCTTCGCGACTGTGGTGGAAGTATTTCTGTACTGTGTTGCTCTAGGCCAAGGCAAAGCTCAGCTCGTGGAAGGAAGTATTGTGGGCAGCATCTTTGCCGGTATTCTCTTCCTCCCAGGACTGTCAATGTGCTTTGGTGCTTTGAAGCGCAAAACGCAACGATTCAATGCCAAGTCGGCAGGTGTGACATCGACAATGTTGCTCTTTGCCGTTGTCGGCGCTTTTGGCCCGACCCTTTTCTACCAAATCTATGGCACACATGAACTGCAGTGCCTCGGCTGCGAAGACTTTGGGGAGATTGGTGGCCGCCCCGAGGGACGCGACTGTCGTCGATGCTATTTTTCACAGACGCCGGCTCTCGACGATCGATTCTATCTCGAAGCTGTCCGACCGTACTGCTACATGGCAGCCTTTATGCTTTTCTTTTCGTATCTTATCGGCCTCTGGTTCACCCTTCGTACGCACGCCGCCGTTATCTGGAACTACGAGGTCGAGGAGAAACGTCAAGAGGAGCAACTGCACGCGTCCTCGGTTTTGAGAGCCTCACAGCCCTCTGCAGCCGAAACAAGCAGTACAGACATTCGGGATACGCACCTATACAAGCGAATCCTAGGCCAGTCCTTGAAGCAAGTTGGTCTTCCAACTCAAGAACCCAGTCGTCAGCCTTCTGCTAGCGGCCCTGACGCTGCAGCAAACGGGGCGCCCAGCACCCTGCACTTTGTGCCACCCAAAAGCGCTGGCGCCGAGGGCCGCTCATTGGGAAAAGCAACCGCTGGTCTTGGCCAAGGAGACAACTCGGCCCTCGTGCGCGAGGTTGCGGAGATTGCCGCGACTGCTGCTACCATCGCTTCGCGGGACCGCCATCACAGCCGAAAGCCGTCTTTTATTCCACAATCGACAAAACATACGGCATCTCGTGCCGGGGTCTTTGATGAGGACCCTGCCGGGCATGGCGCTGCTGGTCACGGCGGCCACGATGCTCCAAATTGGGGCCGTGGCAAGAGTTCATTTATTCTCTTGTCCGCCACCATTCTCTATGCTATTATTGCTGAGATTCTCGTTGACACGGTCGACGTCGTTTTGGAGAATTTCTCGATTGATCAAAAGTTTTTGGGCATTACGCTTTTCGCATTGGTGCCAAACACGACAGAGTTTCTGGTAAGCTTGAGTCTTGACTAATTGATTGAAACAAGATACTAACATGTGCGCAGAACGCTATTTCGTTTGCTATGAACGGCAACATTGCGCTGTCGATGGAGATTGGCTCTGCCTACGCCCTCCAAGTTTGCCTGCTTCAGATCCCCGCGCTTGTTCTATACTCGGCACTGTACCCCTACAGCGGTCCGGCGGGCAGCGACAGCAGCGAAGCGTCCATGTACACATTTTCGCTCTTGTTCCCGCAGTGGGACATGGTGACTGTGATCCTCTGTGTGTTCTTGCTCAGCTACGTCTATGGCGAAGGCAAGAGCAACTACTTCAAGGGCAGTATCCTGATCCTCACGTACCTGGTGGTGGTGATTGGGTACTACTTTAGCGGGTTCACGTCGGATGTATTGGGCACGGAGCGATTTGATGTGATGGGTGCGAACGGACAGTACACATCGTTCAAGACGATTGGACGCACGACGAAGGGACGCGCATACTAGAACTGCAAGGTTCTTTTTCTTTGGAAGCATTGTATTTTTCCTATTTCCTAGCACGAAGCGCACCGTCCAGCATGTTTAGGTTAACGCGGATAACGGGCGTAATTAATGTTTGTATTGGCAAATTGATGGTACACCTATGTTGGATCGGCGTGGGAGTTGTGATTGAGTTGTGACTGAAATTTGATATATGCTACAGGAGTGTTGTAACTGTCTGTGTCTGGCTTTCTCAGCGTCAAGCATGAGATTGCCATGATCGGAAGCTACGCCATGGTACGGCATCGTGGGCACTTTCTCGGACTCTCTTCAATGCTGAAATATTGCTTAAGATGTAAATGAAATGCCAAAAATGCAATGATTGCCCACAAGGACGCCTAAACACCAGTACCCAATTCTCATTCTACCATGACATACTCTTGGACTGCGCCTTCTCAAAGGCGGCCGCGAAACTCAAGCTGCTGCTTCTTGTACGATGCCGCCGCAGCCTTTGCGTGGCCGCGCTGCTCAGCGTCGTCCATGACCCATTGCTTCAAATCATGATCCCACCGGTGACTTGACAAAGGTCTCTGTTAGCAAGGGGTCTTCCCAACCAACGGTCAGGCCAGGGCGGACAGGAAATGAACTCACTATTGATGCGACTCCTTGATCATGGAGCTGCGGGAGTACTCGTCGCCGATTATCTTCTCGAAGCTGTGCGGGATCCTCGCCTTGACGCCCTCAAACTCCGTCTCGCGCAGCGGCCAGATGTCCTGCGCGTAGTACCTGTGATCATTCTTACAGCTCCACACTCCGGGCTGCCTCTCCGCCGCGCGCTCCCTGATCACCGTTATGTCCACAAACATGCCATTGTCCACGTCGATCCACCTCCCGTCAATGATGTTCGAGCCGCCGCGCGACCTTCGCTCCTCCCAGTGCGGATTTATGTCGAGATGATACGACCGCGTCGTCCCTTCCTTGTCAAAGGTGACGTCGTGCCGGGTGCCGTTGAGGTTGGCGGCCAGCCAGGCCATGGTCGCGTCGGTGACCTGCACGTCCAGGTCGTAGTCCCAGGGCATGACGCGCGCCCCCCACCACCAGCCGAGCAGCGTGCCGTGGGCGAGCCAGGTCTCGACGCCGGCGGCGCGCGTGGTCTCGAGGTAGGCGCGGATAAGGTCGCGCAGGACGGAGGGGCGCTCGGCGTAGGGGACTTCCCCGGAGGAGGGGAAGAAGCGCACGTCGTAGTGCATGCGTGCGAGGGAGCCGCCGGGCTCGTGGAAGTATTTGGGCGCGGGGGGCGCGGCGGCGGCGGCGAGCTCGGAGGCGGGGAGGGCGGTGGTGGGACGGGGAGGAGGAGGAGCCGGAGGCGGCATGGCGGCGGCGGGGGAGGGCGAGGAGGTGGCGAGGAGAAGAAGGGCGGCGGCCTGCCGGAGGTGATTGAGGAAGAGGACCATGGCGTTGATGTCGGGGAAGGAAAGGGCGAGGCCCTTGCGGTGGTTTCGGCCGGTGTGGCCAGCCGCCGTTTGCGAGGCTCGCAGAATGTAGATGTTCCGGTACCGAGTAGCGTGCGACGCTAAAAGAAACAACTGTCGTGTGTCGACGAAGCGCGCGCGATTGAATGTCTGGGGAAGGATGGAATGCGACAGTAGCGGTGGGTAACGGGCAGGCAGACTCTCGTTTGACGTATTCGTGTGTATTGGCAATGTCTCGATTATATCCGTCAACTCAAGTCAATGTTGAACAAGAAGAGAAAAGTCGCAACCATCGGCCAGGGGTCGATGGGGATTTCAGATGAGGAATCCAGCCGCGTGTCCCCCATGTTCTTTCTATTTTAACTTTCCTCTTCTCGTTAGGCTTTTTGGCTGAACATCACGCGCCATACTCCACTGGGCGTCGTCATCGCGGCACGAGCGATAGCCAAGTCGAGTAGGTGAGCTCCAGTAACAGAGCTAAGAGTGGTCGAGTACGGCTGTTTCGGCCGTTTCGTGGCGTCGGCTTCACTGGTTACGAAATGTCTTGACGTAAGGAAGCCATCGATACATGTTCAATTTCTGAGGGCCACACTATCTTCCGGATGTGGAGGTGATAACTATGGATGCTACTTGAGTAGACTCTTCGCATGATATCGCATGCCAGAAAGATATAAATATATGCAGGTTAATAAATAGAAAAATACCCCTACTTCTCCACCACCTCCACAACACCATGCGACAAGTCAACAAAGACATCCGCATCCTCAATCGTCTCCAGTCGATGCGCAATCATCAAAATCGTACACCCAGCAAACGCCTCCTTGAAGAACCCCTGCGCGTTGGCGTCCGACTTCACGTCCACGTGGCTCGTCGCCTCGTCCATGAGAACCAGCCTCCCCTTGATCCTCCGCTGTCGGAGGATCGCCCGCGCGATGGAGAACAGCTGCAGCTGGCCGTGCGACAGCCTGACCTTGTCCGTCGCCTCCTCTAGGCCGCCCTGCTTCGCGATCGCCTCCCAAATGCCGAGCCGCTCCAGCACCGTCTGGATCTCGGCATCTTCCTTCCCCTTGGCGTCGGATCGACCGAGATCGAAGGGAACGAGGCTGCTGCGGACGGACCCCCCGAAATCCAGGTTCTCCTGCGAGACGGTGGTGATGCGGGCACGCAGCTCATCCACGGGAATGGTCGAGATGTCGACGCCGTCAATCTGAACTGTGCCGCTGTACTCTAAGAACCCAAGCAGGGTAAGAAACAAGGAGCTTTTCCCGCTGTTGCAGAGTTAGTCTACTTTGCTAGTTGGTCGTAATAGGAAGGCAGACTGACCTTCCTGTCCTGCCAGTGATTCCGACTTTTGTCCCTGGAACGACGACCAGAGACACATCCTTGAGCACCGGGGGCGCCTCATTGCTGCTGTTCATTAGCAACGCGGGGTCTACACAAAGCAAGACAAGAGCACAAACCTGTAAGCCGCCGTCACGTTATTCAACTCTAACCTGCCATGCTCCGGCCAATTTGGCGGCAGATGTCTGGTTGGGACTCGGGGCTCCACGGGCGTGTGGTCCAAGAACTCACGCAGGCGAGACAGCGCTCCGACGGACGTCTCAAGGCCAACCCAGGCTTGGATGAAGAATCCAAGAGCCAAGCCAAACCAGACAAGATTCAGAAATGAAAGCCCAATGGCCGGTGCTGAGGTTGTGTGACTGAACTTGAGCGCAAATGCGGTGACAGTCGTGCCGATCGCGCAGGCTAACAGGTCCAAGTAGAAGCTCAACCAGCGCTGAATGGCGCTCATCGCATAGTATGGCTTCTGCGACACGTTTAGGAATTGTAAGCTTCTCTCGAAATTGTCAGACTCTCGCCCAAACGCGCGGATGTGTCGGAGTCCGCTGGCCGTCTCCCCAAAGTGCGTGTAGAGCGGCGTCTTATGTTCAAGATCGAGGTGACGCATCTGGCGAGATGTCCGCAGGTAAAAATATTGCAAGAACCATATAAATATGAACATGAAGGGGAGGATCGCCGTTGAGTACGTGGCGCCGGCAAGGATGATGCCAAACATGATTAGAATATGGAACAGCATGTATACAAACGTGAAGAAGGAAGAGGGCAAGACTTGGCTGACGAGATTCATGTCCTGACTGAAGCGATTCAGGATGAACCCAGAGTCGGCAGAGGCAAAGTACGAAATTTTGGAGCGCATCACCGTATCGGCCAGCTTCTCGTGCAAGCCTGCCGCTGAGCGCGGAGCAAGGGTACGGTAGAGGATTCTGCATACCGTCAGTAATGCAACCTGGGAGTCATGAGAATGCAGTTGATAGACTCACACAAAGCTCCAAAAGGAGGCAAATGTACCGCCGACAGCAATTCCGACGTAGCCAATGTAATACAGAGCGTTACTCGGCGCATTCGTCACCCACACGCGCATGTATACACCTACTAGACCGTTAGCAGAAGTAACAAAAAGAGGCGAGATTTACCCACCAGTCATACTCTCCCCCAATGATACACAAATCACAACGAGAATCCACGGCCAAAACATCCACTTCCCAATGGAGTTGATAAAGAGCGCGTAAAGACTCATATCTTGCCTCCGCCGCGAATTGAGGAGCTCCAGCTCCGCGTCACTCATTTCCTTCTTCGGCTTCACCGGCTGAAAGTCAGACTCGGCCTTTTCGTCCTCGCTGGTCATCTGCGAGCTTAGCTCCTCGATTCGTGAGTGGAGAGAAGCGCTGTGAGAATTGGTTTCCAAGGTGACGCCGCCGTCGCCATCGAGGAGGAGGACGTGGTCGGCAATGTCGAGGCATTCTGGGAGATATGTCGAGAGCACTACAGTTGTACCAGCCTTTCGAAACAGGCCGTCCTTTCCACAGAGGTGGAACAGCACAGCGACGGCCGTTTTTCTGTCCAAGGCACTGAAAATGTCATCGAGAATGACAAGCTTCGCTTCACAATATGCTGCTCGTGCTGCCGCAATTCTGTGTCTCTGCCCGCCGCTCAAGCTCATGCCATTTGTCCCTGCCATGTAGCCATCGCCACCTGGGAGGTGCCGAAAATCTTCTTCAAGCATGCAGGCCTGGATAACTCTATCGTAGCGCTCGCGGTTAAATGGCAAATTACCAATGATGTTGTCGCGGATTGACGTGTTCTGTATCCATGGCGTCTGATCTGCAAAGCCAATGACCTTTTCTTCAACAGAAATGGAGCCGCCAAAAAGTTTCACCTCGCCTAGGAAGCTCTGTAGCAGAGTAGACTTTCCGGAGCCGCTTGTGCCAATTGTCACGGTGATGCTGGATTTCGGGATTGCAAAACCGGCTTTGCGCAGCACGGGCTCTTCAGCGCCGTCTGGAGCGATGGAAGCAGCAGACAGCCGAATGGCGTACTCTTGGATGTCCGCAGCCTTTTCCTGGGCGGGCGAAATTTGATCAGACTCTGGCGATGCTTGGTCTGTGGCTCGGGGATCCTCGCTTTCCGGTAGGCAGAGGTATCCCTGAACGCGACCGAGGCATGCGAACAGCTGCGAGAGGTTGGCGTAGGCCTTCAAGAGGTCCGATAATGGATTTTGGCTCAACGCGACGATGGAAAGGCACGGGAAGATTCTCTCAGCCGGGAGCGCTTGGTACGGCGCGCTTCCCCCGAAAGAGGTCCAGAACAGGCCGACGGCAACAATCAACAGCTGTGGAAGCAGTGCCGTGAGGATGGCGGCACCCATGAGAATTGCAGTAAAGATACGGTACCTCTTGGAGTAGTCGATGTCGATCCGGCGAAGGCGCTGCAGGTATGCAGTCGCCGTCGGACCAAGCCCGAGCATCTTTATGACACGCAGCTGAGAAAGGATCTTGGAGGTCTCGGCCATGCGGAATTCCACCTTTCCGTTCCACGTCGCCAACGCAGAGCCAGACTTGGAACCGAGATAGAGGCCAAACAGCGTCGAGAAGGCCAGGGGGAAGAGGACGACAAAGCAGGCCTGGCCCACGAAGAAGGAGAGGAAGTAGGTAGACATGCCGACCTCGATGATGGCGATGGGGATGCTGTACAGCGCACCGATCCCCGTCGCGATGCTCTCCATGTCGGTGCTCATCAGCGTCATCGCCGCCGACTTCTTGGCTTCGGATTGCGAGATCCGATGGCACTTGTCCAGCATCTCGGCCACGAGGACGCCTCGCACCCGCGTCGTCAGCCGGTTGTTCAGCTGCTGAAAGGCGCCCCGGCTGAGCCCAATGCCGGTCAGCGCGAGCACCGTGGCCCCAATGAGCGAGTCCTGAACGTGTTGCTGCTGTGAGTGCTCTCGACCGACGCCGGCGCTGATCACGTCGGTCATGCGCAGCAGCAGGAAAGGCAGGGAAAAGGAGCATCCCGTAAAGGCCAGGCGCGCGACGAAGCAGTAGAGCAGGTATGTCCACATCTGGCTGAGTAGGGCTCTCGCGAGGCGCAAGGTCCCGGGCTTGTCCTCCCACGCCGCCCGCCATCGCGGGTGGAAGCATTCGAAGAGAGCGCGGGAAGAAAACTCGACGCCAATCTCGGTGATGTCGTCAATCGAAATGGTCTGGCGATAGCCCTTCCACACGAGGAGGTTGAGCCAGAAAAAGAGCGATCGCGTCCAGAAGCCGGCTGAGGCTTCTTTGCCGGTGAGCTCGCGCAAGTCGTCTTCGATGATGAGACTGGTCCGTGGAACCTCTCCTAGAACGGCAATGGTGAGTCGGAGCGTCGCCGCGGCGGCGGCGAGGCCGCCGAGAGCGTCAAGGCCGGAGCGGAGGAAGTACGAGCGGCACTTGGCAATCTCTAGCAAGAAAGTGACGCTCAAATATAGGCCAAGGAAGGCCGATTCCCGCAGCGCTCGGCCGTGCTCTACGAACAAGAGCAACGTCAAGGCGAGCGAGGCCACCATGTCGAGCGACGCGGCCGGGATGGATGCAGAGGTGCGGTATTCGGATCTTGGGCTCCGTACAGCCAAGCTTGCTATCTCAATTGCGACAAGAATACATGCGGATGCCTATACGCAATGCCTCGGTTTAGCAGTCGTCCGGCTCAAAGCGGAGGGCGGTCACTAACAAGCTTGAGCCAGAGCAAACGGCCATTGCGAACGACGGTAGGCTTGCGCAAGTAGTACAACGTTATACACGCAATGAAAACGATTGCTATTCCCGACGGCGCAATGGTAAAGATGGACTCCTCAAACTTGAGAGTAAAGTCAAAGATGCTGGCGATTGGGGGCCAAAAGGTTTGATCCGCAAGCTCGGACGCCATTGTGCCTTTCACCAGGAGGAGGAAACACACAAGTTCGCCAAGCTCGACGTTCAAGCCGCCCCGAGCTACTGACGACGGGCGTGATGTGAAGCCTTGGGTTTATGAGGCTGGCGAGGAGAGCAGCCGAGCATTAGCTCCAGTTCAGCCAAACAGTCGGGGGAAAGAGAAAGAGAAATGAACCAGCAGTCACCTGCGAATGACAACCTTTATCAATGGACCCCAATAAGGCTGTAGATGGAGCGCCGTACCAACCAACGAATTATTAGCACCAGCACAGATAGCTGGCCTGGCCCGGGAAACCAGGATCGGATCTGGGCAGGGAAGAGGTTGGTGTAAAGTATCGAGATGCCGATAGGTGCACATCTGATTTGATAGTCTGTAGGGATACCAAGTATGCGTACTCTCCCTGTGTCTTCGTCTCTGTATATCGTAGAGGTCTGGTCTTTTACTTTCCCCTCGAGCGGCTCGAAATACGAATAAGCGCAGCCTGATTTGCTTGAGCTGCCACCAGCGAGCCTCGTCCGCCGAAAAAGCGTTATTGGTGCCATCCCAGCGTTGCAGTGCATTGAACGTACCACTGCCGTTAACTCGTTCAGGATCCCTTGCCTCACAGATACATAGTGGCGTTTTCTGGCTTCCCACCCGCCGCCGTGCTCTCCTCCGGAGAGACTAGCATCGTGCTCCCCTCGCAGCCTTATTGTTGCCAACGCTCCAATATCTGGATAGGTACGCGCCCTGGCCGCTGCAGGGCGTCTAGCTTCGGTGTGTTCATCATCAATCCGCTGCCTTTCTTAATCAAGTAGACTGAGATTGTCGAAATGAGTGATGCAGGGCATTTTGCGCAGCCAGCTCTCGTCGTTTGTTCGGTAGCACGTATTTGTAGGTACATAGGTGTGGTATTGCGAGTCCGCTAATCTCTAGGCCCTCATCTCGGAGTCGATCGCGAACCTGAGTCTTGGCCAACGCCCATATCTGATGGCCACTTGATTTCGTTTGGCGTGGATGATGTATGATGGAAAATGGATGGTGGGACGCACTGGCTGGAGGTAGGCCGTACACTGCAAGCACATACATACATAGGTACATACATACGTTCCACGAGACAACCACTTATACACGCATTACAGGTCCCTTCTTATCTCGCTAAATATTTTCTTTTTATTTCTTGATCTAATAGATGGCCACTATAGAAGCAAAAGTGGAAACTAATTCTTTCTGTACTCACTGCTGAGTACATCTGCTCTTACAAATACTGAAATGCTTCGCGCGTAACCGTTGGGCTCAGGGTCTCTACCCCATCCCAGCGGACGAAAGCCTAATCATTCCGCCACCAACTCACTGACAAGTCTGTACATCCTTACAAATCCGCCATCCATTTACCTTCAACTGGCTGCATTATTATTCATAAATCGTCTTGTCCTACTGCATCGATTTTTAACAACTCAACTTCACCCTCCTGCTTGGATTACGGGAATCTTTGACACAACCACATGCAGAACGCGACATAGAACACATTACAACCCCCCGCGTACACAGGCCCAATTGCCAATCGCCATCCTGCAACCGCCCAAGGAACACACCCAATGCCAGACGTGCATCCCCCGAGCTCGCAGTCCCCCGCCGCCTCCGTCGCCGCAAGCCAGGGCGACGGCAAGCAGCACCTGCTCCTCGCCGCCAGCGGCTCCGTCGCCACCATCAAGCTCCCGCTCATCATCGCCGCCCTCGCCCCCCGCGCGCGTCTCTCCATCCGCGTCATCCTCACCAAGTCCGCCAGGCACTTCCTCGCCGGCCAGGCCGCCGAGCAGCCCGACCTAGCCGCCATATCTAGCCTACCCAACGTCGACGGCCTGTACGTGGACGACGACGAGTGGACGGCGCCCGGCTGGACCCGCGGCGCCAGCATCCTGCACATCGAGCTGCGCCGCTGGGCGGACGTGCTCTTCGTCGTCCCGCTCTCAGCCAACCTGCTCGCCCGCGTCGCCGCCGGCATGTGCGACGACCTGCTCTCAAGCGTCATCCGCGCGTGGGACACTCGCCGCGCGGCCATCGTGGTGGCTCCGTCGATGAACACTTTGATGTGGGAGCATCCGCTGACGGAACAGCACTTGGCGGTTTTGCGGTCGTGGTCGTGGTTTCACGTGCTATTGCCGCAGGCAAAGGAGCTTGCGTGCGGCGATGTTGGACAGGGCGCGATGCGTGAATGGAAAGACATTGTTGTTGATATTGAGCAAAGTCTTGATGAACTTGCTACTTGAAAATCAAGCATTCAATCTGTAAAAATACGTGCCAATCTTTTAATGTAATTTAATAAGCCCATCTTATCAGAAGGATTCATGTGTTGAATTACCTGCACCATGCCAGTGTGTGCAGTCAGCTCGATGTCCTTGTAGAAAACCCTCCAAGGAAACGACTGTGATGCACGGAAGCAACTGTAAAAGTGGATTATATATCTATCGAAAAGTATCAGAGTGCAGAGTAAAATATCTTCCAATGGCCGTCCCTCCCACCAAGGCTTTCTGGCATGAGTCGTCGGTTGCTATGCTGAGGTTGAGGCTGTGACGATCCTTACAGCTCGAAGTCATGGCTTGCACTTGCGCTGCTTCTCCTATACTCGATAAAGCAGTATTCGAAAATTGATGAATTTCTAATTAATACATCAACAGATAATATCGCCGCTTTCTCTAACGAGGGTCTGCTGAATGATCGCAAGCCGTCTGTCTGTGGCGAGAGTCCTAAAGACTTTGGTATGTATAATCCTCTATAGTTGGTAGAGACTTTGCTAATTATTATCTTTAGTCCTTAATTCACATCAGCATCTATTGCTCTTTGGTTTAATTTAGCAGAGCTCCTGATGAGATCTGACCTCTATGCGATGCTCGGGCAGCGCGGTGGACAGTAGTGGGAAGCAAGTGGGTGTAAGCGGGAATAGATTCGGCAAACGAGGTTACTCTAATTCGAGAGCAGCTTGATAATAGTCTGAAAAGTTAATGTAGGGCACCATCGTAACTGCATTGTCTCATCGCCTTGCGAAGTAGAACTGCGGGCTATGTTCACGAGCCGCACACGCCATAGCTGGGAGTCAAGCATTACGGCGTACTTGGAAGTTCCAATTCCCAACGTTCTGCCACCTTTTAATAACCTTGAATCAATTCATACTATGATGTGCTGCAAATTTAAGGAATTAATTTACCGTACAGAGTATGACTTGTAACTAGTAGGTTGTGAGCCGAGTCAGAATCTGGGCGCAGCAGATGGCTGAGTGGCCTTGAAGAGCACCACTGGTACTCGGGGAAACGATTTCTATTTATGACCTGCTGTTTGGAAATTATGGTAATCTGCAGAGGATATAATGCCATCGGAATAAAATCTTTGGTGTGGATGTAGTAGAAGACGACGCCTCGGCACTCAACGGCCGACGCAAGTCCAGCTGAACTTGGTAGCCTTGCGAGGAACAATACACGGCCAGAGCACTACTCACTGTCAAGTATCAATACCATTTCGAGCAGAAGTAATCGGTGCACTGAAATTGGGAGTTTAGAAATTTACGGACGCCAGGAGGTCTGGATAAAACGATGGCAGCTGCTCGCCGACACCAGCCAATGAATGGTAACACAGCAAAGTCGCAGCGTGTAAATCCCGACAGGGAATAACATATGTTCGTCAATACGAAGTGGTTGGAAGAATTATCAACCCAACCCCATGGATAAGACACCGAAACTTACTCAATGCCCACGCAGAGTCCCATCACCACGTGTTTTAGGGAATATTCTTGTAAGTGGAGGGCCAAAAACACACGTGCGAACCCTCATGAGTACGACAAGTGCGCCAATGTCCGCCTGTATCCAGAGCAATCCACGGAGCTGCAGATAGCAAGCACTCTTGTCCACAACGCTTCCGCCCCAGGGGGACACACGTGTGCTCGCCTGTTCCTTTGCGACGCCCAGCGGAAGTGGCTGTACGAAGTAAGCCGACTTGCTAATTTAGGATAGAGCGGAAGCACTGTGGACATTGTTAAATTGTGCGCGGGCTTAAAATCATTCTTAGCGGTCCTTCTTCTGTGGCCCTCCATGTACGAGTAACTTGCTCCTAACTATTAAGCTAAACTTGTGATAAACAATTCGACAAAGTTCCCTATTGGGCTTGGCACCGCATCTACGCACCTTCAGCCCTTTTATACTTCGTAATCATTATCTAGTAATCTGTGGCGGATGCCTCGCTCCACAGTGGCACAGAGCGCGCGCATTACAACACAAAAATTAGTATCGGTGTTATGCCGTTGGACGTAGAGTATGTATGGCTGGGCTATCAATAGATGTCGGCGCCCTGGAAACTCTGGGATACTACTGCACCACTTCGCTCGCATGTCTAACTTATCCAGCCCCAGAGCAGTTCCACAGCCGTCAGCCCTTGACTCATGAAGCCAATTGCTCGACTTCGGGGCAGCTCGGTCGCCTTTTTCGGCCTCTTCCTAAACCAGGGCTGACGATTCGCCAGACATGTTGATGAATCTGCCGGCTCGGACCTCCCACTGCGACAATTGCCCATTAATCATGGCGCTGCATCGTTAGAGGGGAAGAACTACATATGCAAGCCAGAGCCGGGGTCAACTCCACAAAGCACCGTCCCCCCTCCCGGCGCGCGCTCCCCCAGACCTGTCTTGAGAGGTTCCCCTCACCGTCGCCAGCTGAGTCTGAGCTGCCTGATTTGGCCGTCGCAGGTGGTGTGCGAAGCGATCAAGTTGCAGTGGCTCAGGGCTGTAGGTGAGGCAACGACCTTCGGTTGTAACGTCGTTTTTGAAACTTCCCCGCCACATCTTGCAGCATTTTGGCAAGCCGATTCTTTTAACAGCAGCGTATGCGAGACGATCACTTTCCGGGTGAAGAGCCGACGGAATCAGGATTCCATGCTTCCCCGACTGAGGCGAAGCTAAAGAGTCCATGTTTGCGGTTTGCCTGTGTGGCCATCGGGGCTGGGGTAAATAGGAACGGAAGGAATCACCCCGTGCTGCGACATGACATGGTGGGACAGTTTGCATTGCATTCTGCATTGCGCCGTACAGGTTGAGAGTGTGAGCCACAGAACTTTTGGGGAAAGCTCGTGCTTTTGCGCGGAAAAGCGACGCATAGAGTCCGGGCTTTTTCGCCTGTGCTCCTGGGTATGGTATGATGATGAGCCCAGCACTCTCATCCTGGCATATAGGCATCCCACGGCCATTAACAATTAGCAATACATATGTGCCTTTTACAAACAGTAATCTTGGCCGTCAGTCGGCTGCAAATTGGCCTGGCACTTGCTTGGGCCAAGCCGCAAGCCACTTGTCCGTCCATTCGTGTCGCCCCAACCTCTGAAGAACCTCCTCGTTCGGCGCCACGCCGCCACCTGCAGCAGAGAAGAGAAGCACTTTGTCTTTTTGCCAAGACAGGAACCCTTGCGGAGCTAGGCTTGAAGAGCATGGTGCCTCTTCACAGCTGACCCGCCTATCCAGGCCCCAGACCTGGCCCCGACGCCACGACGGCTGGAGCCTTTTACTCAATGGCAATTCCACCTGCCTCATGTGGGAAGTTGGGCTCCTGATAGGTGGGCGGCGTTATTACGCGAACGCATTGAATTGGCCAACTAGTTAGCTCCGAACAAACAATGGGCGGCGGCTTGGCCGTGGGGAGACAAAGAAAAAAAGGTCGGAAGGCCGACCCGCTAGCTATCCGCACCGTCACCGAGCCACTAACAGCAGCCCAGTAGGGACTCGGGCCATGCCATCCTTCCATCTATCCATACACCTCGCTATCTTGGGGAGGAGTCGGCCTGCATGGTCATCGCGGCTGATGGTATATAGCTAGCCAGGTCGCTGTCCCGCGGGCCTGGTTGTCTCTCCTTTCCCCCATCCCTCTCCAAGTCTCAACTTCAATCATCATCGGTCCTCATACTCCGACAACCTTGTCTCACCACCCGCCCCCTGTGAAAATGAAGTCCTTCGCTGTCATCTCTTCCCTCGTCGCGGCCGTCGCCGCTGCTGGCCACTGCGGTGGTGACAACTGCGCCCGTCAGGTCACCGGTACCCGTGACGGTCTTCTTGCCGTCACCTCCCGCCAGGTCGACTGCTCCAGCTTCATGAAGACCACCATCGTCCCTGATGCTACGTAAGTTGTTCTCCTACATCCTCACCTACTTGGACGGGATGCATTCGATGAGGGAACCCGCCCCATGCTGACGTTCCGCGTCTCCAGCACCACCACCGTCACCGTCACCGTTGACCCCGATGCGCCCAAGCTCAAGCGCGAGAACCAGCACGAGGTCCGCGCCGCCACCGAGATCCCTACCGCCGTCCCCGCCTACGCCTCCGGCTGCGACAGCGCCGCGCGCTACTCCTCGGCCTGCTCCTGCTGGGGCATCACCGCCAGCGCCACCACCGCTGCCCAGCCCACCAAGACCGTCACCGTCACCGTGACCAGCGACTACTGCGAGGACCTGTAAATGCCAGGACAGCACATGTCAATAGTTGGGGTCGTCTGGCCTGCGCAGGGGGAACGCGCCCCCGTCCGTCGGCTGGAACGGTCGGCGGTCGGACTGTACAGGAGTAACATATGTTAAAAAAACGAACGCCATCCAATCACGGTGTATGAACAGCACTGAGCAGAGAATGACCGGCAAGGCCAGCTGAAAGTGCTGGGCTTGCCTGGTCGATGTAAATAGACGATATATAAGGACTAATGATCAAATCCAAGTTATATATACATACTATCTATGCCCGTACAGAGTGACATAAGCGAGCTGAGCATTCATCGTGATAGCTGGCAGGCTATTTTTATGAAGCCGGATCGGCAATCTTCAATCGACAGCGACGATCACTTGTTGGAGTCGTTTCGGAGTAGGAAATGTGAGACAGCGATCGGGCTCTCGGGCCTGAGCTCTGGCGTTCCCACTTGGCACCGAAGAGTAAGTATCGCTGGCGATGAACCGGCCAGCTCCGCCATGAAGTATCTGCTGAGATCTGTCGGTCGCAGAATGTTTGGAACTGTAAAAAGGCAGACTTATCTACTCACCACCCAAGCTACGAGGATATGTAGCTCATTGGAAGGCCTTGTTGACACTCGATGTCCAACCAGGAGGCTGTTTACTGGCTTCCAGTCAGGGCAAGCTGGCAGTTGGACTCGAAGCTACTGGAGAATTCCCTAGGGTCTAGGTAAGTTTTAGCCAAGATCAGCAGCTCATATCCTACTATGAAGGAGTGACGGTGTAGTTGCTACAACTGTCTGTGGTAGAAGAACGCAGCGCGTACAGAAGTTGCAAGATTATTCGAAAAAAAAAAATCTTGGCATCATTCAAGACTGTAGATATAAGCGTCGTCCTTTAACAGCAACGTGCAAACAAATGCTTTGAAATACCTGCTCTGCAAAAACCGCGGAGTCTCGAGACGTGCTTACTCACCTGCCAACTGGTCAATACCCTTGAGCATCAGGCCTGCATTCACCAACCAACAACCGCTCAGTCACTTCGTTTGTTTATCTCCAGATAACATCAACATGACGTTTCGGTGCTGAAGAGTAGAATCCCCTAGACGGAGAAGCAATTACACTAGATTATCTCAGTGGTGCTTTCAAGCAACTCTAGCTATGTACATAGGTACACGCCACATTATGCGACGCCCCGCAGGAACTGGCTAGCCAAACTGCCCCAGCATTCCGATTGCCTTTGTTGAGTGCACACTACCTCAAGCCAGAGCATAAGAATAGTTAAGCGAGAAACAAATGCCTTCAAATCCTCAAAGAATAAAAACTACCCGTTTTAACCCAACCAGGGTGCGTTTGCGTTGGGCGGCTGGCCTGCTGCACATCGGTTTCGTGAGCAAGGGCTCATCACCGCTGTATTGGCGGGGCAACACAGGAGATAAACAAAAGGTACCATGTCGCCTCCATCAAGACCGCCAGGACAACCCAGCCAAAGCTACACCGGAGAGTCCAATCTCATTTCCCTGTCTCATTCATATCGGTCTATCTGCCATCATCGTCCGGGCTCCCTCCAATTCCTCATCGCCTCGTTAAGCCCAGCCCGCAAACGCATTCACCGCTCCGACCGCTGTTCTCGAGACTCTCCGCCTTTTGTGCCCATGCCTAGACAACGGGATAGAGACGACGACTTCAATTTCGAGATACATATTGACGACTCCTGCTTACCCGAGGCAGCTAATGAGGTGCATAGCCCATTCGAATCTACGGCGCCCCAAGAGACCAACATGACGACCCCGAGTCCCGCCAACGACTTCAATGCCGACTCTGAAGGCTCAGATGCAACGATTCTGAACAACGTTGAAGCGGAAGACATCGACCTTGCTGGTAGACGGAACTCAAGTTTATCCAATGCATCGTATGAGAGCGACAGACGGCCGCCCAGCCAGCCGGCATCCGACTTTGAGCAGTCGGCCCGGCATTCCTTTGCGAGCGTCTCTGACGACAGACGGTCGGTAGGAGGCTCTGAACCGGCTGGTGGTAGAGTTTCTGCGTGTGAAAGCAGCTCACAGCATGGCCAGGATGATGACGTCTTCAGTGATCATAGCCCGAGGAGCTCGACGTGCTCAAACGCCGAGGCGGATCATTTGAAGCAGCCCCAGGCCCCCTCTCGAAGATTGACTGGCGGGTCACGAATCTCTGATATGCAGCCCTATGACCCGGACGAAGAATTTATACCGGCAGTCAGAGAGACGCCACGACCACCATTTCGATCGCCATCCTCGGTCAAGGCTATGCAGATGAACTCTCCGCCGCCGTCGGTCTCGGGTTCGTCTCGCTCAAACCGTAGAGCTACTCGATCAAGCATTTCACGGATAGGATCGCCGGCCGTAACCACGCAATTCTCCCCAAAGAAGACGCCACCTCGATTCAAGAGAAACACGCCACCCCTGGTTCTTCTGCATGTTACATTGCTGCCCTTGCGGTGGCCGTGGGGCCACTTGATGGACAACGCGCGGCCGAGCGAGCTGAGCGATGCTTGCAAAAATCTACGCGAAGCATGGAAGCAGCTGCAAGCCCGAGTCGGAGACACGATTTGTGACCGGGGCATCTTGCTTCCACACCCTCAAAATGATTTTGAGATCTTGGAGGAGCGGTTGCTCGAGGCGTTGGAGCTACCACTTCGACGCCGTGCTCGTATTCTTGAATGCGGCCACTATCTCGGGCCCGCCAATGAGATGGCCACGCCGGATGATGAAATCGGCAGTGATGACGAAGATTTCGAGCAAGGTGCCACCGAAGCAGAGGACCGCCATTGGTGTTCGACTTGCCAATCCGATATTCGATACGATTCTCTAGGAGAGGGCAAGATGTTTCGAACCAAGGTGTACGCTAGCAACGGCCTAATGAAGGCTGGTGCCTGGGATGCCTGCTGGAAGGAAATGGAGAGGGTTGATGTTGAGCTGGAACCGATCATTGATCCATCGATTGTGGATGAACTCGAACGAATTGCAGCCACTCAAGAGCGGGAGGCTATAGAAGCCGAAATAGCAGCGTCAACTCACATGGAGCTAAATGGTCCGGACGATGCTTTTGACGCACCACCCGCTCATGAAGACGAACGGGAATTGTACGAAGAGAGGATGCGTGAGATATACGGTCAACCTGAAAGCCACGAAGCTGTCCCGGAAGAAGTGATTACAGAGATGCCGATTGATCGAGAAGATTCTGCTCAGCCATGGTCTATCGCCTCGGTGATGGATGTGCGAAGCGGTCCTTGGGCGGATGTTTTCAAATATGGGCCGCGAGATGTTGTCCAGCTACTCGTTTTTATTCTCTGTGTGCTTCTTCTGCAGTATTTGGGCATTGGATTCGACAGATCAAGCAAGGTCGAGCCCAGAAAAAGCGAAAATTCGTTGCCGGTCCCTGCGATGCCGCCGCAAGAATCTCCCGGCACCGAAATAGCGGCTAGAGAGCCCACCCATGGACAGCCAACCACTGCAATGCCTCACCCCATGGAAGAGTCTTACGCGGCCTGCACGTCTGCTCTTGAAGCCGCCCATGCGTCATTGGCTGTACCTGTGGCAGCGTTAACCGTTACGGTGACGGAGACGGTCTCTGTGCCCGCAGCCGAGACAGCACAGGTTGCCGAGGTGGAGCCACGCGTGGACGAGCAGTTGATGCCAGAGACGCAAGAGGAACACACGATGCTAGAGAAGCAAGAGGAACACACGATGCTAGAGGCGCAAGACGAACAAACGATGTTCGAGGGACTGGCTGAACACACGGCAGAAGCACCTATGAAATCAGCGATACCCGCCGAGAACACGATGCATGAGGATGAGGAGGAGGATACGAATGAACATGGTGATCTGTCCTCCGACGCGACTGGAAAAACGGAGTTGTAATGGAAAATTTGGAGATGGATTGTGGAAGGAGAGCCCTTTGGATTGATTTGAAACGAACTGAGAATACCATAATGTAGATTGCCACGAAACAACCATGAAATAGCCATGATATCAATACCAATGAATCTTTGCATGATACAATGAAGGAACGGCGACGTGTCTTTGTGCCCTTTTAGGTATCTTACCTCTCTTAGGTATATCCCCCCCACCCCGAGAGTGTTAGATATATCAACTACTTGGGGATAGGTAAGACACCCAATAGGCACAAATGCATCTTGCCACCCACTGTAAAGTATAGTCTCTTGCAGACTCTGGCTCCTGAAGCTGTAGAAGCAAGCCGCGGGAGTTCCGGACGCGTGTAGGTATTCATCTATTGTTCAAAGGTCGCTTTCTGGTAATCGCTTATTTGTCATTCAGGGTATTTATAGTCGAATATATATATCCATGCATTCAATCTGCCACTCTCGTTGGCCCAGGAGATTTCTGAGCCATCCTAGCCCTAACCCCGTCCACTCTGGCTTCGCCACCGTAGCCCTCGCGATCGTACTCGCCGTTGAGTTGAGAAGGCGGAAGACAGTCCCATTATACATGGACCCCGCGCCGTTGTGCGCGGCGGAACAGTTGAGGCCAGCGCACGAGGCGGTCGCCTCCTCGATCGCGCTGCTCGATCGCGGCAGGAACCAGTTGCTATTGTAGTCGAAGAAGCACCGATCGGACCAGTTGCAGCTCGTGAAGAACAGGATGATGAGTAGGATGCTGCAATAGACGCATGGGCGGTGCAGGAAGTACGTGCAGACGAAGAAGAGGAAGATGAAGGCCGGCGAGGCGTTGGTCGGTATGAAGAGGAGAGGGAGCCAGCTGCGACGGTTCTCGGTCAGTGGGCATTCTTAAGAAGATAAGGAAGTGGCACTGGGCAGTATGACGTACCTGCGCAGACAAAACATTGCGGCGGTGTTGTTCAATGTGTCTGGTACCCGAGCTCGCAGGGGGCGGAAGGCAAATGAATGGCGGAGGGGCCGTCCGCGCTCAATGTCGCACAGGTCACAAAGCGATAGTCAATGTTGCGTAATAATTCTTCGTAGAAGTGGCGGTGGACTTTTCGAAACGACCGCGCTGGAAGGGTAAAGAAAACTGATTGCCGTGGTTCGGGAGCGGTCACTACCCTGGCTCGCTTCGGTTTGCCTTCGACTAGAAGACGTACAACTTACCCGCTAAGCAGGCTTAGCTCGATGTCCAAATAAAATATGAGGTACGTATGTTATGATAAGAAGCTGGGGGGTTGATGTGGTAGGGCACTCGCGACGGGTTGCACAGGATGAGAATATTGAAGTTGAAGCTGATGTCGGCGGTAGTAGCGAGTACTGTGATGCGACCGCAAGAAAAGCTGCGGTCTCCATTGGGGCGTGGGGGACCAATTTGGTGGGGCGACTGCCACTCGGCCAAGTCATTACGACTCTACTCAGTAACACGCTCGCCACCTTCATTACAGTTACCAGTGGCCGTGCTACACGTTTTGTTAGCCCATGTTTTGCGAAATTAGGTACTGACATGCTCGTGGCACAACTGATATCAAATTGAATCGAGTAGTATTTTTACACGCACAGCACACAATGTCATCAGGCCAAATGCTGACCAGGTCGTGCGAATCACGCGTGCAACTTGGTGTTTTCTGAGCCTTAAAAGCAAGAGCACTCAACGCCATTGCACCACGTCTCGATGATACTATACATTCACAGTAGACGCCACCGGGTGCCATCAGGTGCCCAAAGCAGTTATCAAGCCCAACGCATCAAAGAATAGGCGCTTCGTAGCCAGCCCGAGCCATCCCTCCTCACGCATTGGGCCGTGACACTGGATGACTAAGCACTTGTCCGGGTCATTAGTTGGGCCACTACAGAACGCTGACCCGCCACCGCAATGGACAACTCTCTCTTATAATTTTTAAGAGTTCAACCACCCAAATTCTACTTTATCCCTCTGCTAACCTATCCTTCCCTCTCCCACCAACAATTTGATCCTCAACTCGTTTCGCTACGCCGAGCGCAGCTCCGCAATTTGTTTGCGTTGCATCGTTTCGTAGCCTCGATTTTCGACTCCCTATTTCACCTGCGGCCATGGATCTCCCGGCCGCACCGACACCGCCTTCTGGCGGCAACGGTGCCTCTGATCGCACCTCCGATCGCACCTCCAGTTTGCTCAACCTTCTCAAGTTCAGCGGCAACTCTGCTGGTGCGAACTCTCAGAAGCAGTTTGAAAAGGAGCAACCGCACAAGAAGCAGCCCAGCCTGCCCCAGAATCCGGCGGCAGCTCGCCTTCATCAGCCTGCACCCGCTGGCGCCGATCCTAGTGGTTTGCTCGCCGCCCTGATCAGAGGTAATCCCGAGAATGACGTATCGGCCCCGAGCCAGTCGCAGATAGCTGCAGGGCAAGCATCAAATCCGTTCAGCAATGGCTCGCCTCCGGCCGACACGAGATCATACCTACTGAATCTTCTCAACCGTCCCAAGCCTAGCCAGACAGACCAGCCGTCGCTGACGGAGTCTGGCCAAGGTCGAACTCAATCCCCCAAAACTATTGAAAAGTCGCACGAGCTGTACTATGAACAGCAGCAGTACCAGATGCACGCCCACAACGCTTATGGGTCTCAACAGCAGCAGCAGCAGCAGCAGCAGCCCGAGCCATTCACCGATGCTAGGCAACCTACTTCAAACGGCTCCTCCTATCCGTACAACGCGTCACAAGATGCTCAAACGGACATGTCCGCCGCGTTGTACCAGCAGCTTATTGGCAGGCTTGCGGAAACGTCTCCGCAGAGCCCACAAGCGCTCGCAGGTGCAAACGCCGCGCCGCTACACATTCTGAAAAGGGACCAGGGCTCGCCCGCTGGCCACCACCTACGCGAGCAATCGGCGACGCGTAGCAACGAACAAAGTCCCCATGCAAGCCCCAGAGACCAGGCGAGCCAGCATCTCGACCGTGCTGTTTCTTACCAATCTCAGCACTCTTCTCAGCCGCCCACACAAACTTCCCCTTCCGCAGATCTAGCCTCGGGTCAGCACAACCAAGTTCCCGCGGAGCCCATGTCTTCACCAGTTGGCGAATTGACCAACAAAGCTGACTCGGATGCTCGCGAAACTGTCGCCATTGCGGAGCAGCAGCAAGCCCCCGTTGACAACGCCCCAACTCTCGACAGCCAGACTGCCGAGATGCATCCCCTTGACAACGCCGACGAGTCTGTCAGCTCCAACGTGGCTGATTCCAATGGCGATGCAAGCAAAGATCTGAAAACTGATCTTTTTGAAAGCCAGGTGCTAGTCCCCATCGCCACCTCTGTTCGCGTTCTAGCGGAGGAGGACCAAGCTGTTGCCGACAGCTGGGAAAGCGCCGACCAAGACGAGATTCTTGTCATTGAAGAGCCTGAAACACCCCCCGTGAAGGTATACAACTTTCCGATGAAGCCCTGGATATCGATCAGCCTTCAGGAAGATGCGACCGACCCCCGACCGCAGTTTCGCGAAGAATCTATCATGGACATTGCTCGACTCAAGAAAGATTTTGATCAGATCGACCGCAACCTGTACACTGCTTCGCGGACCTACATGACTTATGGTATGTCGAAACAAGGTGGCCTTCGAGTGATCCGACAGGATGATGGAAAGGACGCCAAGGTGTTCACGGATACCAAGGATCGCATCTTCAACGTTGGCATGTCTGTCACGCCCCCCGACCACGAAGGGCCTCATAAGGAGGCTATAATCGGTACAGGTATCAGCGGCACTGTGTACTGGGTTCAGCTCAAGGAGGGCGACAAAGACCACATTGATGATGCCCACCTGGAGCAGTATGGTTTCGCCCTTCCTCCCGTTTCTACGCAGGAAGGTGATGCTCCCGGCGGAGCTTTGAAGACACGTGCTAGAGCATCGACCGGCCACCCCGAATTCTTTGCCGTCGGCCGTGGGAAATGCATCAATTTTATTTGGCCCGCGCATATTCTCCAGAACAACCTGTTCAAACCTGGTCATGATCGTGTTGCTGACACCGAAAGACTGTTCAACGAATGCTCTCTCAAGATCAACACTGGCAAGGCGGGCAAAGATTTCACTTTCAGCCAGGATGACACTGTCGTCGTCTCCCTGGACAAGTCTGGTCGGGTCAAGTTCTGGGATGTTCGTGACCTTACCACCGCCAAGGAAGGAACTGCTGGTCGCTCTCCGTTGCCTGCGCACAATGCCATGGAGGTCAAAGAGCCTTTGATGACGCTTGCTAGCACACCGGAAGGTGAAAAGGCTTGGCCCACATCGGTTCTATTGCTGGACAAGCTTCGACCTTATCAGAAGAGGTGTGCCCTTCGCTACATGATTGTTGGTATGAAACAGAACCACACTCTACAGCTTTGGGATTTAGCTCTGGGCAAACCCGTCCAAGAGTTCAACCTACCTCATAGTAAGGAATCAGATGCTGTTTGCAGCGTCATGTACCACCCCGCTAGCGGTATGATTGTTATCGGTCACCCAACGAGAAATTCAATTTACTTTGCGCATCTGTCGGCACCGAAGTACAACCTCAGGAGCGTTTCTCAGGCCGACTACATTCAGCGACTGGTCAGCCAGGATTCCTCCATCTCGCAGCCGGATAGTACCGCTGTGATCTCCGGAGTCCGGGAATACTCCTTCGCAAATCGGGGCGTTTTGAGAAGTCTGGATATTTTGTGCAACCCTGCTATGATGCAAGATGCCGACGAGCCTACTCTATTTGAACTGTATGCCATGCATTCAAAAGGCGTAGCTTGCATGCTGATCAAGCAGCATGAGCTTGGATGGTCCAAGGACAACAAGGTTTTGCAAGCCATTGATGCTGTCACCGAGGGCGTCGTCACAGTTTCCAAGTTGAAGGCACCACAAGCCACGGAAATTCATGCCACTTCCGAAGCTCGTCCCAGTAACCGAAGCTCCGCTAAAGAAGGGAATAGCTCCTTGCCATCCAGCCACAGCGAAACTAGTCAGCGGGCCCTTGATTCCAGCATGCAACCAAATCTCGCTGCGAACAAATCTCGCAATGATGGCAAAGACAACGATGCCGCCGCCCAATCTTCCAGGGAGAATCAACCTGAGAGGCCAGAGAAGAAATCTAGAAAGAAGAAGTCTGCCGCCTCCAAGGAAGCGGAATCCTCGTCGCATGGGTCGTCTGCGACTGTCCGTGATGGGCAATCCGATAAAATGGATAGCAAAGGCATCAATGGCATCTCGTCTGACGCCATGGAGAATGCCATTGCCAATTTGGAGACCCGGCTTTCTGCTCAGTTATCGGACATGCTGAAATCGTCATTCAGAAACATGCAGAGTAAGATTGACGAAGGCGTTCGCGTCAGAGACGAGAGCTTCAACCATCATCAGATTAAGCTCCTTGACATGGTTTCCGAAGTCCTGAACGAAAACACTCAGCATGTTCTCGAATCTCTCATTCACAGAAAGTTTACCGAGTTGGTCATTCCGACCATTGGCGAGAAGACCAGCAAGGTTGTTACGGACACGCTTTCCAACAAGCTTCAACCAAGTGTTGTATCAGCTGTGCAAAAGGAGATACAATCTGCGATGCCGCAGGCATTGAAGCAGGTTCTGCGCTCCGGGGAGCTCTCGAGTTCGATTGCCGAGCGCATTAGCCCAGTTGTATCATCAGCTGTTCAGCGCGACATTGCCTCCACTCTGACGCAGCGCCTGGCGCCAACATTGAACTCAGTCGCGACGCAGTCAGCACAACGCGCGATTGGCGACCTTCAGCAGCAACACCATGATCAGCTCGAACAGTTCAAGGTCCAGCATATGGCAGACTCCAACAAGATTGATCAGCTCCGATCCCAGGTCAACCAACTCACGGACATGGTCTCTAACCTGGTGTCGGCACAATCTTTGATGCAGTCTGAGCTGTACAAGCTTAAGCAGCAACCCGTCCATGAGCTACCCGGCGTGTCTGGCAATCAGAGTCACCATGTGCCCAGCACAGTTGCATCACACGGATACGCCAGCAACAACAATGTCAACACAGCCAGCCATCCTCCGAGCTTCGCACCCAGTCAAACTGCGAGCAACACACAGCCATACATGGGCAGCCCGCAGTATATGCGAGGGCAGCAGCACATGAGAAGCCCACATGGCTCGAGCGGCCCTTCCGAAAATGTCGGTCCCGCGAATAACGTCAATGCTCTAGCAGGAGCGTACGCTCATCAGATGAACAAGAGTGAAGTCGAAGCCGACAATGATCTTAACCAGCGCATTCAGCTCATTGAGCAAGCCATTGATGCGGGCCGCCTCCACGAGGCCATCATTCAGTGGGTGCAGAGTGGGAAAGAAGCCGAAATCTTCAGACGTAGCTTGAGCCGTTACCCAGCCGCCAAGTTCGCGAATCTGCCGCCACTGATGCTTTTGGTTGTGATTGCGACGATTTCGAAAGATCTCAAGCCGAATCCGCGACTGAAGGAGGAAGTGGAATGGATTGAAATGGCAGTCCATGCTTTCGCTGACAACATTCATAGCCACGTAAGCTACCCCCTTTTACACGAATCAACGTCAAGAGCGCCTCATGCTAATGATTATTATAGGAATGGGAAAAGCAGGGTACCCGTGATGTCACTAGAAGCGCTTCTCAGACGATGCAACTACTGGTGAATCGTATTCGCCCGTTGATCGCGAATATGGAAGATGGCTTCCCGACGGATCCTTTCCTGATAAGCCTGGAAAGAGGCAAGCTTGAGTGGATTATCGGGACATCTGAGCACATCCTGAGTCTTTACCCGAATCAACGACACTATGAGTAAGAAGTGGCAGGCATTCTGAAACGAGAGGTATTGAGGTCAATGGATTTCCTTTGGTCGACGAAAGCGCGGCGAAAATGCTAGTCGACCGCTAATTATTCAAGTGGTCGCCCCTTGTACTTTTGGTTTTACATTTTCTCATTATTTTTGTTGCGATGCATAAAGATTCCCCCTTTCTGTCACGCAGGAATTGTTTTACGACATGGGAACGAGAAAGGAAGCTGGTTTGTATTGGACGGCGTGTAAGAGCGAGGCAAGATGACGCTGGATTTCCTCATGGCTTGTGACGGTAAACGATTTTGTTAGATAATGTATATGTTGGCTGTTCTTACACATCTTTTCTCGGCTGCCAGTGATGCATATCAAGATTCTCGTGGAGTAATGTATACATCCTGTCATTAGTAGAAAACTGCCTGCACCTTCCTTCACTCTCTTTACCATCCGATGTCCACCTACCTCTTGCTCTTGGGCAGCGTCCGCTGTCGGCCTTGTGGAGGGAGCCACGCCCGCGGGCCACTACCCGCCTCCCAACATGGCCTCCCAACATGGCCTCCCCTCCAGCTTTTCTCCTCACTTTCCCCTCACGCCCTGCCCCTCTGACAAATCGGTCAAGTTTAAAACCTAAAGGCTCTGATCCATCCTCAATTCGATAGACTCATTGGTTGTTCTGCGCAAGAATGGCTCAGCCGATTACAAACGTCATAGTGTTAATTATTTAGTTAAGATCGTCGCGATGTCCTACGCCACGTCCTGCCTTTTGCTGCCCTCAACCCTCGCCGCAGCAGCCTTAAAGAAACGAGTTATAGATCACATAAACCCCCACCCATAGCTGAGCACACGAAGGGGGGGGGGGAGGGGTAACTACAGTAGACTTACATGGACAGAACAAACCGCCAACTCCATTGCACAGTGTGGACAGTGCAAGCGCCAGGAACAGGCACATCGAGCGGGCACATCAATATCACGGAGTTGTGGCACATGCAATGTGACTTTCGTTCGTACAACTTGCACGTTAGAGAAAGTTCAGTGGGCATACTTCGGATCCTAGCTGAGAGGTGATCGGCCCCCAGCCGTCGGACCTAACTCTCATAAGACGAGGTTGGCCGTGGTCTTCAGGCCAGCCAACAAATGGAGTTGGAAGTGCCTCTGCTCGTCAAACAAGGCCTGGCTGGCTGACACAATCTTGGTGACGGTCCCTCCGGCTAGACGTTCCACTAACTAACTATGTACATAGCTATCCGTTCCTAGGTACCTACAAAACCTAGCAGGAGCTATTACATTAGTTAGTAGTTAGAAAACCCGTGCCAAAGGGCGCCGTAGCGTTCTCAGTCGCTGCTATTCGTATATGAGCTAGAAGTCGGGGTTGCTAGCTGCGTGTGGGCAGAATGATGGCCTGCCTATGCATACGTAGAAAGCCGTCATGTACCATCTTCAACGAAAGAAAGTGCCACTTCAAGAAAGAGCTGCAGTGGAACAAAAGTAGCACGTGCAGCAAACTGTCGCTCATCCGCATCCAGTTGTACAGTGTACCCATTCCGTGATTGGGTATGCGCTGGTTCGCTGCCTCCCTGACTCACGAGGTGGCTGCAGCACACCACGTCAACGCCTCCTCATGCGTGACGTGAATCTTTATCGAGTGCTACAACCACAGCATTAACGCTATGCCTAAAACTGGGCAGATGGCGAATAAGGAGGCCTCGTAGTCAGTAAGTTTCGCCGCCTTGTTAGATTGACGCATACCCGTCTTTCCGGTTGTCACCTTTACTGAACTACTGCTACTGTGCTAAACAAGCAACGACTTGCTTGTTCTGCAGTTTCGAGACTCCCGTTCCAACAACCCCGGATCACAGCTCCACAGACCAGATGTGACACTTCGGGATATTTTGCTTCCCGAAATAGCTTCTCCACATCTTCCTCTAGTAGTTCAGAGTAAGGCTCCTCGCCGACCATGATAAAGTACATGACTGATCCGAGGGCGAAGATGTCATCAGCCGCTTTGGCTGGCATATTCCAATCCCAGTCGGGAGGCTGATATCTTGACCCAGCCGCGATCGTACGGTCGGACCCTGCGACAGAACTGCCAGCGAAGTCGGCAATATGGAGATCAAGAGCCGTGTCGAGCATCAAATTACGTGGCGTGACATCGCAGTGAATGACATCTGCCGCGTGGAGCACACTCACCGCGGAAGCTGCCTGCAGAGTCCAACGCTTTCGAAGCTCTATAGGGACACATGACGTCTCCCTTAAATAAGTCGCCAGATCTCCTTTCTCGAGGAATTCCAGAGTTAGGCAACAGCTCTCGGGGTCCCAGTCAATCAATCGAGGCAAATATGAGCATTGCCCGATCCGTTGATAGACCGCGGCTTCCGTCCTCATATCCCTCCGATGATTCTCCTCCACCTTCCGGTTATACGGGTTCGACTTCGGATACTTAACAATGTGACATGAGGGTAGACGCTCAACGTGAGCCGTTGCTCCGCCGCTGATTTGCGTTCCCTTTGTGATATAGTATATAGTGCCGTACGGCACGTTTTCTGGAACCTGGAAAACAGACTCTGGCCAGTTAGGATGTTCCCTTCTTTGCCATGATCCCGGGACAGGCCGATAGATGATACGGGACGGAGGCGCAGGCGCAGGCGCAGGCGTCAGAGATTTCTGAATGGCTTAGTTAAAGAATATTGATAAAGAATATTGATAAAGAATGACCCTCTCATACCAATTCTGTCTCGATTTTTGTCTCCCGCGATAACCAAGGAAGCCTCAGCAGGCATCTTGATATGAGATTCCATAGGTCGCGGCACTGTTCGATGAAGTACCACCATAGACCCGGCGCTGGTGGCAAACGACGGAAGCGATCAAGCAAAAACATCAGGCACCGCTTAAAATGAAGAAAAGCTTGGAAACTTTGTTTGTTGCTCTCGGGGTAGCTAACCAGGGCTCGCCGTTGAAGCTAACCCGCGTGTGGAGTGCGGACGCTATCGGGAAAGGGGTCCTTTGCAGAAGCACGTCGGTGACAATGAGATGTGTTATATGTGTGCTGACTAACACGTGAGTCTCTCACAAACGTAGAAGCCCAGTTTGATATTTCAATTTGGGACAGAAGGCTCCTGGATTGGTCGCGGCCACGGAGAATATTGATTCGCCGTGGTTATAAGTGTGCGAGTTACGAATTATTAGTGGCAGAGGGTGTGTAAACTGTTTTCTGTTTTCTGAAGCGGGTCCGCTCGCGCATTGTCTATTGGACCATTTGTATCTAGGCGGTACCAACTGCATGAATCTACCCAAGTTACTTCCCTTCAACCTCAACACATCTAGCCCAGCTGCGCTACAGACGAGCAAGTAAATGCTGTCTTGGCTGCCGTCGGACTGCTAGACCGCGTTGACGACTACGATGGCTTGGATTCTCAGTTGAGCAAAGTCAGGCTCTCTCACCCAACTCCAGGTGCCATCGATCGATCCGCGCGCGCAATTCTGCCTGGGAGAGAAATAGGTAGTAGGGTTGTGTTGATTAACAATGCTAGTAGCAGCGTTGATGCAGAATTGGGCGACGAGAACTCCGATGAAGTATTCTCCAAGAAGAAATTTTGATATCAAGCAATAGGCTCTGCGGTAAAACTGCCAGCTCAGAATTTACACTACCTTTAAACACGCGAATCGCGACAGCTTCGTGTCAGGCAAACTCACCCCAAATGACCCCGCCTCCCCTTCCCCGGGCCGGACAGAGAAGCATTTGTCCGCCGCCGAGCAACTGCAACCACGCGTTTTTCTTTCTTTCCCCATCTTTCTTATTGCAAGGCGCTCAATGCCTTGTTTAACACGTATCAGGGGGCAGACTCAATGCCGCCGACGCTGCGCAATTTTGGAACAACAACTTGGAAGGGGGTTGCGCCGGCCATGATGCAGGCTGTTCCAACATTGAGACCACTTCGGCCCCTCTTCTCTCACCATACTTATCCCCCCCTCCTCCCAACCTTTCTGCGATGCAGGGTGACGGCGCATACGGTCGGTTGGTGGCGGGGACTTTTCCTGCGCGGGACCAGTACCAAGCCGCCTGGAGCCACCTGTGATGGCGAATCACACCCGCCATAGCCCGCGTCTCGCCTCGCTTGCTCGCTTGGGCAGAGTCGATTTGCGAGTCTCTCGGTCAGCGGCATTCTTCGGGTATTTCCCTGTTCCCCTCATTTGCCTTTATTAGACCTTCTCTCGTCCTCGTTTTGACTTGTGTCTTCTCCTCTCTCTCCTCCTGCCTGTCTCTCGCTACCAGCTCTACTCTACTCTACTTTCCCCTACTAACCACACTGCCCCCATCAAATCGAGTCAGATAAAGAAGATTTAAAGAGCCAGTCGCTGGTTATTTTTCTTGCCTATCACCCGCACGCCTCCATCATGGACTGGTCCAATGACACCCGCTTTCATGCGATCCCAGGTGCAGAGTCTGCAACTTCTCTCCTGCTAGAACTGCTATTGCATCATGGCTTGAACGCAATGCGATTTGTTTTTGCCCAGGTTTTGCCCAGCTTATCGACCGTTGTTTTTATCCTATACACCAGGTCCCATTTTGCACGCGGGGCACGTCACGAACGTGATGATCATATTGACCGGGAGAAGAAGGTATGCTTTCACACGCCAGCTACTTGATCTGCTTCACAGCTTCATTGCCAACTAATTTTACCCTATCCACAAGATTCTATCTCTTTATCTCGGGATTTTGGAACTTCTGATCCCAGCTCTGCAAGCATTCACGGATGGGCTGGACATGGGAGGGTTTGCACCCGTCAACTACCTCATGGGCTTTGTTGCTGCCATCACGGGATACGTCATCTTTGACAGGGAGAGCGAGATGGGATATCGGCCCTCTAAGTCCATAATCCTCTTCGTTGCCTTGTGGGCCCTGATCGACCTGTGCAAAACGTGGACGTATCTGCTGGAGGGTCACAGTCGGCTGCTTGCCGCAGGTGGTTTTGCCACGGCTTACATTCGGTCTCAGCTCCTGACTGCGATTCTGACGCCGGGATCTCCGCCAAACACAGATTTAGTCGCATTTCTACGACGGTGTGAAGCTCAAGTGCAGCGCGAAAGGGCAGAGTCGGCTCGCAAGAGCACGAGGGAGGGTAGATGGACTGTGTCGGTCGGCTCTGAACCTTTAGCGCGCCCAATAAAATCTCAGAAGACGAAGGATGCGACAAAGATACGTCCCGAGGCAAATGAGAAGTAACGCAACAACTCGGGCAATGCTAGCAAGCCAGCTGAACGAGCTGAGCGTTGGACGACGCAGTATCAGGCTGGGTCTCGGGCGTTCGGAAGATAGAAACTTGCCAACTTGATACTTTAGGGTCTGAAAAGAGCAAGTAATAGCTGAATAGCACTGTAGACAAAACCTGAGGATTAAATGAGAATGGCTGATCCTGAGATGTGTAGAACTAAGTCTAGTTACCCTAGAGGCTGACGCAGGAAATAACCGACTGACTTAGCAGCGGAAAAGATGCGATAATTAAAAAGTAATTTACTTTCATTAGTAGATTATGTTTTGTTCAAATAATGAAAGAGGCTACTAGGGAGGCCCAAGGTCGGGCGGGTAACTTATGCACTCCGGTGATACAAGTGCTTTGTCGTGGATCGAAGTGTGTCGCTGCGTCGACAGCAGGAGCCGCCAAGCTCTCCAAAGAGGGGCCGCGGCAACATTCCTGCAACTCTACGCTAGATCGCCCGAGAGCGACGATTTACGTGTGTGCATTACATGCAGAGACTCAAAATTAGCAGGGGGTGGCGCATATTTCGCCAAGGCAACAGCTTCATGTCGGGCACGACGCCCACCGACCGCACACTTGCGGAGCTAACGGCCAAGCTCGCCGAGTTCCGGGCGTCGCCGGCCCGGCTGGGGCTCCTCTACCCCCCGGGGACAACGCTCAGCAACTGGGCCAAGGAACTGGAGAGGGAGCACGCGCGGGCCGTGCAGGCGCCGCCGCCCGAGAGCGCCTTTGTCAGGGCGGGGCTGCGCTCGCGGCTGCTGGTGCTAGACGCGAGCTTCAACCCGCCGACGCTGGCGCACGCGCACATGGCCAAGCTCGCCGTGCGCGACGTGCTCGCGGAGCAGCGCGCGGCCCTGGCCGGGGCCTCCGCCGCGCCTGTCGTTCGGCCCCAGACGCGCCTGGTGCTGCTGCTCGCGGTCGCCAACGCCGACAAGCCGGCCGCGCCCGCGCCGCTCGAGCACCGCCTCGCGATGATCTACGCGTTCGCGCGACGCCTGCAGGAGGAGTTGCGGGGCCAGGGCGACGAGGTGCCCGTCGACATGGCGCTCACCTCGGAGCCCTTCTTCAGCGGCAAGGCCGACGCGCTGCGCGCCGCAAGCTGGTACCCGGGCGCGGAGCTGCTGCCGATGGAGTTTATCGTGGGCTTCGACACGCTGGTGCGGATCCTGGATCCCAAGTACTACAAGGGGGAAGCGAGCCAGACAGGGGAGGGTGCTGCCGGCTCGGGTCATCAAGAGAAGGGAGGCGTTGAAGCGGCGGCACGGGGGCGACGACCCCAGACGCCCATGATGAGGGCGCTGGACCCCTTCTTCACGCACGCGTCGCTGCGGGTGATGCTGCGGCCGGGCGAGGACTACGGCGGGCGCGACGCGCAGCGGAGCTATATCGCGGCGCTGGGCGGGGCAGCGCAGGGTGACGCGACTGGCAGCAGTCTTGACGAGGTTGGCGGCGACGCGTCCTGGATGCGCAAGGTGCATGTGCTCTCCGACGAGGAGACTGGCGGCACTGTGGCAGAGGGCGTGAGCAGCTCCCGGGTCCGCCAGCTCGTGCACGACGGAGGCCCCCCGGCCGCGCAGGACCTCGTGCATTCGCCGGTTCTTGACTGGATCAGTAGGTACGAGCTGTACAGGCGGTCGCGGTTGCCCAAGGGCACGTCTACGGACGATGGAGGGTCTGGTTGAGGTTACGTCGTTTGGCGACTGATGGAAGGCGGACTTTTGCAACTGAGGCCGTCTTGATAACAGATACGAGTGGGAGAAGGCACTTGGGGAATGTGAATGGGGAACACGAAGCAATGTACGTGATGTATGTGTTTATTGTTTTAGATTATTTTCTCTGTCAGTAGGAATAGCAATTCAGCATTGTGCAATATGTAATTCATATTGCGTGTTGTATGGTGTTCCTTTTGTGCAAAGCTGCGTAGTGTAGTTATCCATATCTGTGCCTCATTCATTATTTGTGATAGCGTGCGTGTTTGCCAGAGTAAGTCAACGCCAAGAGTGGACCCGTACTTTTAATCTCTCATTTTTTATTTCGTCGTTTTTCTCTTCAGATTTGCTTTCTGTCTTGAATTTTGACTCCGGATCACACGACTACAATTTCCTCAGACCCTGTTTCTCAAGTCGGTCAGCCATCACCATCCACAGCTCACCCAGCAACCGCAATCTAGAACCAAGCGGTGACCAGCCTCTCTCACACATCCCTGTAAAAAAAGACATTCTGATATCATGATATCAGAATTTTCGAATCCACACAGTCGTAGACCCTGGCGAAAAGTGAAAAATTCACGGGCGCTCGAGCCTGAGGACCCTGCAGGCTCCCGCGCGCCCCAGTGAAAAAAAAATCAGATTCTGCCTGCCACAAAAACTTTTAGGCGGTGAAGCGCAATCAGCGCCCCACCAATTCTCTCTATAAAGTCTCGTCCTCCCGCCCTCGTTTTGTCTCTTTTCTTCTTTTCTTCTTCACGTCGACAATACTTCAGTATGTGCACCCCTACCTTGGAAGCAACAGTCTCCTCCCCAAGACTCCAAGCCGCTTTCTCTCCCCGCCCTTCGAACCTGCCTTGCTGACCTCCATTCAAGGAGAATCATTTCTATAGTAATCGACCTATCTCTTGGTTCCCCAAAAGAGCCACAGAATCCACCCTGGTTGATGATTGCATATCCTCGACACCCTAGAGTGAATACTTTTCTTCTGGTCCTCTCGAACTGTCCGCAAGGATGGCGGCTTTGGCTCTTGGGTCTCTGCTGTATAGAGAGATGTGCAAGTCAGTGATTGGCCAGCCTCTGGCTGGTTCATGTCGACTTGCCTCGTTTCTTGATGATCTCGACCCTGTCGGCGGTCTGCCTTCGGGCGCGCTAGCAGGGTGGGTGTTGATGGACGTCTGACAGGCTTTCTTCTTTTTTTCATTGCTGTCCAAGGCTTGCCTCGGACGTGAAGAAGATTGATCCATCCCACCTGCTCCCGACCGCGCATCATTCTATTACATGTCACTTCCAATTGTGCAGGGAAGATCTTACGATCCCAGCTCGTCTTGATCCACGATTGCAGCACTGAAACTGTTCTATTGCACCGTTGGCTCATTCTCTCATTACGCGCCGCTGTTGTGACGCAGTTTTGTCTTGCGAGCGGCCTTTGTATTATTTTGTCCTACCCTATTGCGCATAAACGAATTCCTACCAGGTCGGGCGCGCAATGTTTTGGCAACATTCTTCACACCTACCCTACGTTGGCCCATTTTTAACAAAACCGAACCTTCAGCATGTTCCTCCAATCGCTCACTTATTACTACGATACAGAAACAACGCTCGGGGAGTTTTTTTCTTTTTGCCACACTAGATCGAAAAGCATCTGCCCTCCTCGCCATGATTGACTCTCAACCAACCTCCACGCTCTCCGAGAGACCAGAGACACAGACCTAACCATTGTCGCCCTCTACGCTTCCAGAATCATGACAGGCATGACATTGAGAAGCCACCTCTGGGGCTAAACTTTGAATTTGCAAAAACTTCCTCCACAACCACTGAGGAATTCTATCTACCCTAGCCTTCCTTGACTTGCCGTCAAGTTCTTTCGCGCTGGCAATCATCACCAACAGCACCATTCCCGTGTTAGCCATCCATCCATCTGCTCCATGCATCTAGACTGGGCAGCACAGGTACTGAAGAACCATCTCGAAACGCAGCTGCTGGAAGCGTACAAAGTACACCATCTGTTTTATTGCCCAGGTCCACAAGAGGCGCCATGCTTGGCCGGCCGTGGGCGCATTGGAAAGGCAGCGAACACTGAGCAAGACGTCGGATGAGCGAAGTGCACTCTGCTAGCGTAAGCTCATCATTGAACATTATTGCACCTGTAGAACGCTGATTAGTAAGTGAATAACGTAGTCCGTGGAGGTCCTCGTACTTCGGCATGCTCTTGAATGGAGCAATTCGAGTATGCCACGCGGGCATCCCTGAAAATTCGCGCTTGGCTGTATTTTTGTATACCCTCGGCCAGGGTTGTCTTCTGCGCTCCAGATCTCTCTGCGCAATAGGTCAAGCAGAAGTCGCGGCTCTCCCCTACACCGTTCCAGAATGCTCGGCGGCAAGCCGGTGACTGTTGCCCGTGCCGCCGGAGGCTCCCCACCAGTATCCGCGACCTGATATTTGATGCCCCATCCCAGCCAAAACGCCATCCGCTTAGCAAACATCTTGGCCTCTTTTTGAGATATTTCGAACGACAGGTGCTGGTCAAGGGGCTCAACCACAGGCATGATATCACCCCTTCTCCGCTCAAAATAACCCGCCATCAACTCCTCCAACCGGCAACGCTCGTCCGCTGCATGTTGGTCAACCGCGACGAGGGCAGATTGGGCTGGATCGGTGGTGGGTGTGACTCTGCCAAGAGGTAACTTGACTAATACAAACTTGTTATCCACCTGTGCAATAACCTCTGCTTCTGCGAGAGAATTTTTTGATATTTGGCCGCTGATATTGGTTGAGGCAGTGTGTCGGGTATTAGAGTCGGCTGGCAATTGATGTACCGCAGGTTCCACTGTATCAAACACTGGGTTTTCCCAAGATTGAATGATCCTTTCAAGCCACTGGCCTTTGCCCTTCAGACAGTGCGTATCTAATGTTTCGAAGGTTCTCAACTCAACGCTTTGTAGATGATGATTGTCAGCACCACCACACAGACCGCCTGCGAATGATTCCTCCGTAGCAAAGGGTTTCCGTAAAAGCTGGCCGCCCGAGCCAACGATTTTGGGTTGTACTGAGGCCATATCGGCATGATGGCCGACCTTGATTCGACGCCAATTATCGAACAGACTCAATGACGACTTCCCTGGACTAGGAGACCCGTTATCAGTGCTTTGGCCATCTTGGAATGGCGACAGCCGAGCATCTCCTCTTAATGGGGAGGGTAATTTCCGAGTATGCACGCGTTTTCGCGGGCGCATCTTGTGCTTTCGTAAGAAGGCGTAGCATACGGCGCGCAAAAGGGCGATAATAGCTGCCAAGGTTGAACTTTGTGGTCGGAGGAGGTTACCTGTCAACACATCTTCACTTTGAAATCGTAGATAAAACATGGGCCATCTTTCCGGGCCTTTTCTAGGCTTCCAGTATGATGGGAGATCACTACCCGTGGACTTTTCCTCTCGTCCGGCGTCCTCAATAACGCCAAAGCTTGAAGACGTGAATATTTCGTTCATCTCTTCAAAAAGAATATTCCCACCTAAAGATTTCTCAATAGGGTGGATCCCGAGGCTGATGAATTGCGAGTTTCTGGTTGCAGCAGGAACCGTGCTGATGCATCCATCGACAGAGATGCTACCATTCACTGCGGCCACTGGTATCCACGAATTGGATTCATCAGAGTCCGATAGTCCCGTTTGTGTTAAGAGACGGGATGTTTGCCGATCCGTGGCCAGCCCATCGAGACTGTTCATCCGGAGCTGACAGTTCTGCATGGCTTCGCGCAAAGATATCGAAACACTGCAGGGCCAGGCCAACAGCAAAGCAGTCAAGTCGTACGTGAGCGACTTGAATTCCTTTTCAAGATATGGCGGTGTGGAGAAAACAGATGCGCGGTGTTTTACCCTTACGGGCATTGACCCAAAGAGATCAAAAACAGCGACCCGCGTTCCATGGCTGAATGAAATGCGGTGCTGAACGGAAGGATCGGCGGTGTCTCTTGACGCTGCCGCGCCGTGGTGAACAGCTATAGAGCGATGCAAATCTTCCTCCTCAATTTTTGAAGAGATTATCACAAGTGATAACGCTGCGAGAGAAGCGAGAAAGTTTCCTTGGTGGCCATGATAGCTTGAGTAATGAGGAAAACGTGATGTGCCTGAATTTTACTGATGAGTGTTATGAATGTGCTGATCAGTAAAAAAGACATACTGTTCGCTTTCGCTAAACCGCCGTCTATTGTAAATTCCTTTGGTGGGATGCCCTCGCCATTATCTTCCACGGTGCAGTTTCCGCGAACGTAGTCGAGTACGATGCTGACTTTGCTGGCGCCGGCGTCCAACGAATTTTTCACCAGTCCGCATATGACCCCATTCAATGACACAATAGAAGAAGATGATATAATTTTGTCGATTACATCGTTAGGAAGCCGTTGGATTGACATGGCATGATGAGCGACACAGGTGACGAAGGGGAGTTGCCAGCCTGCCTTGACTGGCTCCACTAAATAAATCTAGCACCACTTTCTACTGGGGTAGCTTGAAGCACGGCAGGATCCGAATAGCAAGCATTCGGCTCGGCGGGGTTCGTGATACACATTTACGCTTCTCTAGAGCTTGAATCTTCCATTAACTGTCTCTTCACGCGACAGATAGTAGCGAGAGCCAGTCGAACGTATTGTGGTTAAGTTTGAGCATCTATGCAGTCACGTGATATTGGTGTACCTCTCCTCCCCCCCCTTCGTTACGTGCGCCGCGCTGCGTGACAGCCTAACTACCTGCATATCCACGCGGCGAAAGAACATCAGCTTACCATCAACAAAGACACGGCAAAATCTCGAGGGCGCTCTATTCCGCTAGAAGCATCTTCTCCCACCGTGCAAATACATAAACAGGAAGCGGTGCCATGATGACCAGCGAGGACATGATCCACGGAAGCCAGGGTAAATGCAACCATTTTGCATTGTTCATCACACTGACGAGACATCTACTTACACTCAGCAGATCGTCAACCTCAGCGTCGACGCCCATTTACAACTTGGGTTAAAAAGCTTACCAACTTCAAGAACTCGTCGGACCCCGAAAGAAATAAGCGACATGTCAAGCCTCGCAGAGGCGGCAAGCTGAACAATCCGTATCCCGAGTCCGGGACAATCAGCCAAAATCATGGCAACAGGCACCGATACAGCGAACATTCGTTCGCCACGCACCAAACCGGCGATACTTCAATCGCTGCCCACTCCGGTCGATATTCGGTAGATGATTTAGCACCACCCACAACTGGTGGAAGGAGCATGGCGGGCACGGCCTCGACTGAAAACGATGCTGCGCGATCTATTACTGCCCCTAGCCATGGCACAAGCTCCGTAACGGGCACCAGTCGGACTGTAGGAGGCGGTGTCGAATCTAGGCGAGGAGGCGATAGCACCTTCTCGAGCCCGGCTCCTTCGGTTCGCTCCTTGACCACGACTTTGACCACGATTCAATCCGTCGGACCAAATAACAACACGCAAGCACCGCAAAACAATCCAAGTGGCTCACACGGCCAGTCAATACAATTCAGCCAGCCATTTGCAACTCAATCTCCGGCATCTGCGATACCAGCACACTTGGCGCCACCAAGTAATCCGACAACCTATACTACTGCAACCGCCAATAACTTATTGACGGATAACGCCTCCATCCTGACCCTCGCTTCATCTAGCAAGCGACGCAGGCGTAGATCGATGGACACTGATGCTTCAGTGAGAGCACTAGCACCGTCGTCACTTTGGGGAGGCAGCCGGGAGAGTCTCCCGCTCAGTGTTCTTAGCTCAAACGTCGAGGGTGTGGTTCCTGGGGTGCACTCTAGCGGCCCAAGACTCGGAGCCGAGCGAAACAGTATGTATTCCACCACGGGGGCAGCTGCTGCTGCGCCTAGCGACCGCAACAGCCTATATACAAAGCAAGGTGATGGCGCCAGTGTGAGGAGCGGCCTCCTCGGCCACGGTCGACCAGACAGCATTGGGGGAGGAATCGGCAACCCTGGTACTGGATTGGCGAGTCCTATGGAAGTGCCAAATGATGGGTGCCCTAACTCTAAGCCTGAATAAAATGCCCTCAATGGGTGACTGGTATGGTTGGGCACTTTTGGGTCGATATAACGAGATGATTACGAATAGGTGAACTACTGGCTAGTGAACAGCGAGACTGCCGTAATTGGGAGATGAGGGACGGAACTTTCTGCGAGATACCCGCTACTTAAAGCACGATTGAATAGTTATTTTTGAAACATGAATACATATATTCTCTTCTGATGGTGAGAATATCCTGTGTCTGGGAAGTCTGCCCTGCCTGACTCTGCACCAGCCACTGGCGTGGAGTTAGCGCCACAGCTAGAGCTACCCCAGCTGTTGCCAGTCAGTGTCCCGCCGTCGTCATTGCGCTCTCACAAGCTTTGCCTTCAGTTCCTCAGCCAAATTCCATTCACACTACAAAATGGCCATCTCGGTAGGTTTCCTTTAGCAACTACAGCGCATTTACAGCAATCTATCGGCCGCTGCTCTCAGCTCATTCGCGCACCCGCTAACGCTGCGCAGTGGAAGTCGTTTGACTTCTTCGACGTCTCTCAGGTGGCCGCTCCCGAAGCCGAGGCTGCCCAACTATTCGAAAGCAACGATGTTTCAAGCGTATGCGCTGGCTCGGACAGCTTGTTCTTGGGATCGGGCGATGGATCTGTCAGCATTGTCGGCAAGAACTGGAAGGTGGTGAACAAATTCCAGGCGCACGAGGCGGGACAAGTAACGCACATGCGACAAGTTGAGGGAACCAGCATACTTGTCACGGTTGCGGTAAGTTGGGTGCTGCTTGAACAGCGCAACTTTGCAATCTTAACACAATTGTGTAGGAAGACTTGAGCAGCGAACCGGTTCTGAAAGCTTGGGCACTTGATAAGCTCGTCAAGAAGACAAACGTACCGACGTGTCTAAGTACAATCACGATCAGCAATGGCAGGCGACAGTTCCCGGTTTGTTACACCATCAGAAGGAAAGCTAGAGGCCTAGAAACTCACAGTCCGACATAGATCTCCGCCTTTGCTACCCTCGACGATCTCTCTCAAATTGCTGTCGGCTTTGCGAATGGTACCGTCACGGTCATTCGCGGCGATTTGATCCACGATCTCGGAACGAAACAACGAATAGTATACGAATCGGAAGAACCGGTCACCGGCGTGCAGCTAATGGAAGACGAAAAGATCACAACCCTCTTTGTGTCGACGACGTCCAGGATACTGAAGCTTGGCTTGTCAAAGAGAGGCCAGGGACTTCCACCAAAAACGGTCGAAGACAGTGGTTGTGCTGTTGGATGCATGACTCTGGACCCTGTCACAGGTGACATTGTCGTGGCAAGAGAGGATGCCATCTACACCTACAAATTGGATGGGCGTGGCCCCCCAAAGGCATATGAATCACCGAAGAAGATGATTGCTGTACACCAGGATTACATGGCACTGGCTTGCCCACCGGTCACTAGCAATGAGCCAGATTCTATACGTCGCCGCTTCACGAACGGGGCGGATGGGCTATTCGATTCGTCTACTTTCGTGCTGCTCGAGCCAGATCTACGCATCATCGCCCACACAGAGACTCTTATTTCGCCTGTCAAGTTCATCTTTGAGGTCTGGGGCGATATCTTTACGGTAACAGAGCAAGGAAAGGTAATTTTAGCCGCTGAATCTGATAATATCATATGCTAAAGCCTCCGCCAGGTCTACCGGTACCACGAAAAGTCAGTCCAGCAACGCTTGGATATGATATATCAACGAAACATGTTTCCACTAGCTTTGGAGCTCGCACGAAACTCTGGAATGGATAGCAAGGAACAGAGCGTTATTTATCGCAAGTTTGGCGATCATTTATACCAAAAAGCCGACTATGATGGCTCCATGGTACAGTATATTCGGGCAATCGACACCACTGAACCTTCGCAGGTCATTAGAAAGGTGAGTACCCAGCCACCATGCCACTACAGTCGCTAAGTATTTCAGTTCCTCGATACACAACGAATACATAATCTGATAAGGTATCTCGAAGAGCTGCATGAACATAGAAAGGCAACAGCAGATCACACAACGTTGCTGTTGAACTGCTATGCCAAGCTTAAAGACAAAGAGAAACTGGAAAAGTTTATCGAATCTCCTGGCGACCTGAAATTCGATCTTGACACAGCAATCTCGATGTGCAGACAAGGAGGCTACTACGAGCAAGCAGCTTACTTGGCAAAGAAGCACGGCGAAACAGAACTGGTGGTCGACATTCTGATTGAAGATTCAAAAAATCACGCCGCGGCGCTCGAATGTATTTGGCATCAAGATCCAGAAATTGTAAGCTCAACTCGAAGTCTACATAAAGGATGTGCTAATAAATTTGCCCAAGGCGTACCCTTGCTTGCGAAAGTATGCTCGAGTTCTCATTGAGCATTGTCCGAAGCCAGCGACCAAACTGTTTAGCGACTATTATACTGGTCGATACAGGCCGAAGCGAACGCCCGTCGCCGTGGTTGAAAGTGCTGGTCACTCGTCGAACGCATTCACCTCTGGCGCTGCCAGTGCTGTACAAAATCTTTCAAATCTCTTCACTCTGCCATACATCAGTCCTGCTTCAGCAACGGGCACACCGGCTGGTGCGAGACCAGCCGTGGAAGGTCTGCCCCCTAACGAAGATGACTTTCCGCCTCCCAAATACACGCCACCCGAGCCAAGAACGGCATTCTCGTCGTTCATCGATCATCCCGACGAGTTTATCGTGTTTTTGGAAGCTTGTTTGGAGGAGAAAAATATTCAAACGTCGGACCAAACAGATTTATATACAACCTTGTTCGAAATGTATCTGTATAAGGCTGGTGAGAAGAAGGGCCTGCACAGAGAAGAGTGGGAAGCAAAGGCAAAAAAGCTGATCGAGGGCGAGCATGTCCCCATGGAAAGCTCTAATGTCTTGTTGCTATCGCACTTGTCTAATTTCAAGGACGGCGCTGTGTTGGTCAAAGAGCAGGCTGGATTGTTGTCGGACATATTCCGGTCCTATACCTCGGCGCGAGACACTCAAGGAGCGATGAAAGCACTGCGAAAGTATGGCCCTGAGGAACCTCAGTTGTATCCCGCTGCCTTGGCATACTTGACTTCGGATCCGAAAATTCTGGAAGAAGCAGGGCAAGACGAACTTGCGGGCATCCTGGCTAAGATTGACAAAGATGGCTTGATGGCCCCCTTGCAAGTTATCCAGACATTGGTTGGCCAGTCTGCCGGTGGTGGCTTTGCGACAATGGGGATGATCAAGCCATATCTGCAGGAAACAATCACTCGGGAGCGAAAACAGATCTCGAGCAACCGTCACAGAATCAGAACACTGCGGACTGACACAGAAAAACGACGCGCCGAGATCGAAGAGCTGAACTCGAAACCTGCCATATTCCAGGCTACTCGATGTACGGAATGTGGCCAGGGGTTGGATTTGCCAACCGTCCACTTTCTATGCAAGCACAGTTTCCACGAAAGATGCTTGCGGAGTGGTACAGAAGAAGGCGCCGAATGCCCCAAGTGTGCGACTGGTAATGATATGATTCGCAAGATTCGACGAGGCCAACAGGAAGAGGTGGATAAACACGACCTCTTTAAGTCTGCTTTGGAGAGGAGCGAGGATAAATTTGGCACTATTGCAGAGTGGTACTCACATGGGGTGATGGACGCGTCTCAAAATGCAGAGCATGCTCCGTAACAAGTCCATTGGCAGAAGATGTAGTCGACGGATTGATACATGTTTATAGCGCGCAGTTGGGAATTAATTTAATACCTTGAAGATTGAATCGCGCCCATCCTGTCCGCGAATCGGCGTCGTCGGAGGCAACACTGTACCTGCTATGCTGCAACCATGTCGCATGGCAGTTCTTTTTGTCTTGGTTGGAACCAATAACTAAATGCCTGCAACGTCACATAAAATGAGAACCGTTGGGCTTTCTCTGGCGCTGCTCGCATGCTCTGCTGACACGAGCCAGCGGGCTTTCCATCTGAGGCATATACCGCTCTTTCACGATGATCCTGGCATCGCGCGCGCGATTGGTTGTCGACGACCAAAAGAGAAGCCCCGGCATTAATAACGCCAACGTGCCCTTTCCTGGGGGGGGGGGGGGGGGGCGCGTGTGCGCATCTGCCGAGACGTTTGGCCACGACAGACAAAGATCGAATCTAGGTGAAACCCGGTGGACGTGACTTGGCGAGTCAGCTGCCTTCTTTGGGCATTCCAAATTGTCCGTCGTCGATTTTTGACTGGGCGTCGCAGAAAAATAAAGAGGGTTGCGGGTGCCGTATTTTCGACTTCTGAGACGGGGGCAATAGTCAAGGTTGGGGGGAGAATTCGACAAGTTACAACTCAAATCATTTATTTATTGAGGCACTCAGCCTCGACCACTTCATCAGCGAATGTCACCGCCTGGATATCATGGATCAGGGTATCTACTCACAGAAAGCCTCTCCACACGGGAGGGCTGCCTGCCTGGCTGCTTCAGGCGGTTCTTGGCTCGTGGCTTGACGAATGCCATGAGAGAGGGGGAGGTGTTGTCGGAAATGCGAACTTTTTTGCAATTGTGCGTGAGGGGAACGATGCTCATCTAAGATCCTCAAGAAAAGGTCAGCCGCTGTAATTCGATGGTCTAGCATTCCCAGTCTCGGATCAATCTGAAGAGACAGCGCTCACCGCACTAGTCACAACAACGGACAGCATTTCATCTGACGGCATCACCAGATGGCAGAGGTGTAATTCGTACATATGGGGTATAACCACCTGTCTGATCATTCGGCCGGGCAATCATGCTAGCCCCGAGCTTGTGCCAACTTATTTTAATTCGTCCGGCAGCTCCAGTTTCAAATTGTTTCGGCCCCCTCCCAACTCGACTATCTCCGTCCACTTTACCCAAGTGTCCGGCTCAGAAATCAGCCAACGACAGGCGCCTTTCCCCCTTCCCTTGTCAATCCTTGCTTGCTGACAGCGCCTTCCTCCGAGGAAGGGGATGCCTCTTGGCTTTGGAAGCATTGCGAAGCCAAGGATCTAGACAACACTCTCACACAGTCGTGGTTGGCTCCGCCGTCAAACTCAATCAATCAAGGTGGGCGGCGACTCGGCTTTCAATGGCTCGGGGCGGCAGTATGAGCCGTCTTGAACCCAGCTGAAGTGAGCGCTCATGGTATCCTTTCCCTCGTTTAGTAGTAGGAGAATTATGTAGTTAGTTAGTGGTAAGCCGCAAAGCCAATGGGGGCCGACACGATCGCCCCGGCGTCGATATGCGGATGGGACAGAGCCAGGGGAGGGGGGGGATTGGTTTTGCAGGATGGCTCATTAATGGCTATGCTGCCGGTTGCTTATTACCCTTTTCCCTCTTTTCTTCCCACGCTTCCTGTTTTATGAAGAAGGAGGCTAGTCTGCGTTCATTGTTGTAACCATCACCGGCCACAAAACTACAACAAACTTCCGACTTCCACCCCCTAGCCGCCTCTTCCGTCTTCCTGGGTGGCAATGGTGCCGGCACTGTTGGTCTGAATCGACGCTGGGTGAAGAAACAAAACGAGGCCATGATGGGGAAAGGCGGCGACGTGAGCGTGTTGGCGTGCGCCATCGGCCTCTTGTACTCTCTGGCCATCTGCGCCTTTGTGGTCCGTGTCTGGGCGAGACGAAGGACGAGGCGCTGGGATGTCGACGACTACGCCTACACGGCTGCTTTTGTAAGAGAGAACGAATAGCGGGACAACCTCGTCGACGGTTGAACTGAAATGAGAGAGCCGAGATGACTAACCGTTGTTGCCTTTGGCCTCCGTCTAGATCGTGGCCGTCGCCCACGCCGTCCTGACCTCGTTCTGCATCGCCAACGGCTACGGCCATCGCGCGCAAGAGCTGAACGCCTCCAACCTGGACGCCGTCCAAATCGTACGCCCACCCGGCCTTGGCCGCCCTCCTTCTTTCCCGGGAAAATTGTTTGACTAACATGGAGAGGGACAACGAAAGGCGTACTACGTCGCCCAACTCACCTACGTGCTGTGCTTCGGCCTCGCGCGGATGTCCTGCGCGCTGTCCGTGAGCTTCGCTGCCCACGGCACGTCGCTCGTCTGGCCGGCGCGGACGACGGCGGCGCTCGCGGGCGTCTGGGCCGTGGCCTCGGTGCTGTGCCTGGCGCTCATCGACAACGCCGACCGGCCCTGGACGGGAATCGAGACCAAGTCTATTGTGAGAGCCTCCTTTTCCCTCTTGTCATTCCCCTCCTTGCCGAAGAAGAGGCAGCTAATAACGAAATCAACGCTGGCAGTTCTTTCGATGGCTCGGGATCGAATCTACAGGCGTACTGCTCGAGCTGTCGCTGTTCATCCTCTCCACGAGCGTCGTCTGGAACATCCCGCTCGCTCCGCCCCGGCGTCTGCAACTAGCAGCCGTGTTTGGCATCCGTCTATTGTAAGGGGCCCCGGGCACATCTCCGTACGTGTTTATGCTGACCCCTGCGCAAGCTTGATACCGGTCATCTCCGCACGGCTCATCTTCCTCCAGCCGCTGAGCAGCTCCGCCCCCGCGTGGACCGCCACGGCGCCGACGCTGCTCACCGAAGCCGCCCTTTCCCTGTCCGTCACCATCGGCTGCGCCGTCGCCGCCCTGCACCCGAAGGCGGCCAACGTCAACGAGGAGGAGGGCGGCCCGACGACACTTTCCAAGATGGGCGGCGGCGAGCGCTATTATCGCCTGGACCGGCTCCATAGCAGCCCCAGCAAGCATGGGGGCGGGGCGCGGGCGCTCCGCGTCGGGAGGTTGAGGACGAGGTACCGCCCGGTGACGCCGGACCTGGACTGGAAGCCCTATCAAGGCTTCACGGAGGCATCCGAGGCCACAGCGTACCCCCCGCGCGTGCACATCTCGAGCGGAAGGGAGAGGGCCGACGCAGGCGTGGAGGGAGGGAGCGGGGGTCGGATGACGGAGCCGACGACGCCTCCGAGCACGCCGCTGCCGATGGGGATTCACAGGAGGACGGAGGTGATTATAGAATACACCTGAGCGCGGAGGCACGGCCACCTGCTACTTAAGAATCACCAAATGATGGCTGGTCTCGTGTGTGTCCGAGCATAACGCCTCAGTTCCGAGTCTGCCTGGGTCCGGACCCAGCGCCGACAGCCCCAGGCGATCCTCGCCTTCATGGAGGCCCTACACGCAGACGGAACGCGAAGCGGGAGGGACCGAACAGAGCAAGCTCAGACCTCCCTTCCCAAATACAACGGCAAAAGGTAACAGAGACTTTGCCACAGGTGCACGCATACCTGGTATCATGCTTGGATAGCGACGGCACGGAAGCTGCCCTGGTTCCGCCACCTACACCAAACTCACCACAACCAACGACCAACCTCCAACTAGTTAGTACATATGAATGATACCCACCACTTACCATAGCTTCAAGCCTTTTAGAGCAAAGTCACCAGATGAAACACGTTTGAATAGAGAGATGCGAGTCGAGCAACGTAGACAGTAAACGTGTCTGCAATCTTGTTGTATAAGTGTAATGCCGAAACCAAAGTTCATCTTCTTGCAATATGTCCGTAAATGCACGTGTTCGATAGGAAAAAAGCAAAAACGCCGAGTGGTCCCCAAACATCCCAAGATCATAACGTCGTATCCTGCTTCGTCTTCCAACCAGAAGCTCTTCCAAGAAGCTAGGAGTGTTCAACCATCACACACTCACAATTCCCAAACCCATCCATCCATATTCATGTAAGTCCCGATATCCTTATACTCATGACGATAAAAGCCATTCCAAAAAAAAAGAGACGCCTGATATAAATATCAAATACAAATGCAAGAACAAATTCATGAGAGAAAATACAGCGCCCATGGAGTCGTCTCAAGACTCGATAGTCTCTTGCTGCACTTTGATGGCGACAGCATCCCACCAGGTGCCGTGCGCGGCCCGGTCAACTGAGCCGACCTTGTCAAGCAGATCAGAAATCTGCCTGACGCGGTCGACAAACTCAGACAGGCCCAGGCTGGCAAGTTTCTCGCCCGCCATGTTCGCCGCCTTGACCTTTTCGTTCGCCGACGAGGAGCCGGGGACGAGTCTAGCCAAGATGTTGCCGCGGAGCCGAGTGAGCAGCAAGCGAAGCACCGGCTGCGTCGGCTCGGCGCCGGTCCGAGCCATCTCCTGCGATGCTTCCAGAACTTTGCGCACGAGCTGCCGCAGCTGCGTCTTTGTCGCCGTAGGCATGGACCGGCCAGCCTCCAACGCAGCCATGGTGCCGTTCAGGGTGGTGTCGACAGATGAATGCTCATTCTCAAGCACCGCCAGGATGCGAGAAGCCTCCATCTTCCACTGTGAGCGGACATCCCGCTTCAGCAGGTTTTTGCACTGCAGTAGCACTGCACCGACTGTAATGATTCGTTGCACCATGGTCGAAACCTTGGTAATGCGTGAAATGTCCAGGCGCAGCATTTCCGGTACCTGATCGGGCGAAATAGGCAGCGCGAGGGTCGTGAAAACATCCACGAGCATCTGCGCATAGAACCGTGAGGCAGTGGGCCGCGATTTCGGGTGGTTGATGCCTTCTGGATCGCGGCGCTGGACCTCAGCCATCACCTTGTTAGTAGCCTCTCGCCAAGCATTTTCAGCAACAATGAGGCGGACATCGCCAGCCGCAATCTCCTGCGCGAAGAGCTTTGCTTCATACTGTGCCGCAGACTCAATAAGTTGCGGCGCAAACACGCACAGCAAATAGTTGACATGGTCGCAGAGCATCACATCGATGAACCCAATCAATGCCTCAACGCGATCGATGACATTGCCGTCAGCCAACTTGTCCCGGATAAGGGTATTGAGTTCCTCATCACGGACCGGGGCACAGAGCTTGGGCAACAGGGATGCCATGGCAGTGAAGAAATGTTCGTAGGAAAAGTTGCCCACCGTAAACTGCCGTTCTGCCATTTCAAGGTCAAGGATCTCGCCAATGAGATTGTACATCGAGTTCCCCGGCGTGAGCCGCTGTAGCTTATCCCTGATAGTACCTGCCATGCCGAGAAAGATGCGAAAGTTGGCTTCGTCATCATCTGCATAAACAACTGCCCTGATATGCGTGTATAGAGGTCTAAAGGTTGCAGCTTGCTGCTCGACATATTCCTCTGTCGGTATCTGGTACTCTTTATTGATTGCGAGCTCATGCACAACGACACGGTTGTCGGGAAGCAAGCCCGCCAACCCGGTCTTGGGTGCGGATGATTGCTGGTGGCTTGAGCTCCGGCCCTGACCTCGACCAAGTGGTGTCGAGGGAGGTGTGAGGGTCTGCGAATCTGGAGACACGAGGCTGCTGGCAGTTGCAGAAGCATCGCCAGCCGAGTTGTCAGCAACTCGCGGTTTAGTGTCACCGGTAGTTTGCTTCTTGGCTTTGCGGGCGTTGCGCGCTTCGGCAACGGCCGCGAAAATCAACTTCCTTCCCTTTTCTTGGCCGGCCAGCCGCTTGATACGGGCGATCAACATTACTTGGCTCTCTTGAATGCTCTTTCGATATACGTCAGCGGCGGCATCGTCGGTACTATCTTTGACTGTTTGGTAGATGGCGTCAAGCTCGACAAACTGCATGACCATGACCTCCACAAGAGCGTTAGAGTCACGAGACTTCCAGGCGATGAAGGCATTGTAAAACACCGCGTAAGCTTCGGGGATGACGTTGCGCATAGAGGGTGGAACCGTGTAACGGTGGCCGGGTGTGAGCCAAGACAGGATATTCTCAAATGAAATGAGAAGGTCTTTGGCTTTACCAATGAGATCTTGAAGCTGAGGATTGCTCAAGTCAGCCGCCGGCAAGCGGTTTGTTGCAGCGGCGGGTTTTTCAAGATCGCTATTCGATCGAGTAGGATCATCCTTGGTGCTCAGGACTTTGTTGGGGTGGCCGAGGATCATGAAAGCACTCATAAAAGTGCGGCAAGCAGCCATCTCCGCAACAGAGTTGGGCTCGCCTTCTTGCAGACCGCAGAGACGTAGCAGACGGGCAGTAACATGAAGTACACTTTCTTGGGAAAGTAACTCAACGACGGTGTCGAAATCGGTGTCTCGAATGCCGTCAATGCTTATGCCAAGTTTGTAGAACTCGTCAATAGCTCGTTTACGGAGAATGGAGCTCCACCAGCCATGGATAAGCAGCGCGGCATCCTGATCAGACAGCTTGCGGGCCTCGCGCTCGTTCACACGAGCCAGTACGTCAACAGATTTCTTGGAGGCGCTGTTGACGCGGGTCTTGCGAGAAGCATTTTTGGAGAGTAGTTCCTCACGGCGGCGCTGGGCCTCGGCCATGCGCTCCTCCAACTGGGTTTTGATGCGGGCGACTTCCTGCTCACGCTTCTCTTTGGTCTGTTCGGCAACCTGCTTGGCTTTCCGTACTTCCTCAGCGCAAGTGGCGGCGATTTCTGCAAGATTGCGGTCTCTCGCCTGCTGGGCTGCGAGGGCCTTCTCTTCCGAGGCCTGGCCACGTGGGGCGGCCTTTGCGATGGCAGCTCTCAGACGAACCTTTTCTGCGTGAGCAGCACGGTCGGCCAGACGGGCTCTGCGATCTTCGAGGAAGGAGGCTCGGCGAAGGTGTTGGGCGACATATTTGCTCTGCTGATCGGGATGGGTGGAAGATGCGTGGATGGAAGAGCAGCGGGAATGGGCGGAGGAGATGGAGTTTCGTCGAGATGAAGCGGCGGAGTCACGGCGCCGGGCGTGCGAGGGGCGGTAGAAGCGGTCGGCAATGCGCTGCGGCGGCGGATAGATGCGGGCATCCTGATCGCGAGAATCTTCGCTGGCCCATACCGTTGGGAGATCGAGATCCAGGTCGAGGTCCATGGCGTTGCCGTCAGAAGGCTCGGCGTTTGACTCTTCGATGTTACGAGAGGGCTCGCTCAGGTCCATAGATGGTCGGCGCATCTTTGGTGGGTTGGCCGGTGGTGCTGAAGATAAACTGAATCTATACCGATGAGGTGGCTGGCGTTTCAGCGCCAGAGGCCGAGGGAGCGGCGAGCTGGTCGTCTATGTCTCTGAATGAATGCGGATGCAAATGCGATGCTGATGTATGCAAGGTCGTGGGGCGGTGGTTGGGTGTCTGGGCGAAGCCTGGCTTGGTCGACTTGCGCGTCCCGTCGCAGGAGAGGGCAAAGACAATAATAATACAGGGAAAAAAGGGCCCGGGCGCGCAGAAGGTTTATGCAAGAGGCGGCGGTGCAGGGAGGAGCGTGAACCGTGCCGTATTTTGGTCGATGTGACGAGGAAACATGGATGTATCTTGGCAACCGGGGTAGATAGATGAGCGGCGAGATGGCGCGTGATGGGAGTTGTCTTGGGATGACGCAAGGAGCAAAGCCTGTCGCGAAATGCAGGTCTCAAGATCCCCCACCAGGGCGTTTGGAAGGTTGTGGAAGGAGAGAGAGGCGATGACAGAGCAAGGAGTTGGTTGGCTGGAGAGGACGGCAACGGGGAAGATGACGCTGGGAACGGCACAGGTGCCGATTTGAAGGAGAAACTAGGGTTGGTGCATTTGATTTTGCGAGCGAAAGAGTTGGACTGTTGATGTTTGCGGCTGAAGCAGTTCGAGATGTGCTAACTACTTGCAACGTCTACAGGTACCTGTGAGCAGAAATGCACCATAATTTGCTAGAGGTTTGCTCAGAATTACTCGAGGCCCACTGTAGATAGTTAGTTTGGTGTAGTTTGCCGCTAAGTCTTCAGCCACTTCAGCGACCAGAGGATGAAGATGATAAGTTGAGGAAGTGGATTTGAGGGATACTGATGTTAGTTATATGAGTTGACGGGATTATTTTGCTCATTATTATCCCTTTACCATGGCTATTTAATCTTTGTATCTCATGTTATTTCTGTAGATACTCGGTAGTTGCAGGCGGAGGGGTAACGCAATATGCCCAGCCACCGATTTTACGAGTCGCCAATCTACCTTGATCAGATGAGACAAAGTAAATGCAGCTATTATTGGATCTTTTGGCTAGTTAGGGGGCGCAGTCGAATGGCTCAATATTTAACCCCAAGATTCACACAAACGGCTGAGGACTTTGGAGACAAGTGGCGGTGGTTTAAACATCAGCCACAGCTACTTTAGGCACCGCCACGTGAGTTGTGGCGTCAAACGTTGTCAGCAAGCACCCTCACATTGAAGAATAATTTGCATCATCAGAGGCAACGAGCAGAGCGACTTAGCCAGCTTCATGTCCACGACATGGAGAGTGGCCAACCACGCAGCACCAAGGCTACCGAATTCATTCTGTAGTCATCTTTTCACCCGATTTTGAAAGCAATTGGCTTGTCCGGCTGCTCAGATTCGCGCTCACGGTAAGGGGCTGCTAACCATTTGAACGACTGGGCCTGCATCACGAAGCAGTCGGCGCGACGGGCCACGACTCAGGGGTCATCAAGCACCATACCGCAGCCACACCGCGGTGAACAGCAATCACCCTACCCGAATCTTGCTGCGCATATGGTTTGCATCCGGGTGGCTGCAACATGATGGATTGCCCAATTCGGCAAGCTGCCCGCTGCTGGCGCCTGACAAGCTTCAGCGCTGTTCGAGCTGCTGCTAGCGGGCAAAAGGCCCTGCAGCGGACATCACTCAATGTCTCGACGGGCCGAAGCCGAAGCAAGGCGACGCTGGCCACAGTCGGCTTAGGTGGGCGCTGTCAACTACACCAACAAGTGACGTCGGTACCGCAGCCGGGCATACGACCGGGGATGCGAAGGGTACCGTTGCCGGGACCGACCCGGAGTGGGATGACTATGAGGTGAGTTTTTTTCTTTGCTTTCCAAACATCGTCGAGCGAGCGATGCAAGTGATGGCCGCCCCCAAACCAAGAAAACTTCCGGTAGCGCCGGCTTGCGTTATGGCGTGCGTTACGGCGTAGTTTACAGCAACAGAGCGCCGAGCCAGCCAGTGCAGTACGGATGCCGCTTTCAACAGTGTTGTCTCGCGCTGTAATTTGAATTTTACATTTTTTTTATGTACTATACTTTCTGCCCCCTTTATCTTTCTTATCCCTTTATATATCTTTTTCATTCTCTCATCATTTTCTCCGTCTTTTGCTTTCTATACTTCCTTTTATTCCTCTTATACTAGCGCCTCCCGCTTGCCCCTCCATCCCACCGCCCCGCATCAACCAAGTCCCCGCCGGTCACAAACCCCCCAGCTCATGATACTTGCCTTCTCTGTTTGACAAAACTTCTTACGTTATACGTGGCTCTCATTCTCGTACTCCCTTTTCCTACATCCTTCTCCCCAATCCATCTTGCTTTGCCCCTCTTCTTTTCTTCAGCCGCCATCTTGTCCGCCCTCCTGTCTGTGACGCTGCTCTCCCTAGAAGCTTCACTTCAAGCTGCTGACTTCAGTCTGTCCTGCCCCGCCTAGACTTTTACACAATACATCACCGCGAACTTGTTCCGCCGCTTCGCGTGCGAGATACGCCGAAACCATGTCTGATCGCGAGGTACTCCCCGACAATGTCAAGCCTAACCACTATGCGTTGTCAATCAAAGACATCGAGTTCAAGAACTGGACCTACCAGGGCACCGTAACGTTAGTACCACCTGCCGCTGCCCCTCCCGCCATGGCGTTCAGTCATAACGCGATAGCTACAAGATGGTCATCTATGTTTCGAAATCCTGACCCTAGCTTTTAGAATCGAGTCCGAAATCGTCAAGCCTACTAACCAGATCATTGTCAATACCCTCGAACTCACGCTGCTCCGTGCCAAAGTTTCGGTCGACCACACAAAATCCACTCAGAGCTGGGAATCTACAAACTTCTCCAATGACGAGAAGGCCCAGCGTACTACCGTCACCTTTGACCAGGAGATCCCTGTCTCCAGCAAGGCCACTGTTGTCATTGAGTTTCAGGGCATTATCAACAACGACATGGCCGGTTTCTACCGCTCCAAGTACAAGCCTGTCGCTGGCACTACCCCCGCCGCCTCCGTTCCCTTCGACGATGAGTGGCACTACATGTTCAGCACCCAGTTTGAGTCCTGCGATGCTCGCAGGGCTTTCCCTTGCTTCGACGAGCCGAATCTCAAGGCGACCTTTGATTTTGAGATTGAAGTCCCCGTTGACCAGGTCGCCCTCAGCAACATGCCTGTTAAGGAGACCAAGCCGTCCCGAGATGGCTGGCAGGTCGTCTCCTTCGAGACTTCTCCTCGCATGAGCTCTTACCTGCTTGCCTGGGCTGTTGGAGACTTTGAGTACGTCGAAGCCTTCACCGACCGTCGCTATAACGGCAAGCAGCTCCCCGTTCGTGTCTACACTACTCGCGGCCTGAAGGAGCAGGGTCGCTGGGCCCTTGAGCACGCCCCTCAGACCATCGACTTCTTCTCGGAGATCTTCGATATTGACTATCCTCTGCCCAAGTCTGATCTTCTTGCTGTCCACGAGTTCACCCACGGTGCGATGGAAAACTGGGGACTTGTCACCTACAGGACCACTCGCGTCCTCTATGATGAAAAGACCTCTTCGCCCCGTCTGAAGAACGACATTGCCTATGTCGTTGCCCACGAACTGGCTCACCAGTGGTTTGGTAACCTCGTCACCATGGATTGGTGGGATGAGCTCTGGCTTAACGAAGGTTTTGCTACTTGGGTTGGCTGGTACGCTGTCGACCACATCCACCCTGACTGGGAGGTTTGGGCCCAGTTCGTCAACGAAGGCATGGAAACTGCGTTCAAGCTCGACGGCCTCCGCGCCAGTCACCCCATCCACGTTCCCGTCCGCGATGCCCTGGACGTCAACCAGATCTTCGACAGCATCAGCTACCTCAAGGGATGCTCCAGCATTCGCATGCTTGCCAACCACCTCGGCGTCAAAACTTTCCTCAAGGGTGTATCCAGCTACCTGAAGGCCAATGCCTACAAGAATGCCAAGACCTCCGACCTTTGGGCTCACCTCAGCGAGGCCTCGGGCAAGAAGGTCGACCAACTTATGGGTCCCTGGATTGGCAAGATTGGCCACCCGGTCATTACGGTTTCCGAGCAGCCCGGCCAGCTCTCCGTCAAGCAGGCTCGCTTCCTCTCTAGTGGTGACGTCAAGCCCGAGGACGACACCACCACCTGGTGGGTGCCTCTCGGTCTTGAGGGCAAGAAAGGTGAAGCTGGTATTTCCTCTGTCGAGCTGAATGCTAAGGAGGAGACGATCAACGACGTCGACGATGACTTTTACAAATTCAATACCGGGGCCACGGGTTTCTTCCGCGTAAACTACCCCGAGTCGCGTTTGGTAAAACTCGGCTCTCAGCTTGACCGTCTCGAGCCCGTCGACAAGATGGCTATCATTGGATCTACTGCTGGTCTCGCGTTTGCTGGTAACTGTAGCACTGCTAGCCTTCTCACCTTCCTTAGCTCCTTTGCCAACGAGACTCACCCTCTAGTCTGGAGCCAGGTGCTCGATGCCATCTCTGGTATCAAGAGTGTCTTTAACCAGGACGAGGCTATTCGCACTGGCCTCGACAGATTCACCATTAAGTTGATTTCGAACCGTATCAAGGCCCTTGGCTTCGACCCTGCTGAGAATGAATCCTATCTCACCATTCAGTCACGAACTCATGTTCTGAACAGCGCTATATCAAGCCGTCACCCCGAGTAAGTGGTGCATTTGGAAGGCTCGTATCAGCTCATGACTAATTCGATATCAGGACGCTTGCGGAGGCTTTGAAACGATTCAATGCCTGGGCTGAAAATCCCGAGGCTAGCACGCTCCATCCTTCGCTCCTCTCGCCTGTGCTTCGAGCCGGTATTGTTGGTGACACGACCCGTGCTGTTGACTTTCTGAAGAAGGAGTGGTTCAACACCAAGTCTGTCGATGGCAAGCTTGTCATCTCCCGCGCTCTTGGCTTTGTCCCTGATGGTGAAATTATCAAGAATGAGATTATCCCCTTCAACTTCAACTCGTCACCACGCGACAACAACACGGCTGATATGCACTTCCTCGGCGCCAACCTCGCCAACAACCCCCAAGGCCGCCATTCCCAGTGGCAGTACATGAAGGATAACTGGGCCACCTGCCTCGAGAAGCTCTCCAACCCCATTGTCTTGGATCGCTTCATTCGTTCCACGCTGAGCAGCTTTGTCGATGACGCCGATGTTGCCGATATCACCGCTTTCTTCCAGGACAAGGATGTCAGCAGCTACAACCGCACTCTGGAGACGGCCAAAGACAAGTCGAGCGCGAGAGCCGCCTACAGGAAGCGCGATGCAGGCGCCATCAAGGAATGGCTCGCCGCGAACGGATACTGACTGCAGCCTCGGCAAGAAACGGGCAGATTATAGCAGGGCGTGTATCGGGCGTGAAAAAGTTGTTGTTGATGTAGGTGTGTTTAAATAAAGTTCATGATATCCAGCAAAGTAACTACCGTCTTAGCCTGATGGCATGTGGCAAGTCCTGTTTACGAGTCAAGACACTTGAATTTTTAGGCCAGGATGACGTCTTCTTATTGCTGTCTCCATATGCCGAACCCCACCGTGGAAGACGAACCTGAGCCAAAATTTGTGAGCGAATGCTTTCTTCGCCGAACTAGGTCTCCATTTTGTATTGAGGCTATGCGCTGTCCTTGACTAGTTGTTGTGATGTGTTCGGTGCTCGGCGGTGCTTGGTAGACCATGTGTAGGACCATGGCCACAGCAGCGTCGCTGTGCGAACTTTCCACCCGGCCGCCGTACGGCGTCGTCAGGCGTCACTTGTTACCTGTTCTGGTCAAACCCGACTAGATAATCTGCAGCATCTTGAAGGTGTGCCTGGCCCCTCGGTTATCATAGCGGGCAGCACCGGGTTCCCGACAGCACCAGGTCCCCAGCGTAGCCGCCAAGGACCGCTCTCCGAAGGCACCGGCCCCGGCACTTATAAACGAAGTGCCCCTCATTGACAATGTTGCTACTACGTTTTTTTTTTTTTGAATTGAAAAACGCTCTTCTCCCATCTTGTTGATTGCTAAAAACTTACATCGCTCTACCACTTTCCCTGACTTTCGCATTTCGCTTCCCGGTCTGGCGCGCCGCCGACTTGACTAACACCAACCAACGCCTTGACTCGAGCCAAGCGAGAATAACAAGGACACCGATTCATCAACGAGATATGACGACGACGACATCCAAGGTGGAAGACGCCGTCGCGGCCGACGTGCCCACCCTCGGCGCGATGCACATCAACGCCTTTGACGACAACTTTCCGGTGCCGCTCTTCGTGAAGCCATACGCCGTCGCGGGCTGGGGGAAATTTGTCCGGCGCGCCGCCGACCCAGCCCCCGCCTCCGGCTCATCAGGCTTGCAGCCGCGGGTCGGCGTGATCCGCGACGACTCTGGTAACCGAAACTGGTCCCCGCAAGCACTGGGAGAGAGAGAGAGAGAGAGAGAGAGAGAGGACTTGGTTTGTCGGCTAACCTGCGCGCTTGTAGGGACGGCGAAGGCGGCGTGCCTGCTGTGGATTGCGCGGGACCGGGAGGCCGTGGACGGGCTGTACGGCGCGTGGAGGGACGCTTGGGGCGAGCCGCACGAGGGCATGGTGCCGGACAGGCTGGACACCTTCTTCGGCGACATGAAGGCGCAGCACAGGACCGTCATGGGCCGCAACCCTCACATGTGTATTTTTTTTTTTTTTTTTTTGCTGGGGTCAGTTTTTTCTGATGATGGCGTAGACTTGGAAATCATCATGGCACACTCGACGGCGCGAGGGAAAGGATACGGCAAGGCGCTGCTGCTGTTTGCGAACGAGCTCGCGGACGAGTTGGGGCTGCCGCTGTACCTGGATGCCGACGAGGACGTGGTGGGGTTGTACGAGCGCGTGGGCTATGTGCGGCAGCCGGAGGAGGTGCGTGAGAGCAAGGGACTGGTGCCCATGGTGCGCGCGGCTCATGGAGGTTAGGTGTCTGTGGACGTTGGGATGTATAGCTGCACTGTCTGGAGGCCGGATATGTGGCAGTGTCGTCGATGTCTGCATCGAGGAGGTGCGTCGTACGAGAGGCGGGCGGCCGACAGGAATAGACTCCGGAAGGGGTCTACCCCAGCTTCAACAAAGAAAGTTTTCAGGCTAGACTGACTGTGCTGATAAGTCGAGGCTCGCTTGTATCGTCTTGCGGGGATGCAGGAAGCGCCTTGTGAAGCCTCTCCGCCTGGGCAGCATGCTCGCCTGCCATTCATTGCTCGCGTGTAACAAGCAGATAAATGTCTACATGACAGCGCATGTGCAGTGCCGTCATGCCTTGACTACTTGTTTCTGAGCCCGGAGACTTGATACTCTAGTGGCCTGTGTCTTGACAGCGACACAAGGCGTCTCTTCCACCATACAGGTCTACGACAACAAGTGTTCAAGTGTGTATGCAAGTTTTACAAAAGAAAAAGAGCTTTTTTTTTATTGTTTTCTAGCTTTTATGCTTTGGTCGTTGCTTTGTTATTAGTTCGAGTAAACAAATGATACCAGCCCTGGCATGAAACAAAATCTTGAACGAAACAAGAGTTGCCTAGTAGCGAAAGGTTGAAAAAGCATCGTCAAATTGTAGTCGTTTCGAGAGCTGCAAACGGAATCCTGGAAGCTCACGACAGCTCTCCCCTCACAAGTTCGTTTGTCTGTGCCCTCGTGGGGGGTTTCTTGATCGATCCGAACCACACCCAGCGGCTTCTTCATGCGAGGGCCGGCAGTTGTGTAGGTTGGGCATGGGTGTAGGTATCTTTCCCGTATGAGGGGCTTGGGTGTGCCTTGACGTGGGGACACGGAGGGGCTTCTTGGTAGTGGAAGTCATCTCGCAACAGCTACTTCCACGCGGGCGCATTCTGTGGCTCGTGGCTCACCGGGAACGTAGCCGGCGCGGGCTGGTGTTCGCGGGGCGAGGCGTAGGTGTTGGTGGTGTTTTGCTGGGTCGCAGCCTCGTCGTCGTCCTCATCGTCGTCGTCGTCGTCGTCGTCGTCGTCGTCCTCATCCTCTGTGCTGTCAGGCGATGTGTCGACTAGCATCACCGCGTTGCTGGACTCCTCCGGCACCTGTGCCAAAAGTAGTAAAATCTCCCCGACCCTGAGGTCGCCTGAGGTTTGCTGGTTTGCTACGGCGTTCTCGTCCTCGCCCCCCACCTCCTCCTGCTGTCGGACGGGCAGGAAGGACGGGGCATCCTCGATCTCGGTGTCAGGTGAGGCCGGCTGGCTGCCAACCTCACCCTCTTTGGAGAACGAGCCGTCAGAGGCGCGGCTGTCGGCTGACGTTGCGAGCGATCTAGCATCGTCCTCGCCCTCGCCCTGTGTGCTTGGCAGGGTAGGTGGACGGCTTGAGAGGCCTGCAGGCCCGTGGTAATATGCGGCAGTGGCGTCGGCCTGGCTGCTGCTCGGGGTATTCTCTGTGGCCCCTAGCATCGGGGGTGAACACGCAGCATGTCCGGGGCGATCGCCGACCGCCCCGAACGGGGGATTGTCGTCCGAGGAGAGGCGGCGGCTCAAGAAGCCAGGGGCGGGCGTTGAGTATTGCATCGGATCCTGGAGTGACTGGTCGACATCCATCGAGTATGTATGAAGCTGGCCTTGTGGCAACGCAAAAGACTCATCGTCGCGCTCGAAATGCGAATACCACGAGCTGCTCTGAACGCCACCAGTGAGTGGTCCTTGGGGCCGCCTCAACTGCTCGGCGATTTTCGGCTCTTGAATCATCTCCGTGGCGGTGTCGTTCTCGGCGCGCCACGCCTCGGGCGGCTGGCTTTGCCAGCCAGGCGTGAGGTTGTCCACAATGCGTCTTTGATCCAGAACCCGTAACAGACTATTCATGGCCACTTGGTTCTCCCTAAGATCTTTTTTGAGATCCTGGAGCTCATTTCTGAGATTATGGCAGTTCTGCTCGAGTTCTTCTCCGAGACTCTGGCAGTGCTGCTCGAATTTCTTTCTGAGTTCCTGGTTCTCGAGCCGTAGTGCGTTGTTGTCATGTTGCCGTGCCTGCACCTCATTCCGCAGCGCGTGCAGATCTTGCATGATCCGCGCCTGTCCTATTTGCATGAACACCTCAGCTTGCAACTGTTGCATCTGCTCATGCAGTATGAAAAGCAGGGTGTCTGTCCCCTCTCGACAGTAGTAGCAGACTCGGAACGACTCGTGTTGCTGATCGGCACCCCCGTTAGATTGTAGTTGGGGCGACGGGCCTAGATGTACCAAGACTGTTAGTATATATACCGATAATTCTCCAAGATTGCCTTCTTAAGCAGGTCGGGCGTGAACCATCGCTCGGATGATGGTATCTTGTAGCTTGACTCACTATCGGAATTTACGTCGAGGAACATGACACGATCCGTCTGGTTGACATTTGCGTGCGTGGCTGGGTATGGCGGCGCGCCTGGACAGTCGTACGTGAAAGGAAATGGGGCAATATTATATAAAGGCTCCCACTCCCCTCCGAACTCTTCATAGGTGACTTGTGCCATTTTGCGTTTCCCTGTGAGGCGACGAGAAAAAGCTGGATGGGCCGGGCGTAAGGAGAAGGAGAACAAGAGTATTCTGGGAAGCATCCCGCCAGCCTTATATACCCAGGCAAGCAAGTGGCCTGTGCTGGATTATGACATAAGTTCAAGGAGAATGAATGAATACTCAATATCCTCGGCACTCTGAAAGCTTTTCGTGCCTCTGTCGTTGCACTGCATAGTGTGGCTGTTTCGAATGGGAGCGTTGACACTTTTCCCCAGCCCAGCTAAAAACCATCGCAACTCGAGTGGGGATGAAAGCAAAAGGCACCCCTTTGCTGCCTGATACCCTGTTGAAGTTACACCTTCACCCCCCAAAAGAAAAGGGTTGCGACTTGCCCATCGGTTGGCTGTCAGCTTTCCAGAGCGGAAACGAAGAGCACAGCCATGTCCGTCTTGACAAGTCACCAGCATAACAAGACCAAATATATTATGATTCTGTGCATCTCGCACCCGAGAATAATGCCCATCGCCCCTTGTCTCACACCATGAGGAGTGTGTGGTCTGCCTTGAGGGGGCGTCCTCTTCGAGCCGCGAAGAAGCAGGAGTAAGGAGCAGATGGGGGTTCAGAAACGGTATGACTGCGCGGACCCCGAACGTGTACAACGCTCCTATACAAGTCTCCAAAGACTGGAAATCTATTTGAAGCGGTTCTTTGTTCGTAATGACGTGAGGCGTCGACTTCGACATACTTGTCATTCGAGCCCTCACGCTACACGTTGCAAGACATGGCGCTGTCAGTCTAAAAGACACTCCCTCACCATCCAGAGCTCCGACCCAAGGAAGTTATTACAGGAATATCAAAGAGGCGAGACGTCCCCGAATGTGACGTACACGCCAGTCGTGGGACACCAGCGCCAGGCCAGGCGTACAAGAAGCTGGGGGCCGTGACGACGCCTTACTACACACACTCCTCACAAACTTGTAGTATAAATATAAGTACCGTGTAACTTGCACCACCTTGCTCTGCTCCTGAATTTTACTTGAAAACTAGGAGGCGGCCTGTGGCATCGGCCGCCGGCGTCTGAGACCAGTATAGTACAACACAGCAATACGTCAACGGATTTGCCAGTCTATTCTCGCACCGTCTTCCCCTGTGCAACAATCCGGAGTGATAGATGTTTTTAATTCGTTTCTACTAGTTATCTCGCTCGCGGCTGAGATGTTTTACGCGAAGATTGTCTGAATCCCAGGAGCAGCTGAAGGCTGTGCTCGGCGGCCTACCTATTACGTCAGACCTTTGCTACGGTGAATATCATGATGGCTGACTATACGTAAGTAGCACGATTTTCGAAGCCTTTCTTCGCATCAGACGTTTGTTGTTGTAATTCTTGTGCTCCGTAGGTGTTCTTTGTTCCCCGGCTGGCCTTCTGCGTCTTTGTAGACACCGTGCTATGTACGGTGACCACACAATACCTAGAACAGGTGTGAACCGTGCTGTGTACATATACGTTATCTACCATTCATGCCCACTGCATTAGTCGGTAATTTAACGTTTGGAAATGTAGCAGGAACTTGCCTGCCAAGCGCCCGAAGCCAATGCGCCAGGCTCGTCGTAGTGAGGCCGAGGCCATACCATGAAGACCACATCGCGCATTGCCATATGAATGGAAGTCAATGAAGAAGAAAATAAACTGAATGCATTCTTTACTACGCGAACAAAAACAAGATCTGGCCAGATTTGCAAAAAGAAAGCTTCTGCCAGGACAGGGGTTCGAACCCTGGAATCTCTCGATAGTGGTGTGCTAAGTATAAAAGTAACTTAAAACCACCGCCTTAACCACTCGGCCATCCTGGCATTCAGACGCTAGCGTCCAGCTAATTTGGTGCTAAGAAGGTATCAAGAAGGAGGTCATGGTACCATGACTTTGCTTCAGCCATCTCATTCGTATAAGTTGGCCATTTTTAGATTGAGGCTGTATTTCAAGCGAATTCTTCAACTCTTCTATGAAGCTTCAGATATTCACGGCCCCGTAGACGCTGCATTTTCCAGGTGTACATACCTCACACGCCGTACGCAGGCCAGGTACTTCAGTACGTGCCTCGTCGCGAAACTGCCGTACAAGGAAAGTCCCGGTCGCCAAAGTCAATGGATCTTGTTTCTAGATTGGATTCCGTTCTCATATTTAATCGCATGTTTTTTTCTGCTGCTGGCGCTGAACCTGGTTCCATGGTTCCCTCAACACGCTGTAGCCACGACTGGCGGCTCGACTGGTGAATGCGTAAGAGAGTTTTCTTGTCCGATTAAAAACCGAGCGCTGATTTTAAAGAAGGCATATTTTGAAAAGTTTAGTATTCCTCTTCTCTTCGTAGACTACCCGCTCCGGTGTGTGCGTCCTCTCCGCATCGATCCAGCACCAAGGCACTCGTAACGTGAAAGCCTCCCTCTGCGCGGTCCCTCACGGATTGGGATCGGGACAAGGTACTGGCGGACCAGAGTGCTCCTCTCTAACCCTAATCTTTTCGTTAGCGACATATACAGTCAAAGTATCTGCGTTCGCCTCTCACAATGGTAATTTACACGCCGGGTTCGACTTGGCCTGCGGGACCATCATGAGCTTCACAATTGTTAGGCTCTCTCTCTCTCTCTAAACATCACCAACCAGCACCCTTCGATAATCTCCTCTCTCCTCAAACTCACCGGCTCGCAGCAGGCTGGTTTCTGATTCCATTTGCAGTCAAAGTAGAGGTCTCGTCCGCACGGGTCCGTCGAGTGCAGGTACGCCGTCATGCCTAGAGAGGGTGCTTGCGTCGTTAGCGAAATCGGGGAGCACACGTTTTTTTTTCTCGTTTCGGAGGCGGCGACTTGCAGTTCTTGCCGGTGTATTCGAATGGGATATCGAAGATGGTGTGCTTGACGACGGAGTCGCAGCAAGCACCGGCGGGGACGCGCGGGGTCGAGTTCTTGGGGTAGATGCAGTCGAAGAAGGCGGCGGCGGAGGGCACCAGCGCGAGGGCGGCGACAACGGTGGTCGTCTTTGCAAGCATATCGAGGGGAGAAACTGGCGTTTACGCTGGGAAGCAATTCTATCTGGGATGATTATTTGCTGTTGTTCTGTGGACGGACGCTGCAGATCAACCTTCAACTCCTCATGCAAGGGCTTGTTGATGCAAGTGACAAAGTGCCCGACTTCATTTCTAAATGTACTAGTACAAGCTCTATAGAAGGAGTATAGCTTCGAAGGCTCTGAAGTTTCCACTCCCGCTAATGCACAGCTACCTTACAGTGCGCGGGGCAGAATGGCATCTAGGGCGACCAACAACTTTGCTATACAGTTGCTGGCAACCCCCTCGAGCAGCATCGCAGAAGCTGACACAGCTCACCACAGCAGCCTCACAGCTTGCGGTGAAGCTGATCGGTGCGTTTATCTTTCTTGTTTCATAATACGTCACTGTGCACTTGCTCGATGACTGGTGCCTTGCCGCCTGGTTGCTCGTTGGCGTAACGCCGGCTGTGATGGCGGCGGGCCAACACGGTCGTTGCTGTGCAACCTTCCTTCCTACCAGCCCTTGACCTTCGCATTGGTCAACGTACGTGCTGGGTAGCTTTTTCTGCCACACAAGAATTGAACCCCTCCAACTACGAGGAGTGTCGCAGATGGGTCTTTCACAGAGGCTGAGCGTAGGCGCCGACACTGGACTGCGCCTTGGCCCCCCAGGACTTTTTTAAGACTTTTACGACTCTCACTTTATATAATTTATAGAACATGTAATACGGCATACGGAGCTTACGAGCTCAGGTGGTGCCCGGGGTGGCCCTGCATACGCCACAGCGGCTGTCGTGGACAGGTCACCTTGCACTGCATCACCTCTTAGGCAGCCATGCACCTCTAGAAGCTTTACCCAGATGAGGGTGCTTTTAAAAGGTACTTATCACTTGTCCGACGTACGGCAAGGTGGCGATATGAGTCTGGCCATGACGCTGTGCGCGGGACCTGCCATCCTCACCACTACGCCAGCTCTGTGCTCACGTTGTCAGAGCTTTCGGTCGGATAGCATAAAGCGCCGCTGACCCCCAAACCCTTCAGTTACACCAAGCATTCCCATTTGTTGACGGTTCACAACAGCCTTCTGGCGCCGGGCGAATGCCCCCTTGCCCGCGGCGTATTGGTGGCCCCGGTGGTACTTTTTGTGCGTCCGCTTGACCCTTTTTCTTCTCATATTACTTTATCCTTGGCTGAATTCTGTGTCACCAATAACGTGCTATCGCCTTGCAGAGTTTCCTTTGGGGATTTAAAGCGCCGGGGGCTGAGGCGGCGCCGCGGTCTAGGTAGGAGCCTGTGGAACAGTCAAGTTTGACAGCATCAGAAACATGAACAACTGCAGTTGGTTGGTGACGTCCAGAATCGTAGCTTCACACTAATGTCTTTACCTGTATAGCCGTGCCGATCTTGGACAAAGGCTACCCTTTCCTATTATCAAACCCGCTGTCTCACTCAAGGACACTACTTCATGGTTCTTACTACCAATAGTTTACTGGTTAGAACTTATTAGTGCTCAAGCTAGCGACAGTTGGTTGAACAAAGCTTTCATAATCAGGAACCAGCTTCACAATTAGTAGCAAGACAGGAGCAGAGAAGCGGTGTTAGTGATATCATCTTTTTCTGGCAAATCTCTGTCCGTATTCCCCACCACAGCTGCGCGCCGCATCCCATCCTCAAGGATGTACGGTGCCATTCACCGTACCGGCCGAGACGACGAGGTGGTGTCGTGCTTGTGGAGATTGCTGGCATGGGGATTGCCGGTGCGAAAGCCGATGCATCGAGCTTGCTTCGGCGAAGTATGCAGGAAAGGTCGGTCTGTTGGGTACGGTGACACTGCCGATTTTGATCCTCTCAACGAGCGGGCATTCCATATTCATCTGCATCAATACCCGGCAGGACCGGGACGGGTAATCCAGCCACTCAACCGGCTCCTCGGTCTCGTCTCGTATGGTCGATTTGCGAACCTTCCAATGGCATGGCCGCCACCTGCTAACTAACTAGTTCATTAGGCCCCCCCGGATTTTCCTGGCCAGGTTCTGGGGGGGGGGCAGCAGGCTGAACGGGGAAGGCACACGTCCGATCCTTTGCAAGGCACTCCCCACTTGTTCCTCTCTTCATCTTGGTTGACAGCCTTTGCAACTTACCCTTCAGATCGTACAGACGTGGCACAACATTCGGGTCTTTTTGTCACCGTATCAATCCTTGTCTGTTGACACCGTGGTCCTTTCGACCAGCAACCTTGACGCGGATCCGAACCCCGTACTTGAAAAGAGCCACACCAAATGTATTGACGCGAATCCACTTCACCAAGAGGCCATGGTATGCTATTCGTAACTAGTTGAGGCTGCAGAACTGCGCATGCACCCTACCCCGCAGGCGGATGAGGACCAACCTCGGCTGGGCCTCGTCGATTAAAAAAGGGTAATCGCCCAGTCATCTGTATGTATGTAGTTTTCTGTGTCCGTGTGCTGTATAGTTGTCAATTGTTAATTGCCAATTGCTGTCCAAAGATGCTCGCCCCTCTCGTCGTTGCCTTTGCCTTGGCGTCCACTGCCACTGCCGCGCCGGTTCAGGCATGTCCGGCACCCGCTCCAGAATGCTCTTCGTACAGTAGGGTTCCAGGAACAACGTTAGGCTTTTGACTTTTGACTAATAGACCCGGGAAGCGATTATCAACGCACGCGGTACGACAGAGCCGCAGGGTGAATCTGTCGGGTTCAAAACTATGAACAAGAACATCTTGACAACCCATAAAGGCGGAGAGATTGTATGTACACGTCTCTCGCAAGTGGTCATTGTTAACATTCCTTGATTTATCAGTACAATGTGGTTTATGGTGCCACCTGGGACCAGAACAGCGCGCCGGGCACCCAAGATGTGAGGACTCAGTGGACTACCTGGGCGAGGTTCAGAGACTAACACGAAAACAAGTTGATTGACCAGGTTGGCAAAATTCTCGCGAAGGACGCCTCGGAATGCATCATCCTCGAGGGCTATTCTCAGGGAGCAACCGTGGTCGTCGATGCGCTTCCCAAGCTCACCGGCGCCGCCTTTGACGCCGTCAAGGGTGTTTTCCTCATCGGCGACACGAGACGCCAGCCCGGCCTGGCGTGCAATGTGGACATGCAAGGCGGCGACAAGACGAAGGACACCTCGGGCATCCTCTACGAAGAAGGAAAGGGCATTCCCACGGGCTGGATTGCCAAGTCTCTTGATGTCTGCAACGTGGTAAGTATCTCCCCTTTACAAGGCTCTGTAAATAACGACGGTGATCAATTGCTAACGCTTCAAAAGGGCGATTCTGTCTGCGATGTCTCTGCTGGAAATGGCACCGTACTTATCACACCTGAGCACTTGGCCTACCCTACAGACGCAGGTCTGCAAAAGATGGGAGCCGACTTTGTGCTAAAGAAGCTGGGTTGAAAGGGCGCAATATTTTGCTGAATTTTTTTTTCCGGGCATATTCTTTCATCTATATGCCTGGTTTCGCCAGATATGACAAGCCACGCCAGTGTACATATGTATTTTCTAGACGCTCACATGTACTAGATGCTAGTGATCCGATGAGGAGATGCTTATTCCCAAATTAGACAGTAAATCTAGGCACAAGCATGGCCAAGTCAAGCATTAAACAAGCCACAAGACCTCAGTTTTTATTAATGTACAACAGGCAGCTATGTAGCTAATACGTGCTGCTCACGACCTACTACCCGGTACGTGGTGGACTGAAGCGATGCAACTCCGCACGCTGAACTCCGTCTAAGCCCCCCCTGATATCAAGCACACCGGCTGCAAGAGCCGCATTACGCATAATAATCATGACATTACCCGAGGTGCGTACCGACTTACCAAGCGTTCCGGACTGCAATAGCGCTGACGCCATGTCTCAAGCTTGTGCTCCGATTCCACAACTGGAGACACGGCGTCGCCAAGCACCAGGCCACCGTCCGCAAGACCGACCGCCCGCTGCGCGCCGGCGCCCTCTCCGCCGCCTCCATCAACTGGATGGCCCTCTTCGACCCCGTCGCCAGCCACCCGGACATTGTGCTGCACGCCGTCGCCGCGCGCTCCCTCACCCGCGCGCAAGCTCAGATTGACCAGTACCGCCTCGGCCCGGACGTCCTCGCGTGCGGCTCGTACGAGGCCATGCGGGCCAAGCTCTCCATACAGCCGTCCCCGACGTCGGCGAGGGCGGTTGAGTGCTCGCTGCGCTGCGACCGGAGGCAGCCGAAGCCCTGGGGCGTGGTGCCCAAGGTGTTGGGGTCGGGTACCGGTGTGCACGATCGAGCTGGACAGGGCGCAGATCCGCTTCGACACGTTCGTCGGCGCGCACGTCGGGCATTCCATCGTCGTAAGACGCAAGGACGAGCAGGGAAGGTGGACGGGCCAGGAGGAGACGGTGAGGCGCTACGAGGGCGGCGAGGTCTGGGGGGCAGGGCACGGGGGAGAGGTGGTGGACGAGCTACAGGTACCAGCTGGAGGCGTTTGTGAGGGTGGTGAGGGCGGCGGATGCGGGGGATCGAGAGGCGGCGGAGAGGTTTCGCCCGTGGTGCGGCTTGGAGGAGAGCAGGGCGGTCATCGCAGTGGTTGATGCCATCTACGACAAGGCTGGCCTGCCGAGGCGCTAGTCTGCGCCACAGGGAGATTAAATAAGGCGCAATGAGCAGACAAGAGTAGTAAAAATGGTAGCGTAATGGTCGCCGTATGGTAATATGATAATGATTAATATACATTGGAAGAATAATTAGCTGGTCCGTTCGCGTTCTGGTGCGACGCCATGCAGGCCTGGTAGGCTGCCAGATCCAGCAGCGACCAGACTTGCTTGATCCGGCCTTCCTCGAGCTGGTAGAAGGCATGCTCGCTGAACCTCACAGCGTTTCCCGTCGGCGCAATACCACGAAATTCTTTGATAGGCACCCCAGTGAAGCCGAGACGGGCTGCGATCTGCTGAGCCTCCTCGTTGACAATCAGGCTCTTGATCGTGAAATGCAGACCCGAAATCTCCTCGAAGCTGGACTCGATCATCGCCCTGTACTCGTCACGGCCATAGCTGATGTAGTTGTGCGTGATGAAATCCTGGCAGAAGCGCTCAAAATGAGCGTGCATGGTGAGGGTGTTGATGGAGTCAATGTACTCTGTGTAGAACCTGCGCAGGTCAGAAGTCTTCGCCGCTCTCGACGCCGCCCCCTCTCTCGCTTCATTGATGGGTGGTCCCGAGGTTGCCGAGTTATTCGCACCCGAAAGAGTTTGGACAGCAGCGATCTTGTTGCCGAAGATGGTGAAGAGGCTCTGCTCTGCCCACTCCTCCCCGTCGGCATCGAGCGGCGTCCCCGGCGGTGGACCGGGCAGCAGGAGGCGTGCTGCAATCTCAGGCTTCTCGTCGTCAACTATGCATGTGTCAAGAATGGCAGCTGAAAACCCGTCGTCCTTGAGCTTTTGGATGTATTCGCCTCGCGTCAGGCTGTCGCCATTCACGATGACGTCGTGGGCCAAGAAACTCTCCGCATCTTGCCAGTCGTTCCTTTGGATGGCAGCGAGCCACTCCAAGAAAACGAGTCGTCTACTTTTAGACATGTCCATTGATACGCATGAGACTGGGGGCAAAACTAAATCCGATAGTGAGAGGTAGATGAATGAGTCAAACTTGACGCTGCCTAGCGAGGCAAGATTAGCGAGGCCACGAGGCAGCTTAATAAGGGATGCATCATCGCAAGGCTGCGATTAGTGGAATAATGTTCTGGAATCTAAATGGCTCTCCCAGGCAACTGGCTGGCAGATCAAATTTACAACAATGCGATAATAATCAACTAAATACAAGTATTCAATTCATGCACTACATCTACTTCATTCTAAGACCTTGTGATTACAGTAGATACGGAAAATATACTAGATAAAAATCGTAAATTAATGTAATAAAAATATGATAAGAAATGCAAGAAATATGTATAAGAATAAATAAGATGACAATGATAAAAAGAGTAAAATCTTCTTAGAACGGTAAAGAATATACAAGGCCTGTTTCTCATGCCCACATAAACCAGATACGCCGCCAGGGTATAAATCTACATGACATCGTTAGAAAAGGAGGCAGAAGCTATTTGTCCTCCTTGGACGGTCGCCATATCGCTCGGCAAGACAAGGCGAGGGGCCCCTACGCCGCGGCTTGGAGGGCAGGTCCTCGCCGTATGCATTGCTTTTTCTTGCGTATTTGGCTGGGCCGTTCCTCGTCTGACTCTCTAAAGCTGTCGTTGACAACTTCACCGAGAGCAGGCCGCTTGCGCTTGCCGCCGCTGGAGCTGGGCGCCTCCACAATGTCCTCTTCCCAGGTCTCCATCGCATCCGGGTCAAACGGGCCGACCAGATCCTCCCCGAGCGCCTTTCCGAGCCGCTCCCGAAGCCCCAGGATCGGCCAGATGGGGACCCGGGCGTAGTCAATCTGCACACCCAGGTCCTCGTCAGACTTCGCAGCAGTCGGTACCCTGTGTGGCTGCCGAAAGCGCTCCAAAAACAGCGCCGTGATGTGGCCAGTATAGACGATGAATTCCGCTGTCTCAGTGTCGTGTGTCATGACGCGGAGTGTTAAGTCTCGGAATGGCATGGCATACTTGGCTGGGAACCTTCCTTTGCGGAAAACGCTCACCGTGCGTGAAACGGGGTAGAAGTGTTTTTGCGCCATGGAAAGCATGATGGCTATAACATGAGAGTCTTCGTCCGCGTTTCGCGGCTCCACATTCTTGGATCGCAGTCGATGCAGGCGATACACGGGCTCATTCCCCTTTGGGCCAGGTACAACGCGAAACATGTTCCTTCGTATCGATGCCAATTGATCCTTCCCCATGTAGCAAACCATAGGGTAGCCAGACAGGTTACGTCGAAAAGCTGACTGCTGAGCTTCTGACACAGACACGGACGCAGACTCGAATTCGTCCCTCGGCTGAGAGCGTCCCCAAGCTTGTGACTCATCAAGATCGGGATATGCTGCCTCCGTCGACAGCGACGAGCTTGAGGACGTTTGCGATTCTATAAAGCTGACGCCAGGGTACGCCCACATTATCTGGGCTCTGGCGGCCTCATTGTACACCCTATCTCCGAAGTAGATAGGAAGATCTGGGCCGAGAAATGACCGACAAAAGGTGGCCGGCCAGAGTGTGGCCATGACTGTGCGCACGGCGTTGCACATAGCCGCAGGTTGTGCCAGCTTGTGCGACAGGATATTAGTGAGGGTCTCACTAAGGGTCGTAATGGTTTTAGAGGGCTGCATGTGTCCCCTGGAAGGCTGCGAGCCGGGCTCATTCACTGGCATAGGCGCATCGCAGATGGGCAGTTCGTTGAACCGAGTGCCCAGGAGCTCTGTGTGCTGGTCCGTCCAACACAGCGGCCGCACAAAGAGTGACACAGTAGGATATTGTCGCATAATCTCGAGGAGAGAGCCTGGGGCAACGCGACGAGGGTGACGCCTCCTGGTATCCTTTGATACGTTGGTAGGTCTTGATTGAGGTAGTTGCCGCGTTGTGCGTTTTGGCGAACTTGTGGGCGGCGAGCTGCGAGGCTGTCGGTGGCAAACCATCTTGACGAGTGAGTGAGCGAGCAGTATGCCTGCGGCCCCAGTAATAAAGACGCTGGAAGGTGTATCGAGTTAACGTCGCGCGTTTGGTGATGAAAGATAGAGGGAAGATGTTCTCTGCGACAGGAATGCGCTTACTCGATGGTGTCCATGTATGGTGTGCCTTAACTTGGGAGATCTGCTAATTTGGGGGGTCTGCCTTGTGATATATATAGGGCGAGGAGGCATGAGCAGAGTCCGTGGAGCCGTGCTAGTGACACAGATATCGTGCAGAGTCAACCTCCACCGAGTCAGTCATCGATACACAAGGGTGACTGTCGGTCGCGCGATGCTGTTTATGCGTGCAGGCTGGAAGCTGACGGGACGGCTATGTGTGGCGGCACCGATCATGAGGTTAATTAAGTTAAAAGAGGAAGCGCTTCCCCGACTGAAATGAGACGGACTCGTGCGTGAATTGCAGAGTTTGCTTGAGATGAAGGGCGCAAACAAGAAGGGCGCCCTTTGTTGGGCCACGATTCGGGCCCCGCGCAGTGCAGTCCAGCTCAAGCACCCTAGACCATCTTCGGGAAGGACCAGGCTGTCGCGGTGCGCCACGCTCGGAAAGTCGCCCCTGGTCTGTGCTCTGGACGCGCAAGTGATGCGTGATCACGTGGCTAGTTAGGCAGCAACGTTCCACTTATTGGCAAATATCACCAGCCACAGTTGTACAGTCAGCAACATGAGGGTCACGCCAACTCGTATTGCTGCTGTGCCACTCCAGTGGGCTTGACGACCACAGGTGCAACCACACCAAACTCTTTCTTGAGCTTTTGGGCGCCAGCGCGCTAGTTCACTTGAAGCTTCCAATAAACTTTTTGAATCGTGAATGCTGCGATTGATCACGCACGTCACGCACGCGTGAATCTAGGCAGACAGATCCCACGCGCGTCATCATTCTTTTAGCTTTTTTTGGTTGACCAACTTCTTTACACCAACGCAGGCCCGCGTTACGCGCGCCCCTCGCAACCATGGCCAGCCGATTCATTGTGCCTGACAGCAGTCCACCGAGCAGCGCGCCCTCGACCCCCGACAGATTGCCTCGCCTCAACAATCAACCCTCTACTACGCCAGCTGGTCATCCACCGCCCTCATCTGCTGCTTCCACAACGCCGGCTGGAGCTCCATCCGATGCCTTCCTCGGCAGCTCCATGATGCGCGGCGTCAGCAAGCCCAATTTTGGCGGACGCACCCTGTTCGAACGAAGCGAGATGAGCAATGCTCCCCTTGGCCGCTCCATTCGTGGTCGCGAGCTCAGGCCATCCGGATTAAGTCGACAGTTCCATTTTGATGAGGATGCTGAAGGGGAGGATGTTGATGCTGAGGGCGAGGACGAGCTGCCTCCCCCGCGCGCCAGCCTCTTCCGCACATCGCACAAGGATGATTCTCAAGCTGCGGACGGTGCAGATGCCGGTGGCGATGACATGGAAGCCGAGATTGAACAATTTCTTCTGCAGGAGATGGAACTTCAACAGCAAAACAAGGACGATGAAATGCTTGACGATAAAGGATCTGAGCTCGGCGACATGTTCCTCAATATGCGACACGACGATAGACCATATGGCCAGCCAGTTATTGGCGAGGGAGACGACCTCATAATGTTGAATACTCCCGCGGCTACTCACAGGGTGCGCAAGGAAGCTGAGGACATCTTCCGTCGATCAAATGTACACTTTGGTACGTCGACGAGAAACAAGGAGTTTCGATTTGGCGCGATTGCGAGAGATTTGTACACGAGCCGAGATGCGGCTACTCTGACCGAACCGACCGAGTTGATTCTCAACACCGAAGATCTTGTTTGCCGTCTCTACAAGGATGGCATTGGCGCCGAGGAAAATGTGGACAAGATGGACAATTCTCTCGCCACCGTCTCGTACCGCCTGACTCAACTCTGGAACGATTTTGTCGATACCCTTCCAACGCCCGATGGAGAAGACTTGGTGTCCATTGGTCCCGGTATGCAGGCACAGCCATTCGAAAAAGCTGCGTTTGTCGCTCACCTTGTCCTTCGCATGCACCACACAAGATTCGACCCTGAGACCGAGCAAGAAAAGACTCCTCCGCTGCCTGAGGTTCTCTTCAGCTGGATGACTACTAGCCACAACCTCTACCCTGATAATTTTCGCTTAATGAGCCGGTTCAAACCTAGCCCTGCATGTCACACCATGTTCTGGCAACAGGTGCGAAACACGCTGCTCCGAGGAAATGTCACCGCTGCGTCCCAACTGCTGAGGAATGCAGGATGGGAGCATGTACGCAAGGGGACAGGAGGAGAGCAGGCATATACAGGCAAGGCCCTGGACAATGTCCGTCGCTTTTGCGCGGCTACCGCTGAGGCCCTGGAAAAATGTCCTGCGGCTAATGGTGATTGGGACATCTGGAACAGTGCATGGACTCTGTTCCGTGTGCATGCCAAGGGCTCACTGGACCGACTGACTCTCTTTGCAGAAGGACGTGATGTGCAAATGGACGATTTGGGCGGTGGCTATGATTCTCCCGCTCAATCTATGTCTACGATGGCAAAGGAGGCGTCGAGCCAGCTTCCGTGGGTTGTGTACGAGGAGCTGCAAATGGTGTATGGCATCCTTCTCGGCGATGCCGAGGCTGTATTGGAAACCGCTCAGGACTGGTGCGAGGCCACGGTGGGACTCTTCGGGTGGTGGGATGACAGCTCACAGCGACGCAAGAATCTTCGCATCGCACAGGGCCGATTTAACGCATCGACCACGGGCCGGTTTGGTGCTTCCGACGACTACCTGGACCGGCTGTCCGCTACTTTCCACAAGGTCATTGAGTCTGATCTGAATCCCAACACTATGAATCCAGTGGAGGTTGCGCTTGCATCCGCATTCGAAGGCAACATCACAGCAGTCATTGGCTGCCTCAGAATTTGGTCGCTGCCTGTAGCATGCTCGGTTGCGGAGATTGCCTCGTTGGGCGAGTGGCTGCCAGCGACAAAACTGGCAGCCGATCTGCCCGCCGATGGACTCGATATGGAGGACTTAGCTTTGCTCGGAATTACACCGCCATCTGACGACGAAAAGCAGGGAATCAAGGATACCACGCTGGTGCTCTATGCCCGCGAACTGGCCGGCATTGAGCACATGTCGCCCCAGCAAGACGGCTGGGAAATGGCAATTCAGGTCCTAGGACGCATGGATCTTCCTGAAAAGTCGGAGCAGACCGTGAGCGAGCTTCTTCGGGACTTGCTTGCAACGCTCGACCAAAACTCAAGCTCGACGGTGGACAAGATGTGGAAGATACTGAACGATCTGGGCATGATGAACTTTGCCGAAGAGACTGCCGAGGTATGTGGTATCAGCTTGGTGATGATGCGAGTAGAAGCTAACCTTGAGGCAGACATTTGCAGATATCTTGGCGAAAGAATCGCACCGCTACGGTGAAGCGTTGTGGTACTTTGCCCTGTCGCACAAGACTGAGCGGGTGCGTGAGGTGCTGAACCTCCTCACATCATACTCGCTAGTTCATTCGACGGCGTATCCGGCAGAGAAAGAGCTGGATGACGATCTTAGGAATCTTTTGCGCAACCGCTCAGCCACCTTGGAAAGGAGGGCGCAACAGGATCTAGACGCAGCACAATTGCTAGGCCGGATGCTGAGTGGATATGCGACACTTCGCAAGTTTTATGAGCTGCGAGACGAATATGCACAGCAAGATGCATCGTCGTCTAAGGCGTTGTCGCTGCGAAAACAGGCGGCATTTGCACTGGTAGCAGCCATATCTAGCTCTGATGACAATATTCGCGGCGGGTTGTACGACGACACACGCGACGCGGTAGTGAGCGAGGACTTCCTGCTGGCTTTGCTGGGCGAGGTGACGGTGTTTTTGGGCCAGCAGCCGTGCACGATGTCGCTAGAGCAGATTGACAGCGTGCTGAAGGCAATTGAGGACTTGCAGACGGTCGGATCGCGGGTGTACGAGGCCTGCGACGAGTTCTTTCAGCTGGTCCTGGCGTCAGGGCAGGGCTTAAAGGGCTCAACACCCGCGGATCTGATGCTCAAGTCGACTGGCGCGCTTGGGGCGAGCAGCTACATCATGACGGGCAGCTCGATGCTTGCGAGTCAGCTGCACAAGACCGGGCCGGGCCGGGTCGAGAGGGGATGGGACTGGCGCAAGCAGTGGCAGATGTCGACAAAGGGAGAGGATGTGCTGCGTAAGCTGCGGCTGGGACTGGCGAAGGATCTGGCGGCGCTGTGGCTGGAGGAGGCGGACGGGGCGACGACGGCGTTTTAAGTTTGCTTACATGGATAAAGCGGCCATTTGTTTTGTTTTCTTTTGTCTTGGGAAATAGGGAGGTCGTGTAAAAATATTCAGGGACGTATTTCAGGATGTGATTTTCCTGCCGATGTATAACCAGCCATGAGATAGGATGGATGTAATGGCGAATTTTAATTTTCAGGCAATTGATGCTTTACACGATGAGAGGAGTATGCACCATCATGCAAGGTGAATGCCAGCTGAGCATGTGTAGTGCTATGTAACTAATAAAGTTGATGCAGAGATGGCACCTTGTTTGCCGTGAAGAGGATCGCGGGCTTATTTTGGAGGTGTGACGTGGTGACCTGGGCTGGAGAGCCGATTGCGGATGTACATTATTACCAGCCTGTCAATAAGTGCCGATGGCGATTGCGCAAACGCTAGACCTGCAGGGCAATCAAGATGCTGCAGGATGACGGCAGCGGACAGTTCAGCTATGAAGTATGGATAGAGAGAAAAAAATCAATGTCTAGACGATCACAGGGAGTTGCTAGAGCTTGCCTATGTTTTTACATTTTTAAAGACGCATCCAGGCCGCTTTTGGACGCCGCGTCCTTCAGCACCAATGCGCTGTAACGTCCAGTGCAAAGCATACCCCACACACCTAAAAGCCCTGATCTTGGCCAATCCAGCGCTGGCAATTTCCAAAGCCAAGCCCACAGACCCTCTTGCATGCTGTTGAGACAACGTCACAGGCCGTTTTCCCACTGAAAATAAAAGCACCGAAAGAACACTGGTGTCCCTTTGAAAGCCGTGTTCAGAGGCGGATGCTCAATTAAAATGCATGTCAGATAGAAATAAAATCACGAAAGGGATAAGAAATATAAAAACGTAGGAAAAATAGGAAGGACGAGAAAGATAGAAACGTCTTTTTTGAAAGTGACTCGTCCAGCGTCCCCCTTCCTCTACCGCCCCCACTCCGACCACGCAGCCGAGCAACCGGGGCAAAGAGAAAATCCCCAGCATCTTTTCGTCCATGTCAGTCACTCAATCTAAACCATCACCATTTTTTTTTCGTCGTCCACAATGGCTCCAATGGCAATGGCTGGCCGCCGTGGAGGTACCATGACGGTATGCGTTCCCTGCCATTTTCAATGGTCAATTCTAACATATCCTCACCCTTTAGACTCTCGTCCGCTCTGCTGCGCTGCGCTCCGGCTCCGGAGCCACCCTCAAGAGCCGCATCACCACCACCACCACCACCGCCCGCACCCTGTCCACGGCCACCGGGCTGCCGCCCACCTACGAGCGCCTGTTCAACAAGTACACGGAGGTGCGTCGCGTGCTCAGCGGCCAGCGGCTCACCCTCGCCGAGAAGATTCTCTACAGCCACCTGCGCGACCCCGAGGCCTCGCTGCTCACTGGCACCAACAACGGCCGCAACGTACGTGGCGCCGCCAACCTGCGCCTCGACCCGGACCGCGTAAACATGCAGGATGCCTCGGCCCAGATGGCCCTGCTGCAGTTCATGGCCTGCGATCTCGCGCGCCCGGCCATCCCCGCCAGTATTCACTGCGACCACCTGATCGTGGGCGCCAAGGGCGCTGGCGACGATCTGAGCGCCGGCATCGAGACCAACAAGGAAGTCTTTGACTTTCTGGAGTCGGCCGCCCGCAGGTACGGCATGGACTTCTGGCCGCCCGGCGCGGGCATCATCCACCAGACGGTCCTCGAGAACTACGCCCTGCCAGGCCTGATGATGCTCGGCACCGACAGCCACAGCCCCAACGCGGGCGGCCTGACGACCATCACGATCGGCGTGGGTGGTGCGGACGCCGTCGAGGCCCTCGTTGGCGCGCCGTGGGAACTCAAGGCGCCCAAGATCCTCGGCGTCGAGCTCACCGGCAAGCTCTCCGGCTGGGCCTCGCCCAAGGACATCATCCTCCGCCTCGCTGGCGAGCTTACCGTCCGCGGTGGCACCGGCTACATCATCGAGTACTTTGGGCCTGGCGTCGAGTCGCTGAGCTGCACAGGCATGGCCACCGCCGCCAACATGGGCGCCGAGGTCGGCGCCACCACCTCCATCTTCCCGTACACGGCGGCGTCGGCGCGCTACCTAGCCTCCACACGTCGCACGCAGGCCGTCGCCAACATCGACGCCTTGCAGGCCTTCCCAGGCGCCGGCACGAGCGCCGACGCGCGCTTCCAGTTCCGCGCCGACGACGGCGCCGAGTACGACAAGCGCATCACCATCGACCTGTCTACGCTTGAGCCGCACATCAACGGGCCCTTCACGCCGGACCTGGCGACGCCGCTGTCCAAGTTCAAGGAGACGGTGCGCGAGCAGGAGTGGCCCGAGGCGCTCTCGGCCGGCCTCATCGGCAGCTGCACCAACTCGTCATACGAGGACATGACGCGCGTCGAGTCGCTCCTCAAGGAGGCCGCCGCGGCGGGGCTCAAGCCAGCGGCCGACTTCTACATCACGCCGGGCAGCGAGCAGATCCGTGCGACACTCGAGCGCGACGGCACGCTGGCGGCGTTCGAGGGCGCGGGCGGCGTGCTCCTGTCCAACGCGTGCGGGCCGTGCATCGGGCAGTGGGCGCGCCAGGACGGCGTCACCAAGGGCACGCCCAACGCGATCCTGACCTCGTACAACCGCAACTTCCGCGGCCGCAACGATGGCAACCCGGCGACCATGAACTTCCTCGCCTCCCCGGAGATCGTCACCGCCATGGCCTTTGCCGGCGCCACCACGTTCAACCCCGTCACCGACACCCTCAAGACGCCCGACGGCCGCGACTTCAAGTTCTCGCCGCCGCGCGGCCAGGAGGGCCCCGCTACACCGTTCGAGTCCGGTGTCGCCTCGCTCGGCGTGCTCTCGCAGCCGCCCGACGCCGGCGTCGCCATCGCCATCGCGCCGACCTCGGAGCGCCTCGCGCGCCTCGAGCCGTTCGCGCCCTTCCCCGACGGCGACCTCGCCGGCCTGCGCGTGCTCGTCAAGGTCACCGGCAAGTGCACCACCGACACCATCTCCGCCGCGGGGCCTTGGCTCAAGTACAAGGGCCACCTGCCCAACATCGCCACCAACACGCTCAACACGGCCGTCAACGCCGAGACGGGCGAGGTCAACGCCGCGTACGACCTCGACGGCGAGCGGTTGACCATCCCCGAGCTCGCCGAGCGCTGGCGCGCCCGCGACCAGCCCTGGCTCGTCGTCGCCGAGCACAACTACGGCGAGGGCTCCGCGCGCGAGCACGCCGCGCTGCAGCCGCGGTACCTCGGCGCGCGCGTCGTCCTGACCAAGTCGTTTGCGCGCATCCACGAGACCAACCTGAAGAAGCAGGGCGTCGTGCCGCTGACGTTCGCCGACGAGGCCGACTACGACAGGATCGCGGCGGGCGACGAGGTCGCGACGGTCGGGCTGCATGAGATGCTGCGCAACGAAGGCCGCGGCGAGGTCAGCCTCCGGGTCACCAAGAAGGACTCGGGCGAGGAGTTCCTGATCCCGACCAAGCACGCGGTCAGCAAGGACCAGGCCGGCTTCATCCTCGCGGGCAGCGCGCTCAACCTACTGTCCAAGGGCGTTTAAGCGGGTTCGTGCTGGGTGGGCTAGATTGATGGGGAAAAGCGAACATGGCTGATTGGGATCATTTGATAGGAGTCTGCAAGGCTGTTTTTGTACGTTCTTTGCGGGAGTTATGTCTGTACCTTCACAACACTTGTTGTTTTTCTTGTTCTTCTTATTAGATTTCACATCTCAGTGTCATCGCTTCATTGTGATGATCCTTACATTTGTCAACAAAATAGTCCAAGGACACCTCGATTAGGTTCGCATACCTCTCCACATGCAAATATACCAAATCTTGTACACCACCGGCGACGCCAGCGCAACCCGATTCCCAGAAAATCTGTTTCGTCTCATCAAAAGAAATAGCTATGTCGTGTATGCCCTCATGCTAGAAAATGCACTGGTACGTGTCTCGTAAAGCTATGCGCCTTAGGTATTACAAGAAAAACCCTCATAAAAACATGCACAAGTCCAATAACGCCATAAAATGACCCGATTCCCGTAATACGTCCCGTTTCCCGTAATATATCCTAATAATACCTCAAGAGCCATCTCTGTACAGAGTTACACTTGGCGTTTTGTGGCCGCGTCATCTTCTCTCATCTTCCGCTGCCACTCACAGGCCTTGGCCCAGGCCGCGTTGTTGAGCACATCCGGCGGGAGTCGGCTCTCGGGAACATCGCCGAAGTCCATGATTCTCTGGTACGAGGCCGGCTGGGGATCCTGTCGCGTCTGGCGCCCTGTAGCACTTCTTTTGAACCCCTGACGTTTTGCCTCCTTCAACTGCTGCTCATAAAGCCAGCGCATACGCTGCGCTACTTTGCCGAACCATTTCTTGCGGTTCGGCCGCTCGCAAATTTCTCGCACCTTATCATTCCACCACTTGCTTGATCTCACCACCATCCCGTGAACCGCGGGGTTAGCAGAGACAAAGACCCTCGGGTCTTGAGCAGGTGCCGTCGATGTGAAGGCCCGTCGAGGAACTATCACCCCAGGCGGAGGTCGCATTTTACTCTGGGCATAAATCTGGGCATCGAATGAGCTAGAGCTGAAAATTATAGGCTCTGCTCTTATCATAGCACGTATCCTTGACGATACCGTAGATCGGTTTACAACGATCAGTTTGGGTTGCTCATCATGGCAGCTCGATCGGCATTCCTTGAGACGCCCTCTTTGCAAGAAAGCTAGCGGGATATTATCCCCAGAGGATTCACATTGGGCGCTTGGTCTCGTGGTGCTCGATTTTGCGGTGCTTGGTTCGGCGGTACTTGGCTTGACGGTGCTCGGTTTGGCACGTCTTGCTTTGGTATAACTTGCTCTCGCGGCCCTTGCTTTGGCACACCGAGCTTTAGCTGCACTTGCTTTGTCGGCGTTTACTTTGGCGACGGTGGCGACGGTTCCTTTGTCGGCGCTTCCTCTGTTGGTGGCAATAACAATAACATCTTGTGCTGCTTCCTGGGGACAATCGTCTTCCGTCGATTGCAGGCGTGGCTCCGGGATCGGTATATCAGAAACCGACTCTTCCAAAGTCAAGCGCTGCATAGATGAGCCGGCGTCAGTGCCCTCTCCCTCACTTTCGTCGCTGCTGCTTATGTAGATCACTTCTCGACCCTCGTCAGTAGCGGGGACTAGAAACTTGCTGCGTATTTGTTTCGGCGTTGGAAATAGCTCATTCTTTGTTGTTGGAGCCAGTGCAGTACCAGGTGGGTGCACACTAGCAGAATCCGCGGCTTCTGATAAAACGAGCAGTACATCATGCGCGGCTGCCATCTCTGCCCTAGCTGTAGGCGAATCATGGGTCATGTCTCTGTCTTTGTCTTCAGATAGGACAGTCAAATCAAGGTGATCGAAGGACCGTGGCACAGTAGCAGCGACCGTCACGCCAACGGTGCCATCCTGGGTGGGTGCAGGATTACACTGCGCGAGCACTTCCCCAGATTCTACCCCGTCGATCATGTCAATATCCGTGATAGAGGTTGGCGAAGTATGGTATGAAGGTGGTGAGCCTGCTAAGTTTGTGTGCAAACGCAAAAGTGACTCAGTGTTTTCATCATCTGCACCCGTTTGCACGCAAGCTGGCCGCTGTTCACTTTTCGCTGCTGGGTTCACCGCGTCACCGACCGAAATCTCATGTTGTATCAGTGCTTTTGCCAGCGCTTCTGACCTCTTTGAGGAAGTAGACACATGTGGTCTTCGCCGAGCTCGGGAGACATCAGAACCTGCGGAAAACGAAAACTGCCCACGGGTCCGTTTGGCGGTCCATTTTGGCTTCATGACTTTATATTGGGAGCTGATGCCAGACGCGCCAAGTTCGAGGCCCTTCACTGACCCGTTTTCTCCATAGTTGCCGCTCCGATTCGGGGATAAGGCGGTTGTTGTTTGCTCGGCAGCTTGAAGGCTCATGGTGGCTTTCGATCGCCGCACTGCCGCGGAAAAGTTGAAGCATGTAATTTGAGCCAATCCTCCCCGCTTCATATATACCAGGACTGGCTATCCATACGATGAAAGTCCAGCTAAAGCATGCAGGCAGTCGCTCTAACCGTGCCGCGACTGTATAGGAGAGTTGTCTAACAGCGTTTGGTCAGCGCGTGTTGCCACTTGCACCTGCAGAGTAATCGAGCACAGTGGGTAGTTTCTCGTCAGATCTTTTCAGTTATTTTGCAACTTCAAGCTTGGAACGCAACGGTTCCTGTGTCCCTAGACCGTGTGCGCGACACAGTCACTTGTCTGCCACGGCCTTTGACCTGGATCAGTTGAGCAGCAATGATCGAGGTTCCAAATTGTGGTAGGAGTTGCTTATACGCCAGTCAGGACGGGCAAAGAATGCAAGAGATTCTTTGCAGCTATCCGTGGCTAGGCAATCACGTGTCTAGCCGCCCGTGGAGGTGGCGAGACTGGAGCAAGGCGACACAGGTCCCAGTCGGCTTCGTTCGGTCAGACCTTTTACCATTGGACATCATTCGAGAGTATTAGGAAGTGCATGATGAAGAGTTTAACATACCGTGTGTGGTAGGGGTTCACGTGGGCAGGCAGGCAGGGCATCTACCTCAGCGACTGCCTAGCTGACAAGAGGAAGCCTCAACGCACCGTTGCCCCGCGGGAAAGCCCAGTCCGTTGCAAGGAGGAGATCCAAAATCCGGTCTATGCGTCTTGGTGCGGATCCGATGCGTATGCCGGAAGCCAGCCGAAGCTTGCTCCAGCATTGGTATGGTAGTATGAAGGCGGAATGGGGCCGATATGCTGGGGTACTTGGTGATGCCAAAGTCGTCACGGACAGCGGAGACCAAAGCATATCTGGCGCTGCCAGACGAGACCGCCTTCCCAAGTTGGTGTAGGCGAGTGCGAACCCGCTGTAGCGCTTCGCCAACCCCGCCAACAGCCCTGAAGGCGCTGTAATTTGTGTAGGTATGGACCTGTTACTGGGGGCGTACTAAAGCAAGGTATGTATCCCCCAGCTTCACGGCCACCTTGCTGAATGCCCTTCGCCACCACGCGCGCTTAGCATCCCGTCAATACCCATCTACACGCGCGCGCAAGGTCCGCAAGTCATGGATTTCCTCAAGTCGGCCGTGGCCTCCGCCATGGCTAAAGGACCGCCCTTTCCCTACAGCTTTGGCGACAAGGTCGACGTCGACGAGTCCATCTGGACCTTGTACAATGGCACCAAGAGGGCAAGTCGCGCCGCGCAACGCAATACTGCATATCCCTTAGACAATTGCTGACAACGCCCACAGGAAGACGGTTCCAACTGCAGCATCTTTTCCTTCGATATCACGGCCCACAGAGGTCTCCTGCCCCTCGCCCGAAACGCGCTTCGAAAGCTGCGTACCATCCGTCACCCTGGTGTCATCAAAGTCCTTGACACAGTAGAGGTCGGTACAATTGCCCGGTGGCACTTATACAATGTCTTATACTTGTAACAGACGGAAACATACATCTACATCGCCACCGAGCGAGTGGTACCCTTGCGATGGCATGTTCGACGCAAATCACTGAGTCCCGAAACCATAAAATGGGGACTACACGGCATTGCGGTACGAACCCAAAACAAACAGCTGCCGAAACTAAAGTCTAACTACTGATAGCGGACTCTGAAATTCATCAACTCGGACGCTTCCTCTATCCATGGCTGTGTCAAGGTCGGGTCGGTGTATACCTCGGAAAGTGGCGAATGGAAACTAGCTGGCTTCGAAATTCTTAGCAGCGTCAAAGAGGACGAATCGACGATATATGTCAGTACAATTGGTGCGAAAGTTGGCCATCGCACTAATACATCAGCAGACATACGGAAGCCTTACACCCGACTCTGCCCGCTATTCACCCCCAGAAGTTGTGCAAGGTGGATGGGATGTCATCAAGAAGCACCCTCACTCCGCTGTCGACGCATTCAACTATGGCGTCCTGATATACGAGGTTTTCAATGGCGATTACAACGGCCGAGACAACGTTGGACAAACACGCGGCGTTCCTCCCACGATGCACTCTAGTTACAAGCGACTATGTAACGCGAACGCGAAAGCTCGGATATCCATATCCGCATTCCTCGATCAAGGAAGCCGTCGCGATGCCTTTTTCGATACACCCCTCATTAAACTCACCGAAGGGATTGATAATCTAGGTATTAAAACGGAAGAAGAACGCGAGAAATTCTTGGAGTATGTGCATCCTATCTTCCTAATGATATGTGACTACTAACAGCTGCAAAGCGACTTGGAGCAGGTATCGGATGACTTTCCAGAGGACTTCTTCATCATGAAGGTCCTCCCGGAACTAATGAAGTCTGTGGAATTCGGCGGTGGTGGGCCCAAGGCCATTGGTGTCGTGCTCAAGATTGCCTCAAAACTGTCGCAGGACGACTTTGAGAGCAGGATGACCCCCTTTATTATCCGGATATTTGGCAACCCCGACCGCGCTATCCGAGTTTGTCTGCTAGACAGCTTACCTCTCATCATCGACCAACTGCCGCAAAAAGTCGTCAATGACAAAATATTTCCCCAAATTGTAAGAGCGGCCATTGCTTTGGTAGACAGCCGTACGCGTTCTAACAGCCCTAGGTCACTGGCTTCACAGACGCAGCACCTATTGTGCGAGAGCAAACGCTCAAGTCAGTCTTGGTGTTGATCACAAAACTCTCGGATCGCACAATTAATGGAGAGTTGCTCAAACACCTTGCCAAGACTGCCAACGACGAACAGCCTGGAATTCGTACCAACACAACGATTTGTCTCGGCAAAATCGCAAAGCATCTAGGGACGGGGTCAAGATCCAAGGTCCTAATTGCGGCTTTTACGCGCTCAATGCGAGACCCATTCGTTCATGCGCGCAACGCCGCCTTGATGGCGCTGGCAGCGACATCCGAGTATTTTACCGAGGAAGACTGTGCAACGCGCATCCTTCCTGCGCTGTGCCCGTTGCTTATTGATAAGGAAAAGCTCGTGCGTGACCAGGCAACTCGCGCGATGGACTCATACATTGCCAAGATCAAAAAGGCTGCATCCACTATGCCGGACTCAGCGCTGCCACCGCCGCAGTCTGGAGACGCTCAGGCTGCTCGCATGGGAACTCCTCAGCCGAGCGCTGGGTCCCAAGGCTGGACCGGCTGGGCCATCTCGTCCTTCACCAACAAGATGTCGACCGCAGCCGGTGATATGCAAACTACCAACGGGTCAGCATCCGCAGCTAGGACCCCATCTTCTCCAGCCCCGGACGCCCGCAAGCCGACTTCATCAGCATCCACGCTGCACAGACAGGCGCTCGCGTCACCGCCTGCATCCACCGCAGCGCCGTCTCCCACGCCTAGTGCCGTGGCAGAAGAATTCTACGGTGATGGCGCCGATGACGACGACGTCGGTGGTTGGGGCGACATGGGAGACATGGACGAGGATGGTGGCTGGGGTGAGCCTGCTGGCCATTCATCTACGAAACCAGCGCCGGCTGCTGCTACGGCATCAACGACGCCTTTTGACGACGGCGAGCCCGACTTTGCGGGCTGGCTCGCGGCGCAATCACAAAAGAAGTCGGGCGCAAAAGCGCTTCCTAAGGGGCTGTCAAAGGCGGGCGGCACGGCGGCGAAGAAGGCGCCTGTAAAGGCGGCGGCGGCGAGTAAGGCCAAGCCTGTAGTGGCCAAGAAGATTGATCTTGCGCCAAAAGCGGATGACGATGATGACGGCTGGGGAGACGGTTGGTAGATGGATCGGGTATAAAAATCTGTGTAGTTAAGCGTTTAATACCTTTTTTGGAAATCGATATTTGTAGTGTTGTGATGAAATGTCGCATCGTAAGCCTGGTTGGTCAGGTTGGCGATGGGTTACAGAAATGCCGCAAGGTATAAGTCCCCAGGCTCCAGTATCCTATATATATCCTTCGCATCATTTTTAATGATTATTAAAGCACACTGTTTATTAGTTGCTTTCCCCAGGATGCTGAATTGAAAGAGGTTAGGCGCGTGACAACGGGCAAGGCTGATTTGCGACGCCTCTCGCATCTGATAGGCCTGGTTAAGCGAGCTGAGGCTTTGGAACGCTGGGGCCGTCTCACAAGACTCATTGTTGGTCTTGGCATTGACGGCTAGTGATAAAGAGCTCTTCCGGCCGTCAGGCCCTAGCAAAAGAACAAAAGGAGGTTGTCTTCTCTTTTCTTCGTTTTATCAGTTCGCAATAGACTCAACTCGACAAAGGTGCACACCACGATGCGATGAATCAAGACTCGTCGCCGACTTACACCGTGACGGGGCTCCACTGGTTCGCGCTGTCCGCGACCATCGCGCTGCTCTGCTGTATCTGGTGGGTGCCGGAAATCCCTAGCCTGTTCCCGCGGCGGGTGCAGAACTACACGTCCCCGCGATATCCGGTCTACGACGGCGCGGATGACTGCCACGTCGCGGCGGCGGCGCCGCACCGACGGCCCTGGGGACCTGGCAGCTTCGTCCGCAACGTCATGTGGAGCTGCCTGCGGTCGCTGCAGCCCGGCTTCGTGGTGCAGCTCATCCGGCGGTTCGAGCTCGACCACACGCTGTGGGCGGTGCGGTACTACCACGGGCCGGGCACGAGCTCCGAGCGCATCGCGCGTCTGAGCGCGGCCGGCTGGGCCGGGGCCATCTGCGCGGAGATGGCGCCGCTGGTCGTCCAGGCCGTGCTCATCTACGTCGGGTCGACCGGGTTCGACCGCGGCGGGGACCTGCTGGTCCCGTTCTGGATCGTCGGCCTGCTGCCCTCCGCGGTGACGGGGCTGAGCATGATGCTGGCGAGCCGCCTCCCGCGGTCCGCCTGGCGCGCCGCCTCCCTCGTCTTCTTCCTCTGCTTCCTCGCGCTGAGCGCCTCGCTGATCGTCGCGGCCACCTTCACGGTGCGCGGGTACGGCGGGCTGCGGCACCGGGCGGCGTTCGGCATCGTCATGGCCGCGGCGTGGCTGCTGCACATGGTGCTCTCCGTCGTCGTCGGCTTCCAGTGCAGCAAGGGCGTGCACTGCGTCGCGCTGCTGCTCACGGCGGCGCTGCGCGTCGCGCCGATGATCCTGCTGGCAGTCCCGCCGCGCGGCGGGCGCGGGCGCGGCATGCCGTACCCGGGGATCAACGCGCTGGCGTTTGCGATCGCGGTCAGCGTGGTCGCGGGCGGGCTGGTGTTCGTGCTGGCGGCGGCGGCGTTGGTGCGCTGTCCGGTATGGGACAGGCGGCACGTGTTGGTGCGGCGGCGGCGACGGAATAGGCGCGATCCGCGTCGGCGGCAGCGCGAGAATGACCCGTACGGCGGAGGCGGAGGGGGTTCAACGGGTGGCGGCGATGGGGGAGGCTGGAATTTTGACGGCGGCGGTGACGGCGGTGATGGCGGAGGACACGGTGGTGGTGGTGATGGAGGTGGTGGCGACGGAGGAGGAGGAGGAGACGGAGGTGGTGGCGGAGGCGGAGGAGACGGAGGTGGGTGATCTGCAGGTAATCTGTGTTGCAACCGAGGTTCCTGTTATGGCGATTTATGCTATTTGGGTAATTGGTGTTTGTGATAATACATGTCTCATCCGTGTCGCCGTGGAAGCTGTTGCGCTTGCAGAAGAGGTAACTAGTTGCTTGGCTATAGTGGTGGGTGATACAACAGGTCATGGGCAGGACGACTTGCTGGAGGGATTAGACTCAGTCGATAATGTGTTGTGTACTGAATAATAGCTAGTTATCAATTAGCGCTTCGGGCTTTTGCTTTGCAACTTGTCATGATGAAGAGTGAAAATGAAAGTTACAAGATGCTTCGTTTGCAGCCCCAACCGTAACTAGTGCTGGAGCAGGGCTACCAGCTGCCAGCTGCCAGGTCGACCAATTCGTCCATGTACACCACGCACAACTTCTCAGCTCCCAAGCCATTTCCTATTTCCTACAATGCCACGCAGCGCAGGCTCTGTATCCGATTGGATCCCAATAGCAGCGATGGCCTGGGCATGCACCAATACTTCACCGGGAGAATGACATCCGAAACGCATGGCCAACAGTGACGAAATGATTTTCTTCACCGGGGACGCTAGCCGACCTAGTCAATGGCACTTCGTGGAACGTCGGCCCCAGCAACTTAACTACTTAGATGAAGACGCCTGTTGTGCTACGCCGGCTGTTTTTAAACTATACAAACTCTTGAAATTGGTCGGTCTCGTTTCTAACCAATTGTATTGCCACTAGCAGCCAGATTTCATCTCATCCGTTTCAAAATGTCTACCGAGGAAGCCAAGGTCAAGCTCTACTGGTACGTTCCCTAGCGCCTCGGCGCAAATCTGCACTGTCTCACCCATGTGACGAAGCTAGCTCCTCGGCAGCAATCAACAACCACAAGACAAATCCCAAGCACATTGTATCATGAGCTAACCACAACGCTTCCCGCCGCCAGGCTCGAGCAGTCGCGCTCGCAACGCATCCTCTGGCTCCTCGAGGAGCTCAAGGTCAACTACGAGGTCGAGATCTTCCACCGCAACAAGCAGACGTTCCTGGCGCCCCCGGAGCTTGAAAAGGTGCACCCGCTCGGCAAGTCGCCCGTCATCGCCATCACGCCCCCCGGCGCCGGCGCCGATGCCAAGCCCATCGTCCTGGCCGAGAGCGGCTGGATGACCGAGTACCTCTGCACGCACTACCCGGAGGGCGAGCGCCTCGTCCCAAAGCGCTGGCAGGACGGCAAGGAGAACACCATCGGCGGCGAGACTGAGGCCTACCTTCGCCATCAGTACTATCTGCACTACGCCGAGGGCACCCTGATGCCGTATCTGGTCATGTCTCTTGTCATTGGCCGTATGTATCCCGTACTCTCTGGTACTGTGCACGCGCCTGGACCATCTCGGAACTGACCCCTTGTGCAGGCCTCAAGGGTAACGACATCCCTTTCTTCGTTCGACCGATTACCTCCATGGTCGCCAACAGGATCATCGCGTTGTTCATCGCCCCCAACATCAAGAAGAACCTCGCCATGCTCAACGACCACCTCTCCACCTCGGGAGGCAGGTTCCTCTGCAACGACCAGCTGACCGCGGCCGACATCCTCATGAGCTTCCCCCTCATCGCGGCCAAGTCTCGCTTCAGGGATGTTGCGCCGGGCTGGGAAGAGACATATCCCCGCATTTCCGAGTACATCAAGACGCTGGAGAGCTGCCCGGGCTACAAGAAGAGCATTGCAAAAGTGGAGGAGCTGGACGGCAAGTTCACGGCTTCGCTGTAGTTGGCATGGACAGAGAATAATACATAGTAAATAAAAAAAGGCTCTCACTTTCAGCTTCAACGACAGCAAGGCCGTGGAATAGTCTATTGCGCAGTTCTACATTCTATTCTACCTAGGCCGGATACGCGGCGCCGTCACCACGCGAGTCACTGCCCGCAGACCACACCGGCGTTTTTTCGACAGAGTCGACCAAGTAGCGGATAATCTGCCCTCGTCCAAAGAGGCTGCGCTTGTCACCGCTCACCAGCTTGATCTTGTGCCCCAGCTTCCGGAGTCCGTCAATCGTCGCCTCCGGCATGCCCTCCTCGACATGCACGATCCACTCACTCGTCTTTTCCACTTCCGCGAGGCCGCTGCCGATGCAGATGCGAGGTGCATCCAGGGCCTGCTGAGGATCGAGCCCGCCGACGACCTGCCCGAGGAGCACCTGCACGTGGCCCTGCGGCTGCATGAAGCCGCCCATGACACCGAAAGAAGAGTGCAGGGAGCCATCGCGAGTGTTGGTCGCCATGGCCGGGATGATGGTGTGGTACGGACGCTTCCGGGGCTCGATCCTGTTCGGGTGGTTGCGGTTGAGCGAGAAGTTCGCCCCGCGGTTTTGGAGGGTGAATCCACAGCCGCGGGGGATGATGCCGCTGCCGAAGCCGTCGTAGTTGGAGTTGATGAAGGAGGCGGCGTTGCCGGCGGCATCGGTGACGGTGAAGTAGACGGTGTCACTGCTCTGCAGCGCCGGCGAGGTAAAGAGGGGTCGCCCTTCTGTAATGTTTTCGCCAACCTTTGACGGATCGAACAGCTTCGCCCGGCTGGCGAGGTACTCCTCGGAGATCATGCCCGCGATTGGGACTTTGGTCACGTTAGGGTCAGTGACATACCAGTTACCATCGGCAAAGCTCAAACGTAGGGCCTCGATGATGGCATGGAGGTACGCGGGACTGTTAAAGTCTTCCGGCTTAAAGGTGGGAATTTGGCCGGCCTTTTCCAGCTCTTGGATGATGCCAAGCGCCATGAGCGCAACGATTCCCTGCCCGTTAGGCGGGTGCTCCCAGAGCTCAATGCCCCCGTCTGCGGACTGGGCGGAGAGCCCTTGGCCGTAGAATTTGAGCGAGATGGGCTCAACCGGCTCACTGCCCATCTCAGCATGATGCTTCAGATCATCCAGGTCAAGAAAGCCGCCGAGGTCTTGCACGACCTTGACGAGCTCCTCGGCGATGCGACCAGTATAGAACCCTTTCTTCCCCTCCTTCGCCAGCGTGCGGAAGGTACTCGCCAGCCGTTCGTTCTTCATAATCTCGCCGGTCCTAGGTGCGCGGACACCTTCAGCGGCGGCCGGGTCCCTCTTCAGCATCTCAGCGAAGTTGGGCGAGGCGCTGCGAATGAGCTCCTCTGACTCTCCCCACTGCCCAGTGTTAGATGAATGCGGGTAGATTTCATGAGGAAACTGTAGATATACGCACGGCAGAAGCGGCCACTTGGGATACGGGGAAGCCCTTCTCACCAAGGTCGATTGCGGGCCGCAGGATGTCAGCCATGGTCAGTGTTCCGCTTCCGAATCGCTCAACGGTGTCTAACCAACCCGCTGCAGCCCCGGGGACGGTGACAGCATGGACACTGAGCATAGGGATGCTGTCCGTGCCGTCGTCCTTGAGGCCCAGCGCCGAGCGGACCTTGTCCAGCGTGCACTTGGCACCGGACCGGCCAGAGCCGTTCATTGCTGAGACTGTCTTATTCTGCGCATCCCAATACAGAATAAACATGTCCCCGCCGATGCCAGTCGAGCACGGCTCGGTCATGTTGAGCCCAGCAGCTGGAAGAAGAACAGGTTAGCACGTCGTTTCTCGAGCGGCGGCGGATCCCGGCAACATACCGACAGCGACGGCTGCATCCTGATGAAGAATTAGTATCCCTCTTAGATAATTGTACAAGAAAGAAGAGGGAAAAATGAAAGGTGTACTCACAGCTGCGTTTCCACCAGCGCGAAGCACATCGAGACCACACTTGGCGGCAAGTGGCTGCGTACAAGCGACGATGCCCTCGGTGCTATGGACGACGCTGCGGCGAGAAGGGAACTGGGAAAAGTCGAGCGCCGAGTGATTCGTGCTAAAAGCAGAGTCTGTAGAGACAGGCATTGTTGAATATTCGGCAGATTCGCTGTGGTTTACCGTACGTATACCTTATCTAAGAGCTGGGACAAAGAAGGCCAATCTGTTCAAGTTAAGAAGGCAACAATTTGGTGTCTCGGGGTGCGCGGAACGCGGAATTGAGGGCGATATTTGGCTGATTTACTTGCGTAAGTGCCGGACTCTAGCGTCTTGATAGCGTGTCGATGGCAGACGAGTGAAGCTGGTGATGTCGTTGCATCAGCTTAAGTTCAAACAGGAGACTGTGAGGCGCCCTGCCGTATCCCCAGATTTGGACTCCGGCGAACCCAATTCAACCTCCGGGCATCTGGGGAGGGCGTGAAGTGGCATTGTGGTGGCGTTTCGCATGGGCCCTGACTCCCCTCAAGTTCCTTTATCCATCTACAGATATCCATAAACACGGGATATATCAAGGACTTTAAAACGGGCAGACCGTGGATAGAGATAGGGAATAAATCGGGCTCGACGCCGTATCTTTCATGATATCTGTTAACGAGAGGTATCAGTCTCAAGGTTTCCTGATAGCCCGCATGCTCCACTTCTATTAACTAGACGATTGTATAGACTTGTGGAGGAGGCGCAAGAAATGTCGCTTTTAGTCCTGATTGTCGGAGTTAAGTCGGTATATATGTTTTTAATAACTAGTAATAAAGCCACAATACTTTACACACTGGTTGTGGCACTGGACGGCACTTCAAACTCTCAGCTAATTAAGTACATGGCGCTTTCCCGCCTGTCGATCATCGTGCCGTTTTGGTCCTTCCCCGCAGTCGATAGGTGCTATTAAGTTCCGAGGAGCCGGCGAACCAAGTATTCAGCGTATGCTGAATGGTCATGTTAAGGTTTGGAGTTCCGAATAGCTTCCGCTGAGTCGTATCGTAACATCGCCCAACATACCCTTGCGCACTCAAGTTCCGAGACACCTACCCTGTGGCTTGGTCGACGCATCTATAGTATACGAAGTCATGAAGATCGCTACATAAAGGTGTCAATTGTCGCTGCTTCCAGCCCGAGGTCCTGATACAAGCTAAAACGTCTGTTCCCTTACTTTCTCTGAGTTGGACAAGCTTGCTCTGCCTGCCATGGAGATCAACCAACACGCCAAGGCCGGCCAAGGCCACGATGACTACGACCCCGAGCTAGTCAAGCCAACAATCACAGGCTCTGACATTGATGCGGCCCTCAAATTCATTGAAAATGGTGGCGACGGGGTGCCGCCGATGACCGCGGAAGATGAGAAACGCCTGGTCCGGAAAATCGACATGACCATTGTGCCACTCATGTGTAAGTCTCCCGCCCTTCGCCGGCCGCATTTTGAGTATGCTAATGAACTGTGGCAGTTGGTTGCTACTTTTTGCAATACCTTGATAAAACACTCAGTGAGCCTCCCATACATTGCCCTACAGCCAACTTTCTCTCCTCACACATCGGCAGTCAACTATGCCAACATCATGGGCCTCCAAGCGGACACCGGCATCAACGGCAACCAATTCTCCCAGCTCGCCCTCATCTTCTACGTCAGCTATCTCGCCTTTGAGTTCCCTACTGGCTATCTCATGCAAATCCTACCCACCGCGAAATACCTCGGCGCCAACGTCGTCTGCTGGGGCGTCATGGTCGCCTGCACCGCCGTCGCCCGGTCCTGGGGCACCCTGGTCGCGCTACGAGTGCTGCTCGGGTGCTTCGAGGCCGCCGTCGCGCCGGCTCTCATCCTCATCACGGCCATGTGGTACAAGAAGTCGGAGCAGCCGCTGCGGGTCGGCGTCTGGTACGTCGGCACCGGCGTCGGCCAGATGGTCGGCTCCGTCACCTCGTTCGGCTTCCAGCACTACAAGGGGAGCGTCTTCAAGTCATGGCAGATCATGTTCCTCGTGTACGGCGTCCTTACCGTCATCGTCGGGCTCCTGGTCGTCTTCGTGATGCCGGACAACCCGATGGTGTCCCGGTTGTCGGACACGGAGAAGCAATGGGCCATTGCGCGGTTGCGAGAAAACATGACAGGTATCGAGAACAAAAAGTTCAAAAAGTCCCAGGTTGTCGAGTGTCTGCGGGACCCCCAGACTTGGTTGCTGGCCCTGGCCATCATGTCGTCTTCCATCCCCAACGGCTTCCTCAGCACCTATTCCTCTACCGTGATCAAGACGTTTGGCTTCACATCCGAGGTCTCCGCCCTGATGGGCATCCCTTCTGGCGCATTCACGGCCATCCTCACCATTACCTGTAGCTTACTTGCTGGCAAGTACAACATACGGGGCTTCCTCGCCGTCGGTTTACTTGCCACTAGCACCTTGGGCAGTTGTCTTTTGAGGTTTTTACCGGCCGAAGGTCATGTTGCGGGCAAGATGGCGGGCACCTACCTCACTTCATGCACCGTCCCCTCGCTTGCGCTTATATACTCATTCGCATCAGCCAACTTTTCGGGCCACACGAAAAAGATCACCTTGAACGCGCTGCTCCTCATCTGCTTTTGTAAGTCATGTCGTGCTCCCTGTCATTTTCTAATTGCTGATTGAAGTCTAGGCATCGGCAACGTCATCGGCCCCCTTACATTCCGCGACAAGGACAAGCCAGAGTATATTCCTGCCAAGATTGCCATGGTCATCACCAATGCCTTTGCCGGCGTCTGCATCTCTGTCCTTGTCATGTACTACAAGTGGGAGAACCGCCGCCGTGACCGCATTTACGCCAACATGGAGCACGTGCCAAACAGCGAGTTCTTCAACCTCACAGACCGTGAGAACCACGAATTTCGGGTAGGTCGATCTCAATCCATCCTTCCCAGACGCCCCAATCAGATACTGACGGCGCCGTAGTATTCCATGTGAGGTTAAAAATTGTGCCCTAGAAATGCCCCAGTTCTTACTAGTTCGATGCCGCGTCCGTCCCCCAGAATGCAAGCCATTGATCGATCCATGTGAATACCTCCTTGATAATTACTCAACACTAAAGTTGATACCCTATATTCTAGTGACTGTAAGTGGTCTCGTAGCCTGGCTATTATTGACCTGGGTTTAAAATTAGTTGGCGCACCCAGGGCACCTCACACCTTTTCATACAGCCCTGTAGTATACACCTCCATAGGCGTCGTCAAATTGACTAATCATGCCATTGATAATGATCTTGTATGCTAGGTCACTGACTTATAGCCTCTAAAAATTGTATTGTGTACAGATTTGCATTCTATCAACATCGTCAACACAGTTCAATTACTTATGTACACCTGCCCTTCTGGCGGTATCCACTGAAATGTTGATGGGATCCACCGCAGAATCTCAACCTCGAATTTCAACCAGAGCTTGTCCCTGACGGCAACAAACGACATCGCAAATCACCGCCCTCGAGCTTCGTGCGTACCATCTTCCGACCGGCAGAAAACCTATCAGTAGGCCCTTCCCGGCGAGCATAGGTGCCATGCTCCCGTCGCGCGCTGTGTGCTGGAGATGCACCACACAGCTACGCACCCAGGCTCGCCAGCCTGTCGCCAAATTGGCATTCTCGTCGCTCGCCGACACGACCGGAGACGAGCAGCCCTGGCGAGCTTCGCAATCCTCTGCAAAGGAGCGCAAGGCGCCACGCCATCGAGATGGGAAGCACAAGCCCAGGCACGCTGGCGCGCGACCCTCCTCCAGATCCGATGTGTCAGCCTTTGACATGTTTAATCAGATTGTCAATGCGAAGAGCATGGGGTGGACAGGCAATTCCACCGGTGTCCAGCCCAACGAGGCCGCCTCAGGAACCCGGCCGAGTACCGAAATCGATATAACATTCATGCTGAGCACCTTGGTGGCGCGTAAAAACGACCCCGTCGATCAACGACTCCAGACGTTCGAGGAGTCGATATGGCCGCATCTGCGAAACTACGATAACCACTTTCCGGTGCCTATATCACAACTCTTGATAGAATTCATCAACAATGCTTGCAGAGATGAGATACAGTACGGTCGAGCCTCCTCCTGCCTCGCGATCGCTCAGCTCGCAGCTCGGGTCGGCATAACAAGTCCGCACATCCCAAATATCATGGCCCTCAAGATATGCCATGTTTTTGCCACGAGCAAAAATTCCAGCGCTCATCGCAACCTTTTGGCGCAAAATTTGCTGGCGCTTTGGATGCACGTCTCGCAAATGCAACGGCTGCCCGAGAAAGAGCGACCCTTGCGACTGGCTCTCCCGGACAAGGTTGAATTTAGCGTTGGGCTGAGGAGCACACAGAAATCAAATGACGGTGTGCTTGATGATAGCAGCGTCACTCCGGAAGCTTTTCTCAACGCCGTTTTTCCACAGTTTGAAAATGGCCGAGCGAGAGAACTGATGGACGGGCTTCTCGCCACGTTATGTTTCTGCTCCGACCCGCGATTTGTCACAGAACGTGTGCAAAGAGAATTTGCTCCATTGTTGGAGCTGGCAAGCATTTTCTTCGGTGAATACAGTCAATCAGCCGAGTTAATGCTGCAAGAATTCCCCCATCACGCCACCCTTCACGCCGTCTTGTTTCCATCCGAGAAGTCTCATGAGCTCCAAGCCTACATCATGAACCAATGGCCCATATTTGTTCTGTTTCTACAGAATCAACAGGTACCATGGCGTCAAGGAAGCTCTGCCAAGGAACCAAGAACAAGTCTTGCTCAAATTCACAAGCGACTACGCAAGGCATACATAGAGCGCAATAAACCAGGCGTCCGGACCATCTGGGCCGAGCTGTACCAAAGACAGGCTAATAGCGCAGGTCTACGCTCCGCAATACAATCCAGGCCCGAACTGATGGACTTTATCATCTTCATCGCCTGTGCACTGCGCCTAGACTACGAGTACAAGACGGCTGTCGAGTTGATGAACGGACTGCAGATTCCCTTAACGCTCAAAACATACACCGGTATGATGCACGGTTGGAGACTTTGCAAGGATACGCGGAAGATTGACGCCTTGTGGGATCAACTTGAAAGCGCCAATGTGCGCCTCGACGTGCCTATCTGGACAGAACGCCTCGCAGCATATATCCTCAAAGGCAAGATTGGCTTGTGTATAACGGCACTTGCAAAGCTACAAACGGAGTGGGATGATGCAGTGAAGAACGATACAGTGGCAGAAAGTGGTGCTGTCCAGCCCAGCATTGAAATGGTGAATGCATGCATCAAGGGTATACTCGAGATTGACCCCCCGGCGGCCAAGGTGCTTCTCAGCTGGGCGCACAACAATGGCATCCGACCCGACGTCAGCACACACAACATCATCCTTCGCCGGGCCTTCTCTAGCGGGCCTGATGACGTTGCCTGGATCATGGAACTGATGGAGAAGAACGGCGTAGAGCCGAATCAGGCGACCTTTGTGATCCTGATTGAAGAGATGCTGGCTCTAACGGGCGCTGACTCGCCAGAGGCGCAGGTCGAGGCGGTCAACCAGGTCTTTGCCGACCTGGCGCGGTCCAAGTTTGCCCTTACTGGGGAACTGTACGCCAAGGCACTGCACGCCGTGGCCTCGCTAGCCGACGCCTCCGACGAGGCCGTCGAGGCCGTCCTCGCACACTTGCGCCACCAAAAGGTGCGCATCAACCCGTACATGGTGACGATCCTGATTGAGCGGTCGCTACAGCGCGACCCGCGCTCGTTTGCGCCCATCGAGGCACTGCTGCACCGCTACGGCATGGCCGACATCTCGCGCGGCGACCAGACGCTATGGGAGCGCGTGATCCGCGCAGCCGCGCTCACCGGCGAGGCCCGCACGGCGCTGGCGCGCTTCGACGAGTTGGCCGCCGCGGGACGACCCGTCACGTCGCTGCCGTGCCTTAACGAGCTGCTGCGCGCGCTGCTGGCAGAGGACGACACGGAAAGCGCGCGGCGCGTCGTCGACACGGTGCTGCACAACAAGATGGCGGCGCAGGCGCAAAAGGGCAGCACTCACGGCGAAGATGGCGGCGGCGACGATGAGGCGCGCTTTTGGAAGCACCACTTTTGGCACGTCGCTAAGGAGAACCAGCTTCTCGATGAGAAGAACATGCCGGGTGGGCTGCACAGAATGATCGAGCACTACTGAAAAGTACTCTGGTGTCATAGTCAGTCTTGTCTTTATTCTGTATGATATGTTCTGGCGATCCAGCCAGCGGCTTCTTGTCAGCATCATAGGCGGACATAGCCTGTTGTATATTAGCACATTCAATACCATGTACATTTCACCCATGCGTCACCATTCTGCAAATGAATGATGTGTTATACTTGACACTGCAGAAAGGTCATCAATCCCTGTCTGAAATCAGCATCAGATGACCATATCCCATCATAATCGTGATATAAACGCCGAAATCCCGCTGACCTCCCAAAACAAAAAGGTACCAAAAGTCTTTTCATGATACATTCGCTCCGCAGTCACTCACGACTGCGCCATGCTCTCATCCTCATCCTCCGCTGCACCACCCTCCTCGTTCTCCCCTTGCGCCGCCGCCGCCGCGGCGCCTAGGACAGCCATCACGGCCTCGAGCCCCTCGACCTCGTCGCGCGCGAGCGCCCGCCCCGCGCTCTGCCACTCGCCGTCGCGCACCTCGCCACCCGGACCGAGCTCGACGCCCGCGACGGTCTCCAGGTACCGCCTGGACGCGCGCTCGATGTACTCGGCGCGTTCGCGGCGCCAGCTCTTCTCCTCTTCTCCCTCCTGGTCTTCTTCGTTGTCGTCGTCGCGGATGGTGGGGAGGAGCTCCCGCAGAGATGACGACAGCGTCCGGAGGGTTTGTAGCTGCGCGAGGGTGAACTCGGTCGTCGTGGCGATGGGTCGCTCGGAACCGCCCTCCTCGAGCGTGCCGCGGTCGTGCAGAAAGCCCAGCGCGTTGGCCTGTTGCTGTTCCTGCACGGCGGCGGCATCGTCTTCCGTCTTCACCGCCGCCGTCGTCGTCGTCGTGGGTGCGGGGCCCTTGACGCCGACGGCCGCGCGCAGCGTCGCGAGGAGCGCGTCGTTGCGCACGCGCTCCGTCTCCAGCGCGAGCTGCAGCTGCTGGCTGGCGTGCAGTCGTCTCCGTAGCTGCGTTATGGACTCGAGGCTGGGCGGCGGGGAAGCTCCCGCGACGTCGCCGGGGGGGGAGAAGTCGAGGCCCTTGTAGTGGGCGAGCTGCATGTACGGCCGGTCGTCGGGCTTGACGGTGAGAATGTTTCGCATGACATAGAGCTCAAAGATGTCAAAGTTCTTGTCGATGGAGGCGTTGAGGAGCGTCTCGAGCTGGTGCGTGCCGTGCTCGATCTCGCGCTTGGCGGCCTCGTCGGGGCTCAGGGCGGCGGCGGCGGCGTCGGCGCCAGGCGCGCCGCGCTTCTTGGGGTTGCCAAATCCGAGGTTCTGCGCGGAGATCTTGCGGAGGGCCCGCTCGACGGCGCCGAGGGCGTGGTCAGCGAGGACGTTGACCGCATTGATGATGTCGTCGAGGAGGGACTGGGCAAACTGTCAGTAGGTGGGGGTGGGAGGGCAACGGGAGAGTGGGCGATGGGGAGGGAGAGAAGGCGTACAACTGGGGGATAGCTAAAGTGCTCGGTGAGCAGTTCGTACTCGGCGTTGTCTGGCGCCGACATAGCCAATGTCGTCGTGTGTTGGTGTTGGAGACTGGGAGAGGAAGCATGCGACAGGACGCGCTGGCCGGTGGGAGAACGCGTCGGTGTGCTTGCTGGGACCGTGTATAGTGGGGGCGGCACGGCAGTTGCAACGCTGCTGATTGATAATTGGCTGCCGTTGTCCGTTACTTTCGGTCCTCTTGACAAAGAATATCACAAGATAATTGACATGGATTGTTAATGTTGCGAATGCGAGATTCAGACGACTTGTTGGAGAAATGCAGGTACCTGGTACCTATTGGTGGGGCACTAAAACCAACCGTTGGCCCAAGCCTCCTCCTCCCCACAGCCCGTAATCGTCGTCATCCCACCCGTTCATCCTAGCAAATACAACCAACTTGTGCAGTATTTTATAACAACGCAAGCAAGCATCCAGCACGGTTACGTCTGCCGGTATTTCCTCCTACGAATCTCCTTTATCCTCCTAATCAAAGTTGCGGCTGCAACGGTGGCCCCCCCCCACCATGTCGAAATTCGGCGGCTTCGTGAAGAACGGGTGGCATCCCGAGAAGGAGGGCACCACCTTCAAAGGCCAAATGGTACGACCGCCCGACGCGTAGCCAACCCCCCTTCCCATCCTTGCATGTATTTGCTGAACTTTTGCTCTCCAGAAAGGTCTCGTCGGCCGCGGCGAGTCCAAGGACCAGCGCAACAAGGACCACGTGTCCCGCCCTCTTCACACCCTGACCGACCCGTCCTCGCTGCCTCCCCCACCGCAACGTCGCGGCACCGGCCTCGGCCCTGGCCCCGCGCCATCCTCTTCCGGCGGCGAGAAGCGCAAGCCGGTCACCGCGCCATCCAAGTATCAGGACCCCCATGGGCCGCGCGTCGAGCCGCCCGCTCGCACAGCCCGTGTACCGACACAATCTGAGGAGGAGGAGGCGGAGGCGGAGGCGGCCCCTGCACCTCCTCGCCCGTATCGAACCAACACCACAGGCTTGCGGACCGACCACTTGCCGCTGCCGCCGGGCCGTCGGGACGGCGCTGATGGGAGGAGCCCACCATCGTACAGCGCGGCGACCAATACGACGAGGGCCGCACCACCAGCGCTTCCCGGGCGTGGCGGCAGTGCTGCTGCGGCGCCGAGCCTACCGCCCCGACTGCCGCCTCGCGGGGCCGGTGATGCCGCAGTCACCCCTCCTTCTACGAGTCCACAACCAACGGGCGGCGGTCTACTAAATCAGAGTGCGGTGAACCGCCTCGGCGCCGCTGGAGTATCCGTACCTGCTCTCGGTATCAGTAAGAGCAACAGCAGCGCCAGCAGTGCCAGCAGCCAGCAGCAACAAGGTGGCAGCCACATGAACGAGCTACAAAATCGCTTCGCGCGCTTTAACACTTCGTCCTCCACACCGCCGCCGCAGCAGGAACAAAGTGCACCTGCACCGAGCCAAGGCACGACGTGGGCGCAGAAGCAGGCCGCGCTCAAGACGGCGTCGCAATTCCGTGACGACCCCTCGAAAGTGTCGCTGACCGATGCTCGGGCGGCGGCCAGCACGGCTAACAACTTTCGGCAGCGCCACGGCGACCAGGTGGCCGCGGGGTATAGCCGGGCGCAGGCTTTCAACGGGAAGCACGACGTAACAGGCAAACTGGGAGGCCTCGCGAACAGGTTTGGGGGCGTGGCGGGTCAGGGGGGACAGGAGACGCCTGCACAAGATACACCAACGGTGGGTGGGAAGAAGAAGCCGCCTCCTCCACCACCGCCCAAGAAGAAGCCGGGTCTCGGGACGGTGGCGGCCGCGGAAGACGGGGATGCGCCGCCTCCAATTCCCATGTCAACGCGGCCAAACTTCTAGTTTCGTTAATTCTTTCTATCCAAGTTGCCGCCGTGTCTTCTGCCTGGTAGCCCCTGGGCTAGACCAAGGAGCGATAGGCCAGAGTACACAGGTTTACATTGATAAACCGTCCGACTGCATACGCGCGACATCACATCCGCCTTAGAAAGCAGCTTCAACGCGCCAAAGGCCAAAGCTACTCAAACTCACCCTATACAACATACCCAAGTACAGCGCAAGCCGGGCGAAATACGGGGTCCAACAACGAAGAGACACCAAATACTGCAAAGGAGCATGAATACATAACATAAAATATTGATCTTATGCTCGTTTACGTTTCTGCTGCATAGACTTGTGTATACCCGCCTTCCGCCGCAGAGACATCTTCCGCTGCTCTAGACAAGTCTAATGCAAATTAATGCAAACACGTCCACCGGATGTTCTGGCTTCTAGGGATCCGATGAGCGGCACCATGCATGCAAGTGTCTTTTTGGATAATAAGCTGCAATGCAGTCTCGCCATTCCATGTCCTCTGGTGTCGTGCCATCAATGGTCATATCAAAGCGGCGAATCATGGTCGCGAAGGCGATGTACAGCTCGGCCCAAGCCAAGTTGACGCCGAAGCACATGCGAGGTCCTCGACTGAAGGACACAAGCCAGTGGTCAAGGCTACCCGCGCGAGCCATCGAGGCGGTCATTTCGCTCTCAGCATCGGCCTTGACCTTTTCTTCCAGCCATCGCTCGGGCCTGAACTCGGCCACGTCCTTGCCCCAAACCTCGGCGGACATGTGGACGTGCAGGATGGCCATGCCGACCACGGTGCCGCCGGGTATCTGCCGACCCGATATGGTGGCGCCGCCCGGCGGCACCACGCGCGTCAGGGACACACCGGACGGGATGAAGCGCAAGGATTCCTTGATCGTCGCCGTCAGGAGTGGGAGGGCCTCGAGGTCGGCCAGCGCCGGCTGCGCCGCCAGGTCCGGCCAGACGCTCGCGACTTCGCTCCTCAGTCGCCCGAGCAGGGCGGGCCTCCTCATGGCGTGCCAGTGGCCCATCAAGAGCGTGTCGGCTACTGTGTGTGCGCCGGCAAAGATGAGTATGAAGCCCTCGTCGTGCAGGGCCTTCAGCCCCGGTACCTCCCTCGCGCGGTACGACCGCGGGTCCAGCATGTGGTGGAACAGCGTGTGGTGCGACACGGCGTCGAGCTTTGATGGGCAGCTCAGCACCACGTGCAGCTGGTGCTGGATAAGGGCGCGGACCTGGTACAGGCGCGGAGCCAGTCGGCTCGCGTTTGGGATGAGACGCATGGCGAGGGCGGGGGGCACGGCGAAGATGAGGTGCCGGACGAGGGGGACGTTCTTGAGGAGCGGTAGCATGCGGAGACTGGTGTCCATGGCGAGGATCAGCGGGTCGCGGAAACGCGGGGCGTCGAGCGCTCCAACGCAGCTGCCAAAGGTGAAGCACATCATGGTGTCCAGGGTATAGGACCGGAATGCGTACAGCAGGTCAACGGAGGCCTTGGTCGCGCTAGCTTTCGCTATGGAGGATGCGAGTCTAGTTGCCTATGTTGAAAGATGGATGAGTGCTCAAAGCGCAAGATAGCTGGATTAGAACGCTTCCTCCAAGACTAAGCAAAGACTACTCACGTTACGCCAAACCAGATGATCGAGTTCGTTGATGGCCTTTTTGGAAAAGATTGGCTGAAGCACCTCCCGTCGTTCCCTGGCCTGGGCATACTTGAGGAACGCAAAGGAGCCGGTCGTGACGCCAGCGGTCCGATAGAGACCAGGGTCCTTATCCCACCTATTGCTGCCGTGGTATATGTCATGAAACGCAGAGGGCTTCCCAAAATGGAGCTGAGGTAGATGTAAGGGACGAGGCTTCCAGTAGTCATAATGCTGAGCAAAGGGTGTGTCTCGTGTCAACGTACCTCGTTCGGGGCGACTCGGACGATTTCGCCTACGAGGTGTATGAGATTACTTTTCTTTGAACTGAGAATCTGCATTTTGTTTTTTTTTTAGCCTACCGTATTTCTCGTGAAGACTGAAAAGCTCGCGAGCCAGAGTCTGCTGCTTAATGACTTCTTTGTACGCCTTCCACCCGGACGTGGCTCCGGCCATCCATGGGCCGGGGAAATGTCGCAGCGGGTGGAAGTACACATTGTATACGATGCTGCAAACAACCCAAAGAGCCGCGATTTCTAATGATATAAGGAGAATCTGCGTGGTGACCATGATGAGTATGAAGATGGTACTGTATAGGTTGACCCAAAAGCCCCGACGACGAGACCTATTTAATAACCTCAGTTCCGAGGAGAGGCTCCAGGCTGTTCATGGCACCCGTGTGATGAAACACAAAAACATGCAGAATGGTTGCTACCTTGCATTCGTTTGTGGAGTTGGAAACGACATGCATGGTGTTCGATTCTTGTCATAACGAAGAGCAGGCTGGCAATAGTTACACCGCTGGGAAGCCACCTCGTCTAACAAGTGCATGACGGCAAGCCTTTTACTTTCCGTTCTGCCTCCAGATCTCCTTTGAAAATTATTCTCTTGTCCTCTGCTGCCAAAGCCGGCCGGAGCTTGACCGCCTTCCCCGCTGACGACGCTGTGATGACTCCTATTCGGGCTTCCGCTACCCGTGTGGCTTCTCGTGCCCTGCAGCCGCTTTCCGCCAGTCACCAGGGCGGCGATCAACCAGCCGCCCTGCCATCCGGCTGTTTACTTCTTTTGTAGATTTTCCTTCCTTGGAGATATGTACGGCATTTGCAAACAAAGGTCTTCCAGGGCTTCGAGCCCGCGCTTGTTCAGGCTCGGTCGTTTCACGAACAGCAGACGCAGCTGTGCAACCCATCAGTCGCGGATGCGGACTCCAAGAGATGCATTTCATCTATCCACCACTATAAACTCGGCTCGCATATCGCATGCCGCCATCTGAGTCCCCGCCATGACCCTTGTATGACCTTGCGGCCGTAAAGTTTCTTCGCTGTCCCAACAGCGGCAACCTTCAAGCACACATTATCTGAGCCTAGCATGACTAGAGAATCCGTGGGGGATTTTTGAATATTGGTACGAAAATTTCGGCCAGAGGACACGCCACGGCAATAATATCGAGCTTGTTCCCTCAAGCCTCCTGGGGACCATGTTTTGGGGGCCAAGGCAACCTTTGCGAGGACACGATCCGCGAGCCTGCATGCATCCCCCCGGCAAGGTATCTTACCCAGGGATATTGTCTCCATTATGATCAGGACGGGGAATTTCAAGCGAATTCTTAGTGCCACCCCCTTTCATACCGCTGGCACATGCGACAGCAAAGTCTTACTCGGAGGCTGGCAGATACCGGGTAAGACGGGCAGGCGCCGTCTACACAACATCAACAAGGAAGAAACAAATTACCTGCAGGGCTCTGAGCAAATTCCCGCCAGGCTTAAGCCCCGTTATTGAACAAGGGTCATTGTTGTAAGCACAAAACGATACCGCACAAGGGTATCCGTGCTGAGATATGATTCCTTCGCCCGGCACTTCGTACACCAGATCAGGTAAGGTTGCTCGGCTCTCGTGCTCGTTCATGAGATGCCCGCCTAGACCTCTCAGCCCCAGCCTCAAAATAGATTGAGGACGATTACCGCGAATTGGTCTCAGCCTTGCGGATCGGCGCGTCGACATATCAAAGTAGCATCTGCCAACGCAGATCATAACGGCGAGCAAGTAAGCACGGCCCATGCCATCCATGTAGCAACGACATTTCTAGTCATCAAGGTATATATGGAGGTTTCATGCCTGACGACGAATGCTCCTCATGAAAGGAGACCTTGTGCGCTTCATGCAGCGCAGGCTGACGGAGCACAGTGCTTACAATGGCAATGGTGCGCCTTGGCGAGCCAGGTGTAAACCTGGGCAGTAGCGTGGCCTTGGCAGGTTGGCGGCCTCGCAATTCAGATGGATGGGAAACAATGCGCGCGGAACATTGAATCCTTTCTACTAAGTTACATTGTACGAGGCCCTCCAAGTAGTCTAGTCATGCATCCACCGCTTCGAAAGCCTCCCCCCTCGCGGGCCGGGTTGACCACGGCGCAGTTTAGACTTGAGATGGAATGTAAGAAAACCGGCCTCGGAGAGTTTAAATCGGACTTTATTTGGCCGGCTCACACACTCTCTTATCGCCCTGAGCCCGCCCTTGACCGATAGCACGAATCCTACCAAATCCTCCCGACCAACCACACCAGAACATTAGCGAACAGCGAAAACCCAGCGAATGGATACGATTTTCTCTCTGCAGCCATGACTTATTAACGCAGCTGAGGCTCTCTCGCTCTGCAGCATTCAATATGTAGTAGGGTAATCACATGGCTGAGCTGAGACAGCTGAACGAGCTGAGGCCGTAAAAGGGGCAAAAAGAGGAATGGTGGCCGCCATTTGTCGTAGATTCCGATGTGTGGCATGCATGAAACCTTACCTCGAGGAAAAACCATTCTGTCGTTTGCGTCCTCTTATGAACAGACATCACGCGGCCTCTCTTTTCAAATCCATAATTAGATTGCTCCGAGTCCCTTCCGTATCGCACTTCATGTACGCCCGGGCACCGCCCTTATCATCGGCCACCGAAGCTCAACTCGCCGCTCAGCAACAGCATGGCGCTGCCGCGATACCTACAGCGGCATCAGAAGAAGCTGTATCAGCACCACCGCCGCCGCCACCGAACCACCAGTGGCGGCAGCCGCCTCCGCCTCCAGAGATGCCTGTCCAGTCGCCCTGGCGGCGCTCAGCTTGCGACCGCTGTCGCGCTCAAAAGCTGAGGTGTCTGCGCTCCAAGGAGGACGACACCTCGATACCTTGCACGCGTTGCCTCCGCGTCCGGCATCCATGCTTTACCAGCTCAGCCAAGCCGCCTGGGAGGAGCTCTGGGAGGCTACCACCGGCGTCAGAGCTGACCGCGGCTGCGAGCAGATCAGCTGGTAACAAGAGGGCGGCCCGACAGCGGGCAAGCGAGCGTGTCTCCCCTGTTGCCCCAGGCCAGCAATCGCCCATGTCGATGGAATGGCCCTTGTTATACCAAGAAGGGGACCAAAGCGAAGAGGCTGCGGTCTTTGAAGAGGGCGTCATGAACATGATCTCCTTCGATGAGAACCAGCCCATCGACTTCTTCAGATATCTAGCCTCGATGCCACCCTGCATTTCGGCTTCGCCGCCTTATGGGTTCGACCTTGTACGGGAAGGGCTGGACCACGAGCATGAGGATGCCATGGATCTGGTCCAGGAAGACCAAATTCCCATGGCGTCTCTGGCCCCAGCTCCGCCGATCCAGCACTGCCGGGGCGTCCTGCTGGCGCGGCTCTTAGAATCTCTGTCGACGCAGCTGGTGCAGCTCAATTCGGAATCCTGGGACCTCGGAGTTTTGAGCGTGACGAGCTCGACCGTGGACTCTGGCGAGGTAGACGTTGCTGCCGCAGAGGCGCTCGCTCGCGACGTGCCAGTATTCAACCCGCTGTTATCCATCCTCGTCAGCACGAGCAAGTTCCTAGATATCTGCAAACTATTCGTGGCACCCGAGGCCAGCGGCGGAGCCGGCGAAGCATCCGCGGCGACAAGTGCGGCTGCGGAGGTAGTAACTCAGGCGGTTCCGAGGGCACGGTTGTTCTCCACGCACGAGATCGGCGACAGCCGACCGTCGTTTTCATCTCCATCCTCTCTTTCTGGCTCGACCCGGGTTGCGTCCTCGTCCTCGTCGTCGCCACCAAAAGGGACCGAGTCGTGTTCCTCCTCGCCGAGGATGCCGACCGGCCAAGTGGCCATCACCGCCTCCCAGCTGCTGACGCTGGTCTCATGCTACCTGCAAGTAGTCACCATCTACAACGACATATTCTCCCATCTCCTCGCCCAGCTTGCCCAGCCGCAACCGCCACCGCCATCATCGTCGTCTACACAGCACCAGGTGAGCGCCGTCCCCGTTCCTTCCGGCGCAAACGCAAACGCATCTACCTTCGGTGGCACGCTGATGACGCCCAGCCTGGTGCTTGCCGGGTTTTCCGTGCCGTTGAGCTCGAGCCTGCGGATGCGGCTGCTGGTAGAGGTAGTGGAGCACCAGTTCGAGCAGATCGAACACACCTTGGGCCTGCCCGGCCCGTACCGCGTGTCGACCGCGAGTCACCCCGGGCCACAGAGTCAGCAGCGGAAAAACGGCACTGATGGTGGCGGCGGGCTCCTCGCCAGACGGGAGGCGCCGACGCTACTTGACGCCGTAATTGGGCTGTCGAGCAAGGTGGACGATGCTGACAGCAACGACTGTGGCGGGATCGGGGTCGTCGCGTCGCTCCGAGAAAATCTGCGAAAGGCACAGCGAGTGCGGAGAGGTGGGGGTTAGGGAGCCCTATGTAGCGATCCTTGTGATCCCTGTTAGTAAATATAGACGAGTTGGCGACTGACAAATCCAGATCAGATAGAAGTGATTTTCACAGCCGACACCGGAGTTCATCTGCCGCAGAATTGAATATTGTGCCCTACATTAGTACACTCGAGTTTTGCATGCGACTCCCTCGTCTAACTTGAGATCGTACATAGCTTCCACGGCTATGGACACAGGCTTACTGCTCGCTTGGAATGAACCCTGCCAGACCTCGCTGGGTAGGCGGGTCCCTGCACCTGCATCGGCTGCCAAGCAAGCGGAGATTGGTGCTGAGGTATCCACCTTCACTCAGCTGGCCAGATTCAGACCATCGGATCGGCAGACCATTGCGGGTAAGCTTTGCAGACGAGGCTGAATACTCTCTCTGAGAGCCAATCGGGCTCCGATTGCTCCGATATTAGAAATCCTTCTGAATAAGCTACAGCGGAGTTCTCGATTAACAGTCAAAGAGGAGCATGATAAGAATAATGGTGTGCCAGACGAGTGGGCGATGCTTACGGATGATTCCTGGAGCGATGTCGATCAGGTCTATTCATTCCCATACCAGGCTTGAACAGCACTGCTGACAGGAGGGGTATTACTAACAATTGCAAAAGAAAAGGAAAGTTTTGCATCTTTTATTTTTTTCATGTCTAAATTTGGACGGGTGGTTCATTTTATCAGGATTCGCAGTCTTGGGGTGAGGAAGTGGAAACGGTCCCTAAAATTTCTACGTTTCAACCGCTAAAAATTGTGAATAAAGAGAGAAGTCCGCAAGGTGCGGAGCGGCTTTTATTAGTCGGAGATTGTGTGTGCTTCAAGTGGTTGTCTGTTTGACAGCATCTGCGACGGGCTGAAGCTTTCCCTTTTGTGGGCCACCTAACGGGCGCGTTTCTTTCTGCTCATCCCCGAGAGAAGAGTGGGGTGAAACGTGGCAACCTTATTCTGTCGGGCGCCGATTTACTATTGACGCTAGCATGCAAGGATCGCCGGGCGGAGGATCCAATGGTAAATGTGTAAATACGAAGGCTTTTTTTTAATCGTGCAATCATTAGGGTAGGGAGGAAAATCGTCATTGTGTTTTTGCTCTTGTATCGTGGCGGCTGGGCTGGCGCGAAGGAAACCAGGACTTTCTGGCCACTGGATCATTAGATCAGACGAAGATCTATGTATGTACATATGTACCTCCTGAAAGCCACGGGGCCCTGCTAGTCCGTTGCAAAGTTAGGGGCGGACACCGTGCGGGCCCCCAGCTTTACTGGGGAAATCGAACTACCATTTGTACGAATAACTCGATTAACGTTAGACCCTTGGATTTCAAAATCTAGCTTCTTGTAGAAAAGCTGTATCTCACAGGAGTCATCATGGCGGAGGTATCCTCGCAGAGGCAGAGTCATCCTAGCGGAGTTATTCACTGCAACTCCGCATCAGGCTCCCGCTGCGGGTACTTGCTGTCTTGGACGCTCCTGACCAAGCTTCCCCATTGGGCGGATGCCTTGCCAGCGGCCGCAGACCTCAGATACAAATGGTTCGTTTGTCAGTATTCCACCCTCTCGGCGCAACAATTAGCCCGATTTCCACCTCTCCCATCTCTAATCCCTGGAAGCAAAAACAGATCGGGCTGTCGCCATCTTCTTTTAAGATCCCACCTCTTCCTCTTTCGGCTAAGACCGCGGTGAGCGAGTCACGCTGCTAACAAAAGGCAAAAGCACACCGGCCGACTAAATATTGCCCGCGAGATCCTCACTCATTTAGCTTGTTGCAGCTCAACCAACCAAGGACCCTTCTCCCACCGTTCAGACCAGAACTCTCAGCCATGACAGACTTGGACAAAGGTCCCCCTGACGCGGCAACGGCGACTGGTTCTACCACAACACCCGTCGCCAATGATGCCGATAGCAGCACGAACAGCAACCTGAACAACAATAACAACAACGACGGAAGCATCAAGGCAGACGAGAAGGCCAAGCCCAACGATGGCGTCACCGACTTCAAACCCACGGCCCGCTTCTGGGCCATCCTGTTCACCTGCGCCGTCATGGGCCTCCTTAGCGCCCTGGAAAACACTGTTGTGACCACCGCCCTGCCTCATATCGTCGCCGACCTCGATATGGGTCAAAACTACGTCTGGATCACCAATGTCTTCTTCCTCACAGGGTATGCATCTGACAAGCCGTGCTGTGCAAAAGAAAACGACAAGCCTTGCTGACATTTCCCCGTTTGATCCAAACAGCGCCGCCATCCAGCCGCTCTTTGGCCAGCTGGCTAACATCTATGGCCGTCGATGGGTGACAATGGCTATTGTTGCCTTTTTCACGCTCGGCAGTGGCATCAGCGGCGGTGCCACCAACGGCGCAATGCTCATCGCTGGTCGCGCTATCCAGGGCATCGGCTCCGGAGGTCTTTACATCATCATCGATATTATCGTGTCCGACTTAGTGCCGCTGCGTATACGGGGAAATTACATGTCTGTCATTCTCATGGTCTACACAATTGGTCTGGCCATCGGCCCCTGGATCGGCGGGCTCATCGTCGAGAGGACTACCTGGCGCTGGGTCTTCTATATGACCATTCCGGTGAGTAAAACATGTTCATCATGCTCTTTTAGGGGTTCTTCAAATCCCAATCAAACCCTTCCGCCAATGCTAACTCTGCTTTAGATTGGCGGCGTGTCCATGGTCATGGTCTTTCTCTTCGTCAGAACCGCATACAACCGTACCGAAACGCACATTCAGAAGCTGGCGCGGATTGACTACACCGGCAACGTGATTCTCATGGCCTCAACTGTCGGTATTCTCTACGCGACTACGTATGGCGGCACAACCTACTCGTGGGCATCGGGCCGTATCCTGTCCCCTCTCATTATCGGATTTGCGGGTTTTTTCCTGTTCGGCTGGTACGAGACAAAGGCCAAGGAGCCGGTGATGCCCCCCAAGCTCTTCAGCAGTCGCACTACCTCGATCATTTTCCTCGCCACTTTCCTCAACTCGACCATGGTTTACTGGGTTCTTTTCTTCTTGCCCGTTTACTTCCAGGCTGTTCTCGGTGTGTCTGCCTCACAGTCAGGCGTCAATATCCTTCCTGTCATTCTCTTTGGCCTGCCCGGTGCTATCATCGCCGTGCTGATGCTCGCGCGCTGGGGCGAGTACAAGCCTCTGCACATCTTCGGCTTCGCCGTCGCCGTCATCGGCAACGGTCTCTTGACCCTTCTGGACCAGAACACCTCGACTGCGAAGTGGGTTGTGTACGAGATGATTCAAGCCATAGGCAGCGGTTTCGTCCTCAATACCCTCCTGCCTGCTGCCCAAGCCCAGCTGCCGGAGAGTGACCAGGCCGCGACCACCTCAGCCTGGGCATTCGTGCGTTCCTTTGGCAGCATCTGGGGCGTCGCCATCCCGGCCTCCATTTTCAACAACAAGTTCGCCCAGCTGGCCTACCGCATCGAGGACCCGCAGGTGCGCGCGCTCTTCCACGGCGGCAACCGGGCGTACGAGAACGCGTACGCTTCCTTTGTTTGGTCCTTCCCCGAAACGACGCGGGAACAGATTATCGGCGTCTACAAGGACGCGCTCAAGCTGCTTTGGCAGATCGCCATCGCGTTCGCGGCCGTCAACTTCCTCATCGTGCTGTTTGAGGAGCGCGTGCCGCTGAGGACCGAGCTCGAGACCGAGTACGGGTTGGAAGGGGAGGAGAAGAAGAAGAAGGACACTGAGGCGGCCGTGGGTGTGGAAGGGGAGGCCGCGCGCAAGGTTGGGGCGGAGGAGCCCAAGACTGCTGTTGTCGGTTAACCTTGAGATGATGTTGGCGGCAGTGATATCGTAGACGGCCTAAAATTGGTATCGCCTCGGAATTGAGACTTTACATTCGGTTGCATTTCGGGGCTAATAAGTCACAGCCCCTATATAGTTGAGTAGTTACTATACCTCCTCTGTTATAGATGTCAGTTAATACATGCACAATGGTATTCATTCGACCCTTACGTTGTGACGCTTAGACACTGCTGCATTGAAAGCGAATGTAATTATTAACAGTATCATTCTCAACCTATCTTCTATCTTTATCTTGTTTCCGTTCTATTTATCCCTTTCTTTTCCCCCCATGCTTTCCACCCACTACGAGGTTCATGAAGCCTGCGGGATCCGAACCACCAGCTTCTCGCCGCGCACCTGTCCGCCGCGGAGCATCTCCAGCCCCTTGAGGATCCCCTCCCATCCGCCCCGGAGCTCTCTGACGGGGTGCGGCACCACGCGGCCGTCATCGATCAGCGGCTGCAGCTCCGCGACCGCCTCGACGGCCAGCGCGTACGCCTCCGGGCTGGCCGCCCGCGTGTACGCCGACTCAGCGCCGTAGTCCACCGCGTGCCCGGTGCACTCGTACGCCATCACGACGCCCGCCCGGACCGCCTTGCGCGCGCCCGGCCAGCTCGCGTCGGGCACCTCAAGGCAGGCGTAGCGGCCGCCGCGGCGGGCGATGGCGCCCATGCACGCGGCGTGCGAGTCGGCGTCGGTGATGCAGTCGAGCGCGTGGCGGATCTGACCGTCGCCGGTTGCTGTCGCCGCCTGGCGCGCATCCTCGGCGACGGAGGCGGACTGGTACGATGCCGTGCCGGCGGCGCCGTACTGCCGGGCCAGCGCGGCGGACGCCGGCGACGCGACCGCGATAGGTCTATACCCGGATCTTTGCGTTTCGTCAGCACTGAACTTTCTTCTCCCGCGCGGGGCGAAACACTCACGCTTTGAGAAGCTGCGAGGCCATGGTGCCCGAGGCCGTCGCGCCGCCGTACACGAGCACCGGCTCCGACTCCGCCTCCGCCAGCGGCCGCGACGGCCTCCCTTGCAGCGCCAGCGCTGAGTCGCCCCAGAGCGCGAGCGCGGCCGTGGTCCACCCGATGCCGCCCATCGCCGCGCCCTGCGCGTCGCTCCAACCCGCGGGCACGCGCAGCGCCAGGCGCGCGTCGACGACGGCGAACTGCGCAAAGGAGCCGTCGCGCGGGCGGGCGCGGTTGTACGCGAAGAGAGAGCCGCAGACGCGGTCGCCCTCCTTGAAAGGGGAGGCAGCGGCGAGGACGACGCCGCAGTAGTCGCAGCCGGCGGTGGCGCCGGGGTCGGGCAGGTAGGTGGGCATCTTGAAGTCGTTGGGGTTGAGCGCGGCGGCGAGCACGCGGATCAGGAGGTGGCCGGGCGGAGGGGGCAGGGGAGGCATGGGAACGGCGTGGGAGATGGTTAGGGGCAGGGGCCCGGTGGCGGCCTTGGTGTTCTCGGGGACGGCGACATCGCTTTGGACGATGGCTGTTTGGGTGGTTTTTGCTGTGTAAGCTGGGGATGACTTTGACGTTGTCATTTTGTACGTATTTTGTTACCTATCCCTAACATGAGCTGGAGAAATGCTTAAGTAGGGTTCTTGGGTGGTACTTTGGGTCATGCTTTGTTCTTTTCTCGCCCGCCCGTCGGCCTCCGAGTATCTGGTCGGGGTGTTGAACGTCACGAAAGTAACGGAAGCCTCGAGCTGACAGCAATGAGTCTTCGCCGCTTTCTGTGTCAGTGTGTCGCTCCGACATGTCTGCCAATGCATTGTCAGCCCCGAATTGTCTCCGAACCAGCGCCTCTCCTATTGGGTGTGACGCTTCGGTGCATCGGATCCCTCCGACTGCAGCAGCGAAACGATGGGAAGGGTGACACCCACCTACCTTCGGATCGGACGGATAATTCACCGTATTACTATTCATCCGATCACTTGCCAGCTAGCCCTAGGATCTTCGGAAGATACTGGCAAATTCTCTCCATTAACCCCGTGTCCGATCCATTCCCACGTATTCAGACGCCTATCTTCCGATTCTAACCTCCGGGTACATGGTGCATTGTGCAGACGAATCCCTCCAGCACATTATACCCAATTGACAAAGTCAGATATAAGTCGTAAAGTATTTTTTAGTAAGGATTGTAGGATGCACTCTTTATCATTGGGTCTCCGATAAGACGTCTTTCCCTCAGAGACATGTAGCCTTGCTTGCGACAGGGCATGTATGCTGAGACCCCAAAAACAGATAGATGGCAGAGATCAAAATTGAGCTGTTATTCCGACTATGAGAGGACTTTCTACTTCTGGAAAGCTAGCCTAATCCTCCGATAGTAACATTGTCTATCGGAAACTCCGATGCCCCTCTACAATGATCCGAGCCCGATCCCATTCTCTCAAGCAGCAATGGGCTTCTCTTCCTGCTCCGCAGCGGCAGCCTTGGCAACGTCCGACAGCCGGTATCGCGCCTTGAAGATGGGTCGGGTCCAGATGGCGTACAGGCGGATGTCGCGCTCCCAGTCGAACTCGTCGGCGTTAGCAATCTCCCAGTCAAGCTTCCAGGCCATCTTAGCCAGCAGCACGCGCGCCTGGCGGTAGCCCATGTTCTGCCCGATGCAGCTGCGGGTGCCCGCGCTGAAGGGCCGGAAGCAGTCGTGCACGTCCTTGTCAAAGACGGTGTCGTAGTCGGGGTCCGTGGACGGGAGCCAGCGCTCCGGGCAGAAGGAGCGCGGCTTGTGCCAGTAGCGCTCGCTGTGGAAGGCGGCGAAGAGGGAGGTCTGAACCTTAACCTGGTGGGTTTTTTTATCTGGTTAGTCTTTGATGCTTGGGCTCGAGTCGTCACGCAGGATGTAGCAACTTACTCCCTTTGGAATGTAGTGCCCATCCACGGTCGCACCGGGGCTGATGCGCGGCTGCCCAAAGGCTCCGTTGGTGTGCAGACGCAGCGACTCCTCAATGACGGCCTTGAGCCAGGGCAGGTGCGTGAGCTCCTCGTCCTCAATGTCCTCGTACCTCGCAAACTTGCCCCTGACCTCGTCGGTGAACTTCTTGAGCTTGTCGGGGTTCTGCGTGAGAAACAGGATCGCGGACCAGAACAGCTGCGTGTCCGGATCCAGGCCGCCGACGAAAACGTGGACGGCCTGCGCCAGGATCCAGTCCACGTTCTCGTTGGGCGGCGTCTTGCCTTCCTGGACGAGCGAGCTGAAGTAGTCGCGTTGCTTGTAGTCCTTGTAGTTCTTAACGCGGTCACGGACGATGCGCTTGTGCTCGAGCAGGAACCGGACCAGGTTGGGCGGCAGCGCGAGGTAGACGAGCGGGTGGAGGAGCGGGAAGCGCTTGAAGGCCTGGTCCAGGGTGACCCAAAACATGGAGGAGTTGAACCATCGGAGAGAGTTGGAGGACTCGTTCTCCATATTCTTGTAGTCCCAGCCGTAGCCCAGGCTTCCAGCTAGGTCGCAGGCGATCCAGTCGCACCACTGTCATGTCTCGCCAGTTAGTCGCTGTGTGTTGAATAATCTTCCGCTAAAAAGGACAACTTACGGCAGTCATGTCCAAGCCTTCTGGTGTGTTACCCTTAGTCGCCAACTTGTCGATGCCATTGTCAATCACCCTGTGCAGGACGGGATCCTGCTCCTTGAGGGCACGGGGAGAGAAAGCCGGAGCCATCCACTTGCGAATAATTCGGTGCTTCTCCGGATCCTGTTCCGCCGCGATTCCGGTGTGTGCTCCAATTCTGAAGTAAAAGTCCGATTTTCTGAAGACCGGTCTTCCCTTGGTGCCGCTCATCATGATGTCTGGGAGCGACGCGCTCATGGTGTTAGGTCCGTAGAGATGCAGTGAAGGAAAACCCGAGAATGACTAACCGTTCATGGCCTCTGCGCGGAAGAAGACAACCTCGTTCGGCGCGATGCGTACGACATCACCTGTGATATTGTTAGCGGGCCAACGACCGAAAGCCCCGGCCTCACTCGCAGCTTGTGGAGCAATCAGGCCAGCGACGACGCACCGTATTCCTTGATAACGGCTTCAATTGCCCATGGGTATCTTCCAGTGAACCAGTGATACATGTACCAAATATCCGTGAGCGCTGCGACTTTGGGGCCCGGAAACTTGGCCAAGGGGTGGAAATAGAGCAGGTAGACGGCGCGCACGACGAGGTAGGCAGTGGTCTGGGACTATGTGTCAGCGGCTATATGTGCAGCTCTACACGCATACGCTGAATCCTCTCTTGATACAGGCTTTTTTGAACCCGGTGAGAATGATACAGGAGCGACCAAAAAACTTCAGAAAGGACATACCAACACGGCACCCAGCTGGACCCAGCTGATCAGGGGAACCTGCCCGAGGAACTCTTTGTTGTCGACCCAGCTGTTTCGGGAAATCTGCCCGAAGGCCTCTGTCAAGTTTTCGATATGCTTCATGATGGTCGCCGGCGATGGCAGACTGACTGACTGTAGGGTAGATGAAACGGCCCAAGCTTCACACAATCGATGGGAGTGTGTGGCAGTCCATTTTTTATCACAAAAATCGACACTGCCTGGACGACATGGGATTTATTCTCCCGGCAAGACATAAGACGGCAGGAAAGTGACATCTGCGATCAGTGGGGCCATCAGGCAGGTCGTGATAGCTGAACGGCATCCGGCCATGACACTCAACGCAGGTTTGAGTGAGTGGACTGCGGCTCGGAGCCGGGGATTCGGGTCAGATCTGGGGCGTCAAGTTAGCGGCCGGGGCGCGCAGCAACCCTCCGATAGTGCACTGGGATTGTGCGAGGTAAACGTTATCGATGCAAACGAAGTACAGGTAAAATACTGGCTTTTTTTGTCCAAGACAATCAATTCTTTTACAAGATAATCAATCGTCTTCATTTTGCACATGTTTCGCGGTGCAATCCGCACTTGATACTACGCATGCTGTCCTCAATCCCACGCACACTGACCAGTACGCCACTAGGCCAGACCCATCAGCGCATATTCAGCCGCAGATTTCGTTTCTTTATCCATCATCATCATCAGCCCTCCGACCGACAATTCACACAAATTTACACAAAGCCCCAATCGAGATATCCGAAGGCCCCACCCCGTTAGCTTACTCGCCTCCGAGTAAGCCAATACGCCTGGCTTCGGCTGCTTACTTTCGGGACACCTTTTCTTTCTCAACGCCTGTGATGCACGACCGACACGGGGCAGCACAGCGAGCATGACGGTTGGTCCGTCACCCACCAGTCGCTACTGCACCGGCTGACATGGTGGAAGAGGCCATCCTCTGTTGAGCATCTTTCCATCTCCGACTGTCACCGAGCAGCGTCGAAGGACCATGTTTGCCATCCGACTCCGTCACGCCACGCGGCGGGTCTGCCGGTTCAGCTCCCCGTGAGTCTGGCTGAGGCTTCAACTCAAGTAGCGAGCGAAATATAGTTACATGAAGACATCTCCAGGCTTGTTACCTTGATTCTATAGCAGTATCTCTTTTCGTGTAGATCGATCCTTTCAGACACCAAGCATCACCATGTCTGCCGCCAAACGAACACAAACCAACGAGCCCATCGCTTTGATAGGCTCCGCCTGCCGTTTCGCGGGAGGCGCCAACAGCCCTTCTAAGCTGTGGGAGCTTCTCAAGGAACCGCGCGATGTGCTCAGCGATATCCCAGACAGCCGCTTTAGCGCTGATGGCTTCTACCACAAAGACGGGACGTACCATGGGCGGTCCAACGTCAAGGCGTCGTATCTCATCGAGGATGACGTGCGAGCCTTCGACGCCCAATTCTTCGGCATCAAGCCTATCGAGGCAGGTGGCATCGACCCGCAGCAACGTTTGCTGCTCGAGACGGTGTACGAGGCGCTTGAGTCGGCGGGCCAGTCGATGCACAAGCTGCGTGGCAGCGACACGGGCGTTTATGCTGGGCAGATGTGCAACGACTTTGAGTTCCTGTCGTACCGCGACCTTGACGCTCTGCCGACGTATAACGCTACTGGAACGAACCGCGCCATCCTTGCCAACCGCGTCTCCTACTTCTTCGACTGGCACGGCCCATCCATGACACTCGATACTGCCTGCTCGTCCAGCCTGTACGCCGTGTACCTCGCTGCCCAAGCGCTGCGCTCCGGAGAGTCGCGCACCGCGGTCGCGTGCGGAACAAACCTTCTGCTTGGGCCCGAGTTCTTCGTCAGCGAGAGCAAGCTCAACATGTTGTCACCCGATTCGCGATCTCGCATGTGGGATAGTAAGGCGAACGGGTATGCACGAGGAGACGGAGTTGCTGCAGTTGTCGGTACGTGCACCTGATCCTTGCCCAAATACTCACCGAAATTGAACCGCTAACATCAATACAGTCAAGACACTCTCTGCCGCGCTGCAAGATGGCGACCACATCGACTGCATCATCCGCGAGGTCTGCGTCAATCAGGATGGTGCGACAAGCGGCATCACCATGCCGAGCGCAAAAGCGCAGGCTGAGCTCATCCGGAAAACATACACCAAAGCCGGCCTCGACTACCGCGGCGACGGCAGGCCTCAGTACGTCGAAGCACACGGAACGGGAACGCCTGCTGGCGACCCTATTGAGGCAGAAGCGCTCAGTACCGCCTTCTTCCCCGATGGGAAACCACTGGCTCGGGGTGAAAAGAAGCAGCCCCTTTACGTTGGCTCACTTAAGACGGTTCTTGGTCATACGGAGGGAACCGCTGGAGTCGCGGCCCTGATCAAGGCGTCGTTGGCAGTCCAGCACGGCGTCATTCCGCCAAACATGCTCTTCAACAACCTCAATCCCAATATCCAGCCCTTCTATCACAGTCTCGAAGTTCCGACCTCCCCTATCGATTGGCCAATTCTGCCTGCAGGGCAACCACGTCGTGCTAGCATCAACAGTTTTGGCTTCGGAGGTGCCAATGCGCATGCCGTCATCGAGAGCTACAGTCCGCAGGCTCACAGTTCGCTCGAGGGCGAATCTGCGCAACAAGCTCCGCTACCCCTGGGCCCGTACGTCTTCTCCGCCGCGTCGGAGCAATCGCTCGTTGCAAACCTTGATGCCTACTCTACATATCTGGCCGGATTAGATGCCGCTACGCTGGATGCTGGTAATCTAGCTTGGACTCTGCGCCAGCGTCGCTCTACCCTGCCATTCAAGGTCGCTTTCCCGGCCAGCTCAATGGAGCAACTCAAAATCACTATCGACGAAAAAATAGCAGAAGCCAAGTCCAAGAAGACTACGCTAGGGCTGAAATCGTCGCTGCCGCAGAACAAGCCTCGCCTGCTTGCAGTCTTTACCGGCCAAGGTGCGCAGTACGCCCGCATGGGCTCTGAGCTACTTGACCGCTCTCCTATGGCGCGACAGATTATCTCCGAGCTCGAGGCGCACCTCGCCGCCCTTCCAGAGTCGGAGCGGCCCAGTTGGTCTCTGGAGCAGGAATTGCGCGCCGCCCAGGCCACTTCCCGTCTAAACGAGGCTGCATTGTCGCAGCCTCTCTGCACGGCTTTGCAAATTGTTCAAGTCGACCTCCTGCGCGCCGCAGGTGTCGAACTTGCAGGAGCCGTCGGGCACTCGAGCGGTGAGATTGGCGCCGCATATGCCGCCGGACTCCTGTCGGCTCGCGATGCGCTACTAGTGGCCTACTTCCGCGGGCTGCATGCTTCCAAAGCTGCCAGCCCCAACGGTACTGATGTCAAGGGTGCCATGATAGCTGTGGGAACCTCGATGGAGGACGCGCTCGAAATTGTTGCCGAGTTCGATGGGGCAGTCGCACTGGCGGCTTGCAACTCGTCAGCCAGCGTCACGCTCTCGGGTGACGAGGACGCCATCGACGAGCTGGCTACCATCTTCGAAGACGAGAAGAAATTCCGTCGAAAGCTCAAGGTTGACACGGCGTACCATTCTAGCCATATGGTGCCCTGCTCGGCACCATACATTGCATCCCTCCGCAGCAACGACATCCAGGTGCGGACTCCCAATGGCTCCAAGGGCCCGGTTTGGTACTCAACTGTGTACGAAGACCTGAAAATGTCTTCCCCCGAAGCGATCACGAAGCTGCAAGACGGCAGCTACTGGTGCGACAATATGGTCCGGCCCGTGTTGTTCTACCAGGGTCTTAGCGCGATACTGGCCTCTGACACATTTGACCTCGCGCTCGAGATCGGCCCGCACCCAGCTCTCAAAGGGCCTGCAGCCCAGACTATCCAAGAGACGCTGAACCGTGAGATCCCTTATCACGGTGTGCTTTCCCGCGGCACCCCGGCCGACGTAGCCCTCTCTAGTGCTCTCGGCTTTCTCTGGAGCCATGAGACCACATCTCTGTCGCTGGTCAACCTAGAATCGTTCGAAGCCGCAGCCGCCGCCGCCGCCGCCGCAAAGAGCAACGGCTACCGCTTGGTGAAGGGGCTACCAACGTACCAATGGAACCACGAGAAGACGTACTGGAGGGAGTCGCGGCACTCCCGCCGCCTTCGCACCCGAAAAGCGCGTGCCAACGCCCTCCTCGGAGCCGTCGAACCTGAAAGCTCGACGACGCAGCAACGCTGGCGCAACATACTCCGAGAGCGCGAAATATCTTGGCTACCGGGTCACCAGCTGCAAGGCCGCACCGTGTTCCCAGCGGCCGGGTATGTCTCCACGCTGCTCGAGGCTGTGCGCCAGCTCCCACAGGTTTCCGGAAGCGCAATTCGTCTGATTGATATCTCTAAATTCCGCATTTTACAGGCAATGTCGTTCGACGAAGACGACAGCGGCATCGAGATCCTGTCGACGCTTGAGAACATCCACAAGGACGATGAGCATCGAAGCATTCGGGCACACTTCACGTATTCCTCAGCTTCCGGTCGAGATCCCGATGCCTTTGTTCTAACTGCCAGCGCTGACGTCGAGGTCCTTCTTGGCGAGCCCTCCAAGAGCTTGCTACCAGCCCGACAGGCGGACCCGCCCAACATGGTCGACGTGACTGACGACCGCTTCTACGGCACTCTAGCTGATCTTGGATACGGCTACACTGGACCATTCCGCGCCTTGTCTAGCCTTCGTAGGAAGCTCGGCAAGGCTGTCGCCCAGGTGATCATCCCGCCATCGGATGAGAGCACGCTTCTGGTCCACCCCGGCACGCTGGACGGCGCTATCCAGGCCGTCCTCCTTGCCTTCTGCGATCCTGGCGATGGCCTGCTTTGGTCACTACACGTTCCCACACTCATGGAGCGCATTCGTGTCAATCCATCTCTCTGCGGGTCAGGTTGGGGAGAGGTCGAATCTGTCCATGTGGCCGCCTCTATGTCTGAGGCTGGTGAACCAGGTATGGTAGGTGATGTGGACATTTTTGCCGCGCCAAGTGGCAAAGATGGGCCGGTTGAGCACGCTGCCATCCAAGTCCAAGGCGTCCGCACTGTCCCATTTGCAGGTGCCACAGCCGCGGACGACAACAAGATATTCGCCAGAATGCGCTGGGCCAACGGCAGTCCTGACGGTGACGCGATGGCAGCTGACGATGAGACGACGCCGTTCGAGCGAGATCTTGTCCAGGCTGCTGAGCGAGCCGCCATCTTCCACCTGCGAAGGTTTGAGCGGGATCTGGCCCCCGACCATCCTGCGAGAAGTCACCCAATCTATAGCAATTACCTCGCCTTTGCGCGCCACATAGACGGGCTTCGGGCTAAGAGTCGCTCCAACTACAAGCATGCTCACAAGAAGTGCACCGACGACACTCTTGAAGATGTACTCAGTGCTTGCGAGCCCTTCAAAGACTGCATCGATGTTCGTATCATCGACAAGGTCAGCGAGGTCATGTCCCGCATCTTTGATGGCGAGGACATTGCTCCAGAGCAAGCAATCCCCGCCGAGCTTCTGGCAGAGTACTATGCCAACGCTGTCGGCCTACGCCAATCTGGCCAGTGGCTGGCCAGAGGCGTGAAACAGCTCGCCCACTGCTACCCAAACATGAACATCCTCGAAGTTGCGGCTGGCACTGGAGCCGCAACTGGACGCATCTTAGACCAGCTCGGAGTTCATGGATTCTCATCGTATACCTATACAGACGACTCGGCCGAATTCTTCAAAGAGGCCGCTTCCATGTTCGCACCATACAAGAAGCGGATGACTTTCAAGACACTTGACGTGGCGCGAGACCCGGTCTCCCAAGGATACACTCCCGGGTCATATGATTTGATTGTTGCGTCGGCTGTTCTCCACGCGACCCCGAGGCTGGAACAGACTCTGCGCAACATTCGTCGCCTCCTACGCCCCGGCGGCTTCCTCATAGTCAATGAATCCACCAGCGGTACCCTCGCTCGCGATGGCTTCGTCTTTGGCACAATGCCGAGCTGGTGGTCAGGCGCCGAAGAAGGCCGCACCCTCTCGCCACTCGTGGCGCCGGAGCAATGGGATGAGGCGCTGAGGAACAGCGGATTCTCGGGCGTCGATACTATCACTCCGGAGGCGTTCCAGGATACGCATTCTAACACAGTCTTTGTCTCGCAAGCCATCGACGATACGGTCCTGTTCCTCCGCGAGCCGCTGTCGGCCGCTGTCCCCGCCACAGTTTACGCCGGTGGCGACGGCGCAAGTCTGGAGGACCTGGTCATCATCGGCGGGTCTACGCTGCGTACCGGTCGTGTTGTGTCGGACCTGAAGCGAATCCTGGTGGCTCACGTCTCGGGTGGCATCACATTCTTCAAAAGCCTGCTAGACCTGCCCGCAGACTTCAACCCGTCGCCGAACACCTGCGTGCTCAACCTCTCTGAGCTTGACGTCCCCGTGTTCGAGGATCTGACAGCCGCTGCTTTCGAAGCGCTCAAGCGACTCGTGGCTGTCGAGCATACCCTTCTCTGGGTCACGCGCGGCAAGTTGGCAGGCAACCCTGCGGCCAGCATGAGCGTGGGGTTTCTGCGTACTGCCGTCCATGAGGTTCCCGGCCTGCGAGTGCAGTGCGTTGACCTCGACCCCGACGCTAGCCACGGCCGGGTGGACGCCTCTGCCCTTGCAGAGACGTTGCTGCGGTTCCGTCACCTTACACGGATCCAGGGTTCGCTGGAAGCTCCGCCACCACCGCTGTGGTCAGTCGAGTTCGAGATCGCTTTGAACGCAGAGGGCCACCAGCTGGTGTCGCGCTACCTGCCCGACGATCACGCGAACAACCGGTTCAACTCGGCCAGGCGGACAATCACGCGTGAGCTAGATGTGCGCGAGGCTGCTGCGGAGGTGGAGAAGGACAAGACCGGTGGCTACCAGGTCGTCGAAGCCTCTCTACTCCGAAATGCAGACAAGCTAGCTTCCGAGCCGGGCAGACGCGCCACGGACTTACGTGCAATGAAGGCAATGATCTCTCCGGTCAATACTCCGCTTGGTCCGCTCTTCTTAACTCTGGGTCTAGAGGATGAGGGCTCAGTCATCCCTGGAAGTCAAAGGTCTGTAGGATCGCGTCGCTTCCTGGCCCTGGCCGAGTCTCTTGCGTCGAGGTGCAGTGTCCCGAGTTCCGCCACTGCTCTGCTCACCCACCAGGATGATGATGCTGCCTCGTCGTCAGGAGGCAGTGAGGACGCAAAGATCCTGGCCCAGGTCGCCGCCAACCTCTTCGCCGAGTCCGCGCTTCAGGGTCTCGTCCCAGGTCAAAAAGTCGCGTTCCATAACGTCACAGGCGGTCTCACTGCCGTGCTTGAACGGCGAGCGGCGGAACAGGGTTTCAATGCTATCTTTACAACCAGCGTTGAGGAAACCAGTGAAAATGACGCAATCTCGATCCCGGCTTTCATGCCTGCCAGAGAAGTACGGGATCTACTCCCCAGGGACCTGGCTCGCTTCGTTTTCGCGTCGCCCAATGATCCAGTTGCCAAGAGAATCGCGGAGGTGCTACCAGTCAACTGCCGCATCGAGTATTTGACGGCCGTTCAGAGTAAAGATCCGTATGCAGCCATGTCTCCTTACCGTTCCACGGCAGAGAGCGCCCACGAAATACTTGGAAATAGCCTGAGAACGGCCTTGAACTATGCTCAAGAAGATCTCAAGGCGTCCGCCCATGTCTCGGTCAATACTTTCAGCACCAGCGACTTGACTGTCGCCGCGCAAGCCAATGCAGAGGACAGCGACACTAGTTCTACAATCCAAGATCCTCTCACGGTGCTCGACTGGCAAGCTACCCCGGTTGTACAAGCCCACGTCAGCCGGCTGGACACCAAGCCCATCTTTAAAGACGACAGGACCTATTGGCTGGTGGGACTTTCGGGTGCCCTAGGACTGTCTATTTGCGATTGGATGATTGCAAAGGGTGCCAAGTACATCGTCATCACCAGCAGAAGCCCCAATGTCGACGCTACTTGGCAGGAGAGTTGCCGCAAGAAGGGCGCGGTTGTGAAGATATTTTCCAAGTGAGTTTCTTTCCTTTTTCTCTCTGCTCTCTTGGAGGATACAGTTCCAGTTCTGCCTAGAATGGCCTACTAATTCGCTGCTAGTGATATCACCGACGGCGAGGCTGTCGAGACAGTATACAAGATCATATGCGACACTCTCCCTTCCCTTGCTGGAGTCATGATGGGGGCTATGGTCCTCAGGGACCGTCTCGTCCGTGACATGACATTCGAAGAGATGAAGGCCGTCCTTGGGCCCAAGGTGGATGGTAGTCGCCATCTTGATCGCCTCCTTGGCGATCTCCCACTTGACTTCTTTGTGTACTTCTCTTCCTTGATGCAGATTGTGGGTAATCTCGGGCAAGCCAATTACACCACTGCCAACGCCTCCTTCACTGGGTTCGCAACGCAACGCCGGAGGAGAGGTCTAGCGGCCAGCGTCGTGGATATCGGCGCCGTCGCTGGCGCCGGTGTCTTCGCACGTGGGGCCGGAAACGGCGGCGACCTCAACATGCATCTTGCTGGCCTGCGTCGCGTCTCCGAGGTTGATGTGTACCAAGTCCTCGCTGAGGCCATCAACATCGGACACGCCCACCTGCCGCTGGAGTCCGGTGAGGAACCCGCGATCGGCGTCGGGATGCGATTTACCACGCCCAGCGAGGCTTCCCTGCCCAGGTGGTTCGGAAACCCGAAATTCGAGGCCTTTGTTCTCCGTGATGAGGACGATGGCGTGAATCACGGCTCTGCAAACAAAGGCAGCGGCTCCGTGCAAGAGAAGCTGCTCCAGGCACAGAACAAGACGCAGGTCTTTGAAGCCATTAGAAGTAAGCTAATCTGGGGGCCCTTGGAGGCCGTTTAGAGAAACTGAAACAATCTAACCCATCAATTTTCTGAACAGACTCATTCCTCGCCAAGATCCGGCCGATGCTGCAGATCGATGGTGCCGACGATGAGGCACTCATGCAAATGCACAGCGGCGAGATCGGTATGGACTCGCTCATCGCTGTCGACATCCGCTCCTGGTTCCTCAAGCAGCTCAACGTCAGCATTCCGGTCCTTAAGATCCTCAACGGGGCGTCGATTGCGGAGTATGTTGAGGAGGCGGTGGCCAAGATATCACCTGAGCTTACCCCAAACCTTGGGCTCGCAACGGGCTCTGGCCCGTCCGCCGCTGACATCGGACCGGCTGCGCCGCCCAGACCTCGCTCCACCACCGAGTCTTCCGCACCATCATCATCAAGCCCTGACACCCCGGGCACCGGAGCTGCCTCGCAGGTGTCAGATGAGACGGTGCCGACACCGCCTCCGGAGGTGGCCGCCCACCTCTCGCTCCCGAAAGGTGAGGAGGCCCTTCCGGCGTCGCTCACCGCCGCCGCTCTTGCTAGGCTACCTGTGACACTCGAAAGATCTATGAGCCTCTCACACACCCAGTCCATGTTCTGGCTCATTCACTCGCTGCTCGAGGACAAGACTACCCTCAACCACACGGGCTACATTCGCATGAGGGGGCTGGTTCGTGTGCAGGACCTCAAAGCGGCCGTCCAGAAAATCTGCAATCGCCACGAGAGCATGCGTGCTTGCTTTTATCTGGACGAGAACAGCACGAAAGGCCGCAGCGATGACGCAGCCGATCCGGGCCACATTGTGAAGCAGGGCATTCTCAAGACCGGTAGGCTGGAGCTGGAGCACATGGAGATCGGAAGCGACGAGGAGCTGGACGAGAAATTTAATCAATTGAGGAACTATGTCTACGATCTTTCTGGGGGAGAGTTCATGCGACTCATCCTTCTGACGAGGACCGACTTGCCGACCGAGAATTACTTCATGATCGGGGCGCACCACATCAATTTTGACGGGGTGTGCACCCAGATTCTCTTGCGCGAACTCGAGGCCTTCTACACCCGCCAGGCACACCTGACGCTGAGTTCCACGACCAAGCAGTACAGCTCCTTCATTGCCTCGCAGCTGGACGACGAGATGGCAGGGGCTTGGGACGGCGACCTTGCCTTTTGGCGTCGCGAGTTTTCGACCATCCCGGAGCCGCTGCCACTGACGCGCGCGAGGGTGGTGGCGCGAAAGCCCCTGCTGCGGTATGACGCGCACCGCTTCGACTTCAGGCTTGACCCCGTGCTGGCGGAGCGAGTGAGGGACGTGGCGCGCCGGCACAGGGTCACTGCGTTCCATTTCTACCTTGCTGCGTTCCGCATCGTCCTACAGCGGTTTCTCAGTCTCGGCCTCGTTGATGGCCAGCAGGACGGAGACAGAGAGACCAATACCGCCCCCCATGACAGCGATGTATGCATCGGCATCGCCGACTCCAACAGACACGACGAGGAGACGCTCGGCAGCCTCGGTCCCTACCTGAACCTCCTAGCCCTGCGGTTCCGTGACCGTCCCGCCACGTTCGCCTCGGCACTCACGTCGGCGCGCGACAAGACTTTTGCGGCTCTGGGCCATGGCGCGGTGCCCTTTGACGTCGTTCTGCGAGACCTGCGCGTGCACCGCGACATGTCGCACGCGCCTCTGTTCCAGGCGTTCCTCGACTACCGTCTCGGCTTCCCTAACCAGCAGCCGTTCGCAGACTGCACGCTGGAGTTGCTGCGATTCGAGCCGGGGCGGACGGCGTACGACCTCAGCGTCGACGTCATCGACACTCCTCTGTACAACGACGCCGGAGCTCCCGGAGGCAAAGCCGGAGGCGATGCGCTGCTGTCGGTGTTTGGGCAGGCTTCGCTCTACGAGCCGGAGGATGTTCGTATCTTCGCGGCCTGCTTCGAAGATGTCATCAGGGAGTTTGCGGAGGACCCGAGCAAGGGCTTGGTTGGACCTGGCAGCGAGTGGAGCTATCGTGATGCCGACGTGACCAAGGCATTGGAGCTCAGCAGAGGTACAGTTAAGATCTCCACGGCTTGATCTGCTTTCGGGGCCGTGAACTAACAGAATACAGGTCCGGCATATGAAACACAATGGCCAGGCACGTTGGCACATCGGCTAGACGACATCGTCGCTGCGCATGCTGACAAGGTGGCTATCAAGCTTGTGGGCGATGATGGTGATGATGGTGGCAGCAGCCTCACCTACAAGCAGCTCGATGACAAGACAAACGCCATCGCCGCCACGCTCCTGGACAAGGGCGTTTCCAGAGGCCAATACATCGCGGTTCACCAGGAGCCAACGCCGGATTGGATCTGCTCAATGCTAGCTATTCTCAAGATCGGAGCCATCTACGTGCCGCTGGACCCAGGCACTCCGGCTGCTCGTCTGGCCATGGTTGTCGCCGCATGCCATCCTGCTGCCCTGCTCGTTGACAGAGCCACGGCGCCCAACTGCGCTTTCGAAATCCCGACCGTGGTCGACGTGTCAATGGTCCCTGCATCCAACGTCCGCCGGATACCGCCCGTGCCTAAGGCCGGCGAACCAGCCATCGCCCTCCACACCAGTGGCACTACAGGAACCCCAAAGGTCATTGTCCTGACACACACCAACTTAGTCCACGAGATCGAAACTTCGGTCGAGACATACGGGCTTGACTCCAACGTCACCGTCCTCCAGCAGAGCGCATTCGGTTTCGACATGTCAGTCCTGCAAGCCTTTCTTGCCTTGGCTCTGGGAGGGACACTCGTCATGGTGCCACGCAAGCTTCGGGGAGACGCCGTCGCCATGTCCGAGTTCATCGTCAAGCACAATGTCACGTACACCTGCGCGACCCCGACCGAGTACAGCAGCTGGCTCCGGCATGGCGAATGCGCGGCGCTTCGGCGCTCCCACTGGACCGTAGCCCTCAGTGGCGGGGAGCCCATCAGCCATTCATTCTTCGATACCTTCCGCGAGCAGCTCGGGGCCAAGCTAAATATGCGGCTGTTTAACGGCTACGGGCCAGCCGAGACAACTTGCTGTTCCGCCTCGACTGAGCTCGCCCTCCGCGGCAGCGCATCTGAGCTCCCGCCAATCATCCCGGCTGGACACGCCTGTCCCAACGAGTCTGTCTACATCCTCGACGAGGAGATGCGTCCGCTGCCGCTAGGCCTCCCTGGCGAGGTTTGCATTGGAGGCGTTGCGGTGGCCAAAGGATACTTGGGCAACGAAGCCCTCACCAGCCGAGCATTTGTTCCGAATCCCTTCGCTACCGAAGAGTACATAGGAAAGAGATGGGCAACCATGTTCCGCACGGGCGATAGGGGCCGCCTCTTGCCTAATGGGTCCGTCATCGTTGAGGGACGCATCGGCGATGATACCCAGATAAAGATTCGCGGTGTCCGCATCGATCTGCGGGATATTGAGCAGACGATCGTCCAGGCCGCGAACGGCGCGATTGTCGAGGCAGTTGCTGTCGCGCGCACAGCGTCAAATTCGTCCACTCCAGATGTCGCATCTAATTCCAAGATCATTGTTGCCTATGTGGTCGTTGATGCCGAGTTCCGCAAGCATCAGCCCCTCGAAGGGCCATTGGGGGCGACATCTAGGGAGCAAGCATACCTGGCTCGCCTCCTCTCGGGTTTGCCGCTCCAGCGTACAGTCTGCCCTAGTATGCTGATTCCGATCGACAAGGTACCACTCACCACGTCCGGCAAGACGGACAGACGTGCGCTGGCAGCCCTGCCTCTAGACCGGTCCTCTTCATCCGCAGCGCGGCCACAGATTGAGACTGAGCCCCTGACAGACATGGAGCTGCGCGTCCAGGCCATATGGGAATTGGTCTTGAATTTTCATAGCGAGCATCTCAACGACCTTCAAGAATCAGCTCCCTTCCTAACGCCAGAGACCGACTTCTTCCACGTGGGTGGGACGTCGATGCTGCTCCTGGAGCTGAGGGAGCAGGTTAAGCGACACCTGGGACTCTTAGTGCCGCTGATGCAGCTGTTTGAGCATAGCACGCTAGGTGCCATGGCAACTCTTCTCGCTGAGCAGGAAGCGAAGGCTCAGGCAGATAACGACTGGGAATTCGAGGCAACTCCTTCCGACGAGCTCTACAGGCTGGCCCAAAGCGCCGTCACACGGGGCATCTTGCCTGAAGGCCACCCACAGGCCGAAGCCAAGACGGTGGTACTGACGGGCGCATCAGGTATCCTCGGACGGCAAGTTCTCGAACGCCTCCTGGCCGCTCAGAAGACCGGTGACGTCGGCAAGATTATATGCGTCGCGCTGCGCCGGATCGAATCGCGCATCTCCTCAGGCGTGCTGCCCAGTCCGATGGACAAGGACGCGGCACAGCTGGTCTACTACGCAGGCGATCTAAGGCGGGAGCGTCTGGGCTTAGCACCAGCCGAGTGGGCTTCCATCACGGCGCAGGTGGACGTCATCGTGCACGTCGGCGCCGAGGTATCGCACACCAAGACCTACTCCACGTTGAAACCCGCCAATGTGGCCTCCACCGCCGAGTTGGCGAGGCTTTGTCTCGAGGCGCAGCTGTCACAGGGGCGCTCTCGGCCTGTGCCCTTCCACTTCGTTTCCACGGGTGAGATCTGCATGCTCGGCGACGGCGGCCAGCACGGGGCGCTGTACGAGGAGTCCGTCGGATCTGCCCACGTCGAGCCGGACCAAGACGACGCGGTCGCCAAAGGCTACGCCGCCACCAAGTGGGTGTGCGAGAGGATGCTGGAGAACCTCGCAGGGGACACGGCGACCAGCGATCATCATCTTCTCGTCTCCGGCAACAACCCGCTCCGCGTCTGGATCCACCGGCCCTCGAGCATCACGACGCCGCAGGACGAGTCCGCCATGGGGCCCGACGCGCCGATCCTGCCCCGGGTGCTGTTCTACTCGCGCCTGCTGCGGGCCGTCCCTCACGAGATGGAGGTTGGCGGGCGCATCGGGGGCTCCCTGGACTTTGTGCCGCTGGACAAGGTGGCGGGTGACATGGTCGACATCGTCATGGCGAGCTGCGGCGAAGCCGCCGCCGCCGCCAACGGGACTATGGGTGTCAGGAGCGAAGGAGGTGGTGTCACGTACGTGCACCACAGCGGGGGCACCGTCATGGAGCTGGCGACGCTGCGAGCGTTCCTCGAGGCCGAGGCGGAACAGTCGGAGGGCGGCTGCCTCCAGGAGAATAAGGCGCGGTTCGAAGCAGTGCCGTTTTCGGAGTGGACGGACAGAGCCGAGGAAGCAGGTTTGCACCCGCTGCTGGCAGGCTTATTCCGGGGCGTAGAGCAGCAGAGGAAGGCGTTGGTCTTTCCCAGATTTCCTAAAGGTTCTAGACATCCTCCCACTGGATCTGTCTAAATGATTGTTTCGTTTTGGCCACTTTCAATGTTTTTCTTTTCTTTTCGTTTGATCTACATAGAGGCGTTTTAGCATAGCTTTTAGGCACAATGAGCATGTTGGGGTCATCAATTCATCCTTGTTGTTTTATATCTTGTGTCATGGGAGAAACCAGGGCTAGATTCCAGTGATACATCATCCACCATTTAGGTAAAAACAGGAAAAACAACGCCAGGACTTTTTTCATGGTGCTTTCGCTGTTTCTCGACGGTTCAAGACAAAAAAAGTCAAGGGCGGCCTCGCGAGGTTTTGAACCTTAGACCTTCATCTCCTTGAGGCCGTGCTTCCAGACAATGATGTAGGGGGTGACACCATCCTCACGGTAGTTGAGGAGGACAATACTAAGAGGCAGGATAAGTATGCGAGCCAAGAGCCAAAGGGGGAATTTCAACGTACAGGCCATCGGGGTTCATGGACTCGCCGGTGTAGAACTCAAAGTCCTTGAAGTTGGGGAGGAGCTTCTCCTTGACGTAGGCGGAGGCGCCCTTCTCGAAGGCGGTGATCTCCTCGGCGGGGGCGCCGCGCTCCTGAAGGGCGGCCTTGACGGCCTTCATGTAGCCCTTGAGGTAGACGAGGTAGCCCTTCTTGTCGAAGTTGGTGGACTGGAGACGGAAGGAGTTGACGATGTTGTTGACCTTGACGTCAGCGTCATCGAGAGCCTCCTCAGCCTCCTCTGCAGAGGCGTTGGCACCGGTGTCTGGGGAGGAGGGAACGGTGTTAGCGGGGTAAATGCAAGTCTGGCATATGAAGCGCGCTGATGGGCGCCAGTTGACGCTTTTGTAATCTCGATCATCATCTTCTTCTTCGTCTTCTTCGTCTTCTTCTTCCTCCTCTTGCTCCCTCTTTGTTCTTCCTCCTCTTTCGCGTCTTTTTTTCTTTTTCTTGCTTCATTCGAGTTATGGAGACGTACTGACGACAACAGCACCCTCAGTGATCATGGCGCAGTCAGCCTCGTAGACAATGTTGTCGACGAGCTTGAGGTCGTACGAGTCAGAGATGATCTCGTCATCGGTGAGGATGTCCTATTGCAGCAATCCTGTTAGTTGCTTTGTTCTTTCACATGTTTTTTGATCGCCGCGACATCTTTTGGCCGGGGGGAGGGGGTGGTTCGGGTATGAGGATGGCGGGGTTGCAAGAGGGGGGGAAGAAGCGAAAAAAAAATCTCGACAAAGTGGCGCGGGGTCTGCCGCGCCGAGCTGGTCACGGGAGCTCGGGGCGACGCTCCGGGGTAGGTCGGTAAGATTCGTACCTTGAAGATGAGCATGATGGCGGTGTTGGTCGTGAGGAGGACTGGAAAAGAGGCCGTGAATGAAGGTGATCGAGGTGGAGGGGAAAAAAAGAAAATGGGAAGAAAAAGAGAGGCAGAGACAAAAAGCAGGATAGGTGGAAAAGTGGAGGGGCTGCGTTTGTACCTTTGGGCGCTCCGTGTATGGTCGGCCAGGCCTTTTTGTCGCCTAGGAGTACCTTGCCAAAGAGGGCCAAAGAGGGGCAGCATCGTCTTTTTTTGGTGGGGTCGTGGCCTTCCTTCTGCTCTGTACTAACATCATTCTGATTTTCCTCTCCCACGTTGACAAGTTATCCTCATAACTAGGGGCATTGCTACTAGCTCAATTAAATTTGTCGCCCCTCTTTACAGGACTGTTGACTTTGGCCCGTTGCCAGAGCATCTTGTTGGCCGTGTTCCACTCATCGGCTATGGTGACAATCCCCAGTGCTGGCCTTGTCTTCCCCGGGCGTGAGGGGCTATTAGGGAATTGCCATGATCGAACATGCCCTCGGCAGCAGTTATTGGTTGGTATTTAATCCACCTATTCTTTCTGGTTCGATTCGAACTTGTACTGTCGACCACAGTCGTGATGAACTCTAGCTACCTGCCTGCTGACGGCAATAGGCTGGGTAGGTATCCTATCCGAAGAGGTTGAGGAGCAAGAACAGCCAATAAAAAAAAAAAGTTCAAGGCCACGGGTCGAAGCCTTTCATACTCAACTTGTCATGGCAGCAATGTCCCAAGCCACGCATGTACTGCTTAGCGATTCTCCGCGCTCTACGACTAGCAGCCTCACAGCCTACCCTATACCCTACACCACAAAATGTCACTCTGTTCTTTTCCGCTAAATCACAGACGGGACATTGACTATGAGGATTACTCGTATCCCAAGTACACAATAAAGGTAAAAGTGTTCTTAAAAGAGTTATGTTTTGATTGGCTGACCAGCACAGATGCAAGTACCAACCGACTTGCGCGCAATGATCGCGGAGACTATCACGGTGTTGAACCAGTTGAGAACCCGCCTCGACCTGTTAAGAGCCAACATTTTTGCCATAGCCCGGACCACCAAGGTACATGTAACTGCCCCAGTTACCCCCCGTTTCGAAGTGCGTCTCCAGGTTGTATACACCGGGATCCGTGATGATGTTGTCGTTCGAGTTGGCCGAATAGTTCCGCACCGAGTTTTGGGTGTCCGCGTACACAATGTTGCGCATGTACGCCGACTTTCCGTACCCCGCCGAGGGAAACTCACCCGAGCCCATGTCGCTCGTCGTCTTGTCGTTGTCGCTGTAGATCTCTCCATAAAAGGAAATCTCGTTGGACGTTGTCGCGAGGGACGACCCGGTCGTCACGTTCTGGTTGAACATCCAGGTTGGGTAGTAGCCAATGTTGCGGCCGTTGACCGCCAGCCACCACTTGTCGTCGACGAGGCGGTACTGCAGGTCAATGTCATACTGCTGGCCGCCGTCCACTGAATGAGTCCACTTAGAGTAGCCGGGGTACACATTGCTGTCGACCTGCACCCAGCCGGCGTAGTCGGTGTTGTAGCCGGAAATGTTGTGGCCAAAGGCATGGTATCCGTTGGTGTTGAAGAAGGTAAAAAAATGAACAGGGGAAGGGTTGTAGGCAGGATACTTTTGCCAGCCCGCCTCGAGGGTCTGCACAATAGAACCGTAGTATGTGTTCCGAACTTGAGTGTTGCTAACGGCAGTCTGAATCAAGGAGAAGTCCGTATCATTCTCCAAGTACGGGTCATAAAGACTGAAGCTTGCACCGCCACCCTTGTTGTTCACGGTCTGCTGCGTGAAGGCATACTTATGACCCTTTGTAACCCGCTTAGACAGACCTGAGTCTTGCCTAGGCAGTTCCTTGACTTTGCTGTTGATGTTCGTGCTGGGCCGGAGGTATGGAACTGCTCCCTTGGGACCATTGAGAGGCGTGATCACCTTATCCAGGGTGTCTTCAACCCCAGTGGGAGGTGCAACCTCGTCCGATAGCACCCAGTCAATAATTTGGCCATTAGGCAGGACAGTGGTGTCGACAATTGTCTTGCTATGGTGAACAATGGCCCGGCCAGAGACAATAGGCAAAGCCCCAGCAGCGGCGAGAAGAAGCTTGGAGTAATGCATGATGTGCTAGTAGAGATGCCCTAAGTAAATACACAATTGATATAGATAACAGAACTTCTGTCCCTCCTTATATAGTTCTGAATGCAGTCTATTATGAATATTAGCTCCTTCTGTAAGACGCCACGAATAGCAATAAACCAGCAGCTAGTTTGTTGGATAAAGATTCACTGAACCGCCCTGACTTCTTTCACCTTCCGCAAATAGTGAAGGAGTGGCTCCCATGTAATAGTGCTAAGGGGCAGAAGTTTAGGCACCTTCTGGTTTGAGTATTCATCCCCAAACAGCCCTCACCATGTTGGAGAGGTTTGTAGAGCCATTCTGGCGTAATCTCGATCGAAGTCCGTGGCCGTACCATACATTGTCGATATGGCGATAGGTGCCGCTTCTGACTACAATGTTTGCGGTTGACGGCGCCAGGCCAAAGTGGAAAATCGCATCGTTTTGTCTCGCTTTCCTAACTCAATGTCAACGTGAAATGATAAATAGACCCAAACCATTATGTAAAGTTTTAGGAGAGAGTGTAACGGTCTGGGGTAAATTTGGGGCTCCATAGGTATAGGGTGCTCCAACACGCCCAACGTGGAGACAGTTCATGAGATCGTAAATACTGCTTCGGCCACAGGGTCTAGCCCGAATTGAGAAGCTTGAAAATCACGCCGCAAATGATTATTCCGGCAGTTATCGTGGTCAGCGTAGATGGCGCAATGTCGAAAGTTCGTTCAACTCCTCTCCCTCATACCGCTCGCGAACCACTGGCGAACAAGACAACTTCAAGTGCCGTTGCGTAAAGCGCTTGCCTAACTTGTCAAGCCATGGCACCTTGCTGTATTGCGCACAAGGGCGGGCTAATTAGGAGTCCGGAGCAGAGTCGGCAAACTCTTATGTCCATCATGTCTGAATGTTCAAGAAGTCGTGGGCGAGGATGTTGCACTAGTGTAATGAGTGATTCGAACGGATGGATGGTCCACTTTGCGTGGTGAGGTTGAATATACGACGACTTTTGCACACAATTCTGTACGCTTTCAAGAGTAAAGCCTCCAGCCAGCAGGGTAAAGTATTAGGACACTTAACACTACTATTAGTATAAGAAATGTCTAGTCAACTCTTGTATAAAGAGTTAATACGCGTCCGCCGGCGGCTTCATCGCGCTCCATCACCTTTACAAACATAGCTGCATAATTAATGAAGGCTGCAAAGAGAAGAACGCATTTGTCTACACCCTAAAAAAAACACAAAATGTGACCTAATTCACTGACGTTGTTACAAATTCCTCCGTGGCCTGTTAGTAGCTAACTATAGGGTCGGAGCGTGCAGGCACTAACAAACTCCAGGCACGAAAAAGCAAAAGGAATGTGACAAGAAGGGGCCCTATTTTGTAGTGGTATCTTTCCCGCCTCGAATTCCCATAGCATGATGCAAAAAGCAACGGCCGTCGAGCCTTATTCGTCCTTGATTCGCGCAACGCCCGAGGCTGAGATCACCCTCGCGTTACAACCCCTGAATGATTGCCTCGCTCTGCTGCTTTACGCGTCGAATCACCCCACCTCGGACTACGGCTCGGATCGGACTGCTACCACATTTTTCCCATCATAAATGAATGACGTTGGGGTGGCCTGGCTCCGCGGCGGCCGCCAGTCGGGTAGGTACAAGGCAGTGTCACCGCAGAAAGGCTGAGCTCCAGGTACCGAATTATCAGATTGAAATCCGTCTCTTGCCCCCTGCAGGGTGACCGGGAAAGGAGTGACGATGCTAGACACGCAGGGGCTGAGCGACACATGCTTGACAATTTCTCAGCGCAGGCAGGGTGGGCGCGTGCTGGAAGTTGGATTGCCGAGTGGTGTCATTTCTGGCCGGCCTGTACCAGTAAGCCAGCCCGTGCCCGTGCCTTGTTCTGAGGAACCAAGTTACCAGACACTGAGCATACGGGCTCCAGGGCTGGAGAATTAACTAACCTATACCATGGAAGTTAATTAATAAAGCCCAAGGTCCTTTGATGGGGACCTGGGCTTGGCTGAAGTGCGCAAACACGTCATCTGTCTGTCCGCTCGCATCCATCCTTTGCCATGGATTCGGTAGGTATCCGCATAGTGCTGCGTTTCGGTGATTATTTGCCTGCTAACGTTTTGATCTATCTTGCTAAATCTGTAAATATATTTCAACGAGGCTCTTTTCACCTCTCCTGTTTACAGATACCTGTGACTGTCAACTAACTAACGTTAACGTTAGTTATTAGCCAGGGGAAGCGCAGATTCTGGGCCACTTTTTGGGCAGAGGCGACAACGCCCATCTCCGAGCTTCCGGTCCGAACAAGGAAATAGATCCAGTTTTCAGAGAAAGGATTGAAAAGGAAATTCACGGACATGATAATCATTCCGTACTTGGACAGCACGCACAGTAAGTAGCAAACAGCAGTACTTGAAATTTTGGTGCCTTATTAACCACCGACGAACGCGGTACCAAACGTCGCCCCTGCACTGCATTGCACTGCACCGCACCGCACCCAGGAAAGAGGCCGACAGACCATCTTTAATCCAGCGATCCACCCCCGGTTGCGACTCTTTTTTCTCTTCCTTTCCCTCCCTCCAACATCAATCAACGATCGCCCTCTTCTGACGTGACACTCCTTTTTTTGCATCTTCAACATTGAGACAATATAATCCGACGCCTGCGTTTATTTTCCGAAACGAGACGATTCTCTTTGCCCCCGCCCGTCAACCAACGATCCGCGAATAACTCCCAATTGCTCCCCGACGTCAACAAACCACGCTCCTTTTTTAATCGCCACCCCACGCCCAATTTCCCCCCTCTGTCATTGCATGGTCAATTCAATCATCGCGGGATAAACGCGCCGCGCGCAATTTTCGCTCTGCCTCATCTTACCAACTACCATTGTCGTACTTTCCCAGCCGACTGACCCCTTGCGAGACGCTCCCCCTCCCTCCCTCCTGACGACAACTACAATTACTTGCCTGCAATGGTCAACGCTACCTCGGCCAGCCTCTCATCCTCATCCTCTGGCATCATGGCCAACAACGCCACCCTCTTCGACACGGCGCTACCACCGCTGCCCGCCTACGACCTACAGCCCCGGCCGGACCTCTTTTCGTGGTGCCCCGACTTTTGGCTGTCCCTCGTGCTGCCTGTCGTCGTCTACTGGGCCATGAGCCTCTTCTTCCACGTTATCGACACACTCGACCTCTTCCCGCAGTACCGCCTACACACGCCCGAGGAGATTACGCGTCGCAACCATGCGTCCCGCTATGAGGTCGCCCGCGACGTCGTCATCCAGCAGGTCATCCAGGTCGTCACCGGCGCCGCCCTCCAGCTTGCCGACCCCCCCGAGTACATCGGCAAGGCCGACTACGATGTCGCCGTCTGGGCCACGCGCGTCCGCCTCGCCCAGCGCGCTGTCCCCGGCCTGCTCGGCCTTGTCGGCCTCAACGCCACCGCCATCTCCAAGACCATGGCCGCCGCCCACCACCCCTTACTCGCTGGCGCCCTCGCCGGCGGCTACTACCCCTTCCTCAAGACCGAAGCTGACGTTCCCGTCTTCGCCTCTTGGGAGCTCACTGTCGCCAACGCCATCTACCACGTCCTAGTGCCCGCCCTCCAGTTCTTCGTCGCCGTCTTCATCCTCGACACCTGGCAGTACTTCCTCCACCGCCTCATGCATATGAACCGCTGGCTCTACACCACCTTCCACTCGCGACACCACCGCCTCTACGTCCCCTACGCCTACGGCGCCCTCTACAACCACCCCTTTGAGGGCTTCCTCCTCGACACTCTCGGCGCCGGCATCGCCTTCAAGATCACCGGCATGACTGCTATCCAGGGCACCTGCTTCTTCACCTTCTCCACCATGAAGACCATCGACGACCACTGCGGCTACGCCTTCCCCTGGGACCCCCTCCAGCTCATCACCAATAACAACGCCGCCTACCACGACATCCACCACCAGACCTGGGGCATCAAGACAAACTTTTCTCAGCCCTTCTTCACCTTTTGGGACGGGATTCTGAGCACAAAGTACAAGGGTGCCCGCGCCGACCGCCTCGCCGACAAGAAACGCACCGCTGAAAAGACGGCGGTGGCGAAGTAAATCAGGCCGCCCCCCTCCCTCCGTTGATGACTATCGAGGGGGTTTTGTTTGGATCATGCCCCCTCTCTCTACTACTGGGAGTGAAGGTCTAACTTGTTTATGAAATGGCTCTTTGTTTTCCCATCTACTTTTTTTTTTTGGATGACGAGGTTCGGTTGGGTCAGGTCAGGTTTGCGGTTTTTTGTGTGCCCCTTCGTTACTGTTTTTTCTGTTCGTTTGCCGCTGCATTTCTCCTCCATTCCGGACCACATTCGCTTCTTTTCTTTTCCTTTCCCCGAAGTGAATGGGATGCGGCGAAACGAACAACATCATAATATTATAATCATGTGCGGCTTTTTCGTTTCTTTTTTTCTTTGATGAGCAAAAAGGTCTCACGAAACACACCCTTTCTTCACGGAGCCCTGGCTGCTTTGTGTGATGCTGCTGCTTGGCATCATTTCATTTCCCCCTTCTTCCTGTATTATACTTTCTTCTACCCCTTCTTCTTTGTCTGAGATATGTATGCTCTGGACTGGATTCATCGTAACATTACACTCTCGTTTTTTTATAGCATGGCGATGTTCATTGGGGCTTGTCTGAATAAGGGAATTCCTTTTTTTTTTCTTTTACATATAATGTCGAATAAACAAATCAGTTTGAATAATGAACAATTGCATCACAGAATGAAGATGTCTTTAATAATGGCAGGAGTCGGCTGCTGCTCCTTGTAAACTGCATGTGTGTCTCATCTTGTATTCGTAAAATTTCTAGACGGGATTTCATAGTTTCATCATCGGAAAATGGTAGATTTTTAGTATTCAAAATAATACCAGCAACAACAGTATAGCAAGGGAAAGCAGCAATACCGAATAGCAAGGGCTATGGCAATAGCAAATAGGTATCAATCATATGCAAAAACGTAGCGAGAAACAAGGACTTTGCGCCGCCTGAGCGCAATAGCATAAAGCGAGACGCAGAAAAAGGAAAAATCAAAAGGTCAGAAAGGCGACCTCTGTCATGTCATCAGCTCTGGCGGCGGCCGGTGATCGAATCGGCGATCCAGCTGAGCTCATGACCAAAGTCGTCGAGCCCTACCAGGCTGGAGCCCAGAAAGTTGGGCCCCAGTAGGTTGGAGCTCTCGCCCGACTCGCCCGGCCGCGGCAGCAGCAGCGGCGAGTGCAGCGTTGCGAAGCGCGGGCTCGGGGACAGCGTGTCGGCGTCGTCGGCCGCGGGAGGCTTGTCCGTCGAGAAGGCGAGCGGCGGTAGGTGATACCGTGAAAATGACGCCGTCGACGGCGCCTTGACGTGGCTGCTGATGCGTGCTGCCGCCCCAGGGGCGGCAGGCCCATCCTGGTGGCCCGGCAAGGGGAGGTGCTGGTCAATATCGTCGTCGCCTTCATGCGATTCGTCATAAAATGATAAAAGGTCACCCGCCGTGGGAATGTCGCACAACGAAGGAAACCCGGCCGTCGTGGGAGAGGCGGGCGAGTTCATGGCACTCGACAGCGTGGATGATGGACATGCCGAGGACGCAGAACTGTCCTGCACGGAGAGACCCAAGCTCTCTAGAATAGAGAGCTGCGGTGCGTGTTGTGGCGTCGGTGATATCATCAAGCCTGCCAACGTGCATTCACCACTTTGTAGAGAGGACTGCCGGCTCAGAGACGATGGCACCACGGTTTGCGCAGGAGAGCTCCTTCCCATTGTAAGCAACCTGTCTCTCCTGAAAGGTGGTGGTGAGAGCCGTGTGGTGAAGAGCGGCTCCTCTGCGGCGTATAAAGAGAATCCATCTGCAGCCCCTACAAAGTTGTCGTCGTCTTCCTCATCAAGCTGGTCCAATACGTCAAGAGTTGGTGTGCGAGGGCGAGATGGCGGGCCAAGACTGCCTCGAGTAACTGGCCGCGTGGACGTGTCTGGTTCCTCGACAAGGAGCCGACGTAGCGATGCCGGAGAAATGTCACGGGTGTGAGATTCTTCGGACGGCGATTGAGGCCGGACATCGTGGTTGGAGGACACGGAGGTGAGGCTGCGATGGTCGTCATAGTTGGTTGAGCGATCGCGGCTCTCTAGCGAGCGGGAAATGAGTGTCTTGTTGAAAAAACGTCTCCAAGGCGACTTAATGGGAGAGGTGGCGGAGGAGGGACCGTCTCTGGAGAGCGCAATGTCGGTGTGCAGGGCGGCAGGAGCAGTGCCTGTGCGGCGGATAGACAGGTCGGCGTGGGAAGGAGCCGCAGGTTGCGGTGTGACAAACTTGGAGCGAGGATCCATGGTTCGAAACTGTTCTTGATATAATGATGTAAGTGAAGCACGACGACTGCGACTGGTAGCTTCTTGTGGTATATATAGAGTGTTGACCTTTTGACCGGGGAGGTATGGACAGCAGGTTGTAGAGGGCATTGCGGGGTTGCAAATCTCCGTCGATCCGTTCAGTTCATACTACATAGGCGGGCGCGGAACCAAAGTTAGCAGTCAGCACCGGTAAAGGAGCAATGGCCAGAGGGGAGAACCTGCGCGGTGGTCCTAGCTGGCGGCGGGGTTGGTTGCGGCGGTGAAATGGTGGTGAGGCAAGCAAACTTTCAAGGGACCGAGATACGTACATAATAGTAGTAGGTGTGGCCCATGGCAAGACCGGTGTGCTTTCTACCAGCGCCGTAGCCGTCGCAAACATGGTCCTGGAGGGAGTGACAGCCTCGCCAATGGCCGCGACCGCGCCGGGTATCGCGGTCCATGGGATATGACGAGGAGAAGTTATCCCATGAGCCAATGAGGTGGACTGTGACGACTGATGGATCCGTCTCACTATGAGTTGCAAGGCCAATGTCAGCAAGAGGAAAGGTCGTGGAAAGCGAAGTCGAAGAAAATGCCCCGTACGGGACTCGTCAATCAAAGTAGATTAGATGCCAGCGCGGAAAGAAGGACTGAAGAAGCGTTGGCCCCACGGTGCTGCAGCCAAGCTGGTGGCTTGAAGACGTCGACTTGCAACGCCGCTGAGGGCAAACAAACAGTCCGTCCGGGTCCAAGTCGTCTGCGGTCACTCGAGCGCAGAGACCATGCCAGTAAAGTCTTTTTTTATCCCAACCAATTGCCAGTGACCCAGAGCTCGCATGCTCGTATCCGGCGCAGCGATCTGCATAGCGAGACCAGTTGAAACAGACGACGACGGAACTTGTCCTTCGAGGAGGGCAAGCTGCATGCGATGGGGGATGCTGACAAGGTCAAGCTGAAGCCTTGTCTGGCATGGGCCAGAAGACGGCGAAGGGTTGCCTCTCATCAACACAATGTCCGTCCAATAGGCAAGAATTGAACAAATCCTGTCCTGCTTGATTGCGCATTTCTGCAGCGATATAAGACAATTGGACAAGTTTAAACCGACGCCATTGGCAGTGTTCAAGGGGACCACCGAGTCCAACGGAAACAAAGCAAAAAATGCGAGACACAGGTATCAAGAAGGCGACGGGGGCAGCAGACTAGAACTTACAGCAGGAAAGCAACTAGAGTCCTCGAGGGATCCATAGCGGGCGATCGAGGCGGCCGCCTCAGTCCGGTGCAGGTCAAAATAAGTTGAGAAGAGTTGAAAATATGTGTCAAGCTTCCCGCGAGGCGATTTTTTGCTCTCCAACAAACCGTGCGACAAAGCCAAAGCGGCCATGCACTTTATTCCAAACCTCTCACACTCTCCCACGCAGACCGGGAGCGAAACGTGTTTCGGAATCGTGGGCTCAGGTCGCCCCAATTTACCGGGTCTCAGGGCCTTAATTTGAAGCGAAATATGATGGACGGGCGTTGCAATATGGAATTGGTAAATGTCTGAGCAAGTCCAACAACAGCTGAGATATGAATGAAAAGAGCAGCCAAGATGTTGGCGGTTCGGTATTTCGCAATGATGAGCGTGCCGGGGCTTTGCGGTAAAGCACTGGCGCCCCCCTGGTCGTATGATTGATTGGGTGGCCAAGACGATGGATGCGACAGAGAGGCCTCGTCGGTAACCGGCAATGCAAGAACGAGGCGCAGGACAGGAGGGAATCGATGGAATTGAAATGAAGGATCGAGTATATGGAAAGGGAAAGGAAACAAGTGAAGCACCAAGAAACCGGGGGCGACTTGGCTTTCGTCTCGAACTGAGTGATAATCAATCTCAGCTGGGACTCAGCTGGGTGACATTGAGTGCCTGAATCATGCGTCCCGCCGTCGCGCGGGGGCCGGGCCTCTGCCAAAAGACTGATGGTCTAATAGGCCGATTGAGAAGGACGTGAGGCTGCGAATTGTACTTGCTGGTCAAAGGAACAACAGAATCGTGGGTGTAAAGAGAGTCTGAGGAGTCAACCGACAAGTCTGGCTGAGACGCGGGAGCCACGGGTACCCTGGTGGGATGGCGACTATACGGAGCAGATAGTTACAGTGAGAGAGAGAGTACTGGTAATTAATCGAGACGACGAGGTCTTTTAGGAATTGCCGTAGTAGCGAGGCCAGAGGTAATCTTAAAAGGTGGACTAAACTATGTGTCCGTAGTCCGTTGGTAGCTTGGGGGGGGGGGGGGGGGGGGGGGGGTGTGGCGTGGCACAAGAAACTGCAAGCAGATTAGCAGACAGCATTTGCTTGGGCCATTGGTTGGAAAAGGAAGTGCAGCAGCTCTGGGGTTGCACTGCGTCTCAAGATGCATGGCAAATGCCATTGACGACGGCCTCTGCTGCCGTTTGATGCAGCAACGCGTGCAGCAGGCAGCGTCGACGATATGGGGTGGGCAGAAACGTCAATCCCGACGCGCGGGAGATGCGCCGCACTCCATGCTTGATTGGCACGGAAAGCATGGAAACGGCAGCCCATTGACAAGTGTAGCTGAATGGAGGGGCGGCGGCCGCAGTTGCCAAGCAGGGAGAAGGAAGGGGGGCCGCAATGGACTGAGGGTTGCGGTCAGGGCAACATGCGCATTGTCGAGATCTTCATCGTGGATGGTCAGAGGGGAATGGATGATTTGGAGGGAAAAGTGGCGCAGAGGGCTAGCGAGAGTTAGTGTGGCTAAGGTCTTTTCCCAGTGTGGCTTAGCGTAGCTGTGCACTGGATGCTCCCGGCTCAGCGGCTGCAACGGACTGGCTAAGAGTTACTGGTAATTAATCCGCGCTACAGATCAATTGGTGACTGGAAGAAATTGGATATTCACCCGTTAATAATTTGATAATTTATTACTCGCCCAGCCCGAGAGCGCCATGCAGCAAGCTTGATGCTGGCTGGACAGCTGGAGATGCAATGCTTTGCAGCTTGCAGCCTCGCTCCGGCAAGCGATTGGCTCGCCTTGGATCCTGTTATTAGCTAGCACACCTGATCTCCCCATGGCAACGCTGGTCGTGCATGCCACTGACAGCTGAAGTGGCTGGCTGCATTAATACCCAAGAATCTTTCTCCAAGACAGAGTTCACCTCAATACAGATTCAATTAATAACAATTCATCGTCATTGCAGTGTAATCGACCCTGACGCTGTCTCTCACTACACACCACTACACGAACCTCCGCCGTCTGCATTCGGCCGAGCATCCCGGCTGCGTCTGGATACTTTGGTAACACTGAGATGCAGCCCCTTCGTTATCTTGGCCTGTTTACATGGTGAAAGAAATGTCATTGTCATCCTCTCTGTACTCTGGGTGGCGCTTTTCAACGCTCCTCACCATACAATGTTGCGACTACCCTGTACCTCTTTATGTGATGCCTGTGCACCACTGACCGTATTAAAAAGGATCGGAACCTGACTTTGCTCTGTATTCGTCCAACACACTACCCGTATCCCGGTTGTACATATATGTCTAAAATTGCCAAGCACAACAGACCGCTGCAAATGTACTTGGTACTACCGGTCTTGCGTCTCGCCGCTGACCGTCTTCAACGCGAGTGCTCATCCGTATTTGCAAACTTGCCAAAAAAAAGGCTTGTAGCACAGCTGTACAATATTCAAGCATTGACCTCGTTCTGCGCCGTGTGCAGGTCTAACGAGACGCCGCGTCGCAAGGTTAGGCACCTTAGTCTGCTTGTACATGAGCCGCAGAGGATACGTATCTATGATTACTGATTACTGAGAAGTTACAGGAACATCTGATACAGGCCATAAAGCAGCTTCTCGTGAAGTTCAATGTACACACATGCATTGGAACTGGGAGCTCTATTCACCCGAACTAGCCTCCCGTGTGACATCCTAGGTTACTAGAAGTTGAACGGGCAAATGTTTCAGTGTAGGTCATAACCTTTTCATTTCACAGCGGAGCCATCTAGTACCAGCTATCAGGCCCGAAATACCCCTTCTCCGGCAACGGCAGCAGCGACTGCTGGCCGGCGCCGCCATCAATCGTCCCCCTCACCACGCTCGACCCCCACCAGGTGAGCCTCACCGGATCCCACTGCAGCGCGAAGAATATGATCATCGCCGCGAACGCGACGCCGCCGCCCAGCGCCGCCGAGATGACGTAGTTGTACCGCTCCCACCAGGCCGTCTTGTACCGCCGCAGGTAGTACATGAAGCCGAACGAGAAGTAGAGCCCGACCGTCGTGTACGACAGGTTGTTGGGCGCCCAGCCAATCGCCCCGTTGGCGACGATGGTCGGGTGCACGTGCTTGAGCCACGAGAGCGGCGTGAGGAGCGCCCGGTCGACCGGCCGGAAGACGGCGGCCGGGAGCGTGTTGTGCAGCGCCTGGCGGAGACGGGGGCCGAAGCGCTTGCCGGTCCACCACGCGAGGGCCAGCAGGAAGCCGAGGAGGAAGCAGTACTTCATGGCCGGGTAGAGCTGGGAGAAGACGCGGGCCGGACCGATGGCGCCCTAAAAAGAGAGAGAGAACTTTGTTAGCGATCGGGAGTTTGTGAGGCGAGTCTGACATGCTTGGGACATACCCAAACAACGGAGGATGCAAAGATGAGGGCGGATCCGGCGAGGCAGTTGAACTTGGCCTCTTGGTTCGGCGTGCAGATGTCGGGAATGGTGGTGTCGACAAAGGTGACGACGCCGTAGCACACGAAAGCCGTGATGATGGTGCTCAGAATCTGCCCGCGGTACATGGCGCGCGGCGGGATCTTGGCGTAGAACCCCATCTTCTGATCCGAGATGTAATTGTCCGCCTGGCCGTTGATGTTCCACCCGTACGTCTTGACGAAGATCATGGCCTCGGGGTGTCCGGGCAGGGCGTAGCCCATGATTAACTCGGTCGCAACGTTCAAGCCCTGCGTGATGCCGGAGATGGCGTTGATGTACGTCATCGGGATCAAGAAGACGAGGTTGAGGGCAACGACGAAGAAGATTGTCCACACGGGCGTCTCGAGCTGTGGGTACTGTAAAGGGATGACAATGGCAAAGATGAACGCGATCAGGGCGATGGAGAGGAACCACCAATCCGGGACCTCGGGGTACTTGCGCATGATGTTGGTCAGGGGATCGTCAAAGTCGTCGTAGATGGACCCGTCGCTGCTGAACATGCCGTAGAGATGCCTTCCCGCGCCGCGGACATCTCCCCTCGCCAGCGCCCCGACCATCCCTGCGACGCCGCGCACCGTGCCCGCCACGGACTCCTTGACCGCGCGCGCCATGGAACGGCCCGCCTTCAGCAGAGGGCGCCACGAGTCGAGCAGCACAAAGACCATGGTGAGCGGGTAGAACAGGAAGAAGGCGCCGTACATGACGAGGCTGCCGGCGGTGTAGAAGGGCGGCGAGTACGCGCGGTACTTTTCCTCGACGACGACGGCGCGCCGCGGGTCGATGACGCGCGTGATGTTGTACCCCGCGCCGCGGTTGTCGAAGATGGAGGGCGTGTTGGGCGGCAGGTGCGCGGTCCACGAGCTGTTGGTCCAGTAGATGGCGATCAGCACGAAGGCGGCGATGAGCTGGCCGCTGGCCTGCTGCAGGTACGCGAAGAACGGGATGGCCAGGGGCGCGCCGTTTTGGCTGATGACGTTCCAGTCAAGCGTCGGGAGGGGGTTGAATCCGATGCCCGAGTTTCCTATTTGTCTGTCTTAGTTGCGCAGCAAGTTGTATCAAGCAGCCGTGTACATACCCGTCATCACATTCAGAGCAAAGTTGTTGGGCGCGATCCACGTCATCCAGGCGAACGAAGATAAAGCAGGGAAGAGGTAGCCGGGGATCCAATAGTAAAGGAACATGCCGGCGAAGAAGATGAAAAAGACCCGGTACCGGGACAGGCTCCAGCCGTGGACCGTCTCGCCGCGGTGCCGCTCCGGCATCAGCAGCGCCTTGTTGAGCGCGACGGTCGGCAGCAGCGCCGGCCAGATGGCCTCGACCGGGTAGACGACGAAGCGGCGCAGCAGGCCCGAGAGGCCGAGCCCCAGGAGCTGCGTCGACAGCAGCAGCAGGATGCCGTACTCGGCCGTCAACCAGTCGTCATGATAAAATATAGTCTGCGTCTGGATGTTGGCGAAGCCAAACGCCGCGTTGACGCTGACGTTCATGATGATGGTGGCCAGCATCTGCTCCTTGTACGACCAGGGGCCCGGGTTCAGCGATATACGCGAGCCGCCGCCGAGCCAGCGCGGGAGGACGAAGCCCCAGTCGGGCAGGGCCCAGGCGAGGAGCAGGCCGCACGGGTACAGCAGGATCTGGACGACGGCGGAGCTGAGCGAGATGCTCGGGAAGCGCGACATGAAGAGCGTGTTGGTGAACTGGGCGACGATGGCCCAGCTGAGGCCGACGAGGTAGGCGCGCGGCGTCTCGCAGGGCATCGTGCCGTCCGGGTCGTCGTCGTCGGGCGTGGTCACGGCTCGGACCTCCGGGTACGGCGAGTAGAAGCGGTTGAGCGCCGCGACCGTCTTGAGCTCGGCGGCCCAGTCGCCCTCGTCCTTGTCGCCGAGCGGGCCGGCCAGCAGCGCCGTCATCTGGTCGCGCAGGCTCTGCGCAAAGTTGTAGTCGTACTCGTGCTCCGCGAGTAGGGCGCGCAGGATGTCTCGCGCCTCGTCGACCGTCATGGCGTCGATCTTGTCCCGGACGTACTCGACGTCGTCCATGGGTGCTCCGGGGACGCGGGGGACGCCCCCGTCCTCCGGAGTGGTGGTGCATTGATGGTGATGCGCCTGGTCGCGCGTCTTCTCGTCGACTACCTGTGGCGGCGACGGCTTGACTGAGCTGCTGTCGGAGGCGGCATGACGCGGGGCGTCGGAGATGTCCTGATTGGGAATCATGGCGGCACGAGGCTCACCAGGTCGTGGTATGGGAGGCGAAGAAAGCGAGGGGAAAAAGGGACGCAGTTGTATCAGGTTGGTGAGACTTGGTGAATCCCTCTAGCCTGGGGGACACGCAGATGAGAGTGTTGGGGTGAGGGAGGGGTGAGAGCGAGAGGTGAGCACGCATACATATAATATGCATACATATGTATACCCGTTATACATGCAGAGCTTTATATCTGCGTAAAAATGTGTAATTTATACAACGAGCGCAGTGTTTGCCTGATCTTCACCTGTCGCAGAAGAATGTCTCTATTCCAGCAAGTCGTTGACCGGGTTTGCTAACCGACTCGGCGGTTGATGTGCTTCTCGGGTGCAAAGATACAAGGATGCAGCAGGATATCCATACGAGCGGAAGATCTTTTGTCCCTATCTGGGGCAATGCATATGACCGCGGACGTTACTGGAGCAAGACTGTCGATGCCGAGGAAGAGCGTCGGAGTTGAAAGGGGCTATTGGGACAGCGGTTTGGGGATGGATTGAGGGCTCAAGAAAGAGCGCCGCTACTGATTAAGGAAAAAAGTCCAGGGCTACCAGGTATGGTACAGGGCAAGGATGCAGAGGTGGTCACTACCGAGAGCCTTCTTTGTTTGGTTGCATTGGTACGGCTCCTTCACTGGGACTGGACGAATCGGGCTGCAGGTCTCACCACGAGCAATCACCCATACTTTAGTGCCCGTAATCTTCGAATGGAAAAATTCAAGATAGTATTTAAACCTAAATCTACCTCTGAAATGCCTCTGCCATACTCTCTCTCCTGTTAGCTCTAATAAGCGTGTAAGTGCGCGACGCCCGCAGGCCGGGCTGGACATGGTGGAAATTAGGTTGACGCCAGCAAGCCCGACACCAACGAGATCGGGCCAAGGATTTTCTGAAGATTGATGCGGAAATATCGCAATCGTAACGGGGAGACTGGTGAGACTGGGGAACCTCTGTGGGGGGGGTTGGCTGCTGGCCTTGTCTTCTGTCTTGTCTTATCTCATCCGGTTCTGCAGGGACTGCCATTTTTGGCGAGAGTCAGGATGGAGAACAAAGGAAATGACAAGTCTGCGCCCGCCCGTTCACGTCCTCGGCATTCATCAGGGTTACGGCCTTTTGGTTCATTCTTCCGGCTCTTCCGTATCTTCCTTGTCGCGGGACGGAGCAGCTTATTTACTAGTCCATGAAGTAGTAATTTTGTAATAGGCTGGGTAACAGATATCCTTAGTCGACTAGGAGACATGAGCGTCCTAATCTTCGACTGCAAAATATTTGCGGAGTATCCGTATGTCGAATAACTACGATATCCCTGTAGACCTGGGCCATGCAAGAACCCGCGAGAGATGGCACAAACCAAATCATTGTCGCCCGCAAGTCTAACTCTGAGGTTCAGAATTACCTCCGTGGTCTGCGATAGCCGCAGAACTCAGCCCTCTCAGAGTCTCTCGCTTCGTTCATGAAAGCGACCCCAGCGGCTTTCGCTATTAGCCCCGTAAGGCTCAAGGCCCGGCCCGTCCGATGATTGACGTCAGCTCCCCCCCAAGGAACGCTCCTCCCACCTGAAACCACCAACATTTGACCAGCCCCCCCGGTCTTCCCGAGAGACGCGGCTCCCGCGTCGCGCGCCGTTATTCTCCCGGTAACAGTGCTTGCTTGTATGCATAAGAGGGCTATCCTTCGGGTCGCTGCAAGGTGTAAAAGGCCAATCAGCATCACGGCCAGACGAGCCAAGCTTCGGCGTACTGGCAGCAAGCCTATGCCTCGTCTTGTCTACCCCCGAACCGGCATCCAGCGCCAGCTAAAGGGCTGAGAGCGGGGGGAGTGTCAGATCTTGCCTGTCATGGAAGGGGCACAAATATGCGGCTGGGAAGCGTCTGGTTGAAGCTTCCCTGTCCTGGCACAGGTGCGTCAAGATACGGGATGGATGAAAAAGGTAGGGGAGCCCATCACGAATTAGCTCCCGCGTATTCAAACCGGAAGCAGCATCGCGTCCTCCTTACTTCTTAATGTAGTCTTGTAGAATCTGATAATAAATAGCCCCGACTACGAAATGGGACTCGTACAGCAACGGGATGTTTGCTCGCTTGTCATCGCCAACGGCATTCTGATCCGCTTCAGTCCACTGTACGAAGATATCCTCAAAGCAGAATCCCATCGTCCTCGAGTTCCCGTCATTTTGATCCGTCCGGCTTGCTAGCCTTCCCTGGCTCCTCTCTGCCCACGGCGGCACCTCAACCACACATCGGTACATGATAACGACAATTGACGCGGGTTATTAGTTTCATATTTCTTTTGCTCGACCCTTGCTCCCGTCGCTTTCTTGCCCACGTTCCTGCCGTTGCTAGTATACAAAAGAAAAAGGAGAAAAACTCAGCATCGGTCGCGCTCAGAGATGGGTATCCCTCACTTTCCCCCAACGGCCGACTTGCAAGACCAAAGTGAATAAAAAAAGTCGCGTGCTTTTCATACACGCACCATAACGCCTTACCGTCATCTATAATCTTCCACCACTTGCCTTTGTCATGTTACATAAAACCTACACCGGCTCCGTCTTCGCTGGGAGTTGCTCCGGCCCTCAACCCCAGCCACCGTCACACCGCGAGATACATCTCATTCAGCCACGGACGGCGCCTCAGTCTTGGCGCCGGCGACATCTTCCGTCTTGACGCTGACCACGGGCTTGCCCTCCTCCGTCGCTGGCGCACCACCACCATCACCGGGCGGTCCAGCAGCGCTGCCACCGCTGGCCGCCTGCTTGGTATCCGCGGCAGCAGCTTTCTTCTCCTCCTTGGCCTTCTTCTCGTCCTCTGTCTGCTGTAGTTTGGCCTTTTCCCTCTCCTCCCGCTTGCGCTCGATCCGCTGCGCCTCCTCCAGGGTAGGGCACCGTGCCGGATTGAGGAACCGCTCCGGCACGCCGCGCGCTGCGAATGCGCCGCTGCCGGCCCAGGCGCCGAGCAGCCTGCTCCAGCGGTACTCGCCTGACTGCAGGCGCTGGAGCTCTTTGAACGCCGCGGCGCTGTGGAAGTGGAGGGTCGTCTTGGGGTCGCGATACCGCGCGGGGTTGTTGGTGATAAGACACATGGGCGCCGGTGTGGGTTCTGGCTCCAGTTAGCTTCTTCAAACGTGCTTACTCAGGCTAGTTATACGTACTTGGTAAGCGGCTCATCTTGTGGCCGAATAGAACCTGCGTTTGTATGCTCCTGTCTTTGATCGCGTTTGCATCAAAGTTTTGATATATAATAGCATCACGAGTCGTGTAGAGCCCGTCCAGTGGCGAGCGAGCTTGCTCTGGTTGTGGCGTGGCCGCTTCAGACTGAAGTCGGCTGAATATCTTGTTTGTGGGCAGTGATTCGTTCCCAGCCGCCTGGGTTGCCTTAGGCGGTAGACCACCCTCTGTAGTCGGAGGAGCTTTTGAGGTTGTAGTGGTATGAGAACCATTGGCCTGTTCTGGGTTGGAGCTTGATTGCGATTGCGCATCTTTCGGGGCTGGTTCAGGAGGGGCATTAGCCTCTGATGCCGCTGCACTAGCTGGCACTTGGGTCTTTGCATCTTTTGAATCAGAAATCCCCTCCTTGGGCTGAGTGGATGATGCCAGTTCCTTGGTATCTTTCGGAGGAGCCTCTGTCGTTTGGGCGGGCTGTGCTTCTGATGAGGAATTGGGTTCTAAGGTCTTAGATTTTGCGGTGACGTCTTGAGTTTCCCCTCCGCTGACTGCTGTCTTTTCTGTACTTGTTGGCACATCTGTCATTGAGACGTCCCCAGCAGCTTCGTTTGTTGTATCGTGCGTGGGTTTGGTGTCCGCAACCCTATCAGTCGTCGTGGCTGTCGTTATTGCCGCTGGTGTAGTAGACTTCGTAGGTTCTTGAACTTGTGCGTCCGGTGCATCAGCCTTATTCGTGTCTTTTGGTGCTTCATCTGCGGCCGTGTCCTGTTTTGAAGCTTCGCTCATCTTCGCCTCGCCATTCTGACCTGCTTCCACAACTGTGCCTTCGCCCGCAGACTGCGGCTTTGTTGTGCTTGCATCCTCAGGAGTCGCGGGCTTTGTACCCACAGCAGCCTCCTCCTTCACAGCTTCCTTTGGGTCATCCTTCTTCTTTCCCTTGGCGGCTCCTCTCTCCCGCCTCGGCTTCTTCGGCTTCTCCTCCACCGCGACGTGCACGCCCTCGCCCTTGCGCCAGCCATCCCCGAAACGCCCCGCGCCGCTCCAGAACGACAGCACCGGCCCGCGGAGCGTACGCTGCTGCAGCGCCGCCAGCTTCGCCCGCCGCTCCTCCTCGCGCTGCCGCTCCGCCTCCTCCCAGCGGTTGAGGCTGCGGGCGTTGCGCTCCTCGACGAGCGCCGCCTCCCGCAGCCGGTCCTCCTGCGTCATCGGCGGCTTCTTGAGCGCCTCGAGGCGCGCCGCCTTCTTCTGCATCTGCGCCAACTGCTTCAGCCGCTTGGCCTCGCGCGCCTCCATCTGCGTGTGCAGCTGCTCCTTGGAGAGCCGAGTCGTCTGCCGTGACGACGCGCGCGTCGGCATGTCGGCGAGCGAGGGCAGCCAAGACGCGCGCTCCGACTTCTTCTTCTTCCTCGGCGGCGGTTGGTGGCTCATCGTCTGCGGTGTCGAAGGGGCGACGGAGGATCGTGGTGTCGAGGCGCTCGTGTCGATGCGCACTTTTTTGCGGAATTTGGCTGGAATTGCCTCTTGCGCCTTGCGCTTCCGTTGTGCGGCGCGGCGCTCCTTGGCCTGTCGGTCGAGCTCCTTTTCGCCCTCGAGGTCGTCATCGTTGTTGTCGTCATCATTGTCCGAAGAGGAGTCCATCTGCACGTCTGAGGCGTGCTCGCCGGCGTCGGAGAAGCCTTGGTCGTTTTCGTCTTCAGCGAAGAGTAGTTCGAGATCCGAGTCGGGCTCCTCGTTGGCGAGCATCGACTTCATGCGGTTGCCGGCCGTGGAGCGCCGCTGACGACCGGTGGCGAGCCACTCAACCTGCGGTGCGGCCTCAGATGTGCCGCCATTAGAGCTGTCGTTGTCGCTATCGCTGCCGCTGCCAAGCTCCATGTCACTGGCATGGACGCTGGACAGCCTGGACGACTGCGACTCGTCGGGCTCCGACGGCCGGGTGAGCTCCGAATCCATCGCGAAGTTATGAGCAAGCCAGTTTATGTCGATGCATCACTAGCTGTGCTGAGGTGTACGGATCGGTGTCTGATCGAAAAGGCAATCGGTGCGAATTCGTGCGCGTGCTTGATGATGTAAAAAGTTGGACAACGCGCCTTTGGAGGGGCTTCGAAATTTCCATCCCTGACTGAGAGGCAAACGCCTGTGGCGCTCCAAGTTTAGCGGCATGTCACTGTGGATGCCCCCAGGTGATCGCCGCAATCAGGTAGAGGCACCTAACTCCTAACTACTACAGTGGGTGACAACATGTATTTCCCCCCTGTTAGGTACTGATCTTATATATTTCTAAGATTGGGGAGATACCTAAAATACCTAAAAGAGGTAATAAGATACGTAAGACACCTCAGAACTTTAAGGAGCTGAGGTATGGTATATTCCTTTGGTGGTAGTCTCGTTCACACTACGAACATAGCTCACATGCTAAATAGTAACAGTTTAGGGTCGCCCGTAAATGAGTGCTCAGGCTTTGACATTTTCTGGAATAGGACGGACTGCATTCGTTAAGGACAAATAATCAGCAATCTAAATAATCGAGAGATATGTCTGTCTGGGCTACTTATGTACCATAACGTTGAGCAACTACCGATTGTAATCACCTTCGGTAACATGTGTGAAATCTATCGTGTGGGTTTTGTGAAACAACGCATAAATCAAATATATATATAAAAAAACCCAAATCATCAATCAGCCGTCTCACGTGCCGTCGTGTACGTCCCTGATTCAAGCAATGCTGCTTCTCGATTCCTGGATGCTCTCCTCGTACTCCGTCATTTGCAGCGCTTCCTCAACGTTCTTAACGAAGTGGCTCTCGCCGCACAGCTCGACAATGCCGCTGCTGGCCATGAGGCGCCAGACGGGGTGGTTCTTGCCGCCGGGCATGCGCGAGAAGAAGACGCGGACGCCCCGTTCCCGGTAGCTGCGCACAATCTCCTCCAGGACCTGCGTCCCAGATCCGTCAATCGACGTCACGCCGTGAATATCAAAGATAATGTTACGGTTGGCATCGTGGCTGCGGATACGGGGCAACGCTGGGTGCGCGGAGGGCGTCCCGTAGAGCTCGAGGCGGCGTAGACGAGATTTGAGCTCGCCAGTGTTGGCAAACGTGAGTGGCTCGGGGATCTTGACGATCAGGCAGCCCTCGACGAACTCGAGACCGTGAGGGTCAGCCTCTGCGTTTTCAAAGAGCTGCGTTCCGGGAATGCGGCCAAGGATCTGAATGCGGGGGCGCGTGCTGTGCTTGATGACCATCAAAAGCGAGATGCCGACTCCCAGAGCCATGCCCAGTGTCAGGGAGTAGAAAATGGTGGACAGGAAGATGATGGCCATGAGGCCTAGCTCAGTCCAACCTCGAATTCTAATGAAAAATTTGATATCGTGCGGTGCTTCTTCTATGAGAGACCAAGCAACGACAGAAATCATGGAGGACAGGACGGGTTTCGGCAAATAGTAAAAGTATGGCAAGAGGAAGAGCACAGAAAGCAGCGAGATGAGACTGAGCACAATGGAACTCATTGGCGTCTTGGCACCCGTCGTCTTGTTGACCTTGCTGCGTCCATAGCCACCAAAAGCAGGAAGACTCATGAAGCAAGAACCGACGACATTGGCAACACCAAGTGCAATCATTTCTCGGTTCGCGCTCAGCTCCATGCCAGGGATGCTGCTGTTGCCGAGACTCTTGGCGGCGACAGAAGATTCGAAGAAGCCAAGCAGGGCAATGAGGAACGAAGTCGACATGGCAGAGCGAATGTGTTTCATGTGGGCGAGCGTAAAAGGCCATCGGAAAGCAAAGAGGGTTCCGGTCGCCGACTTGACAGCGCCAAGAATCTCGACACCGCTCTTGTCCCACTCAAAGTACCAGCACAGTATAGCCGAAGCAACAACAACGAGGAATCTATCCGGAACGAAGACTACTGAAGGATACCGGGGCTCTAAGCGACGCTTCAGTTCACTGCTTGCTCGTTAGACTTGGATTCGTTCAGCTGCACATGGAGCGAGGAGCGACTGACCGGAAGAACATGATGACCAAAAAGCTGCCACCAGCAACAGCAAAGGTAGGACAATGTACCTTTTCCCAGTTCTCGATTATAAAAGCAATCTTATCCACACTGCTGCTATGACCGACGCCTGCTTTGTCCGCAAGTTCGCCGAGGCCCAGCTCAGGGATAAGCTGGTCGACGGCAATGACGAAGCCAATGGCGCTGATGAAGCCGCGCAGAAATGGCCTGCTGAGGACAGAGTCGAGGAAGCCTAGGCGGGCCAGGCCGGCGATAAATACCATGGCGCCTGCGATGCCAGCAACGACGCCCGCAATCTGCGTGTGAACGAGGTCGTTGTCGTCGAGACCGCCGGTATCAACGCTGGACTTGACGACGGAGCCGACGAGCAGGGAGCCGGCGGCCTCGGGACCGACGACCATCTGGGACGAGGATCCGAGGATGGCGTAGATGAAGGGATTGAAGACGAACGAGTACAGACCGTTGAGGGGCGAGACGTGGGCGAGGTTGGCGGCGAGCGAGAGGGCCATAGGGAGGTAGAAGGAGGCCACTGTGACGGCGGCGACAATGTCACCCTTGAGGTATGACAACTTGTACTTTCGCATCCAGATGAGGCATGGGACGTAGTAGGATAGGTACCTAGGTAGTTCAGGTTAGCCGCGCGTTGTCAATTCAATTGCCAATTCAGCAGGTTGGAAGGAGGGAGCGCCATACATGATGGGGTCGTCACGAACGCCGGCTTGCTGGGCGAGCTCGCTGGCGTCGCCCATCTTCTTGGTGCGCATACGCTGCTTCAGCCACGACTTCCAGTCCTCAGAGCCTTGCATGCGGTCGATGTGGCTCTCAAGCTCCTGTGCGCCCATTGGAGTGGACGCACGGGGGCTGAACGTGCCGTGGTCGCACTCACCGGGGTGCGCGCTGGGCTCGGTCGAGGTAAGGAGGAGCGGGGTGGCTTCGGATGCGCGACGGGCCGCGAGGGAAGGCGCATCGCGCGGACTGTCGTGGTCCCGGCCGTGGTTGTTGTCGTCGTGGTCGGCATCGCCGTCAACGTCACTGAAGGGCCGGTTCGAGGGCGTATGGCTCTGCCGCAGGGTACTAGGCTGGGCAGGCAGATGAGGGTGCGGAGACGAAGCATCGCTACCGGGCCGGGATCGATTACGGCCAGTCATGGTGACTGATGGGTTTTGTTCTGTTTTGTCGTTGGTGCGTACCGTTGGTCCCGATGGCCAGCGGTAGATCTGGGGGAAGATGCGGGATGACGGGGAGGGTTGTTGATCCCGACGGGTCGATTCTACAGCTCCATTCGACGCCCACCCGGTTCAAATAATGGCCAATTCAAGAACTGCAAATGGCTGGCAAAGGGCTGGCAACGAGGGAGAGACAGAAAGAGGGAACGAGTTCAAAACATTGGATACAGTTGACTTTTGACCCCCCTCGGAACTTGAACCAAGCCCATGACCCTACCTGACACTTTACAGTGGGGCTGTTTGCTCACTGCTGATATTCCAGGCACGGTGAGAGGCTGGCGGTGTACCTAGCGGGCTTACAGCGGGCTTACAGGGACTGGCCTTAGTTTTGGGCGGCCTCTATTTTTGTTACCAATGCAGTGGCCCTTGCCGGCGCAGTTGAGGGAATCTTTGGTGGGGGGTCATGACTGACAAACGAGAACAATGCGCAGTTTGAATTCCTGTCTAAGATTCATGCATAAATTCGACCAATTACTCCCAGCTTAAATGTTCCACTGCTATACGCCGCGTGATGGGGCATGCGCTGGCTGACCTACCTACATGCATATTCAGCGCACGTGAGAGCGCCCTGCATCCAGGCTGGCCACGGCTAATGGATAATAGAGTACCTGGGGAAGGATGAGACAGTGTCTTGGTAGCATCGTGGATCAAATCGCCGAAAAGAACACGACTCGTTGTTCAGGGTGAGATCGCCGCATAATTACTCAAGATGAGGCCTGATATTCCTAGCACCATCAATACGTCATGGGAGACACTACTTCTAGGTAATATCATAAAATCCTTTTATAAAAACATGACAACTTTACAGTAGTCTGCAGGCCTTGCCAAATATTCATACACATAAAATAAAACCTCTAAATGACTTTCCATCCACCGGCACCCATACGCGCTACATTACTCGCGGATAAACAGGGCAGCCATGCCCTGGCCGGTGCCAATGCACATGCTGGTGAGCAGGACCTTCTTGTCCTGTCTGCGCAGCTCGCTCAGGCCGGTAACGATTTGGCGAGCGCCGGTCGCACCCAGAGGGTGGCCCAGGGCGATGGCGCCACCGCGGGGGTTCATCTTGGCCCAGTCGAGGTTGAGCTTGTCGCGGCAGTAGACGGCCATAGAGGCAAAGGCCTCGTTGAGCTCGATCACGTCTACGTCGGCGAGCGTGATGTTGTACTTGGCCAGCAGCTTGGGGATGGCTACCGAGGGGCCGATGCCCATGATGCGGGGGGCCAGGCCGGCGACGGTCGAGCCGACAAACTTGGCGAGGATGGGCTGGCCGAGCTTGATGGCGGTGGAGCGCTTCATGAGCAGGATGACGGCGGCTAGGAGAAGGGTTGTCAGCGAAATTTCTTAAAAGTATCCAGGGGAGAACGAGTACACACCTCCGTCGGTAACCTGGCTGGCGTTGCCACCGGTGGTCGTCTCACCCCACTGGGGGAAGGCGGCGCGGACCTTGGCGAGGCTCTCCTTGGTGGTGCCGGGGCGGATGCCCTCATCCTTGCTGACAGTGATCTCGGTGATCTCGCCGTCCTTGCCCTCAACCTTGGCCTTGATGGGGACGATCTCGTCGTCGAACCAGCCGGCCTTTTGGGCGCGCTCGGCGCGCTGGAACGACTCGGCGGCGTACTCGTCCATCTGCTGGCGGGTGACGTTGAAGTCGGCGGCGACGTTCTCGCTGGTCCAGCCCATGGGCTCTAGCGAGTCCTGGACTTCCTGGTTCTCCATGACCTCCTCGTTGAACGGGAAGGGGGGGGCGCCCTGCGCAGACATGCTCTCGCCGCCAACGGACACGCCGATTTCGATGGCACCGGAGCGGATCGAGTCGGCAATGTCGGCCGTCGCCTTGAGGCCCGAGGAGCAGAAGCGGTTCACGGCGTAGGCACCAGCAGTGTTGGGAAAGCCGGCGGCGAGGGCGGCGGCGCGGATCTTGGCGGCGGCAAGAGGGTCGTTGACCTGGTATGGATCTTTGTTAGGAAGGCTGTTTGGGGGGATTCCACATCGCGATCGTGTCGGGTAGAACGTACGTTGCCGAAAGCAAAGTCTTCAACCAGAGCGGGGTCGATGCCAGAGCGAGTCTTGAGCTCCTTGAGCAGGCAGTAGACGAGGTACTCGATGCCGCTATCCTTGAAGCCACCCTTGCGGGCCTTGGTCAACGGCGTGCGGAGCGCGGCGGTGATGACAATGTCGTCGGCATTCTTGGACTGGCTGCAAGGGATCAGTTAGCTTGTGACACCTTCCCCGCCGGCGAGGTGCCGGCGCAAAGAAATACTCACAGGCTGTTGATGGCCGAGCCAGGGGCCAGGTGCTTGATGATGGAACCGATGCGTTCGACAGCCATGATGAAGGATGTGTTTTTGTGGATGAAGGGGTGGAAGGAGGAGGGTATACGAGCGATGCAAAAAGGGGAAAAGAAAAAAGATGATGATGCAGAGAAAGAGAGCCCGCAAACAAATTTCGGGTGGGATGAACCGGATACAAATGCACGTTCCAGCGGGCGCAGAGGCTGGCAAAGGCCGAACCCGGATCTGTGGAGTAGCCGAGGCAAGCACTTGATCGGCCCAGCTTGTGGGTGGTCCGGGGGAAGCTTAACTAAGCATGGCGCGGCCAGCCGAGGTCTTTGCCACTGCCAAAAGTCCGATTGTGCGCCCGCGCGGAGAAAAAGACTGATGGGTGAGGTGAATGGTTGACTCTGGACGCTGAATAAATGCAGATTTGAATGAACCGATTTGTCTGTTTTTCTTGTGGTATCTGGGTCTGCTTGCGCACTCGTGAGTTGCCAACTGACGGTGAACAGCTACAGGTACCTTGGGCCTCTGTTGCGCTATCACAAGCCAAATCTACCCAGATTTCTCTCCAGTTAGCACCTATATCGAGCAAAAGCTCCGGATTGTGGTCCCATGCAGCACTGTAATCACGAGACAGAATTTTTGGAATTACTTGAAGTGCATCGTCAGCCCTAGAATCGACATTCTTTTACTCTTTCCGTTAGCACAGCCGACCCCACGGGAAAACTGCCATGTCCATGGACTGGATCACCCATCGAAACGAACGCCTCGGCCGCCAGTAGGCCGTTACTGGATTCCGCCCAGAAACGCCCGTCTCCCAACTAATGTACAGCAGAAATCTTCAGTCGTACTTGTTTCCCTTGAATCGCAACGGTCAGTCGATGGGGATGCTGGGACGGCGCCGGGCGACACCCTGGGGCACCCCGGATGTCCCGCGATGCGGAGTCCCGGAATCTAGGGGGTGGCCATGATGAGACATGCAGTCCCGCATATCGATAGGACACATCCGTCAACCTACTGGTATGTATTGGTGAGATCTTGCTTCGGAGGTCTTTCACACAGCAAGTGACACTCGTGTCCCACGGTGCGCCTCCTCCTCGTGCTACCAGCCCAGCTTGTCAGCATCGCATGCGTCTTTTCAGCACATAAATCTCAGCAAGCTTCTCACAACCTCTACGCCGAATACCGTATTCATCACTAGCCTCGTCCCAAAATATCAAACACTGCTCGCTTCGATACGAGGCACGCCCGACGTTCCAGGGCGTTAGCATTGGCCCTGCCCACTAATCAAGGCACTGTCGTCCACTGGACCAGTGAAGACTGCCAAAACCCACCGGAAGCCACCCGCTATCCTCTCTAAACAAGGCGAATAGATTTGTCAAGCCGCCAAAAAAAAACCTTGTTTGGGGGCCGCTTCAGCTCGGTTCATGCAAGCGCTTGGTCATTTTTCCCTCGTTCGTCGTGTCCTTTGCTCGTATTTGTTTTCCTTTCAACACTCGTTTTGCTCCTTAATAGCGCGTCGCTTCTGTTTTTCATCCTATTTTTAAATTTATTTTAATATATTCGCTAGAGCCGTCTCTACCCCGTAACCGCCACAAATCGATAGTCAATCGAGGATTCAGCTCCCGCCGTTCGACGCAACAATTTTGCTTGGCAGACCTCCTTTTCGCCTGCAGCGCTGATAAACGAGCGAGACCGCATTGCCGACCGTGCCATCGAATCGAAATAATTTCCCGTCAAGTCCCTCGTTTGAACACCTCTTACCTCGTCAAATATCGCATCTCCGTACTCGCAAGATTTGCGATCGGCATCCTACCCCACGTCGGATCGAGCCGACGGCGAGCTATATACAGACACATACACATAAGCACAGCATACCATTCATGTCGTTACTCGCCTTGACCCTGTATGCACTGTTCGGCGCGGCCAACGGCGCAGGGAAGCGCGGCCTCGTCTTCACGCCAAACCCGTCGCACCCCCAAGACAACAAGCTTTGGCAGCCGCCAGGCAACGATCTCACCTGGTACTACAACTATGGCAGCCTTCCATCGCCCGCCTACGCCGACGTCTCGCAAGATCAGTTTGAGTTCGTGCCCATGATGTGGGGTGTTGGTGCCAACCCGTCGGACGACACCTGGCTCAACGAGGTCAAGGGTGTTATCCGCGACGGCCGCAACGTGTCCTACGCCCTCGCCTTCAACGAACCCGACGCGCCCAACTCCTGGGGCGGCAGCAACGTCGCCCCACGCGCAGCCGCCCAGGCCTGGGTCGCCAACTTCGAACCCCTCACCAAGATGAACGTCAAGGTCGGCCTGCCCGCCGTCACCGGCGCGCCGTCCGGCCTCGACTGGCTCAAGCAGTTCCTCGGAAACTGCTCCGCGCTTGTCAGCAGCGGCGGGAGCCAGACCAAGAACTGCACTTTCGACGTCGTCCCCGTCCACTGGTACGACAACTTTGCCGGGCTGGCGTCGCATATTGGCGAGCGCCGCGCGCTGTGGCCCAACGCCGAGATTTGGGTGACCGAGTACGCGTTCGCCCACCAGGACCTCTCGCCCACGCAGCAGTTCTTCAACCAGACCGTCGACTACTTCGACAAGGAGTCCTACATTGGCCGCTACTCGTACTTTGGCGCCTTTCGCTCCGGCAACTCATCCGTCGGCGCCAACGCCCCTTTCCTCAACAACGCCGGCAAGCTGACTGACATTGGCGCCTGGTACCTGGGCAAGAGCGCGACGGGGGTGAACCCCCAGAGCAAGGCGCCGAGTATCGCGCCGTCGGGAGTCGTCGTGGGCGGCATCGCGGCTGTCGCAGCCGTTGTGCTGGCGTGGGTGTAGCGAGACAGGAGTAGAAGAAAAAAACGAAGATGTGGCAGATTGGTGTTTTCTGCGGCGCGTTATTAGACTGTCATATTATTACCACGGCTTGATGGATTGAGAATTGTTCATCCTGTTAATGTTTTAGCGCATATACGACTTGATTAGATCCAAAGCAGCTAGACGCATATAGAAATTGAAAGTTAGCGTTTGCATCTTAAGTAAATCATACAGATATCCGGATTAAGGGATGTCTAGATGTTCTGGTTCCGGGCTGGGCAGATTGCCGAAGCCGCTTGACAGCTTCGGCCTGCGCGAGCCATGTCCGGCATTAGGCCCCGCCAGTTTGTCAAATCAAGGAGGGGTCCCGGGGCCAAATTCAAAATAGAACAAAGAGCACAATAGAAACCCACGCTCGCTTCTCCGGAACCGGGGCTGCTACAATCCAGATCCAGGCACCCCGTTCCGACCGAGATAGACGCTGGTTCAAGATCAAAGAGACGCCGCTCACGCCACATTGAGGCGCAGCCAGATTATGGTCTGGCTGGGGCGAATTAAGTGGGTCATTACTCAACCACATGGCAGCACGTGATCCACTGCCAAGCCACGCTTGATTGTCAGGTGTAATTCGAATGATTGAGGATGACGTCTTCCATTCATATTAAGATGCAGTTTTTTTTCTACTTGCGATCAAATAGTGCTCTAACTCTTTCCTCCGCGGGTTGTGATGATAAGAAAATGCAGGGGTCAATGGAGATGCTGTTGGCTCCTCCTTAGTCTGTTGGCCGTATGTTCCACCAGTCAATCTCCCAATTATGGGCTGCACTGCATGGCGCGAGTCTTGGCCTTTCTAACAAGAAGACAAAAATTTCAGAACCACAAAGAAGAAAATGGAAAGACAAAGCGTAACATAATTATTAGAAAAAAAAATCGGATTCCCTTCCCACCTCCATCTTCCCCTTGCAACAAGTGCCAAGAGCGCTGAAAACCCGCTCTGCGCCACTCACAGCTGCAGCCTTCAGCACAGGAACCTGAGCACCAAGTGGTTGGGTGGCAATCCGTCTAGGCCCGGGTCCATCGCGCGCTAGAAGTTGGAGATAAGACACAAAAAACCTTTAAAAAAAAAGAGACAAGAAGAGACAAGAAGAGACAAGACAACATGGCGTGGGGGAGATGCCAGCCTGCGTTATCCTTGCGGAATGGGATTTCTTGGCATTTATTTTACATGGAGCGAGTTGGGTTGTTGGGATTTCGCCGAGGATGGGGGCAACCTTGATTGTTCTCGAACAGCGGTGCACTGTTTGCCAAGACGCAGGTAATCGTCGCTCTTGGCGGACAAATGACAACACCAAGACGACCAAGGAAGGGGAGCTTGGGCCCGGGATCATGGTTATCCTTTCTTTGAAGGGGGGAAACTTGACAAACTGCGGGTAGTTGCGGTGCAATCCAACGTGGTGATGATCTGAGCCGCAAGACAGTTGTCACGGAAAATAAATGCGAACAAATACAGAGCAGCTATTATGCTAGTCTCTTTCACTCTAGTTAACCTGATCTCTGCCGTCCTTCCGAGCAACATGCGGCAGGTCAGACCGGATGCTGCGACGTCTGATAATACGATGCAGTTGGACTAGCCTCAACCAGGGAGACCTTCTAGAATGAATGGAGTCGTCCATGACGGAAACCACCATTCCTTGCATTCCTTCCTTTTTTTTTTTTTGTCCCTTTCTTTTTATTCTCTTCCTGTCGCCGTCGCAGACCTTGCCAATGCCAAGCCTCGCGTCGTCCGCTGCTGGTCTGCTAGTGAGACCAAACCAACCACACCCAAGCGTCTTGGCGGAATGCTTGACCACAAACCATTACGGGCATTCCTTCGGTGAACGTCCAAGCAAAGGCAAAAAAAAAAAGGAAGCAAAGGGCTTCCTGTACATTTATATTTTTGCCAATTTGGAACCGCTTTCTTCAAGTCGTAAATCGGTTTCAGCCAAGGACATGAACTGTTTCTCGTCTGAGAAGCCAAGGAGCGTTGCGTATCGGGAAGAATTGGCATTCCTTTGCCTTACCAACTCGACGCATGCATCATGTCAAGTTTTTTTTTTTTTCATCAAGATGAGAAGATAAAAGGTCTTTGACGTCACTCCACTTCCCCTGCGTAGGCAATAAATGGCCAGATCGCCGTTCTCGACAGCCTGACGAAAACATGGCGCCCCCCCTCCCCAGTGCTGCTGCTCTCTTGGCACGTATCAACCCATTCTCGCCACAGATTCATCATCACGAGGCTCTCTGTAAAAATAGATTAAAAAAAAACGATCTTATCTCTGGATTTGCTGCTGCGCCTTGCTCGGGGTTCGGCCAACCAAAAGTTAAGGACGAAAACGCGTGCTTGTTGCTCCGCGGAGTAAGTCAGCAGTGTATGGTTGGGTGGTGGTGCAGCCTCAGCTGGGACGGCGGGACAGCCGCCGCGCTTTCTCCGGGGACACGAACAAAAGAGAGGCACCATTTTGCTTGCGGCACCGGGGCGGGGGCCACACTTGGCGGCGCCCGCCAAGCCGAAGGAACCCCACCCAAAGCTCCGCGCCGGTGTGGGGGCCCAAGGCGCTGCTCTCTCGGCTTTGGGCACGCTGCCTACACACGCCAAACCTTATCTCATTGGAGGGGTCCAGTAGGCTGCAAGGGCATCGACTCCGGTGGAAACTCTGTATGATGTAGTTGATTCTCGATTTTTTCTGTTCGAGTACTTAAAGTACCTTCCCCCCCCTCCCCCGCCTTCCCCAGGACCTGTTTGAATCTAGATCAAATCTATAACCAACCGAATTGAAAGTAGCAGAACCGTTGCTCTTCAATCCGTATTGCTTAGAGAGAGAACACCACTACAAGTTCTCTCCGAGAAAACCCATACAAACAAGCCCCTCCAAACTTTACAAAGGGGAAGAATTACCATCCTTTTGTTGTGTCTCCCCCCCAGAACCTTCTCACTTTATGAAGCACCTTCACGGCCTCGTCAGCCTCAGCCCTCCCTCCGAACAGCGCGGCTGCGCCCCAACCAACACGACAGCCCTTGCTCTCACCCCGACCTGCGACAATGGCTGAGTTCCCAAAGCACCCGTTCCTCCTCTCCGTCGCCGAGACGGCCGAAGCCCTCGCCACCGATGTCGACAAGGGCCTCACTTCGGCCCAGGTGGCCGAGATGTCGGCAAAGTACCCAAAGAATGAGCTTGACGTCGGCGGTGGTATCGCCTGGTACAGCATTCTGACCAAGCAGATTCTCAACGCCATGATTATTGTACGTCGTATTTTCTATTGCTTCCGCCTTGCGCAGCAACCAAATTGAATACCTTGCTGACATGTGTAAATCTTTAGGTCCTTGTATTCGCCATGGCCCTCAGTTTCGGCATCAAGGATTACATCGAGGGTGGCGTCCTCGCATGTGTCATTGTCCTCAACGTAACGATTGGCTTCTGGCAGGAGTACCGCGCTGAAAAGCGCATGGACGCTCTTCGTGCCCTCTCCTCACCCAGTGCCATGGTTCTCCGTGACGGCAAGACCCAAGTTATCTCCAAGTACGTTCTCTTATTTCGCGCGCTGCGCTCATCTGCAAGAGTTTCCCCAACTAAAATCCTTCTCATAGCCCCGACGTCGTCCCCGGCGACATTGTCCTCCTCAAGATGGGCGACACAGTGCCAGCTGATCTCCGTCTCTTTGAAGCCATGAACCTGGCCTGTGAGGAGGGCCAGCTCACCGGCGAATCGATCCCCGTCGAGAAGATCACTGAAAACAACGTCACGACCCCCGGAACCGAAAAGCTGGCCACCTCGGAACAGGAGGTTGGCATCGGTGACCGCGTCAACATGGCCTACGCCACCACCGTCGTCCGAAAGGGCCGCGGTCGCGGCATCGTGACAGCTACTGGCATGACAACCGAGGTGGGCAAGATCGCGGCCTCAACCTCCAAGAAGCAGCGCAAGCACGGCCGTTCCATGAACTGGCGCAAGTATGGCAAGCGCCAGCCCGTTGTTGGCTTGGCTAAGCGTACCTACGATATTATCGGCAAGTTCTTGGGCCTGACTGAGGGCACTCCTCTCCAGCGAAAGCTGTCAGCCCTTGCCTATGTCCTCTTTGGTTGCGCTATCATCCTAGCCATGGTCGTCTTTGGCGTTAACCACTTCAAACTTCGCAACGAAGTTATCATTTATGCCACCTCTCTTGGCATTGCCATCATCCCCGAATCTCTTGTCGCGTAAGTTCAAAATATCCGCAACTTGTCTCCGAGAAGTAAATTGCTAACCAGCTGAAATTGCAGTGTCCTTACAATTACCATGGTCGTCGCTGTCACCGTCATGCGCAAGGCAAATGTCGTTGTTCGTGACCTCTCTGCGCTCGAAGCTCTCGGCGGTGTTACCAACATTTGCTCTGACAAGACCGGCACCCTGACCGAAGGTGCCATGATCGTTCGCAAGGCTTGGATTCCCAGCAGCCACATCTATACCGTCCACGACTCGCAGAGCCCGAGCGATCCGACCAAGGGTCGCGTCACATACGCCCTCAACAAGGACGAGCCCATCACTGAGGCTCCCAAGCGAGACTACGACCGGGAGCGCAGTGCTGCTGTTCTCAAGTTTGATGTCCCTGACGAGAAGCTCAACCCCAAGAGCGAAGCCGAGCCTGCTCCAGTCGAAACGGCTTGCGAAATGACGGATGAGCTCAAGGCATTTTTGCTCTCGACATCTTTGTGCAACCTGGCCACTGTTCGCTTCGACAAGGAAGAGGAAAAGTGGCAGACGACTGGTGAGCCCACTGAGATTGCTCTTCAAGTCTTTGCCCACCGCTTCAGCCTCGGAAAGAAGTCTCTCGAGGGCCAGGGCTGGAAGCAGCTCGCCGAATTCCCCTTTGATAGTTCCATCAAGCGCATGTCCGTTATTTATGACGCGCCCGATGGTGAGAGTGGCTCCATTGTTGAGGGCACCAACAGCATGGTCTTCACAAAAGGAGCTGTCGAGCGCATCCTAGATCTCTGCTCGCACGTAGGGACCGGCGCAGAACAGCAGCCCGTCACCGATGAGCTCAAGGAGACGGTCCTCCAGCAGATGAACAACCTCGCTTCTCAGGGCCAGCGCGTTCTTGCTATTGCATACCGCACATGGGACGGCAAGTTCACCGCGAAGCAGTCATCCAGCGCCGCCGAAGATGAGAAGCTCCGCGGTGAAGTGGAGCAGGGCCTCACACTGCTCGGACTTGCTGGCATCTATGACCCTCCGCGTCGCGAGACCAAGCCTTCCATCGCGGAGTGCTCCCAGGCCGGTATCAAGGTGCACATGCTCACTGGCGACCACCCCGAGACAGCCAAGGCCATTGCCAAGGAAGTTGGTATCATCCCCAAGAACCTCGGCATTCTGCCGGACAAGGTTGCAACTTCCATTGTCCAGAAGGCCACTGACTTTGACCACATGACTGAAGCCGAGATCGATGCGCTGGAAGAACTTCCCCTGGTCATCGCCCGCTGTGCTCCTGACACCAAGACTCGCATGATTGAAGCTCTACGTCGCCGCGGCGCCTTCATGGCCATGACTGGTGACGGCGTCAACGATGCGCCATCTCTGTCCCGTGCTGACGTCGGTATCGCCATGGGCTCGGGCTCTGATGTCGCAAAGTCGGCTTCCAAGATTGTGCTGACTGACGACAAATTCAATTCCATCGTCTCCGCTATTCGTGAGGGACGTCGCATGTTTGATAACATTCAAAAGTTTATCCTACACTTGCTCACCTCCAATGTTGGTGAGGTCATTCTCCTCATTGCTGGCCTCGGCTTTGTCGACGACGATGGCTTCTCGGTCTTCCCCATTTCCCCGCTCCACATCATCTGGATCAACATGGTTACTTCATCGTTCCCAGCTTTTGGTCTTGGCCGCGAGCCTGCCGCCCAAGACGTCATGCGCAAGCCTCCTCAGGACAAGCGACGTGGTGTCTTCACCAACCAAATCATCGTCGACATGGTAATTTATGGCATCATGATGGGAGCCTGCACCATGATTACGTTCGTTATCATCATTTACGGTCAATACGGGGGCGATCTTGGGGCGAACTGCAACACGGCGTTTTCTGATGCCTGCCGGCCTGTGTTCCGAGCTCGCGCGGCCGTTTTTGCGGAGCTTACCTGGTTGATCCTGATTTCTGCCTGGGAGTTCAAGAGCCTCCGCCGTTCCATGTTCCGGCTCAACCCTGACGACGACAGCTACTTTCCCTTTTTCAAGGATGTATACAGCAACCGCTTCCTATTTTGGTCCGTTATCATCGGAGCGCTGTCCGTCATTCCTGTTGTGTATATCCCAGCGCTGAACACCAAGTTCTTCAAGCATGCCCCGATCTCTTGGGAGTGGGCGCTATCGATCGGTTTCACGCTTGTCTTTGTCGCTGGCATCGAGGGTTGGAAGTTTATCAAGCGCCACTTCCAGCTGCTTCAGGATCGCGCCGTTCAGCGCGGTGCCTGGGGCCAAGGAGGGCCAGATGATTCGGGAGTCAAGTTCCGCAAGACAATGTCCATGTCGAGCTTCAAGACGTGGGCGTCGTTTTCGCGCAAAGACACGGGCGAGACCCTATCAAAGAGTAACACGCAGGTGTCTGGAGCCAAGAATTCCAGCATGGTATAGATTGACGCGGTTGCATATCGCAGTGGGCCGAACGGCGGTAGCCTCGGTGTATAATGTGGTGGAAAATTTTCGTGTTTAATCGTTCATAGTATTGATGGTGACCGCATAATAGATCTGATAGAAAATCATTTCAATGAGAAATGCCGAGCTTTGAGTGTGTCTCGCAAGTGGCAATGGATGGTGCGTAGGCGTTCGAAGAAACAAACTCGTCTAATCTTGTAGGGGACCTACCCCGCTGAATAAGTCCCCACTAGTTCAGGGACCTTGGACCAGCCACACGGAGAGTTTCCTCCCTTCTTCCGCCACGGCAACATCACGTACGCTGCCTCATTCCTGCAGAGTCCCCTTGGACGCTGCGATGCGTATTTATCCATCTTCGCGAACTAAGAGCTTTGGCTTTTTCATCGCGTCCTACGAACGGTCTCATTCAAAGCCATCATCGGCGCTTAGAGACACCTCAAATCTCGTCCCCCCACGCCCCCCCAAAGCCGGTTTGCTTGACAGGAGCACTCTCACGGTGTTGGCCCAACGCCAGACTGCTCGCCGCTGTTCCACCCGACCCAAAGGGGATTATAGGGCGCGATGCTGATTGATGCCTTCCATCACTCAGCATACGAGTGTGCAACCTGACCACTCATGTTTGCGTCATCTGCGTCGCGTCTACCGTTTGCGTCGAACTATCCTTTCGAACATCAATAACCATCGTTCCCTGCTTCGTATGCCGCGACACGACGAAGACGCACATATGCAGAGCTCGACGACAGAACCTCTCGAGCATGGCAGGCCTTCTGTTAGCCGACTCAGGGTTGGCGAGACTTTGAAGACGGTACATAACACAGCTGTCAGACCCCATCCCACTATCGCCATGTGACTGATGCCGTGTCCATTTCGGCTACATTCTGCAGATTAGACGTACAGCGCAAGACTTATACTGCTTTCGAGACAATGTCGGTGGCCGCTCGGCCCTCGTTCACGACCCCAAGCCCGCTGAACTGCAAGTCGATGATGTGCATAGCACGACCCAGCCGCCTGTCCACCCTAACGAAGGCGTGAGAACTTCTTCAGGCTCTATCGAAGGGCCTCACGTCGAAATTCACCAAAGAAGACTCTCTAGAGTCTCCGCTGACGGCGCAAGTTCGCCCAGCCCGCAGCGCCAGTTTCGCGTGAGTTTGCTAGAGCAAGTTGACCATGTTGTGACAACAAAATATTAACACTGACGTGATAAGCATCTGAGCACCGATATTTCCTGTCACCAGTGTGGTGAAATTAGCAGCCCGGAGTGGCGCTCGGGACCCAAGGGTCCCGGCACGCTTTGCAATGTCTGCGGTCTAATATACGCAAAGCAGGAAAGCCACCGGCGTCGCGATCAGGCAAAATCAGAAAATACGAGGAAGCGTCGCGTGAAGTAAGGCGCCCTACTTGTTGCAATTGCCATAGCACGCTCTCGATTTGTCACCTGACCATGGCTGATGGCTCAATGATTGATTACGAGAAATGTTATTGCTTTGTGATTGTGTAGCGTTTGTGCAGATTAAATAGCCATAGCATTCTTAAATGAGTCTTATTTCTAAAACTACTAAATAAGAACCAGAAAGGAAGAAACTCAGAGAGAATCTTTCCCGCCACGTAACATACAAGCAACTTCCTAGCATGTTGGTCATCAAGTGTTGCATCGGTGGCCGCGGACATGAACCACGTCCCCCACGTTGTAATAGACAATCGAGGCGGCTTGGGTTCGATATGCTGGATTTGTCTTGTGTTCATACCAGTAACTCAACGGCTATCAAGTCAAAGAATGGTGTACGTGCCATCATTTCCTAGCGGGTTAAACTCTTGGCAGATCCGCGCCGAAGGAATCGCACGGAAGTTAGGGAGACAATTTGCAGGAGTCCCTATTTGTCAGAGTTGACAGCTAGGTCATTTTCCTATAGTATGGAGTTATTTCCCTGGGTGGCTATTCTCCTCGTTCAACCATGGCAGCAAATGGATTCCATTTCGCCGAGGTAAACTTCACCATACCTCACTCAGAAGAGCTTGGGTCCTTGCCCTTTTCCCGCTGCGTACTTCCGATGACTCGGTTACCAATGCCTCTTATAGAAATACGCTTTGAGTTTGCAAGGAATTTGGCTCCATGGTGCGCGGCATCCGCCAGGTTGTCCATCAAGCCGTTGGTTCCGTCACTGGAAGCCTGTAACGGCCGCATCAAGCATCACAATCTCGGTTCCCGTATCCAAAACAAGCCCGGGCCCCATCAGGATACACGCAGAGTTGGAACACGGATAATTCCGCCACTTTACCAGTTGAACCTCCAGTAATTTGACAGAAACTAGGTGCACGCCCAGCCCGCCCGCCACAACTGCAGGCTTCTCAACACACTCGCGCCGCCGACAATATCGCCAGAGAGGACTTCAACGGAGTCAAGTACCCTTTTTTTTCTCTCCTCCCGCACCACGTGTTCCCACTCTCCGACAGCGACGATCATGGGGGTGTAGCCAAGACACGGATGGCTGTCGGCAAATCCCCCAGGGGTATCTGACCTTCGGTTCTAGCATGACACAGCCCATATGCACAATTCCCTCACCAAGAAAGCTTGACATGCCGTTTTGCCTATCATCACGGCCGCTTACTTTACCAACGAAAGGAGGTGGTTCACCGAGTTACGAAATAACGACCGACCCTACCCCGGACACGCTCGCCCCCCCCCTCCCCGGGAAGCTTGGCACAACTGCCAAGACAACTAATTGCTTGCTGATGCTCATCTCAGCCAGATGTGATGACAAAATTGTGACCGAGAATTTCGAACCGTTATCGGTCATCGGGAGACAGGTCCCCGTATTCTCTCTTCTGTGATCCGCGACTAGAGGATTCGTGACAACGAGAAGCACGAGCACGTACGTCGCGACACCTAGCCCGACAACAGAGACTCGGGCTGCGCTCTGCTCTTGGGCCCTTCGTTTTGTAGTTTTAGCAATAATGTATGCGTCGTTTCTGCGAGGTAGCAATGCGAGGAGCATGCCGGTCCTGCGACAGGCGAAGCAGCCACCACGGCAGATCGTGTTGTCGAACGAAAGGTCTAATCCGGCAACAGGATTATGTCTCTCTGCTGGCTACGCCGTGCATCGGGACTCGCGCTGCAATACACCCCCTCAATCATCCAGCTCCTTTTTCTTTTCTTATTCTCATCGGCATATTGCTCAAGAAGTTCCCATCTTTGGCTCTGCCCAGATCGGCGCGCCGGCACTTACGCCGCGAAGGAAGGTGGGATTTACCACTAGAAAGGGCAGGCCAGCCGCCGTACGAAGAGCCTATCCAACTCGAGCATAATGAACAGTTCCAAAATGTCCAGCCCGTATTTGGAAGCTGTGGCAAAACTGGGTTGGGTTGCCACCTGCCCTTGGGGGGGGGGGGGCCGTGTGGGAAATCGGTTGCGCGTCTCTGAACAGGAGAGCGCATCACAAGTGCCTCATTACCCCGTAGCGGCGAAATTAAATCCAGCAGGAAACCGACTAGTTTCTTCATCTTGAAAGCTGTCGCGGCCTCGTGCGATGCCAAGGCCAACCTGGGTCAACCCGCCAGCGAACCCTGGTGATTACATGTGTGTCGTTTCAGGCAGACCGACCGCTAAGACGCACGAGGCGGGGGGGGCTCTGTTGAGGCTCTTCTAAGATTCTTCTTTCCTCTCTCTAAATTCTAATGTTTAAGCTTTTTACGGATTGCTTGGCGTGGAAGCTTGGTACTGGCCCTTGCGCAGTCTCAATTTCTGACGGCAGCTCTCGAAATCCGTAGTTGGAAATCGCCTCGCCGGTACAGTTAGTTAGTGTTAATAAGTCGCAGCCTGTCATCTTTCATCAAAGTTGGCCGGCAAGGGTGCAGAGCTATCAATCCACCAACACGCCCCTGTTGCGTGGCATGTGGGTAACAAATAACTAAGATGCCGCTCAAACAGGATAGAGACAATACAGCGCATCACTAGTCCTACTTTTTTTGCCCTCTTTATTCTTGCACTTTATCTTATCCATCATGTACTTTGTCCAATGTAACTCGGAGTCAGGGCTAATGCTCTATATTGCATACCTGCCTTATGTAGCAGATAAGGAGTACGGCGTTTAGCGGCTTCTCCCTTTATCTTCCCTCGTGGCTTTGCATGGTATTCTCGTGTTGACCGGATGGCCTGCCCGATAAGCCTTGTCAAGCCACATCGGCCAAAGAGGACCCCGATAAAGGTTGCGCGGCGGCGAGAGCCTCATACAAATCGTCTCCCAGCCGCGGAACCTCCGCTCGTTCCGCTCCATCGTTGCCGTACGGGTTTATTCGTCCGTTGCCGGTTATGACAGCCCGGCGAACCATCATCACCGAAAGAAGGGTTCGATTGGCGGTGACAGAGTGGAATGATCTGCAGAGCTAAATCAACACGCATAGCAGCATCTTGACCTCTTTGTCCCGGTGCACGCCTGGCGGACAGGGGGCCGGGTGGTTTGGGCTTCCTCATCGGGTCAAAAGCTCATTGTGTTGGCAGAGATTTCCGCGTGCATTGGTCGCCTAGGACCAAAACGCACGTAAGCCGGTTGTCGCCCGCTAATATACGAAGGGGGAAGGCAGGTAGGGTAGCGTCAGCACCAAAGATGATACCACCGCCGGCGAAATAGCGCATCAACACTAAGACTGGAAGGAGACAAAACACGACGCCTTAATAATATATCTTGAAAACAAGAAAGCGGGAGAGCGGGAGAGAGTACCCCTTCCACTGTAGTGCATGCAACACTTGCAGGCACTGTGCGTCGTCCAGAACAAGGCTGCTAAAGCAGCTACCGCAATAAAGCCCAAGACGGAGTAGTCATGGTTTCTGGGGGTGAATTCCAAACACGGGTCAGCTATTCATCACGCAAGCAGCCGCGGCGTATTACAAAGAACTGAAAAGTCCATCAAGCCTCACCGGAAGCATAGCCGTGAAGGGTCATGTAGGCCCCCAGCAACGGTTTTTCAGCTGACTGACGGAGTGA